CTTGCGCGCTTGTGGCCTGTGCTCTCACTGTGGTGGGTGGCGAAACACGTCCAAAACCTCCAAGGCGGCGAGGGTTTTCCGGGTGCCGTTATCGGTTTCGAGCGGTATTAATTACCGACACCCCCATGAAGTTCGAAACTGTTAAAGGGCAGAACTCAGGCAAGCCGAAACCGCTGAGGGACTTGCAAAACGGCCGGCAGCTTTTTGCGTTTTGTCTTCGCTTTTTTTTCCCGCGTTTGTGTTTTGTGTTGTCGCAATTCCTCACCTGTGAGGCCTCGCCGTGTGTCTCGCTTTTTGGCGGGTTTGCTCCCTAAGTGTTCAAAAGCCGAAGCCGATGGATAAGCGACCCAGGCCTTGCTTCCCGTTTTCATAGAAGCAGTTTCCCCCTTTTCCATTGGAAGAGGGTCGTCTTCGCCTCGTCCCGATGATATTGCTGGTAAACCCCAGCGCGAGCGAACAAGTAGTAGGCCCATTTGAGGTTGTCACGTCGTATGTGGCACCAGCGCCATTTTGTGAAAAAGCAAAAGCGCCCTCTTCTGCTGCTGCTACCGAATCACAGAACAAAGGGAACAACAAGGCGAAGCGGAAGGGGAAAGAATAGAAGATTCTGTCGTGCACGGAAAAAATACGGTTACGGGGTCGCTCCTTCGACTACAGTGGTGAAAAGGCCGCCGACTACTGCGTTGGACTTTTTGTGTTCTCAATGGAGCCATTTCCGCTCTAATGTCGCTATGTTATACACAAAGCCGCAAACACTCTTATATATCATATGAAAGACTGAGTAGTAGTATTGCAACCCCTGCAGACAGAAGTGGGGGACTGAAAAACTGAGGAGGAGAGAAGCCAGCGAGAGTGGTCCTTTAGACCTTGGAAGGCTCGCAGCGATGAATCCATGTTCTTAGCGTCCAAATCCAAATCAAGAGCTTTCGATTAAATAAGATACTCGTAAGTAGTAGTAGCCCATTAGGGTTTCCTTGCAGCTCTGCGGTGACTGGTAGTGGGAGTTTTTGAAAATACGTGTGAAGAGGAGCCCGCCCATAGCATGGATCGCGCGGTGCTTAGAACGCGTTCTAATGTGAATTAATGATATGAGAGCAGTTTTTGAACTGTGTGATAGTAAATCTGAACTTGCTGTAATGATGGCTCAGAACCAGAGAACTGGTTCTTCGTGATTTTTAGGGTACCTCGTAACGGTGAAAACCCGAAGGCGATTGTTTCGACATTTGTGATTTTTGATTCCTTGTTCGGAAGATTCGATATTTCAGTATCTACCCAGATTATCATGAACACACAGTACTGTGCTGGCGACCTCGACGATGTTTTGGATCAGCTACAGGTGAGTGTTTGCTTCTTCTTGCGCGGAGGAGGTCCTCTCGGGTAAGAGTAGCGTATGACCGAGCACGCTGGCCCGTTTTCGTAAGCAGAGGTGATTTTTCCTCGTTTCGCACTATGGCTGACATCACCTGAAATGAAGAGAAACTACTCGAACAATGCTACCGCGACAACCGATCGAATAAAGCTAGTGCCTGCAGTTGTACATGCAGTCTACGATCAACAACGCCATCGACGTGACATATCTCCGCAAATCAAACAAGAAAGAGCAACAGCCGTTGTAAGTACCATCACCACGCTGAAGATCAGAAGGAAAACAAAGATATCAACAGCTTTGCGCCTATTGCAGAACAAGTGCACAAGCNGCAACAGCCGTTGTAAGTACCATCACCACGCTGAAGATCAGAAGGAAAACAAAGATATCAACAGCTTTGCGCCTATTGCAGAACAAGTGCACAAGCTCCCGGACAAGGACCATAAGATAGGAAGAAGAAACCTAGACAAAACATGCCAACCTCTCGCGCCGGCCTCTCGCGTAAGTGATTCGACATTTTGACTACCGGGCACTGTCCTCCGATCAGGCTCCTCGTCTAACCGCTTTGTTTGGTCGCAGGCTGCTCAATCGTCAATTGACAAGTTAGTTTCCAATCCTCAATTGTCAATTACGATTACTTACTGCTGTAAAACGTTGTGAATCTGAAATCTTTTGTGGAGAATAGTCTTCGGCGAGCATTCAAACCCCTTAGGATGAATCTGAAAGCACTTAGTCCATGGAAGCTAGGATGAAGAGTTCTGATCAAGTAGAAACGACAAGAACCTAGGGTGGTGGGACGGCAATTTCCCGCGCATTGAAGAATGAGCTTATGCGCAGCAGGAGTGGTCACGTCACCATCGGTCGAACAGCTTTCAAACGATGTTGATATGGAGACGAAGAGACGGATTCTGTGAGAGGACAGCTCAAAGACCCTTTTAATCTGATAGTTTTCTGGTCGCTCTTTATCGGTCTGAAAAAGGAAAAATCCTTCTCAAAACAAACGGATCCCGTAGTCCCCTCCAGTTCGGTCCCTTCCCCTATGACGAGATCTTCCTTCCCTTCCGTGCATGACCATATTACTGCAAAAGAAAGACTAGTCATCTACACTACCTGCATTACCTTTCGAGACCGCTTGTATGGCAGAAGAAATGGCCTATCGACCAATCCGAGTGTAGGGAGCAAGTCTTTTGCTTCGTAAGTAAGCAGAAGTCGAACAAGAAAACAGTAGGAACAGAGCAGATGCATCAAGAAGCCATCATCTTTGATAGGTTAGTCAGAAGCACATGTATGTTAGCCAATCGTCGCGCGATTATGAGTTCATTGTTTAGAAATGGCATCTGGGACGGCGCTTGACTCGATGGCCAGTTCGGTGCAAACAGGGACACCGACACGAAGCGACAATCGCCACTTTTGCTGATCATTTGTAAGCAAAAAGTTCAAAAAAATATTGCGTTCCCTGGTGACTAAAACCTCCTATTTCGTCACCTGTATTGCACATCGCCCGGCCATCTGATCATACCCACCTTTCTACTACTTCTGGACTGGAATACCCGCACAGCAAATTTCATTTTCAATCTAGTGCCGGGCAAGGTTATACACAAGCAGTACTAGTGCGAAGTAGCTTCCTGCGAGTGGACCATCTTAACCAGCTTCGGTCTTAGACCGCTACAGGCTTTCTACGGTGGAAATGATGAAGGTGACGATCCTGGCCTGCTTCGCTTTGGCGGACTCTTTGGCAGAACCGCTTCTGGAGTCTCCCGAGTACGATGCCACGCAGGAAGGTAGTGAAGAAGCTGTCCCAGACTCGATGAGTCGAATGCGCAGAGGAAACAGGGGGCATGATAAAGGAATAGCGGCAGCACCTGGCACACCATATAACGCCACGACCGCCTTTACAGCTGGTATTTATATTTTTAGACGCAGATGATACTTCAGCGTAATATAGCTCTAGTTTTACATCATCAGCATTTGCGGTAGAAAATCTTCGCAGAAGAAACGATCCATCTTATTCTCTTCAGTTGATAGGTTCTTTCTACTTTTAATTTTCACATCATTTTCAATCTTATCAGATACAGCGAATATCACGTATGCTGCACGACACGGAACTACCACGTCTTCATTGAAGTTCAGGAAGAGACGTGGCAACGCCTTTTCATTCCTGGAGGAAACCGATGCGCCTGAGAACGATGTTGCAGAGGAGCGCGATACTTTTCAACGTACAAATTTTATCCATGACTTTCATAGTTTACTGAGACTTACTTACATTGACCATCGACGTATCTGTCACCTTTGCAGACTTCACGCTGACCTAAAAGGTATATACTAGCTTCCAAGACAATTTTTTTCATTGACGTCATTTACATCTCAAGTCAGTTATCTTCGATGCCCATGCGTCAGGTTTTGGCAGCACAAGTCCCACGTTTGAAGCGTCGTTTTTAGACCTAAGGACGGCTCTATCTTTGCAGAGCGGAAATGATTATAGGCATAATAGCCCTGCGCAATCGGACATGGCGGAAAACCGTGCAGACATCTGCACGAAAATAGCTGGATATGGTATGTGTAGATCTCCTTTGTAAATTCTGGGATTGTGAAGACGAACAAGGATCTGAATTGTCCATCTTCGCGTGAACTATCATGATCGATGGCGTGCGTAGTTCAGCATTACACCACAATTTGCAGTTTGAGGTCATACAGATGAGGCCATACACGCATGCAGTACAACAACCTACTCATACCTACCCCCGACCACATCAACCACACATGACGCCCACCTTCCTACAATAACATAAGCAATCGTTCATGACTAGTACTTGTCGAAGGTATTTACGTTGCCAACAAACGTTTTATTTTGCTACGAATAATACTGATGCTGATACTTCAGACGCTACTCGGGCCCCGTATGCCCTATACGTGATCCTCCAGACAGGGCAGAATATCCCTCAAACGGCCTCTGAAGTCCGAAGAGCGTACATGGCCATGGCAAAGAGGTGCCACCCCGACAAAAACCTGGATCGAGATACCAAGGACGCTTTTCAAAAAATAGTCGCTGCGTTCGAAAAGCTCAAAACCGACGAGCGGGTTGCATTGTACAATAACGAAGAGTTCCAAAAGCAAGCTGAAAGAAACGAGCGCAAGGCAGCACGCATCGGAGGGGACAGCAGCAACCAGCCTAGTGGACCTCCAGAGCCATCGCAGGGGGCTTCTGCATCATCTTCAGGGGCATCAGGTTTGCTTCGCCGCCTCGGGGGCGCTCTTTATAAGTACCTGCTCAGTGGCGACTCACAACAATCGAAGCCACAATCGAAGCCACAATCGCAGCCACAACCGAAGCCACAATCGCAGCTACAACCGAAGCCGCAACCGCAGCAACAACCGCAGCGGCGCCCACTAAAGCAAGAAGCTGCAGAGCCTCCTACACCCGCTCAGGAACAGCGAATCACCATACAAGATCAACGCAGCTATTTGGGTACAGTCTACGACTACAACTAAATTTTTGGGTCTTCATGAAGCTGCTTCACTGTTTATCATCTGTTGAAATTTTTGTTGTATTTTTGAATCTGATTCCGAATCTATTCTCTCACGTTCTCGAATGCGCGACACTATATATGCTTCTTCCATTTTCAGGTTGGTATTCGAATGACCTTTCCATTGATGGCGATGATCCTTTCCAAGAAGCGGTCAAGACCGTGGCACAGACGTATAATTTGCTGTTGCCCGCCTCCCGCGTGGTAGGGAAGACGCATGGGGCGTGGGCGAACGAAATTCCATATGCGGAAAGATTGCCATTCGAGACGTGGGTTGACAAAGACCTGGAAAGGCTAAAAGCTGCAGCTCTAGAAGCACCTTTTACGGCTAGGCTTACACCATGTCATGTAGAATATTTGTTCCCTCATAGACCGTCCTCGGATAGTTTGAACAGTTAAAACCACTAAGCAGTCACCCGACTCGACATGGTGGTAGTGAAGCACGTCTAACACTCTTCGTTCTCGGTCATGGATTCCTTACCAGGAAGTGAGGACTCAGTACAGTGATGAGCAGCAGAGGAGGTCGGGCATGCCTGTACACAGATACTGGGGAATCGAGTTGCATCGACTCGATGGGAGCATGGAGTGGAAGATTCGGGGAGACGAGGGGGCCTTGAAAAATCTGTTCGGCCGAGTTTTTCCGGGGGAATCTTCGAGGTATAGTCCGATGGGGATGGTAGGGACAGCACATGACTTCGTTAGGCCAAAATTTCCAGTAGATGAATCCTATTTCCCTTTCGAAGACTTGAATGACCACGAACAGAACGTCGAGGCTGGTATCCATGAACTAGGAAGACTGTGTCAGAAGAAACAGCAACATCAACAATCGAAAATTTGTTACCTAGCCGTTCTGTATACATGGGCGATATTTCCTTTTCATTTTCCAGACAACCCAATGCAGGAAACGCGGTACCTGCGTCTCGTTCCCATGCTATCCCTTCTTTTGCCTGACAGCCACGATTTGAGAGTAGATACCACCTTGCGTCCACCCGTTCCAGACCTAGTGCGCTATATTCCACCCCGCGACCAGGAGCTGCAAAAGAATAAGAGGCAAAAGAAGTAGAACATTTTTATCACGAGCTGAGAAAATACGGACTCATTTTGCGACTTGGGTTCGACTGGAGATGGTAGCAATGCTGCTGTGCCTTCTTTGTGTTTCTTGTCTCTGAGTGGAAAAGGGGCTGTCTACGTGAGAGAAGCAATTTCAGTCACAGCCTTTGAATGTGCTGACCAAAGAGTAGGCGCCAATAGGATTCAGCTACTGAGTCGGGAGTTTGCTTATCAATACTGTGGTGATCACTACGAGCGCACTCAGCATTGCAATGCCACTGAAAGAAGAATGTGCTCGAAGTCTGAACAACTACTGAGGAGGAGAGAAGTCAGCGAGAGTGGTCCTTCAGCCTGTGGAAGGTTCTCAGCGATGAAGAAATGTTCTTAGCGTCCAAATCCAAATCAAGAGCTTTCGATTAAATAAGATACTCGTAAGTAGTAGTAGCCCATTAGGGATTCCTTGCAGCTCTGCGGTGACTGGTAGTGGGAGTTTTTGAAAATACGTGTGAAGAGGAGCCCGCCCACAGCATGGATCGCGCGGTGCTTAGAACGCGTTCTAATGTGAATTAATGATATGAGAGCAGTTTTTGAACTGTGCGATAGTAAATCTGAACTTGCTGTAATGATGGCTCAGAACCAGAGAACTGGTTCTTCGTGATTTTTAGGGTACCTCGTAACGGTGAAAACCCGAAGGCGATTGTTTCGACATTTGTGATTTTTGATTCCTTGTTCGGAAGATTCGATATTTCAGTATCTACCCAGATTATCATGAACACACAGTACTGTGCTGGCGACCTCGACGATGTTTTGGATCAGCTACAGGTGTGTGTTTGCTTCTTCTTGCGCGGAGGAGGTCCTCTCGGGTAAGAGTAGCGCATGACCGAGCACGCTGGCCCGTTGTCGTAAGCAGAGGTCATTTTTCCTCGTTTCGCACTATGGCTGACATCACCTGAAATGAAGAGAAACTGCTCGAACAATGCTACCGCCACAACCGATCGAGTAAAACTAGTGCCTCCAGTTCTACATGCAGTCTACGATCAACAACGCCATCGACGTGACATATCTCCGCAAATCAAACAAGAAAGAGCAACAGCCGTTGTAAGTACCATCACCACGCTGAAGATCAGAAGGAAAACAAAGATATCAACAGCTTTGCGCCTATTGCAGAACAAGTGCACAAGCCCCCGGACAAGGACCATAAGATAGGAAGAAGAAACCTAGAAGAAACATGCCAACCTCTCGCACCGGCCTCTCGCCTAAGTGATCCGACATCTTGACTACCGGGCACTGTCCTCCGATCAGGCTCCTCGTCTAACCGCTTTGTTTGGTCGCAGGCTGCTCAATCGTCAATTGACAAGTTAGCTTCCAATTGTCAATTTACAATTTCCCATTACGATTAGACTTGCTGCAGCTGCCTACTTCGTCGTGGCACTAGGCTTGCTCAATCGCCACAAGAAACAATGATGGAAATCGACAAGTTTGCAGTGGAAAAACGCTGTGTTGGTCTTCGGACGCTAGCGCTAGTCGGCGGACATTCTCCAATATTGTTTTTAAGGCAGCCATTAACGATCAGAAGTCACGATTGAGGGAGGGTTCTCACATTATAATATCCCTGTTTTTGCAGGGGCATTTCCATGACGTTAAGGTTTGTCAAAATGGCATCAAAAATGACATGTGACTGTTGTTATAATATTAGAAGCTAACCATAATCTGAAGTAGAGCAGTGGTAGGAAGACTAGATCAACAATCTCTAAGATTGATGTTAGTACTCTTGCCAGGGTATGCAATATATGCAGGGGATATTCGAGTACCCGATCTTTTGCTGTCGGACCTCTACTTATGGAGAAAATATATCTTCACCTCTACTGATGATCTGTATCTTCACAAAAATGTGAATCATGCAGCCGTCATATTGTTAGCCGCAAGTAGTACTGCAAGTACTACTTACGACTCACTAGTGTTTGTATCGATTACCATCTCAGTATTGCTTTCTTGTTTTCCTTAGGCAGTAGAGTCGTGAAGTTTCTAATCTAAGCCGCCGAAAAGGGAACGCTGCCCTACCAGAGCCTGTTTTTGATAGGGTGCTTAGATCTTTCGCGAACGTTTTTAGTTAGAGGCATGACCGAACTGCATTACAGCAGTAGAGACACGACAACACGACAATTAGTACTAGATAAAGTTTTATGCATGTATGCACACGCATGTAACGTAGTCCCGCCTGTTTCTGCCTACTTACTCAGGTCAACGTCAACATCAAGGTATTGCCTTTTCGCTGATATGGCTCTATGAAATCAATCAGGTATTGCCTTTTCGCTGATATGTCCCTGTGGTGTTTCTCACAGTACGCGCTCTATGTGTGCAGCGAAGAGCCAAGAGCGAAGGCTGCCTGCGGCGTCATTTTTGTTTTCTGTTATGAAACTATTTCTGCGTCTCTCTTCTTTGATGATGATGATGATGATGATGATTTTACCTGTACTTCATCGTTCTAATTGTGGGGTAGCTAGACGTATACCTCTCTTCAGAGGATCGGGGAATGACGATCTCGTGAGAGCGATTAGAAACATTAGTACAGCATGTGAATTTTGTTCCGTAAGTAAAGTTTTGTAGTCCTTCAACGGCTACGCTAATCCGCTTGAGAAGGCAGGTAAAACCGCGGACGGCGGACACCTTCCTACTCCTAAACCCTACTGTGGGGTCAGATCATCAATATAACCCGCACCCAATGACGTCCTCCTTCTCTTGACATCCGACTGCATACCTACATCATCAATAGTACCAACACTCACGACCAACCACATCTCCCCTGAACATATTCCATCCTCGCGCTCTTCTTCTAACTCCACATTTTCGGGATCAATTTTTGTCTGTACCTTCTCTTGGGCTTTACGTTCGAGGAAGAATGGCTCACAGACGGGTCAAAGAATGAGAGCGTCACGAGCCTCTTCATGCAGCAGCCATTATATCAGATGGTCTCATGGATTATATTATGAAAAGGAAGCTGGAAGTAGTAGACGTTATATCAGATGGTCTCATGGATTATATTATGACTAGGGAGTACTAGTCGGGCTTGTGAATAGAATCCAGAGTAATTTGTTCCACTGCCATTCTTAAGGTTTCACACCTTTCTTCAGTGCTGTTACTTCATGGTCTGATTTAGAAAAAGGAAGAACTATTTCATCAAGCAGAACTACATGCTATTACTCAGTGCTGTCTAATATTAATTACGGACCGCGACTCTTACTGGTGATTACTACATACCACTGCTCGTCCATCATCTAATCTTTCACATATCAGCCGCTACCATCCTCTTCGCCTCCATAGGCATGTGTGCTTTGCTAGCTGTGAATGTTCTGGAACCATTGGCGAGAGAGAGTGGCGGAAAGATGAACGAGTTAAGGCTTCCGGGAATCTCCTCCCATTTTGAAAAGCATCTTGGGGCACCTCTCTAGAGGGAAAAACAGACCCAAGATGACTGCTGCTGTCTTTCTTCACAATGTATTAATATTCCCGGATAGACCGTCTAAACGAACCAGCAGAAGACACCCGACGGAGATGGTTTTGGACTAGGAGTTGCATGTGGTCCTTGCCAGTGGTCGGGGTCGTGCGATTAGCGCACATCTTTCACGACAGGCACATGTGGGCGTATCCGCTGCTCATTTTATGCAAATTGAAATTGTTTGTAATTGTAGTTATGCAAATTTTTTGTTTGTTTTTCGCTGAAGCAACAACGCCGTGGTCGAGTTGTGGATGAAGCTCTAGTTTTTTGGACAAGCAGTTTCCTGAATAGAAACGAGCAGTTTCCTTACTAGAATAAAGGAAACGCTCCAAACTTGTACTCAGAGTCATTTCCGTTTTCAATCACTTTCATTCTTCTAATCCTTATGGAAATATGGATTTTATTTTCGGCGGGATGCGTCATGCTTTTCGGCTTTCTCCACACGATGATGATGTTGGATTTCCAGGAGCCTTTGGTAGGCTTTTTTATTAAACCTTTAATTATGTCACATAATGTGCTTTCAAACAAAATGTAGACAGACTCACTTACTTTAGGAAAACTCTGTGTTTTTATGCGCTTTCAAACAAAATGTAGACTTACTTACTTTAGGAGAACTTTTTTTTTGCCTACAGTTGTGAAGAATAAATCTCTCTCCAGATCGACCGGGAAATGTGCAGACTGCTGCTGGGGTGGTCGTCACTGAATAAAAACGAGTTAAAGAGAAGAGGCCGCTCGTCATCCGGAAGACGCAAAACAAAAGGAGAATAGCTTTCTTTCACACGACTTTTCCCACTTCATTTCCTACTTCACGGGAAATGAAAAGGAGTGAAATGAAATGGAGAACAGTTTTTACGAGTGGGAAATGAAAAGGAGTGAAATGGAATGGAGAACAGTTTTTACGAGTGGGGGAGGACCAGTCGGCCGCCCCTAGCAGCAGATTTTCTCCAAGAAAAGGACACTAAAGGTTAATATGGTTAGTTCCTTTGTTTCGCCTACACAGTTTCTGTTTCCTCATGACCCATAGAATTGAAGCAGTTCCTCTCAGAACCTGACATCAGAGTTTCTCTCTTCATACACCTAGTATATGAGTTTCTCAGCTTAACTCAGTTTCTTTTTCAATGTTACTTCACTCAGCTTCTTTTTCAATGTTACTTCACTCAGCTGTCCAAGGGGGAGAGAAGTGAGAAATTGAGATAGGATCCCGAACTTAAAAAAGAAAAAATCTGTACCATTCGGTCTACAATCTGATTTCAATGTTACTCACCACAGCGAGCTTCTTTTCCATATTGCATCACGAAGACAACAAATTTTTGCGAGAACCAAAATGCAATCTGCCACGCTATAGCAATAGAAGTCGATGACGATGTTGCATGCCCATCGATTCAATTTTTGTTAATGAAAATTTTTGAGAGCACTGCGACAATGCATCCTAGAGACGCGTCGAGAAGAAGGAGAAAACTACTCTGGGCAATCCAGGTGCTCTTCAACGCAGATAGATCGAGTGTAAGATCAGTCAATCGGCCTCGTCCATCAGATCAGATACGGGCAAATCAGATCGTGCTAGGTCAGACAAGAGATCGTGATGGATCATCCCAGAAAAAAGATACAGATCGGATGAGATGTAGATCAGATAAGATTGAAGTTCTAGTGTGGGTCTCGTCGTCGCTCCACCCTCTTGGTATGACTTATCCTATGCATGCTCATGGTGGTTGTAACAGCACCTGATGATAGGTACACTGATTCATTGAACTTTCCGTCCACTCACTCCACCCATCTCACTCGCCCATCCCTCTACCCATTTTCGTACCTGTCTCCTTACACGTCCGACATGAATCACCCCTACAATTCGTAGCATCGTCAATAGCAGAGAAAAAATTGCAACGAATAAAGAGGAAGCAGTAACCTACGCGTCATGAACACTGATTTGGCGCGTAATTTTGGAGTTGTGTTCTGGAAAAGTGAAATTAGCAGAAGAGCTTTAGAAACATGATCGTCAAAAGCTTGATCCGATCACTTTTTACTCTCTCCTGGTACCACCAGATAGATTGTTGCAAAGAAGACGTTTTTTCGCGCAATTCTTCTCCATGGATGTTCGGGAGTGGCAAAAAAGCTGTTGTCGATGATCAAGAATGATCCTTTGCGACGCATTGATGCTAAACTGATGTTAGATTGATCTGTGAGAAATAGCCTTTTCTCTTTATTTGATCTACGTGCCACCTCTACATGGTTAAGTATACACCTAGTACGCATCGATGAAGATGATGATGTCCCTTCCCATCTACTTGTCTCTCACGGTTTCTTCTACGGAGAGATGAAATGTGCGATGGTAGTGAGAGAAATGCTCATGTTGTGCGGAGTGCAGTGCGCTGCGCTAGAGAGAAGTTTTGCCTTATATGGAGAGAGAAGTGTTGTGCCGAGTGCAGTGCGCTATACTAGGGAGAAGAAGTGTTGTGCTATGGAGAGAAAGGAACTGTAACCAACAATTGATGTGCGACTTCTCTGAGGAGATATCTTCTACGAATACCAAGAATCTCCATGTAGTGCTGTCGTAGCAAAATTTCTCCAGATAGCAAATCTCCTCTATCAATAAGCAGAATGGCTTCGTTAGCGTTGTTTTCACGAGCAACTTCGTCGTCGACAGGAGGATGGGTCGAAATTTCGAGACCGATCACGAGTTGTGTCGCGACAACAGGTGGATCCAGTATCGGCACAAGGAGGAACAACATATCATCCTCTGTAGCTGGAGGTCTTCTAGGAGCACTAGGTCGTGCTGGTACTCCAGCCGAATCTTCCCGCTCAAAATATCATCCGAGCTACATCAGAGGTCTTAAAAATCGAGGCGCTCAAGCACGATTTTTCGGACATGCTGCTCAGGGCTCCCAGATTCCTGCAGGCGACTTACGCGACGGCGATATCTACCTACATAGTGGTGATCCGATGCTTCGAGAGGTGAAACATTGGAAAACGCATAATTAAGGCACCATCAGACATCTGAAATGGAACTTTGTAAGCATTGGAATGTTGAGAATCGTGTAGATATTAGAATGTGAGTCAAGAGTGTAGATATTAGAATGTGAGTCAAGAATTAGAATGTGAGTCAGCATTAAAATGTGAGTCAAGAATGATCGTGTAGATATTAGAATGTGAGTCAAGAATGATCGTGTAAGCATTAAAATGTGAGTCAAGAATGAAAGGCATGGGGTTCCATGCAAGGCATCTGTCACCCTGAACAAGAGAAGGAAGTCCTTCATCTGTAGAAGTAGGAGGAAGTCTTTTTAGTTATTTTTTTTCCCGACGGCTCACTCTAATGAAAAAAAGGTCGCGGCGTGGTGCATTTCCAAGTCGATTACGTGCACATCACGGGAGACAAGAAAGGGGTACTTCTAGCATCATCAAGTGGAAAAGAAAGAGTGTGTGTTACATCTAGAAATTAAATAACTGTGAGGATTTCTCAAATCATAATTTCTGTAACGTCACATATCTCCAGTTTTAGGTCAGAACCTCATGTCTACTCAAACTACATCTTCAGGGCTACGTCAAGTATTTCGAAGCAGACTCAGTATGGATCGTGAAGCTACAGAAAACGTCGTATTACTTCTCTTACATAGACAGGGAGAATCAATGCGTGGTATTGACGACACCGGACTATTTATGAAAGGGACGGTTCTTTCTCAAGTGGGTTGGTTCTCAATCGAGCGTAGTATGATTCAGGTCGTGAAGTTGAAGTTCATCATCCATCTGTAATTTTCTAAACAGACAAGCACAAGATCAGAATAAGAAGTACTTGCAAAAGGAGTGGCCCTCCTCTACTTATAAATCTTGCAACATGAACATCATGTTCATGGCATCATATTAAGTAGACGTGAACATCATGGCATCATATTGAGTAAATCTCTTCTAACCTTCGACGAGCACCAGATTCCGTTAAAGTTCGTACCGAGCAAGGCGGTGGAGGAGTGGTTAGAAACGTCGATAAAACCAGACGAAAAGCTTACCGTTCATCGAGACGAACTTGGCAACATTGTGAGGCTGCAATTTCCGACTACCTGTCTCAAATGGCTCAAGGAGAGGAGGAAATAGTGAGAAGTTGTGGTCTAAAAATGATCACGATGTTTTTAGTCTTCGTACAAAATAGGCATAAAAAGCTTGATCCGATCACAATTTTTGGGAACGAGACCGATGGAGCAAGTTGATTATCTTGGTTCAGCTTTTCCTTTTGCTTCACAGTGCAGAACAACGCAACTGCATTTGAAGGACTAAGTTATGATTCTTTCTCTGATCAATATCACAGTAGGAAGTCGACGGAGGGTTCCCCTTTCCTACGAAGATTCTTGCACCTTGCAAATGGAGTTGTTCTTGTGTGTTCGCAGAAGAAAAAGTCGCTAACGCCGTTCGGGTCCCTCAACCTCAGTCTTTAAAACAAGACGCTCAAAAATATAGTGGCTACCCTCTTTTGTCTAGAGCAAACAATCTGCTAATCGGGTCTCGAATATCGTCCAACAAGCCCATTATAGCATCTACAGCTATAAGACGATCTGTTGTGGGGAAAAAATCTGCAGTCGGTCATCGTGTTTGACACTCTTGAAATCGGTCGTAGTCTCCTCGTTTCGCTCAAAGTCCTAGTACCCACCTCCTGATGCACTGGTGAACATCCCCTCTACACTCGTACTCTCGCCCTCGGATAATAAGGGAGAGAGACTCTTTCTACCCCGGTTGAAACAGAACAATGCAACGCGGTTTAGTTAGCCAGACCCCTTCTATAGACTTCAGACGCATTAGCATTTCGCTTCTTGTTTGGCACAACTGATTCTTTCCCAACACATGTTCGTTGATAGATTGACACTGTCTACTACTACTTTTTGTAAACTAGATTTGTTACAGCGTCCTTGCCATTCAAAAATGCTCGACGCGATCGGCAGAGGAAGTAAACCTCCGGTTTGCGCCAAGAAGAGTCATCCTTTGGCCTCTTTCGCCCAGAAATCGCACTTTCAGATTGGTGTGGAGGATGACCAGACAGCGAGACAGAGGGGCGCAACCCATCGGAACTTCCCCGATCCCGAAGTCGTCTACTGTCGATACATACCGCCTAATAAGAACAGTTATGACCTGCATTTGATTTTTTTGTGGGGGATGTGGATTATCTGAGAAGAAGTGTTGGTCGCTGTGAGCCAGCAGATTCCTTCGTATATCATGCACCTTTTAGTATCACGATTTCTAACAAGTAGCACCACAATTTATTTCCTGCCAATGTCTACTTTCCCCCTAGTAGAAGTATCTACCCCCACTCCGCTTTTCCCTCCCTTTCATCGCTCGAGTATTGTGAACCTTACGCAGGGTGAACAGGAAGCTTGGCGGAGCGAACAGAACGCGAGATTTGTAAACAATGGACCACAAAAAAGGAGAGACCCTTGTCCTGGTGCCGAGAGCCAACTGCATCTGGGTGACGACCCACCAGAACAGGAAACACAGTATGCGTTCACGCACAAGCCAGGACAAGAAAAAAAAGCGATGCCACCGAACACTTGCAAATGGCCACGTACTTACTTCTCGTCTGATGGAACAGAATAGATGTACAAGCACATGATCTAAAATGTAAAAACTTTTACTTTTGATATGAGGCCCTAGACCTCTGCTGGTTGTACTACAGGTCTCTCCTAGACTCATGCTGTTTGTACTACTGGTAGCAGTTCTGAATGAACCCACGATTGCTGATTCACAACCCAAATTCATCAACCACACCCACTCTCTTCTCGTCAGACACAAGTGTGACCCTTCCACCTCTGCCCCTATCCTCTCTCCAAACAGGTTGGCCCGGCAACAATGTGCTCACGGGTGAAGTGAATAAGGAACCTGATATTCGATTTCGGCCGAATCAGCAGAAGCAGTCGCAGGACAAATCCTATATCGAGCATGACAATACCAGGATACGAAATCCAACCACAGGAGAATACAATTATGGGATTACAACTTGGGTGTACAACTGGAAATGCAGACTGATCAATCAATCAAATCCGATTTTCTCATCCTTGGTTGTACTGTTGTAAGAGTTGCAAGTTGGGCTTTTTTCCTTAGTTGGAGTAGAGGGACGTGGTTGAAGCGCAGTGGCTTGGTTGAAGTAGTACTGATGAGGATTTAACAATATAGTGGTAGGCAATCAGCTTGGGTGTACAACTGTTGTAAGAGTCGGAACTTGGAATTGAAGACTCCATTGTAAATAGATGGACGTCCTCTATGTAAAACTAAGTTGGTTGTAGAGAAAGCAAAGTCTTCTAGTAGTGGAGGTTGTAGTCTGAGAACGTATTAGTTTTGATTATAGACTATAATGTTCTCTTCTTCCCTACCTTTCCACCTTCCTCCTCTAACATCCCGACCGAAAAGTGCATAACGGGCTGACGAGTTATCAAATGGTCATGCAGGAGAACAAGACCGCGCCACCTCTGCTAAGTGTAGGTGCAGTCCGTCACCGCACTACGATGGACCGTTACGAGTTCAAGGGCAGTGGGAGCAAAGCCGGCTTTGATGTGAGATGATATTGTTTTGGATGTGAGGATGGATTTTTGTCATCAATAGATGGATTTTGGCTGGTATTACTGTTGCTGGGGGAGAAGATGGTGACAGAGGGTAGAACACAAGAAGTCCTGCACACGGGATAGGCAATATATTCAAGTGCAGAGCTATAGGCAACTCTTGGGAGTTCGAAAATTTGACACACATACTTGCTACGCACAAATTTAGGGACGCTCTTCTTTTCATCTATTGCAACATGCGTACGGATCATGAACTCCTGAAACTTGACTTTAGATTTGCCTACCGAACAAGCTTCTTATTACCATTGCCGCCGTGTGTGTCATTGACACTTCATTCTGAATCAGGCGTTTGATGTCGAAGACCAGAAAAGCTTACGGTGTGTATTGTTTTGACCAGAAAGACCGAAGGTTCGGCAGAGGAGCGAGGGTGCTAAGAGTGAGCTTTGCTGGTCGAAAATTTGATATTCATCGTAGGAAAATTAGGCACTCTGAAAAATCGTTGTTGTAACATAAAAAACGGTCACTCGATGAAGTAGTCCCTCTGGAAAAACCCTGTAATACTCAATGAAATCGCAGTTGAAGCCCGGTGTGGAGGAACCCTCGTGAAATGGTTTGCTGTTTATCGACTCATAAAAAATGGAAAAACTGTTCTCAAAAAAGAAAAGCAACCAGAAAACTTTGATTCTCAAAAACTGCCACCAATCTGCTGCAATTGTAGCTTTACTAGCGATAAAAAACGTATGGTGAAAAGGTTCATGGCCCCACCTGGCTAAGTGCCAGGAGTGGCGGGATTCGGACGACCGGTACTAGCGGACAACGACGGACGGTGAGCGGGTTCGCGCTCCTGTAACGTGCGTGAAACGGGGGATGCGAGTGTAAGAAGACGCGGAGTTTTTTCGAGGAAAAAGCAGGGCATCGGCAAGCGACTGGACGAGTTTTTTTTCCGTGACTCATCTCCTCTGCAGGGCCAGCCGTGACTTCTAGAAACGGACAACGGCGGAAAGATTCAGACTGCAACAGCCCCAAGTGCTTCTCGAGGAGGAGGAGAAGTAAGTAAACGACGGACCGCATTAGCAGAAACACAAGCACAAGTACTAGTAAACACCGAACCCCTCCGCCTCCTCCACTTGTCAAGAATCTCAATATACCGAGAAGCAAAAAGACCTTGACCAGAACCTCAGAAGGCCGACCTTGAAACCTCTCAGAAGAGGGAACATCACAAGATGACGGAAGTTTTGTGGGATTGGTGCCGGGATTATGCCGGTGTTAATGTGGAGAGTGAGCGGGAGTTCGCCAACGGCTACAAAATCGCCGAACTCTTGGCTACCCACAATCAACAGCTAGAGTTTCCAGCCAAATTTCGGGATACGGATTTGATCGATGACCAAATCAATAACTTTGCGGAGTTACAACCTAGCTTGAAAAACTTAGGGATAAAGTTTTTGCCCAGTGATGCGGAAGCGATCATGGGGAATAAGTACTGGATTTTGTCTGGAAATTTGTACAACATCATAAGGACAAGAAATAGTATAAGCGATCATAATCTTTCGGTTTTCATCCGACGACCTTGAAATTATCATCCTTCACTCATGTTTCATCTATCCATTACGATTACTCTCTCCTGCACCTTCGTTGCTGTTCAACCCAACAATAGGCGGGGAGCAGCTTTGCGGCTGCTATACCAGATCAAGATGGTGATTGATCGGATAGCAATGACCCAGAGACCTAGTTTGCCGGCTTCGCAGCATAGTGACAACCTCATTATCCGAGATCCAAAGCTTTTGGCACGTAGTTTTCGTCTTCCGAAACCATCCGCTGATGCTGAGGAAAGCAGGTACTTTGTCGAGAAAATTTGAATTGTAGTCTGAAAGGTAGTCTTACATGGACCAGAAACCGTCATGAACCTAGTAGACAGGATTATATTATCTTCGTACATCTTAGTACTTGTACAACTTGTTCTTGTTCATGTACCTTAATATTCCAGAATTTGAGCTTTTTCCATTCCCACACACCATCCACCGGTACTAGATTCTTCGTCAACCGCCTACGCGCACAGTGCGCTCACGCGACTTTGCAGAGAAGGGAAGCGAGGTATAACAAATTTGAGAGGGAGAAGCTGTCACAGCAAATGCTGGCGCAGGAGATGGATAAGGTTGACGCAGAGAAGGCTCTAGAAGATCGCGAGACACATAGAAAAGTCTGCCTCGACATGATGAAGCGGAATAAGACTTTCTTAGACCAGTGGAACGAACAGGGGGTGATGGTATTAGAACACTATCTAAGACGGACGATATAGTATTTCTATTTGATGTTAGAAGACGAGGACAGACGTTTCATTCATAAAATTCTCAAAATTAGTATTGGGCCCTTCTCCTGAAGTGAAGTCCGGTATCAAATAGTCCCGTCGACAGTTTCGGAATACTGATCTGGGCAATTCACCATGACCAAGGGGGGCTTTCTTGCGTTCTTAGGCTGACTACTCTGTATGTGATGTAAGTGGGGGTAACGATAACTCTGGTTGTAGCACCTCCGCAACGACTAAATATTTTACTCTTGAATCTTTTCTTTAAAAATGCATTCTCCATAGGACTGGAAGACGAATCTTGCGAGACAACGACAAAGAGAAAACCTAGAAAAGAGTTACCGAACGCGACTCGTTCAACGACAGAGGAAGAACGTACGTGGCTTGAAGGACGCGAAGACACTCGAGGTGACGCAAGTTATGCTGGTTGTGCGATATCTCAATCAGAAAAAAACAAGCCTCGTGGCTTCACTAATTTAAATAAAACAATGTTCAATAGAATCTAAACCGATCAAGTGCCACTTCTGCTCTTCTTCCTCCTCTCTTCTAACCAACGAATCGACGATTTCGAGCGAAATCTTCGCAAGTATACGTCAGGAGAGAAGGCAGAGGATGTAGATGCTGACTTAGCCGCAACATTGCAGCAGTCGGCTAATGCAGACCAGTATTTCTCGGAGGAAGAGGACGACGACACGACAGCAGGTGGAGACGGTCTTGTAAGGCGAACTACACGTGCAGAAACTGTGAAAGACCTCTTTGCTGCGTTAATTATGAGTTGGTGAAGTTGTGATGTACTATTGGTGACTTGTTGTAGATGTTACTATGCATCCAGGAAAGAATGAGTATCTTCGGATGTCCGCATCTTACCACGACTAAGACTAGAAGACACTTCAGTTTGAGGTTGCTTCTTGTTTCTCAATATTTCATGCTTTCTCCACTTGCCTTCTCATTCTCTAATTTCCATTCCAAAGTGCCTGGCCCCGAGATTCTCCTCAAAGACGCAGAGGAGTTCCTTGGGAAGATCAAAGACAGCAAAATAGCGGGAAACTTGGCACGGAAGGAGAGGGAACAAAGGCGTAGGAGGTTTCTGGTAGATCTGGCGCAAGAGCATGAGGGGGTAGCGGAACAGTACCTGCGAGAACACCTGATGCAGCAGCTAACGAAACCTTGTGTGGAGGAGGAAAGGATTAACTATTTTTATGATAGGGAGACAGCCATTTTTGCTGGTTCGTTTTTTTCACGAGGGTCTGACGGTCTTTCTCTTCAATCCAGAAGTTTCTCTTCTCTTTTTAGAAATCCCGACTTCTTCTGCTGTACTCTCTTACTGATTTTCCTTCTTCTAATCTCTAGTCTGGAAGACCTCCCAGTACGAGAGCGTCATGCGCGAGTCCCGCAGGCAACGCATGAAGGACTACGACGCTCAGAGAAAGCTAGACACTCAGGTCGAGAAGAGGAGAGACCTCGAGTTGCGCGACTTGCAGATCGACGAGTTGTTTGGCACAACCCAAGTGAGCGACGCCAAGGCCTATCGCGCACTAGAGCGCGGTCGTGTAGCGAGGCGGCGGGCCTACCATGTTTCTCTTGTCGAAAACATTGTCACAGATGCCATGGTAGAGCTCATGAACTTGGCAGATGCGCAACAGGAATTGACGGACAAGGGCAGAGTAGATGGGCGAGTGTGGAAGAGTTGGATGGACTCATTTATTGCCGGGGAACCACTGGAGGAATTGTATGCAGGTAATATAGATTTTTCTCGCCTCCTTTACACTTTTTGAGTTATCTTCTTTACACTTTTTGTGTAGGATGAAGGGCTAAATGTGCGTTTACACTTTTTGAGTGTGTTGTGAAGAATGCTGTATTTATCCCTAAAACTACAGGCGACGCATCCATTTCGGATAAGAGGCCCTACCAGATCGGCCCTTACGACGACAGCCATAAGCTCGACTTTGAAAGTGCCGATTTGCTTGAAGGTGCTTTCAAGTCCTATCTTTTGTGCACTGACCAATGGCAGGTCTCAAAGGACACACTGGCTCTGGTTGACGCTCCAGCTGGCGAGGAAGAGGGGCCATCAGAGGAAGCATGGAAAGCAGTCATGTCCGCTGAAGAATTGGTATGGCTCGAGATGGAATAGTACTAAACTACAGCTTATAGATGATCTTATTTCTTTAGACTTCCAAATCGGGAGATCCCTCTCCTCGCGATCCCTCTCGCTCTTCTAACCTACGAAGCCCTCCCCGAAGAATACAAGAGCAAGTTGAGCGCAGCACCAGAAGTGACACGTGGCCAACACACGAATTTTAGGATGGCAGCTGTGGTAAATGGCATAGTGTCCCAACTCTACCCAGAACCACAACAAATAGTCCCACCCGCCGACCCTCTGCCGAGTGTGCCTCTACGTTTGGTCTTGGCCGGCAAACCGATGTGCGGGAAGAAGACATTAGCAAGGAAATTGGCGGATGAGTTTGGATTGGTACAGTTTTTCAATCTCGTTTTTTGACCACGCGTGTTGGGAAAACGCTTTTGGTTTTCTCATTCATTGTTCATCCTTTCTAGTCGAGAGACCAATATCATTTCATGTTCTTTGTTAGACCTTGCTCTTCGACGAGCACCAAACCACCACATAAAAACAGGAAGTGCTCGATCCAACTTCGGTGTTGAAGCAGGCCATGAATTTGGCAGGCAGACCGCAAGAGGGGACTTTAGATGCTCTGCATGCAAACGCACATGTGCCACCTGATATCAGTGGAGATCCGTATCTTCTGGCACTGAAAGACTGCGGTGCTAGGGCAGTTGCAATTGTGGATGAAGGTAGTTTTTTTGGGGATAACTTTTGATCATTTAACATTCTGGAGTGAGTGCTTTCATTAAGACGTCTGTGAGTGTTGCTTTGTAGTAGAAAGGAACACCAAGTAGCAGGAATACCAAGCTTTAATATCCCAATCTTTTGTACTGACACAACCCCATCCATCCATCCATCCATCCATCCACTGACACTACCAAGCTTTATCCCATCCATCCTTCCATAACCTCCAGGTGAAGTCGTCCCACCAGAGCTTTACGTGGAGATGATTATTTGCAAGCTCAAATCCCTTGAGAAATCGATGACGACAGGCTGGTGTCTCTGCGAATTCCCTATCACCTTACACGAGATGCGATTATTTGAAAAAGCTCTGTGTGGGTATTCATTGAGGATGTTTTCTAGTCGTCAGCCTTGTACTTGTCTGTATGCTTTTCTTGGTGTTCCTCCAGCACTTGGTCACGTCTACCAAATTTGTGTTGATGCTCATTTCTCTGCCTTTTTCTATTGCCCAACACGATAAAAGATGCAATCTTTCTCCTTCTCAGATACATCGAGCCCTCACAGCGTGAGATTCCTGACGCGGTGCAGAGGAAGAAGGTAGTAGAGTACCTAATCCCAGAAGCTGAGCGGCCTCCGGAACCCTATGTGCCGGAAGTCGGTGGATATGATCTCTACGTCTTGCTCGAGGCATCCTGTGAAGCCGTAGTGTTGCGATCGGCTGGTCGCAGAGTGGACTTGACCACGACGACTGTTTACAACGTATTGGAGGAACATCAATTTTTTTTTTGCGTGGATTTGACCAAGGAACCGATATATTTTTAGATGTCAATTTGGTGTCGAAAACCACTACTCTTCATTACACTTTTTGGTACAAAATCCATCAGGATCCCTCTTGTAGGAGATGTTATTTCTCCCCTCCAATAGGAAGTAGTCGCAAATTCAAACTCAGATCGCCGAAGACCAGCAGAAGAAACCTCAGGACGTAAAATACGAGAATCTTAGGGCGCTGGATATGCGGGAGAAGGCACAAGGCACATTCTGCGAGAGAATGCACTTCTTCGATGTGCATCAGGTACTTTCACGACGAATCGACGTAGATGAAGATGTCGTTTAAATACATCGTTGTCAAGTAAATTACAATGAATTCTGCTCCACCTCGGGCAACCTCCAGAAAATTATGCTCCTCCAGATCCAAACCTTGAAATTTCTGGAGCTTTTCGCGCCTATGCCGGATGTTCCTCGTGTGCTCTTGGTGTCGGAGGATGCTCCAGAACATGTGTTTGAGGTAGTAAGGTCAAAAGTCCAGGAACTATTAAAGTTCAGACGGAAGGCGGACGAGGCAGTGCGCGAAGCAACGCCGCCAACTCAGACGGCGGAAGTGGCAGAGCCAGTGTTATGGATTGTACTTCTCAGGAAACAGAAAGCATTAGAGTGAGTCAAGTTGCAACTTGGGAGGTGCTTACACCAATAGTTTCGTCTGCACCGACTAGCTCTGTAGACCTAGATCGTAGCTTCTAATCACAGCACCAGTCGCTGCCGCGGATGAGGCCAATGCCGACGGTACCGACGAAGCTGCCCCTGCAGAAGCTGTTGCAGCACCCTTTGAGCCGTATACTCTTGACATGCTCAAAGACCTCTGCGCCAAGCTTGAATCCAGATACCTGGAATTACTCCACTCCCAGTGGCTCGAGATCCAGGACTCCTACGTGGAGACCAGCAAGCTCACTCTGCAGCGTTACGAGCAGCACTTACGGGAGACCTCAGCAGGACTCAGCTACTTGCGGGAGAAGTTTATAACCTTCTTGGAAAGAAAAAAGCCCGAGAAACAGACGTTGTTGAACGAGTACGTGCTGGATTTCAACACCTGGAACACGGAATATCCGCACATGATTTTGGATCCAGAGCCAAAGGCGGAATTCCATTTGAGGTACTAATGTAAGGTTCCACGTCTATCATCTGGTGTGAGTCATTCTGTCTAACAATTACTACTCCCTCCTCACTGGAGTTTGTTATTACAAACAAGCACACTGTAGTCTAATTTATGGAGAATGTTGTCCATCAAGGTGATGCAACATTCACATGGGAATGAGCTTTTATTTAATTTTTTATTGATCATTCCTTTCGCCGTATTGTATCTTCATTATCCTCTTATGCGTCGTCTCAGGTTACAGGCAATGCGACAGCAGTTTGCTGACTTCAGGGATGCCAAGAGGGAAGAGACGGAGACCTTCATTGGTGACATTCGGGCAAGTCTGTTCATTGAAGGCCTCATCAACGTGGTTTGCGTGCTGGCGCAGCAATTCGTATTTTCTCATGCTGTTTGCATTTGGTCAGTGACTACTTGCGGAGTTGTAATGAAATCCTACCTGTAGTTCTTGAGGTTTCTCTTTCTGCCTATCGTCATTATCCAATAACTAATCGACCTTTATTCCAACCACTAGGTGTCCGTCGAGACGGAGCGGTATCATCGAACAAGCCAATTGCTTACCGACTTCTATGCCCTAGCAGCAGGGAAGAACATCCCAGAGAGTCGTCCTATGCCGGAGAAGATTCAAATTATCACGCCAGAAACTGCCGCAGAGTTTTCAGCTCGTGTCATGGTGGACACACCGGCATCCGGGGCTGAGGGGTCAGCCGCCGAGGCAGAGCCAACGAAGGTGGAGACTTTTCCGTTCGTGGAACAGCTTAGGACGTACGCCGACAGCGTAGCGTGGCCAATAGTAGAGACGCCTGAAGGGGAGGAAGGAGCCTCACTGAATCCAGGAGCAGTCGACCTGGCGCAAGCACTTCTGTCAGAAAGAGTGCTGTTTTTGTTATGGATTGAAGAGATGAAGAAGTAGTAAGTAGTGGATATAGTACCTGAATCGAAGAATGGGTAGTAGAATAGCGTCCAACTGACTCTGTAGCCGTTTGTCGTACTTCTGTCCTCTAATCTCTTCCCGCGTAACCCAAGTGCAACAGTGGAGCTCAAGAAGGTGTAAAGAGATATCAGCGTTGGAGGCTGAGTTGCATCAAGGTTTTCGAGATCAGCTGACTGCTCGTGAGTTCAAGGAAGGCGAAGTCGAGGTGGTGCTGCTGCAGAAACTGCATAAAGCAGTTGAAGCACACAAACCGATCGAGTACAGGCTTATAGCTGACACGACACAGATCACGGAAGTGCAGAATGAACGGGTACTGCCAGAACCAGAAAAGGTCGTGGTGCCGAAGAAAGTCTCAGGGGTAAGAGCAGAGTGGGACGCAGAGCAGCTGGCGGAGGAAGTTGATGCGTTCTTCCCGAAATTCTAAAAACACTCATACTACCCCCTTAAATTCTGATGCTGGATTCTTTATAACGGCGTAGTTGTAAAGTGCTAGTGATGTTGTTTTTCTTCTCTCTGGAATCTATCAATGGATCTGATTCAATGTATCTGTCAGGTAGTGTGTTAGGAGGTATTTTTGCGTTGGGAAGGACAATTAAAGTCATCGTGTTTGGTCGCTTCTCCACAAAATTATATCCTCTAACCTGACCTCCAGGAGCATGCAGATTGATATTCCAGTAGCTATAGTTTTTTACCAAAAAACCTCTAACCAAATCCTCTTTTTCTTATCAATAGTCGTTCCTGCTGGTTTGCTTATTCGCTGATAACAAAATTGTCTCGATTTTTGCTCTTTCATTCGTTATAGTTTGTAGAATAGTTAGACATGAAGAAGCCCCCAGAGGCACCCTAATATGGGGTGTTTGTAGCTTGGCTTCATGCTTTTTTTGTTGAGCTATATCCCCTGATCGAATAGCCCTTCGACAGGATCATATAAGGCCAACAAATCTAATGATGGTTTTTACAGTATCTATTCAATCTAGAAGTCCCATCAAAGTTTTCTAGTGTTAGACATGCAGTCACATGCAAGTGTTAGATACCTATGAATACCTACCGTGAAGATGTTGGTTTTCTTACAATGTTGATGTTCGTTTTTGCTTTGAAGATTTCTGTGAAAACATTGCATAGTCTGTATGGATGGTGAAAAAATGCCAGATGAGAAATGTTGTAAAGATTAGACGTCTCGGATTCTTTTCTTGGTACTAGCTACCTGTCCTCAGACTGGGTGGGTCTTCCTCAGTTGGAGGTGACTCACGACACAGTCTTGTGGCGTTCGAAGATTCGATCATCGTGCTGTGTCAATTCGAAGAAATATCGGGATTTTTTTTTAGAATGAGTGTGTCTTTTTTTTCGGTTGAGGAGTCAGTCGAGTGTCGTCTCTTGTGCAAAAACAAAAATTGTCAAAATACGAAGGATGATCGGCACGAGATATGGTCGAGAGAAAAAAGAAAGCTGTGAGCTGAATTTTTTTTGACTTTCAAAAACGGAATCTAAGGTGAGAGAAAAACCTTCTTTTTTTTTGAATCGAAGATAACATCACCAAAACAACTCAAGAAAATAGTATTTTTTTCGCGCCGAAGTGGAAGGAATCTGTCAAAAAAGGAAACTATGAGTCCTATCCAAAGTATTTGATATCCAAAGTAGCTTACGACAGTTTAAACTTAAAGAACTTGACTTTTACGAAGACAGGAACGAAGTGGTACCTTCCAGATAACGATTTTGATCGACATCAGCATACCAGCTGTCTATAATAGAACTTGATTTATCACTCTCACTCGTTCGGAACTAAATGGTCATGATCTTTCAAATTTATTTACGGCATCGGACGTTCTCTTTTCAGGAGCCAATTCTGGTAAAAGTGTAAATCATCAGTCTTTACAAGACTTTCAAATTCAGTCACCTGTATTCATTATATCAAGAACTGTAATACTGTTGGACCATTCGAACACAGACTGCTAAGTCGCGTCTAGTTTCTCGGTGAGAAACACTTGAGAGCGATACAGTTTGCACAATTTGCACTCACAGCCTGAGACTAATGATCTCTGGCTGCTTTGATCCCTGTGGGTGTTCATTGGGGTTACAAGGAGGAAGTCTCAGCGTCATCATTGGGATATCATGTTGCATGGGGAAGCTTTCATATGCTTCATATGGAGACGCTTATGCTATCACCATTGATTCATACGATCATCATGCGCTGGCATTCGTCATTGATCAGAATTGGCAAGACGTTATGGACCTGGCTACAGTTGTGAAACATTCATCATTCCTTCTATCTGAATACGTTGAAGGTCCTTCGCCTGTTGATCATTGATTTTGGAACCATATGCGTTTAGGTCTGTAGGTTATCCTTGAGATCTTTCCTGTGTTGCTTTGTCCTTGACTGTGTTGAGGGCTTGAGCCACAAACGAGAGAGAGAGGAGAAGCCAGAGACACCCGCGCGACGGTAAACCCGTCGGGCGTTGGATAGTGCTCCGGTAACCTCTTGCAACAACAACGAGAGAGGAGAAGCCAGAGACACCCGCGCGACGGTAAACCCGTCGGGCGTTTGGATGGTGCTCCGGTAACCTTTTGCCTGGCGATCTTGGTCATTTTGATGATCTTCATCCTTGTGATCTTTGTGATTCTTCTAGGATTACGATCTTGACCAACGCCCCTCCTCAATCGTTGCGTGTCGAAGTCCCTAGTCTTCTGGACGACCACGGAAGTCATATCTCCTAACTAGTCTTCTAATGGCTACGGTATACTCGGCTAGAAGCCAAAATAAACCGAATATACTACACTATAGTAAGCTAAATCATCCCCATCCGTTTCATCGTCTGAGGAATCACAATCATCATACTCAACTTTATGTATCGGATTATCTATATGGTGAAGTAGTAGTCTACGTTGAGACGAACTACATTCTAGCTTAGTTAAGCCATCAGCCTTCATTAAGTTAGTTGGGCAGAAAACTATCTTACTGGCCGCATCACGCACACGCAAGTAGCGAAGTGCATAATGGCGACTCTTCGGGCGTGTGTCAGTTGCTTTAGCTGTTGTGATCGCGGATTGGTTGTCGATCCAGAGCGCAGCATTGTCTAAAGAGGGAGACAAGCCGTTCTGTGTGTGTACCAACTGAGTTGGTAGAGGCCTATGGAAGTCTGTAAAGTCATGCAGTTCACTAAGCACAATTGTGCCAGAAGCTGCAATATATTCACTTTCAGCCGTAGAATAGGCGCGGACAGTTTGTCGGTTACTTCTCCAAGCGATTGGGACGCCTTTGAAATACATGATCGATCCACTTGTGCTTCTCATAGTCTTTACGCAGTTGGCGAAACCTGCATCACTAAAGATATTCACCTCTGGCATATCTCTGCCTTCAGGTAGTAACTTTGAATATATTCTGCTGAATTCTTCTTCTTGTTCTGGTGAGTATTCCAGTCCTTGGTCTCTCGTTGTCACCAGATACTTTAGCACTTTTCTGGCTGCTTTACCCTCCCATTCTTGTTGACGCGGGTTTGCTGACATGTCTAGCCAATGCTGCCACCGGTGCAGAAATGTCCGGGCGCGCGGTTACAGCTACCCATAGCAAGGCACCAACTACCTCACGAAAGGGATACCCTTCGACTATCTTGATCCCCTCCTCAAGAAAAGCCGACTCGTCAAAATTGGGCGAGTAAACCGGTTTTCCGACATCAGTTTCGAACTTCTTTGCGATTTTATCAGTGTACTCCTCCATATTGGGCCGAAATGTTCGAGCTTCACGGCAGTAGTACACGATGGCACCTAAGAAGTCGAACCTGAGCCACGTTTGACCCCAAGGGGTTGGAACGGACTCCACATCAATCGCACGGCCAGGGGCACGCGAGAAGATGAGTTCTAGTTCGGTCTTGAGCTCATCAAGATCAGGACCCGTTGCAAGATTGTCATCAGCATAGACTGACATCTTGAGGAACTTCCCTGGTACCTTCGCGCTCGGCTTTCTCCATAAGCCTGGCGCAGAATCACACGGCTCCCAGCCAATACTGGCTAGTATGTCGTGATATTTCTTGAACCATGCTCGTGGTGCGTCCTTCAAGCCGTATAAAGCCTTCTTGAGCTTCACGATCTCGCGTCCATGCTTCTCTGCCCAGATGGGTGGGAGACGACAGAAGACATCGCGATCGAGTTCAGCATTGAGGAACGCAGAATCTAAATCGAACGGGATCACGTAGTCCTGTTCTGACGCAGCAGAAGTCAGGAGCAGCCTATTAGCGGCGTGTGAAACTACGGGAGCAAAGGCGTGTAGCTCTCCTGAACGATCTAGATTACCGAGGACACAAGCGCGAGCCTTGTACCTTCCACATCTTTTAATAGTTAGAATTATGGCAATCGGTAGAGCCTGTCGCGCGGTCGCAGGCTCCTCGTCAGAAGCTTCTTTCCACGTTTCAAAGGCTAGTAGTCTCGCGTGCTCTTTGTCAATGACCTCCCGCCACTTGTCGGCATCAGGAGACTTGAGCGCTTGAGCAACGGACAAAATCACATATGACTCGACGAATTCCTCACCTTCGTCTAATTCACACATGCCACCTACTGCACTAGCGAACAGCGCCACACTCTTCCTCAGTTCTTCTACCTGTTTCTTTGTTCTTCGAACCCTGCTGCCTGCTTTGTCCTTCGCTCCTTTTGGTCGGCCACGCTTCTTGGCGTGTGTATGGCGTTCGCCTGCCACAACACGTGCTGGAGAAGGCGCTTTCGACTTAGACGGACTTAGCGGAGCAGATGCCTCGCGATCCTTCGCTTCAGCATTCCCCTCCTCAAGTGAAACATCTTTAGGAGAGTCAGCTGCGTTGGATTCCTCTATTTTATCCAGTGTCTCAATAAATAATTCGTCGGAAATCGCGGTCGGTCCACCTGGAATGTGCTCCGTGCGAGAGAACCCCGATTGATGATCCAGCCTTTGCACTGACTGTCCAAGCAAGGGGGAGCCCAGCGACGACGCGCCACTCTGCAGATTTTCCAGCTCGTCATACTCAATGTGGATGCCCTTCTGGTCTGGCAAAAGCCAATCAATATTCTTTATTAGGTAATCCTCTCTGAACTTTACATCTAGGGGAGAGTATTCCGCCCATCGATGTCCAAGCTTGCAACGATCGTCATGAGCGAAAGTTCCAACCAACCAACCAGACGACTTCGGACAGAGTCCAAGGAAGACGCCTCGGCGGTATTTGGCCGAGAGCTTGGGTTCAGGAGTGTTGGGTTGAATTTGTTCACGAAAGTAAACTAGACAACCAAATCGGCGGAGCATGCCGATTGAGCTCTTCGATGAGTTTCTACCAGTCCTTTCTTCTAAGATTTCAATTGGACTCTTTCCATCATTTTGAGGCATTTTTGCATAGTTATGCGGTAAACGATCCCAGCAGTCACCAGCGTACTCGACGCAGTAACACCAGAGGCGTTTATCAACTTTTGTCAGCATTGTGCGTACACTGCCGAACAAAGTCCGCATAAAACGTTCGCAGGTCCCATTCATCTCCGGATTATAAGGAACAGCCGGACTGTCTGAGACTCGCAGCGATTGCATAACTTTGGTCATGTCATCACTGCTCAGGACAGGTTCTCCATCCCTCCGGAGGAACCGCACTACCTTGTCATCAAGTGATAAGGAGTAGTCCTGGCGAATGCCTTTGCTAACTTCTTCTATTTCCTCCACACAGTCACTTTTCAGCTTAAGCGGTCGACAGAGCACCTTCTTAATTACATCACAGATGATCACTAGTACACATCTCTTTGACCTGACTGATACGGGTTTGATTCCAACAGCAAAGTCGATTGCTAGCAACTTCAATGGTTCAGGTTTGTAGTTCGAAGTATCTCTAGCTTTTGCATGTGGTGCACGTTGGCCGTTGTGTAGATCACACTCAGGGCAATTTACCTGGGGGCCATCTATATGAAAGTGCCCACATCTTCTATGAAGTTCGAGTCTTGTAAGATAACAGCTACTGACTCCTTCTTCTACTGTTGAACAAATATAACCACTATCAGTCTCTTCTTTAAACAAGTTGCATGCAAGTATGGGAAGCTGCAAGCGTGGTTGACTTCTTATTGGTATGGCCTGGCCGGTGTCCGTATGTACGAGACAACCGCCTGCGCCTTTGAAGTTGAATTCCCATCCTAATTGCGAGCAGTTCCCTTCACCTAACCAAGGCATAATACGATCTAAGTCCTTTGGTAGTGAATCATAATAAGCACCATACTGGAGCCCTAAGATGTTTGGCTTTAGTTTTCCTACTCTTCCGTCTTTACTTCCAGCGCTACCAGTAATCCTACAAATTCTCATAGTTATTTCACTAAAATCATCTTTGTGTCTTGAAAGATATTTGTTGGCACAACTATCAACCAGACTAACTTCTTCTCTTGCAGTAATGGAACTAGTTGAAAGACTATGTCCCACAAGTTTTACCTCCCCTGTATTATTTACGTTTATTTCTTCACCCTCATCTTCATCCAAGTTCAGCGAGCAAAATCCGCTTTCCACCGGTTCCGCAACTCAGCTCTGCTTTCCGCCGTTGAGAGCTTGCCACAGCTCCGCAACTTGGGACATGTGAACCATGCCATTACCCTTTCCACCTTTACCCATAGCACTACTAGATTGGGAATTGGTGTTCCAGTTCCAGTTTGCCTGGTTCTGTGGATTCTTCCAACAAGACGCGGATTTGTGACCCGGTTTGTTGCAGATCCAACAGACTGGACGGGTATCTTGTTTTCCAGAACCTTTATTATTTTTGTTCTGCGGCTTTCCTTTGCCGTTCGAATTGGAGGCATAGACCTCGGCGGCGATCTTCTTCTTTGTGTTTGCCTTGAAGCGCTTGAGAGCACTTTTAGACAGAAAGATCTTACCACCTTCATTGGCCTTTTCCTCGTCATCTTCCTCTTCACGAGAACGCTTATTCGAGGTCTCCTGAACATTGACCGGGAACGCCTTCCCGAAGGAATCGTTCTCAACTTTGTAGGTTCCCTCCTCGATCAACGTCGCAAGACGCTTTTCAAGTCGGTCACCAATCTGGTCAAATGTCAGACCATCTTCTTCCTGCATGCGTTCGATCGTTGCCTTGAAGTTCTTGCAGAACAGCTCTGGCAACTTCTGTAGCAGTGCACCATTTTGTTGGTCACTTTCTGGCACTCCTGCTTCCGGCGGGTACACGGTGGGCGACTGGTTCATGATGTCTCGGACTTTCGACAAGAATCCTGTGACATCTGCAGGTTGATCCGCGTTGTGGAACTTCAACACGCCATCCGTAAGCGGTTTTACTTTCATCCGTTGTTCCTGACGGTTGTTTTGATCGAAGTGTCCTACATCACGAAGGAGCACAACAACCTCACCTGCATCCATCGCATCCACCTGCCCATTATCGTTCTGGTTGTTGATGAACGACGCAGCGGCACCTTTCAGACTACGAATAATCGCATCTTTCAGGTTGCGCCACTTCTGCCGAATTGTTTCCTCCCGATTGGTAACTCCGTTAGGAATACCATGAGGAGCTGCCGGAATGCCGACTACATTCGTGTAGTTTTGAAGCAGGCCGAGACGGCTAGCTTCCTGACGTATGGCAAGTTGCCATGCTCGCCAGTCGGACTTCTGTCCGAGTTTCTTCGAAATTTCTTTCGCATCGCAGGACATTTTGAAAAGTTGTTTCTAGATGGATTTCTACTCTATACTTAGCTCAAGGGTCAAAGTAGTGTTGGATACATTCGAACACAGACTGTTAAGTCGCGTCTAGTTTCTCGGTGAGAAACACTTGAGAGTGATACTGTTTGCACAATTTGCACTCACAGCCTGAGACTAATGATCTCTGGCTGCTTTGATCCCTGTGGATGTTCATTGGGGTTACATGGAGGAAGTCTCAGCTTCATCATTGGGATATCATGTTGCATGGGGAAACTTTCATATGGAAACGCTTATGCTATCATCATTGATTCATACGATCATCCTATGTTGATTCTCATCATTGATCAGAACTGACAGTACGTTATGAACCTGATTACAGCTATGAAACATTCATCATTTCTTCTATCTGAATACGTTGAAGGTCCTTTGCCTGATGATCACTGTTTTTGGAACTATATGCATTTAGGTCTGTAGGTTATCTTTGAGATCATTCCGGTGCTGTTTTGTCCTTGACTGTATTGGGAGGCTTGAGCCACAAACGAGAGAGAGAGGAGAAGCCAGAGACACCCGCGCGACGGTAAACCCGTCGGGCGTTTGGATGGTGCTCCGGTAACCTTTTGCCTGGCGATCTTGGTCATTTTGATGATCTTCATCCTTGTGATCTTTGTGATTCTTCTAGGATTACGATCTTGGCCAACAAATGCTCAGATTTTGGTAGAGTGGTACAAATTTTCAAAAAAAAAAGTTCAAGATTTTTGAAGTCCAGTTACTAAAAAGTATCTACTCCCCTTTAACAAACAAACAAAACATGTACGGCTCATCAACACCAGAAGATGGTCTGTCGTCTCCCGTTTCTGAGTCTGGTTCGGAGGTCCGCGGACCGCCAGAAATGTACGAAGTGCATGGCGGTGAGTGGGAGAATAAGACTTCGAGAAAGTTGCTGTTTGCCGAAGATGAGGGACCTAGATTTGCGACAATGGACGAATTGATTCGGGGAGTGGACTGGGAAGCTGAGGTATAGACTGTAATTAGTAGAGTAGTAGTTTCTGGGAGATGTTGAAGATCATTGCGGTTGAGATTTGCTTCAGTAGTTCTGCTGCTTTAGTAGAAACCCTAAACCCTAAACCCCTAAAGCCAAACCCTAACAATTACGGATGTAGGGAGCTTCCTTAAGCATATTTTCGTGGAAGATGATTGATGAGTCAGTTTTTTCTGCACCCAATAGTTCATGCACGTGGTGAAGTCACCACTTGAATCTTCTCCGACACTTGTTCACCAGGGCCTCGACCCTCCCGATGACCGAGTGCTTCTAGAGGGGCACCCAGCGAAGGGTAAAAGCGGGAAAGCGTCAAAGGGCGGCAGGAGTGGTAAGGGAGGCAAGAGACGGTCACAGGCTGAGTCAAATGGTTCTGGTCAACAAGCCCAACAAGATCAAATTGCTGAGCAACAACACCGACAACAGCAAGTTGCACAACCTGAACAAGGACAACAAGGAGAATTACGAGGACAAGGTGTACACGAGCAAGGGCATCATCCAGGTATGGTCATGCCAGAACATAAAGGTAACAAACATCAAGCACATCAAGTACAGGCACGACTACATCAAGCACAAGCACAAGAGCAAGGACACACGAAGGTAGGAGTAGAGCAGCAAAATGTTGATGATCCTATGGAGGTTGAGGAGGAAAACGAGCATAAGGGGAATCAAAAGAGGCCTTCCTCTAGTGCTCTAGCAAATGAGGATGAGAAGGATGCTGCTCTGAAGATGATTGATACCGCGATGAAGAGGGTGAAGGCGGAACAAAAGGTGACTGCGATGAAAGGACGCAAACGCCGTACTGAGAGACAAGATGCAGCACTCAAAAAAAAAGCCAAACAGGAAGAGGAAGCACTAACGCGTCTGCAAGAAGCAGCAAAGAAAGCGTCACATGGCGAGGTGGATATCATGGCAGGACTTGAGCCGGCTGATTTGTTGGGTTATGATTGAAATTTGTGATCTCGAATAGACTGTAACGACGAACAATACTACACTTATAGGTACCTGTGAATGACAGATGAAGAGGTCTACTGCCTACATTTGTTAGAGACTCTGGTGTAGTCGTGGTCCTGCTTTGCTACCATGCATAACTTGGAAAATGTTGAGACGATTTGAAAAAACTACCTTTCTTTCCTCTTTTCTTCTAACACTTTGAGCACGCACTCGAGGCTGTTCCGGAGAGTGACATTGACGCTGGTGCTCTACCTACTGGTGCACGGAATCGGTTTGGAACCGCGCGAAGCCAGGACAAGCGTGACAAGACAGTCAAGAAGGACGATGACAAAAATTATGACAACATACATTGATGTGAGAAATAGTAATCCTGCTGATCATGTAGTGGTTTAAGTTGCGCCATTTTCATAGAGTACTAAATTCACCTGAGTACTAGAGTGATCATGCTTATGTTCCAAAAGCAAGAAGGAAAAAAAAAATCTACCGGGATATCTTCTTGAAGCGCAGTGTCTGAAAATGTCACCCAATAAGAGTAGCGTATTTATCAAACTCTGAAACAAGGCATCTCCCTGAGTTATCTTCCTGGTAAAGATTCATCTTCAAGCATCCTTCCTCTATCTTCAAGCATTCTTTCTCAATCGTCTCTAATATATAGACAAGAAGGTGCTTCCAGGGATTGGACTAAAAGGCGGTCGCTTCCACAAGGTGGATAGACAAGCGAAAGACCCTTTTGCGGATAGACAATTCGCGATTCCGAATGCACCGTTTCAGAGATTGACTAGGGTAGAATTCTTGAGATTGTAGTTGAAAAATGTATATAGTAAAAGGTTTAATAGTTTAGAAGTCTATAAAAACGCTTAAGTTAGTATTTGGTGTAGAAGTTGTTCGCTGTTAGCTGGAGAACAGTATCTTACTGTCGTGGAGGATTGTAGTTTTATGCTGCTAATGAGTCCTTCATTCAAGAAATTCTTCACCACTGACTCTGTCCCGCCAGGACATAATTCGTGGTATCGAAGCTGAGGATCCTCAAAATGGAAAGTCTACGCGTATTGGAGTTGCGGCAATGATTATCTTCCAGGAAGCAGTGGAGCGTTATATGGTTGGCGTTTTCGAGGACTGTAATGCTTGCGCAACACATGCGAAGAGGGTAATTTTCAATTGCATAGAATTTGGACTACTCAATTCTCCTACTTAGGGCTATACGACAACCGTTCAATTCTACCGGTTACTATCAGATTTAGTACGAACTAGTCGGGGGAATCTATGCAGCAACCTAATGGCAAAAATTGGACGTACTACAGCATTTTTTCAACTTCCATACATCTTCGTCCATACATCTTCCTCTTCCATACATATTCTTCCATACATCTTCCTTATCCTTTTCCTTACACAGGTAACAATAATGCCACGTGATTTGCTGCTCACGATGCGGATCCGTGGAGAACTGTTGAGAACGCAGATGGCTTTGGGAGATCACCGCTTCGGAAAGGACTCTGTGGGCATTTTTATGGCAGGCTTGTTTGTTCGTCTAAGGTTCACAATATTGTATCTTCTTTAGACAGCGCCGGCGCTTAGTTACTAGTACTTAGAAAGATAAGTACTTACCTGACTTTTCTTTTTTCGGTTTTTGTTTTTTCTAATTAGGTCTGCTCCACCAACAATATTGTATCGTCCTTAGAAAAAATAGACCTCACAAAGGACCCCTCATCTAATCTTTTGACCCGGCATCAAAACGTGAAAGAGGCGCGGCAGCAGACGAGTGGAATCGGAAAGCATAGCCAGCTTCAAGCGGATCACGACTTATTAAGCGGTCGATTCGATTTGGGCGGTGGTGCGAGTGTAATGGGTCAGTATCCAATGTTGGAAGGACCTTTTTTATGACGACCTGTAATTTATTTCGAGTGTAATGGGTCAGTTTCCAATGGTTCCATAAAAGCACATACGTCAAGGTAGTACACCACAAAACTGGCTGAAGCAAAAGACGTAGTTCTTTCATTTCACGCCTCAACCGGCTTTCAACCCCGTAGAGGTAGACGTAGTTCTTTCATATCTTGCCGGAGCAGAAGGAGGGAGAACTGGAGGCTTCAGTGTAGAGATGGCCTTCGATCAAAGCGGATTTGAAGTAGGCAGACAACGTGGAGGAGCCTCTTCATCATCATTATGTGTGAGCGAAGTGATGTATTAAGGTCTAGTACCTCAAGCCCTAACCTATTATCGTTTACTGATTACGACGTTTCCTTGATTTCAATAGCGTGTCTGCCAGTTTTCCTGGTAGGCCCACACCTAACCTAACCTAACCTAACCTAACGTGTAGTGCAAGGTGTGTAGAAAAAATACCCACATAGAAAACTCCTTTGACGCTTGTTCTCGCACATCCTCTCCTTCTTCATTCCCTTCTTCCTCGACGTTGAAAGGGAGCAAAGGTGCAGCGAAAGGAATGAGTTCCAGTGCAGCCGCTTTTAAGGCACTAGCGCCCGTCGGAATTGTGAAAGGCGGATTCGAGCACGCTGGTATATTTTTTCTTCCGGTTCATGCTGCTAGAATTTTGCTTCTAAGTTTTTTTCAGAATACTATAACCGGAACAGCTTCATAGATGCTCCTCGTATCCTAGATTAATAGTTTCATCCCCTCTCTTCTTCTAGTAGGAGCTTTATTAGATGCTATCCTATCCTGTCCTATCCTATCAGTCTATCTTTCTGTGTCCTAATACTCAGGTGGCCAGTCCGTTTCCATTTATGCAAACGAAGGAGATACGACCACGGCTGGAGGAGCAACGACAACGGCCTTCACACCAGGGTTGACACCGCATTTCATGAGCCGTGCGATGGCGGGAGATCATGAACCAAGTGCTGCAGAACCTTATGGCTATGGGATTGATTTGATTGATTCTTTTCTGCTTTTTTTTTGCATACTCTGCTCTTTGCTAGCATTCTCTCATTTTTTCTAGGAGTATTTCTAATTGTGTGGTCTCTTCTTCCTAAAGGGTCTGCTTTTCCAATCAAATGACTTATCTTGGCCGCTGAGACACACTCTAACAATCAAACGACGCGGAGATGAACGACACGGGATCAAGCGAAACACCGCTAAACATGTGAGCGGCGGCGGCAGACGTGTGAAGACAGGAGTTCTTCTAGTTTCGAAAGCGTTCCACAAGGAATCAGTAGTGTGGTTAAGTGAAACATATGATATAGATATTCGCATAAGATTTAGGTGAAGGCTGTCTATTGTTTTACCGTAATTGTCGCAATCCATCGTCAGAATGAACAAGAGGTCAACTAAGAAACGCAGTATTGTATCAGTAGTATTTCGCTTTATCGACTTGTGGTAATATTGTTTATTGTTGATAAAGGTTGGTCTCAATCGATCCATCATCTTAGTTAAGCCGAATTCTCAGAAATAATGACGAAACTTCGCTCGGCCAAGCAAACTGAAGTAGGATCATTTCTCGTCACCACGCTAGTTCCTATGTGTCTCGTGATATTAAACTACAATATTTATACTTTTACTAAATACTACGCCAATAATGTACGGTGAATACTGATTCCAATGCACTCTTTCCAGTAGATAATTTGACAAGTCTTCTCATAGATAGAGTCAATTGGAGTTGTCAAATCGAATCGCTTGAGAATTCCAATGCACTCTTTCCATTTTTGTTGGTACATATGATGTATGGGTACTTACTCCCTACTGTAGTATTGGTACATATGATGTATGGGCAGTACTATTATAGGTACTTACTCCCTACTGGATGTTGGGTAGGATCGGAGAGTGGATAAAGCCATGATCACATTATTGTTTTTGAACTATTTTTTTGCGCGAAGTACAAGCATATCTCATGTAAAATCTTGCAGGCATAATCGAATACAAGTTAGTTATGAACTTTTTTTGAATCTACTGGTCCTTCTACATGGGCTCTCTCTTATGTCAGGAATGACAAGTAACAGGAAAAGATGGATCTCCCTCACGGCAAACTAGAAATAGGTAGAGCAGTCGTGCTTGAGGTAATATCTACGAAGTAATTTTGTTTTGCATAAAAAGCCAGTCTATTTTTGGGAGTCGAACTTTTTTTTGCGTCGTATGAATGTGGCAACAAGTTTTCAGTAATCTGGATAGGAGAAGTTGTGCCATGATGTGTTAATTGCCTTAGTATATGAGTACATGCCCAGAAAGCGGGCCCATCAAGGGCCCGCTGCGCTGGGCATAGGTTAACAACTAGACAGGTTGACTACTAAGAGACAGAAAGACAAACGAAAAAAGTCGCCAAGTCTGCTCGCCAAGGCTGGGAAGCTGGCCCCCACTGTGGCGAGGCTAGTGAGGAGGTTACCGCTATGGCTACTGCCTTGGCCAACTTGCTTGCTAGGGGCAAGCCAATGGGCGCCAAGGCTGGCCCGCTGAGCGTCATGGAGTCCATGAGAAGGCCACGCTTGGACATATCAAGGCACAGAGGTCAGGCCCTTTTGAGTGTGATCATGTCCAGGAGAATCCTAAAGCATAGCAGACCCATGGGATGGCAAAAGGCTGACACTGGCGAGCGTCATGGACGAGGCCCATGAGAAAGCCACGCTTGGGCATATCTATGCGCAGAGCCAGAAGCTGGGCCCCAACCTTCAGGCGCGGGGATGTGTCTAGGAGGTTGGCTGTTTCATGGACATGACGCAAGACGCCCACCACGGTCCGCGCCTCAGACATGCAATGGCCCACAGTTATCATTCTCACACACAGGCATCGACGTCCTCAGCCTTCACCGACGGAGATGCATGCGCCTGGCCTTCTCATGGACATGATGACGCCCGCCAGGGTCCACCCTTATCTACTTTCTCACAGACATCGACTTCCTCAACGGCTTCGACTTTCACAGGCAAATCAGTATACCTCTGGCCTTCTCATGGATATGATGACGCTCACCAGGGCCCACGACCCTTCAGACACGCAAGTGCTCAAGGCTATCACTCTCACAGCCATCGACATCCTCGACGGCTTCGACTTTCAAGCACAGAGATGTACATCGTTGGCCTTCTCATGGATATGATGACGCTCACCAGGGTCCACCCTTCAGACATGCAAGTCCTCACGGCTATCATTCTCACAGACATCGACATCCTCAACGGCTTCGACTTTCAAGCGCAGAGGTGTATACCTTTGGCCTTCTCATGGATATGATGACGCTCACCAGGGTCCACCCTTCAGACATGCAAGCCTTCACGGCTAGGGCTATCATTCTCACAGACATCGACATCCTCAACGGCTTCGACTTTCACACACAGGCAGAGACGTATGTCTTTGGCCCTCTCGTTGATGTGATGACGCTCACCAAGGTGGGCCCACCCTTCAGACATGCAAGTCCTCACGGCTATCATTCTCACAGACATCGACATCCTCAACGGCTTCGACTTTCATACACAGAGATGTATATCTTTGGCCTTCTCATGGATATGATGACGCTCACCAGGGTCCACCCTTCAGACATGCAAGTCCTCACGGCTATCATTCTCACAGACATCAACATCCTCAGCGGCTTCGACTTGCGCGCGCAAATTTGCACACCTTTGGCCTTCTCATGGGTATGATGATGCTCACCAGGGTCCACCCTTCAGACACGCAAGCGCGCACGGCTATCATTCTCACAGCCATCGACATCCGCAACGGCTGCGACTTTGAAGCGCCGAGATGTATGTCTTTGGCCTTCTCGCGAATCAATCTGATCACGCTCGTCAGCCTCTGCCTTTTCAAGTGCTCACCCTCTCCCTTACAATTCTCCCGCTTTTGTGCTGGTTAGAAGTATACTGGTCAACCATCTCCAAGGGCTGCCGCGCGCTTCTGTGCCGTGGTCGATTGCTGTGCGCGGAAGGTAGTCGCGGAAGGGGAGCGAGCTAACTTTTTTCCAAAAACTTCAGGGAGGTCGTTCATTTTTCTCTGTATTTGAATGACCTCCCTGAAGTTTTTGAAAAAAAGTAAAGGCGTTGGGCGATATATGACAAGGGTAGCGGTTGGAAGTTCGTTGGGGCGATTCGCTAGGGGTGGGCGCGTAGTGTCTTGCTGCAGATGTGGCTGGTGTACGTGAGTAGCCTACAAACTAACAGCCGCGAACACGTTAGCACGCTCTTGACACTTTTGAACTCGTAGTACTAGCAAGGTCCTTAAGGAGCCGCTGTTATTAGCCCAAGTTTATAACAGCTTGTCCTTAAGGGTCCTCCTTAAGGGAATTTTTTTCCTCTTAAGGAAAGTTATAATAACTTTTTATAATAAAAATTCCTTAAGGAAAACGATTTCCTTAAGGAAGCTCCTTAAGGGAGCTCCTTAAGAGATTTCTGGGAATTGCTAATACTATAAATACTAATATTTACTCGACTGAAAGTTTTTTTTATCGACCAGAACTATCTTGTTGGGATGGTTCCCAGCAGAAGCATGGAAACGATGGAAACAATACCACAACGGCGCTACTTTGGATTAGATTGAAGATTTGAAAATGAAATGGATCGCTGTGAATTCCGAAAGATTATTCTAGAATAGTAAGTCGTTGTTGTAGAAGAAGAAGTAATGCTGGCAGTTCTGTAGAAGAAGTAATGGTCCACAACCTTTTCAAGGACGTTGTGTTCGATTTAGAGACCTCTACATCCCTGTACCCGATTCCCCCTTGAGACATTGGAAGAGCACCACCTGAGAGCAGTTGGAGTTGGGTAGTAGCAAGAGGTGGACCCCGTCTGTACTGCAGGTGGGCCCCAGTCTAAGCTAGACTGAGAGGAAACTGATGAGCTAGCGACTTGACTGGTGCTTGAGGGCAACAAAATCTGGGAGCAGGAAAGTATTGAGGCATGCTATGGGAGCAAAAAACATGGAAACGCAACATGGATCACGGCAATGTAATTGATGTAGGGTTGAATTGAAGACTGCAATCTGATGAACCTCTTATCTTTAAACAATGTGATGATACCAATAATACAGGTGAGAGATTGGTTTGAACAATTGGTGAAAGAGTGGCAATCACGGTGGAAAAAACCTTTCATAATCAGCGGGTATCGTTCTCGTCTTTGTTACTAAATTTTAACTACTAGCATCGGTTTTAGTTTATAAAAATATCCTGAGCCTTTCGCTTTTCTGCTGTATTCCGCATTTTTTTTTTCTCGTTGTAAAAACTCAGCGTTGAAATTGCCCACTCTGTGGAGTCAACATGCCTTATGCTCCCTCAGTATGTAATAGCGTAATTGTTTATACGCAGTGTTTAATTGATGAAAAGGAAGGCAGCCCATAGTCTTAACGCAAAAAAAAGTCACCTGGTAGGTTTTGCGGTAGAGAAAACCTTTAATACTCAGCGGGTAGTACGACCCAGTTGAAAATAACCCTGCTCCGACTGACGACTTGGGAGGTGTAAAGATGTGCTGACTGACTCTTTGACTGGCCGTACGAATGTTCCACAGATTCCGTGAGGAGGATCATGCTTGAGCTTTGGATTCCCGCTTGTCTAAGCGGAGTGCCACTACTAGAAGCCCTCAAGAAGTTTGGTGCACTATAGAAGTACAACTGGTGTCTGGTCGCGCAGACTCCTTCTCAACTTTGACGACGCCATCTTGATGAAGCGCTGCGGTTCCTCTAGAAGTACTTACTTAAACTGCTTTCCTTCGGGACAACGACAAGTCTGTGATTGTGTATGATAGATACAGGTGAGTGTCCTTATTATTCCCTCTACTTGATCCCTTCACAAAAAAAATCATAGAAGTGGGAATCCGAACGACGGCAGTGGAAAGCCAATTTCGTTCGACTTCTACATCAGGTTACAACATCACGTGACCGGGAAGTTTAAACCGTTGCGCCCACGACAACTTGTTCAATCTTCCCTACCGCTCTGGCGCTGCAGCTACTGTACGACAGCGACTACGACCGCCACTACTACTTTCACTACTACTGGTGCTCCTACTCGTCTCCTTCAAGTCCTACTACTTCCACTTATACTACCGCTGCTGCGTTCTATTTGTCACTGGAGCTTCTTTGGGTTGCAAGGATGGCGCGAGGCAGCGGTCGATCGCGAGTGTCTCCCAGCGACGACAGCGATGACGGGGAATCCGAAGAAGGGTCAGAAACGCGTCCTCTTGTTATGACATTTCATTGATCCCTCTTGCGTCGATAAGTATGTGACTCTAAAAGTTCTTTCAGCAATGTTTTCGATTTGAATCTACAAGGAGCTTGGTACCAAGTATAGACGAGTGGATTTCAATTATAACATTAGTCTTTGTTTCCTAGATAGACGTGCTCCACCGGTATTATAACATTAGTCTTTGAAACTCTCATATAAATGGTCTCGATACCGAAGCAATCACTGGACGTCTTTACGTTTGCGCCGTGGCAAAAGGTCGCTACCTTTCTTTTCTTCGTCATAGTGTTATGAGTCATATATAGAAGTCGGATTTAGCTAATATGCTGTGCTGCAACATCATTCTTATAAGTAGGATTTCCTGAAGCTGGCAGAAGATGTGTTTTTCATTATATCAATGCACCTTGTCAGTTTCTTTCAATTATCTTGTTGACTGAGGCCTAAGACGATGCATGATATTCACCACCTTTCCTCCTTCATCTGTCGGATGCAGCACTTTCTCGAGCTATGTGCCCTACGTGGTTTCCTGGGTGGTCGATTCTCCCTCTTGGAGCTTCATTTATGGCTCTCCCAACTCTACTCTTCGTGCAGAAAGATCAACCGGTTGATTTTTCCCTCATATCCTAGGTTTATCCCACCAAGCAATATATCATTAGGGGAACTTAGGGACACCTTTACTACCTTAGGGATATCTACTTCGCTACATGTTCATTATCTTAGGGACATGTACTGCACTACATTTCTTCATTACCTTAGGGACATCTAGTGTTGCAGCACTAAGCTACTATTATACGAAAGATGTTTTTGGCTCTTCAGTAGCCAACCAACATGTCTGGCTCTTTATCACGCAGACCAGAACCTAACCTAAGATAACCAAACACGTTACAGATGCGGCGTTCAGTAGTCAACCATGTCTGCTAGTGAACCTAGTAGAGCCACGCCTAACCTAATCTAACCTAAACTAACGACCCTAAGATGAACATGTAAGTTATGGACTTATCGGATAGTGTCGAAACACTAATTAAGTTATATGTCGCTTAGCGTCAAAAGATACCTCCAGAACAGGTAAATGAATGAATGAATGAATGAATGTATAAAGCTCTAAGTCATGGACTTATCGGACAGCTCTAGGTCAAGCTGTGCTGACGAAGGAACACCGCTCAAGTCAGAGAGCGATGGCGTGGTTATGGCAAAGGAAACAGTAAAGTCAAAACTTCAGAGCTTAAACGTTTCTTCCCCCCTCCCTTGCTTTTTGGACTGTACGTTCTTTGGGCTAGCAAAATAGTGACATCGATCTTTTTAGTACATAAAACATGTGTCTATGTAGTAACGGCTAATTTTCCCTCGTTTTATGCCCTTAATGACATAATAAAACGTCTATGCAATACGCTCTAACAATGAAGATGACAAAGAAGATGAGGGAAGTGAGACTGAAGAAGGGAGGGAAGATAAAAGAGATGTCGGCGGTCGTGACAAATCCACTTCTGGAGGCACAGCGGATCGTGGTGCTTCTAGCCAGAAGAGCAAAAAGTCTGGCAAAGGGAACAATGGTGGTAAGCCTGCCAAAGGGGACAATGGTGGCAAGCCTGCCAGTGGGGGCGAAGGTGATCAGCCTAGGAGAGGTAGCAAGACTCACGAGGCATCCAAAGTTGGCGCTTTTGTCTCGAATGCGGAATCTGGTACGCCTTCCAAGAAAAAAGGTGGAGGTGTTACGCCTATGGAAGAAAAAGAAGAGGTTTTGCTTCCCGCTGGTCCAGCACAAAACGGCGGTGAACCTCCCGAAGGCAGGGACGGTCAGGATGGAACTGGGAGCGAGAAGGATGGCGATGAAAGTGAGCGGGACGAGAACGGCGATGAGGATGGAACTGCGGCTGACAGAGTTAGGGCCACAACAAGATCCATGAAATCACTAAATATTTGTTCTTTATTGATGATCAAGGCTTTTCAAGATTGACAGGGACATTTGTCAATGTATGGAAGAAAATGTATCGGGAGTTGGAATGAGGATGGCAGCTGCTCTAATCATGAAGCTAGTAGCAAGGGAGGCGATCCCGATGATGCTGCGCTAGACCTGGGGAAGTGCGAAAATGGAGAGGCACCATCGTGGGCGACGGTGGATCGACGTGGTGAACGTCCTGAAAGCGAGAAACCGAGCGTTGGAGACGCGCTCATTTCCAAGAAGGATGAAATAACAAAATTGTCAGATAGCGTTATGGCTAATTTTTCATCAAATCGTCATCGTATGTAACATCTTCTGAGTACATCTTCTGAGTGGATGACTTACGTCAATTATGACTAACAAATACGTAAAAACTATATGATGTTGCTCACTATACATTTACAAAGATGTCTTGGTCTATATTGATGGGTCTTCCAGCGGAAGAAATATAGCTAGTTGCTTAACGACCTCCGCATACGGTGAAAGTCTCTCTCTAATTGCGGAAAAGCTAGGTGCGCAAAACTCCGCCAGGACTCAGCTGAAATCGATAAGTGGCTTTCGAAGGAGCAGGTCCCGTGGCTTACGAAGGAGCAGGTCCCGGAGGCATGCGGAGAGAAGTCGGGTCTTAAGAAGAAGCTTGCTCTTCATCTTCGAGAGTGCACACGAGGTATTTAGAAATACATGGTTTTTGAGATTGATCGGCGGCTGTTCTAATAGTTCGGGGTGCGTAATTTTCGAGCTGCTGAAGACACGACAGGCTGTGTCTGGCGAACAAGTGAAGGCCGGCTCAAAAGATTGGATTCGTCTCAAGCACGATACAAAAGCGAGGTGCTACGCGGCAGATATGGGCACCGAAAATCGAGAGGATGCATATACAACGGCCTGTGCGGGCAAAGATATTGGAAAACAATGTAAGTTAGGGTTGATGTCTAATAACTACGTAGTGCATGAGTGACTTATTTGAATATTTAACGAATGTAGATTTTTTTTTATATTTTTTTCAACGGATGAAAGAATGTATGTGCGTGGATGAATCTGTATCTATCATGAATCCTTTAACTCCAAGAATAGCACTTTAAGATAAGCTGTCTTCTTCATTCACTCTAATATGAATCACGAGCAAGGACGGGAACGGCAAAGAGGTCGTTAACAAAGGGCAATGCTTCGAGAACTGGACTCGTTCGAGAGGAGATCTGACTCAAGAATCCCTCAATGTGAGATATAAACGGGGAATTATGCAAAAAACCTTTCGCAGAGCCAGTTAAGGCTATCAAGAATACATCCTCAACGATGACATCTTTGGCTTTGCTTCTCTTTGAAAAAAAAGTCAAGGATGCTGACGAGAATGTGAATGCGGTATCTACTCTAAGCAAGATGCGAGTGCGGCATCCTGAAAGAGTGGCGTCAGGAGACTCAGAATATGACGCCGAAGGAAACTGCAGAGGAGCAGGTGGAGGAAGCTTCGGACGGGGAGGCGGAGGAAACTGCGGATGAGTAGGCGTAGGGAGAGCCGGGTATCGAGGTAGAGGAAGAGGACCATTCGGGTTCGGACGAGCAGTAGCATGTGGATGGGGGTGATGGAGGAGGTGATGGAGAATAGAAGATGGCTCTCCAGAGAAGAGAAGAATAGAAATCGAAGTTAGTGTGGTGTCGGACATTGCTCATGAAGTAGGTTCGTAGTATTTTTTGATCAGCTCAAGTAGATTGTTGTGAAATTAGTCGTAAGTACAGGTCATGAAGATGAACAAATTTTGTTGTTAGTCCACCACTAGCGAAGCAATCAACGTTAAAGAAATATTGTAGTACCCTCAACATCAAGGATATCATGAGGAGGACCACATGTGTTGTAGTGCTCTCAGTAGTGTCCTCAACGTCAACGAGGTCATGAGGGAGAAGAAGAACTAAGAGGAAACGGAGAAAATAACTAGAGGCATTTCTTACTTCATATTCTTCCGTATTGCTCACTACCGTTTTCTTTCCTCTTTGTCCTGAAATTAACTTATCTCTTTTTGTCGGATACTGTTGTTTTAAAAAAGAGTCATACAACATCATCCTGCGAAGGTAAGATACAGATACCCTCAGCGAGAAATGACAAGTCTGACCAGATAAGATGGAAAAAATGAAGGTTAAGGATGTTGACTGCCAAGATGCTATCGTCCCAAACAAAAGAGCACTACAAGAGAACAAGACCACTTCAAAGAGTTTTCTGCAAATTCAAACCCCTGACCTCAGAGGCAAAATTTGAAGCAGGGAACCAGTTTATCCCTCGATGCGGTCTAATAGAAAGGGGTAGAGGGGGCGTAATAAGATCAGAGAAAATGGTAGTTGAAAGATAAATATAAGTTGGTAGTGGTCCTTCTGTGGCTGCACATGTTCGCTCGATGATGCAGGTCACACTGTGGACGGCGAGCCACCTCCTCTCCTATCCTCGATAGGACTCCACACAATAGGCACGTCTAGTGTCTGCTCAACGCTACAGGTGGCTCATAAGAAAAGGATAAGTGAGGGCACGCTGATATAACGCTACGACTACAAAATTTTGGTACATCAAATGATGTTGGAATTTTGCATACATGTGAGAGCGGCGCGGACCCACGGCAGTTAGGCGAGAGAAAGCAAAGAACTCGAGAGAGTTTGCCACTTCCGAGTACTCTTGAAAAAAGTCAACTTTGCTATGAATCCGATTTTAACTTCTGCCGATCCGGTGCTCAATGCGTAGGGCTGAGGTGGGAGCCCCCTCTAAATCTAAACTCTCCGCAATCAAGTAGGAGTTGCTGAGTCATTCACATAGAGCAGAGGCATACTTCATCAATATAAAATTCCTCTATTTATATTCTTCTTGTCGTAACTGCTTCTTAAAAACAATAACATAAGTGTTGCTCGTGCTCGTACTAGTAGTTGCTGGAGGTGCCATATACGACTACGGTTTGAGATACTAAGTACAAGGATGGCGCGTGGCGACGATGGCCTTCGCTCGCGGACATCTCCCAGTGACGACAACGATGAAGGGGAAACAAGTCCTCTGGTTATGAGATTTTACCATCCTTGCTAAGGAAGATTCGTAGCCTCTTCTTCTTAGGTTCATGTTCAACCTTGTTGTTGGAGTTTAGAAAACATTTGAACAGGAGCCACTACTTGTTCGTCCTCGAGTATAATGATCTACGTGTACTATTCCACCAGTGGTCTCTGGAACTCTCATATAGATGGTCTCGATCCCGAAGCACTCAGTGGACGTGTTTACCCTCGCGCCGTGGCAGAAGGTCGCTGCCTTTCTCTTCTTTCTCATAGTCTTATGGGAGTATATGTGATTCTCTATTATGTAATTTGTTTATTACCTTGTTGCGCCGATTATGTTTGGTGTCCTCGTGGGTAGGATTCCCTTGAGTTGTCTGAAGACGTCTTTCTCACCAAAGTAATGGCGACGGTGGGTCTCTCATGGGTCTCACCAGTAGCTAGGAGTATTATGTAGGTGACAATAGTCTTCAGCAGCCACCGATGTCCGCCTACGCTCAGGTGGACCCCAACCTAACCTAGTCTTTCCGTTAATTTTGAGTAAGTACGAGGATGCCACACGAATAAATCATGAATATTCGTCACGTTCCTCCTTGCTTCATACGTCGGATGCAGCACGTTGCCGACTTATGCGCCAGATTGGGTTGTGGATTGTCCGCCGTGGAGCTTCATGGACTTGTCTACTGGCTCGTCGTGTGGTGCGTCGACCGAGAAAGATGCTGACGGTGATGAAACGATTATGGTTACAACTGACGAATACTGATGAACAGTATTTTGTATTTCGATGACGGCCAAGTTGTATCAGCAGGTTGATCATGAGTAGTGGGGGCGAGTAAGTAGTTTCAAATGCATGCTGCAATAACGAATAGTACTCGTCGTGAAGAACTCCTGTATGTAGTGTTTCATGGTCCCTTCTTCAACTTCTTGTTTTGGAATCAAATTACGGCTATTTCGTGATACACAGAATAGGGGATATTTGGTGTCCTGCAGCAGTAAGCCGTAAAACGCTCTAACATTACGAGCTCCAAGAGTGAAGAAAATAGTGATGACAACGATGGACAAGATGGAGGTAGTGGGAATAAGGAGACCGTTGCGGGCGAGCTTAGTAACCCGGATTCTAGTGTTCGGGAAGGTGGTGAACAAGGAGGGACAGAGAACAAGGACAGCGAATATGGTAGTAAACAACTGGGGACAGAGGAAGAGGGTAGCGGAGATGGTAGTACACAAGCAGGCACAGAGAAGAGAGGTAGCGGAGATGGTAGTAAACAACCAGGCACAGAGAAGAGAGGTAGCGGAGATGGTAGTACACAAGCAGGCACAGAGAAGAGAGGTAGCGGAGATGGTAGTACACAAGCAGGCACAGAGAAGAGAGGTAGCGGAGATGGTAGTACACAAGCAGGCACAGAGAAGAGAGGTAGCGGAGATGGTAGTAAACAAGCGGAGAACAAGCATAGCGAAGATGGCGCCAACAAACAAGATGATCAGTCTGGCAAACAACAAATACGAGGTGCAGCGCCTCCCGAAGAGGCAAAAGGGCTTGCGCCTGTGGTCGATCAAAGCGATCAGCTTACCCGTAAGACCAATGCCAACGGCGCTGGGGCTGATACAGTTAAGACAGCGGCACGGAATGCATGATTTATTCCTGTTGATATACCATTCCCATTGATATAAGAACATGCCATTTTGTTGCTCATCTTACTTAGGGAAAATTGTGGTAGCTTTGTTAGGAAGTCATGAATTAATAATTGGATAGCTCTCATCATCATCTCATCAAGCTCATCATCAAGCACATCATTGTTGATTCAAAGAGACGACTAAAATTCAGTAAGCCGAGTGACGTGCTGGACGGCAGGTAGCCGAAAGCTCTAATATTTAACAGGTATCTGGAGGACGTACGAAAGATGAAGCTGCACCTTCTGGTGTCCCTGCTAAGCAACAGCCAGCGGCTGCTGTGGCAAGCGAGTGGAGTGCATCTGAAAAAGAGGCATTGATGGCAAAAGGCGGGAGGAGTGCCTTAATGAGTATACGTAAAAAATGCAAGGAAGATGGAGTGGCGCCGTGGACTGTGGTGTTATGGTCAGCGTTTCGCCATCTTTCTCAGCATCTCGATCCGTGTTTCCGATGGAATACAAGGGAAACGGCGCGAGATGAGGGGACCGGTATGCGTGAAAGGCTGACTCTAATGGTGGACCGAACTGGGAAACGCCCGTCCTGGTATACGCCAAAGGAGGAAGGAGCTGGAGTGGAGATCGTGACGGACCGAGGGGACGGGAAGAAGAAAGCCTTGACGAAAGAAGGCAAAAAACTGTGTGCAGACGGGAGGGACGAGGCTTTCTTCGTGAGGTTTTTTGAACAGAATGATCAGGTCATGGACCAGGCAAATAATGTGCACAGGAAAAGCCTAAAGTGCCTCGAGGCGAAAGTTAAGGCCCCCTCTTCACCTTAATCTCGTATGTAACAAGTTTTAGCAACCACGGTTCGCGCGAAGGATGTTGAACGTCAGACTTGTATTTATGTGAATGATATGGCTAAACATGTGTGGACTGCATGTATGATTGATAGATAGATAGAGCGCTTTCTTCTGAAGTTCAACATCTACCACAAGAATACCATAAGATCACTTACCACCTGGGTTGACAACTTTCAATATATATAAATAGATAGATAGATAGCGAGATAGATAGATAGATAGAGAGATAGATAGATAGATAGATCGACAGCGAGATAGATAGACAGCGAGATAGATAGATAGATAGGTAGATAGATAAATGTTTTTTCAAACCTTTGAATTTATGGCCACATGATCAAACTTAGTTGCACATTGCAGCATTGCGGCCGTTATAGCTCTAACTTTGTTGCGGCCAGGAGTGCATCAAAATTAGATAAGCCTTAAGGTAGCTCAATGGCTCCGCACGGTCCTGGGTGACGTTCTTCGTCATCCTCTGCGATGTCGCCCGTGTCCTGTGGCTAGTGCTAGCCTGCGCAAGCACAGGGTAAAAATGAGAAGACAAAGCATTTGGCTTTCGTTGTTGTTTTATCATGGAGACCCTTCAGGCTTATCGCCCTTCATCCGACTAGGCTAACTAGATCGCGGCCCTTATCTGTCACCATCTAGGTGTAGCCACTTGCTTCACACGCTAAAGTCCTCAAGATTGTGATCTTGATGTTGATGATGGTGATGCTGTTGTTGGTGATCTTAGTGTTGCTGCCGTGATGATCTTTTTGTTCCTGTTGTGTCCTTGATCATGATGCTCGTGAGTGGTCTTCTCGGTGTTTATTATGATCGTGGTAAGTTGATATTTATGCTGATGCTTAAGGTGATTCATAACTTGCGGGTCGACAAAAAGCGTAGACTTGATGGTGTGCCCAACTTTCGAGCTCCTCAAGACACGACAGACTGAAGAACTAGACGGCATCGAGCCACAGCGTGACTGGATCCGCATCAAAGATGATGGAGAGGCGAGCTGCGTAGGAAACCAGATACAACTGAGCGAGGAGGAGATCACCAAAAAGGAAAATATGGCGAACCAAGAGGATGACTATACCAAGCCATGCAACTCGGGCTGGATGACAAGACATCCGGGTTCTGAGTGTGAGTTATGAGTAGCCATGAGGCGTATTATTCGATGTCCACAAACAATTCGTTACTAGGAAGTAAGGGATTTGCTCGTTTTTCGTACGAAGACCATCCAACCAGGAAACTCAAATGGTTCGGCAGGATGGCGAAAGAAAGATGGCCGTAGAAAGACGAGGTAACAGAAATAACTGCCTGTTAATGAAACACTCTTTATGATTACCTTCTTCTTCGAAAATTTACTGCATAGGCGTGGCCATGGCCAGGCACAGCTCTTTTTAGATTCGCACTGATTGAAATGGAGCCAGCACGCAGGAGAAGTCTTACCTGATGATCTATGTTCAAGATTCATTCATTCTAATGTGATTTGCGGACAAAAAATCTGGTGAGAAATGGAAGGGCATATGCTTAGAAAACTGGACTCGCTCGAAACTAGAGTTGACCTCTGCAGAACCTAGCAGCACGCGCGAAAGGTTTTGGAATGGGCGCGGCAGAACTCGCTACGCAAGTTATGGCTACCAACAGTTTCTCCTCAATGAATAGGAACGTCCTTTTCCCTTTCTCTCCTTCAAGGAGACGGGAAGGATGCGCACATGGATGCGAGTGCAATAGTTCTAATCTAGATGCGAATGCGGGAATCTGGAGCAATGGCGTGAGGAGACTAAGAAGATGATGGGGAAGGCTGCGGCCACGGCAGAGCCCGGCAGTGGAGGCTGATGAACAGTAGAAGGCTCCTCGGGGAGTCTGAAGAATGGCTTGGTTGTCTAAGAAAATACGTCTCTCGTACCACTGGATGAGTATAATGTAGTTTTACCCAGAGTTGTCGATTCTTCAGTTGTTCAAAATTTGTACTCTTACTCAGCTTTTTCTCTTCTCATGGTATGTAGGTTGGTTGTTCATGATGAGATTCATACTGATGTCTTCATTGAGTTCACGAAAACTCAGAGCGTTGTTTTTGTTCAGTCTGCTTGTAGTTCGTTTGTTGTGAAATAGTCGCATTTACTTAATCCTGCGAAAATATGACACTAGAAAACCCCGGATCTGTAACTGTAAAATAATAGTAGGAGTAATACTCGGGATGACGTGGGTGGAAACTCCTAAAAACTGTGATACAGCAAGACAAGCTTTGTGGCATAGAAGTTTTGTCACACTGCCAGCTCATTCTTGGAGAGGAAGAAAAAGTAGACCCTACTACATGAGATGAAATAATCTTCAGAAAAAATAGTTCGACACGGTGCTGGAAACGCAAACGTTATCTCCTGTTTCCAGTGTCCGTTAATCCGCAGAGGCAGATAATACGAAAAGTGTACAAGGGTTTCCTGACCTGCCAGGAAAAATGGGTGAGAGACATCTGAGTGTCTACGCAGAGAAAACGAGAGAGTCTACAACTATTGCTCCTGCTCATGAACAAAGTCAATTTTGCTAGTCCACTAAAGGTTGCAGCAGATTACAGATCAAAAGGAACACATCGTATATAATACCCAAGGGATTTTCCTTTCTACGTGAAACACCTAAACTTATAATTCGACATTTCTCCGCACAGAGCTACTTACTTCCAAGTAGAAGTTCTTGATTCACAATTCGTCAAAAAGCAGGCAAAATTGCTTGTAATTTTGACTTGTATTCACAAATTTACAAGAAAAATGCCGTCATCCAGGAGTCCAGTAAGGGCAATGCCGGTGCCTCTGGGTCGAGCTGGGCTGACGTGCCGATCGAAGAGTTCACGAGGGCAGCCTGTGTTTCGGAAAAGCGGTCTAAGAGCAACTTTTATGGCAAGACTTCGTCCTTTTATGCAGGACTTATTACTTGCCATTCGTTTCATGTTATATTCTTAATGCTACTGGGAACAAGTTAGAAATGTGAAAACTTCGACTCTCTCACATTTTCTGCTGACGACCAAGTACTCAATCAAGAGGTTTCTAAGCCATCGGAACTTACGAGCCCACTTCGTATCCGTTTTCTCGGTCTCCTGGTCTGTGCAGCTGCTCAGGAATCTCCGCTGATGATACATTTTGAGGGAGCTCCAGTGTTGGGTGACCTCAGCTTCGAAGACTTTGTTGAAGGAGGAAATGTCTTATGTTGAGCTTTAGTCAGTAGATGTTTGGAGTAAAAACGGGACGAAGTCGTGACTAGGTACCAGAAGAAGGTCTACATTAGGAAGGTTTTTCGAAGTGGTGCTTTAGCGATGGTAGTGTTTTCCTATCGTTCTGGGGCTCTGCGATCCTAGTAAGTACTTTCATTTTGTACTTACACGTCGTACCTCTCTTCTGAAGGTTCAACAAACAACAGGGACATTATTTTCAGTCTCTCCTTCAGTGCTGTTTCCTGTTAAGTTGTAACTGTCCAAAACAAACGTAACCGTACCGCTCTGCTGCTACATTCTTTGCGTGAGAGCCATCGTGAAGACCATCTATGACGCCCTTAAGGCAGTCTGCACTCAATTTTGTGCGAGATTAATTGTATTGCATATACAACTGGTTGGCCTCGCAAGTAGACACTAATAGCTACATAAGAGGCACCATCCCATGACATGACATGGCATGACTTTTCACTACATGATCCAAACACGTCTATAATCTATGGGAGCAGCGCCGATGATGGACGATACCATAGGGAGTCCGCTTGTTTTCGAGACTGACGACCCTGTCTCCGATGGGCCTTTCTCCGACGGACCGGGACCTGGTATCTTTGGGGTATTGCCAATGCTCAGTGCAATGCAGAGTGCAGCAAGGGAACAAGAGTCAGGAGTGGCGCCGAAAGTTCTTACTACAGAAAAATCTGGGAACAGGAAGGCAGCACCAGCCACGAAAGAGAACAATGCCAAGTCTCCTAATCAAGCTGGTAGTAAATCCCTAGCAAAATTTGGACTCGGTGACAATGCGCTCATCCGTCGCGGTACACCGGGACCTATTCCTGCGCCTATCATTATGGACACTTTTTTGTGTGACTTTCTATTTTCGTAGCGGGGCCTTTGTGGGTCTACTGGAGTAAGTCTACTTTCATCTAATATTCAAGACGTTCACTTCGTAGCACACCTCTAGATACTCACATACACAGATGGTTTTTGAGCGTGAAACACTGCATAAATGTGGACGATAAAAATGAGGTCTGAATGTCTTATATCTACTGCATATACAGCTTCGTTTGCGACTCTAACCTCTGGGCAATCCTCAGCAATCTGTTCGGCGAACCATCTTCGAAATCTTATGGACACTGCTCACAATTATTGAATAATTCATCAGTACAACTAATATTGAACGGTTAGAGCCGCAATATCGATGGTCCTCGTGTGCTTCTAAGACCCTAGCCCCATCGCACACTCTGAGCGCGTGACGCAGCAAGTGATGCGAACGCCAGCTGGTGTACGTCACCGCGAGATCAGGGTCTCCGATGATGGAACACGAACGGTGACTATTACTTATGAGAGGAGCAAGGAACTTCTCGTGATCAAGATGCTTGTCGAAGTTGGTTTGTGATGAGGGTGGTTCTGATTAGTAGCAAGAAAAGTCTAAGTTTCTTAGTATCAAAAAAAGACAAGCATCTAATTAAAGGACGTCCAAACACCTCTTGCTAGGCACATTCATTCATTCATTCATTCATTCATTCATTCATATATCACGACGACCGCTCGTCCTAAGTAATCTTCAGATCATTGCCTTCTAACTCCAAGAACCGGATGGGAGTAAAAGCGTGTCTGTGGAGAGACCGGTCCGAGGCGTAAAGCCGCTAGAAAAAGGTGGTCACGCTGTAGGCGTAGATGAATTTGTACGGCATTTTCCGGTGCAGCCCTCGTTTTTCCGCTCACCCGAAAGTGACCCCTTCCAAGATGGTACTCTGCAACAACGCTATAGTGACCACCTCTTTCAAGATGGTACGTACTTGCCTATCTAATATGGTCACATGAACTTCAACTTTACGGTTACAATGGAGCAAATATAGAATTGAATCTTTCAACATCTAGCATTTTGGAGGTAAACATGTTGATGCTGTCCTCAACAGACCTCGGATTAGGTGCAACAATATCGTCCACATTCCGCACCCACTTCAACATCAGATGACATTGGTCTGCATTTGATGTCTGCGCCTATGGGGGACATGATGTTGCTGAATATGCTCCGTGCCCTAGACCATCCACCGCAACTGATTCATAAGATTGCGAAGGATCAGAGCACAAAGCCACCTGCTTCTTCGGGTTCAAGTGGCAGCTCAACTTCAAGCGACACTAAAGCAAGTACAACAGCGTCGAGCAGTACTGGTACTGGAGGCAGTGCGAAGTTTTTATGACTTTGAATACGGAGTAGGATCTTTGTTTGGCAAGTAGTATTAGTAGTGGCAGTGATGTGTAGTCTTGTAGTGATTTGATAAGTCTTGCAGTGAGGTGTAGTCTTGTAGTAAGGCAGTGAGGTGTAGTATTGTAGTGGCAGTGAGGTGTAGTCTTGTAGTAAGGCAGTGAGGTGTAGTCTTGTAGTAATGAACTTATTTCACTCAGTCCAGCTCCAGTGGTGAAGAAGACGTCTTCTAAATGTCCTCTCATTTCCTCACATTCTAATATGCGGTACAACCTCATCTAGTAAGAGCGAACAAGAGAAATCAGCGGAGAAACAAGAGTCGGATCCCTGCGCGGAAGACCTCGTGAAATTCCAATGTCAAGACGTCGAACACCGACTTCATTGTCTTGGCAAGCACGAGGAACATTAAGGGGATACGATTTTCGCACCTAGATGAAGATTTCATTTGATAGACAGAGACGCACGAGCGCAAACAACATGTTCATCACAGTGACGACTTCAGCTGTTACTAGGATGGTTTCCAGCAATACACAAATTATGCTCTAAGCCTCGCTCCAGTCCTCATGTCGCGATTCGATTTCAAGCGCAGTGCCCTTCGTCTGCCATCAACCAATCAACGACTTCCAGTGCGCTACGATTTCAACTGGTGGCTCAGTGCTGGACTGTTTGGAGCCCCACAAAGCTTCTCTCGACGAAAAGTGCAGAAACAGTGTCGAGATGACCAGCGCTTTCGTGAAGGCGTTCAAGAGTTCGAAAAACGTCGCCCTTCTGGATCCCACCGAAGTGAGTAGTAAACCGTCTTTGGATGTGAAGACGGTTTTGCAGTGGTACTTGTTACTGATTTTGTTGTTGCACTTGGTTGTTTGTGGCCGCTGATATTGAACATCAAGAAGTTCAACTTTATTCTGAGTAGATCTACTTGGAGAGGGCACGAGTACCACTTCCTTGACCACATCCAAAACTCGTGCAACTACAGGTGTGCCGACGTGATTGCCGGATTAGTTGTTCTGGCGTTTTTGGCAGGGCTACTCATTAGCAGCGTCCAGCGCGCTATCTTGTACACGAAAGTGAAGAAGCTGAAGAGGAGAGAAAGATTATGGCTCAGAAGATGAGTAAAAAGGAGACCCTCTACTGAGGATGACTTTAGTTTACAAGAAGAAGAACTTGATGTAGAACTAAAACACAGAAGCCATCCTCCTCTCATCTCTGATGATCTGAGTCGGTTCCTGTGCCCAATGACCTCCTCTTCTCTCTAATACCCAGCGAACTTGGAGCAGAGCTGACACAAGCAACAGACTATTCTTAAGGCTACCGCTGAAGCATCCTCAGGATCACTCTTGGCGCTTTTTCTACTTGAAAAACGGACCAAGGATGCACTCAGGGATGCTAACGCGGTAGTTCTAATATTCTGGTGGTCAGGATAAGGATTTGGATACCTCTCCAACATTTCTAGCAGAAGATGCTATGGATCTTCTTAGAAGTACCACTGCTTCCCCGATCAATTCTCCATGTAGATCGTCTTTGCCGCAGAATTCGACGACGAGTCGAGGAGTTATGCTTGATAGATGGGATCTATCAATAAGTAGGAACTATGCACCAAGCAGTTGATACACATCATTGATTCACATCATTTAGATGACACCTATTACATACAGTTCTCAACATCAACATTCTTAGATACAGTTCTCAAAAACAACGACAACATGAACATTCATTTGTACATTCTTTCGTACTGTTCTCTCTGCTCCCTCGAAGCTTATTTCTCACCCTTTCTTGATGGCCTCTTTTAGCTTATATTTTTAGAGAGAATGAGAAGACTTTAAGGTTTTGAAAGCCATGTAATTACAGCGTTTCTAAGGATTTTAGGAGAATAGAAGCGCATGAAGAGGCAACCTCATCTACGCCCTTGTTCTCGGTCCCGACTGGTGAAGGTACAACTACAAGCACGACTAGTTCGTCGCCGACCTCACCAAATAACGACTCAGCATGGAAAGATGACACGTGCTCCGTGATCTCCACCTGTGCGGAAACCGATGACTGCCAAAGCGTGAGGAGCTTAATCGTGTGAGGATTTTCGGTTTTCATGTCAGACTAGGATTGTCTCCATAGATTCTTTGCACAGTGAGGCCCCAAGGGCGGCATCAGCTGTATAAGTTGTCATGATCATCAGTTGTATAAGCTGTCGTGATCATGCGGCATCATGCTGCCTTTTCTAAGCAGTGATGCAGAACACTCTTGTCATTCACGAGAATACTATCATTTTTAACGTCATAGTTAGATGGGAAAAACAAAATGCACAGCACTCTTTGAATAATCGGAATGTCGTACTCTGCAAGTAGTCGGTGACTGTCATATTTTTATTTGAGCGAAGATGTCCATTTTTTCTGCCTAAGCTTCTTTCATCTGTGTCTTCACACTGAAGCTGAACATGTAAAGATTTCTAAGAAGGAGGAACTGTGTTGTTGGCATCACTTTGTTCTATCGTGAACTGTGAATGCACGACGTTTTTTTGTCGATCAAGATAGATAGAAGAAACAAAGGCTGCAAGCGCGTCGAAAATGTAATGGTGTTCGTGTCGTTTTATTCGTTTGTTTTGGGAAAGCAGGTCTCGGTTTATCGTCAGATTACTGTACGCATGCATCGGTCGCTTTTCTTTTTTGTTTCGCAAAGAAAGCAAGTCGCAAACTAGAAGTTGTCGCCGCGCGACTGAAAATAGTGTGAGAGGTATTGAAATCGTATGGGAATTTTTTTCATTCTTTCGTGCACACCTCTTTGACCCCTTCGTTTTTTTCCCAAGGAGTTCCGTATCGACGCTTCAAAAAAAGTGGTGCATACTTATAAATTTTTGTCTTCCACCCTCTACTGCATTCCGAAACAGGCTAGTTCAACAAACAAGTTTTTGCATTTCACCCTCTCCCTGATAGAAAAACTCCGAATTTAGGTCTTTGTTTTCCGACCACGCGAAGGATCGAAGTTATAAGAACATAATTTGACGTCAACAATTTTGTCAGTATAGATAATTCGTTTTATCGCTGTGTGACGTTTTGAAGAAAAAAGAAACACACAGAAAGAAGTAGTGTGTAAGAGAGAACATTAGAAGGAATTGTAGTCTGAATTGTCGAAGAATTGTAAGGATAGTGCTGAACTTTCTGGTCAAACAACAACATTGATATATAAGTAACAGTGTTATATTTGTGAACTTATTTTTGCAGACCACTATTATTTCTTGGTCAACTACTAGAATTGCCTACAAAAACCCAAAAAAAAATATCCATCACGTTGAGTTTGCGACCACACGTTGATTTTTTGGTCACGACACGGGAGAACCAACACGAAGCTAGGCTGCAGTCAACCATACGACGCAACTACGCGTTACCACCACTGGAAGAAGAATTTGATCACATCATTTTTTGCAGAACGAAAAAACGAAAAATCAATCTCAACATCGCAGAGTCACATACGACAACCAAAACAAGTCTTTCGAAGATGAAGGGCAGTTTGAGTTTAGGGGCCGCGCCACCTTCGTCCAAGACCAATGTGCACATGACGACCACCTCCTTCTCCTCGTTTGGCCATTCCAGGAGTACTGTCACGACGCCTAGTGCGCTTCATCAACATCATCATGGCTTTGCGAAGAAGATTCCGAAAATTGAACAAACTCTGGCCCATCGCGAGTCTGCAGATTACAACATCCAGTTGGATGCGGCCATGCGATTGAATACACCTGAATCTTTGTCTTTCGCATGGAAGTTGGTTCATTGGATGCTCACCGCGAAGGATAAGGCAGGCACGAATAAGGGCGTAGAGGATGCACCTACGTCTTCGGATGATGAGAAATTATACGGCGTTCATCTTTCTGGTGAGAACAGTGTTGTGTTTGACGCCAAACCTGCCGAAGCTGGGGGTGCAGATCAACAACAACAAGGTGGCGAAGATGTTGCTGGCACAGGAAACATCAAGAACGATCCCCCCACAACCAGCAAACCACTTCTTCCAGATGCTTTGATCATTTCCCTTCTCGTGAAGAAAACGGCTCTGTGTGGTTGGGTCGATTTGCTTTACGATGCTACCACGGTCTTGCGCAATTGCTACTTGACGCTGAAGCCTAAGCCTGCGGATTTGGATGAAGTCGTCTTGAATTCCGTTTTAGATGCCTATTCGCGCTTGTCACAACGCGTCCTTGCATCTGGCGGCGACAATTCGTTAAGGGTTTCCGACTTACATCCCTCACCACGACCATCCTTGGCTCTTTTCCTAGTAGACAAGAAGCCAGGAATTACGTGCTGAGGAATGTAGAAATTCCGGAACCTCTAAATTCCTCCATGCTCGCTCACATGCACATGCTGTTCGAGGACATGAAGCGTGGGATCAAGTACCCCAATCTACGTCCTGGCGCAGTGACCTATGGAATTATGATCAAGGCGTGTGGAGAAAATGGCGAAATCGATCGCGTGTTGGAGTTGTGGAAGGAGATGGAGACCAGGAATCTGAAACCGTCCATTGTGACGTTTGGATGTGTATTGGATGCCTTAACCAAGTGCGGATCGGAGTCTTACATGCAGATTGCCGCATCAATTTGGGAAGCCATCCCAGATAAAGACAAAAACTGCGTTGTTTACAGTACTTCTGCTCAGTTTTTGATGACTTATACACTTTTCTTGACAATGAATTGGAAGTGCGAAGACGAAGAGCATAATCTCTTCACCGAAGGATCCCACCTCAGGATGCATTTTTTGGCTTCTATCAATTTGAATAGTTTCACTTCTTATAACGGAAGACCAACCTCAACCACCGCATCTACTTCACTCTCCAACAAAAAACCAGGTACTATGATGAAGGGCTACGCGAAGCTTGGAAATTTGGACCGGTGCGATCAGCTGTATCGAGCGATGACGAAACAACACAATGTTGCACCAAACATCGTGGTCATGAACACTTTGCTCTCGGTCGCATGTGCTAAGCGCAACCTGCCTTTGGCTGAAAAATACTTCACCGCGATGAGGGGATATGGTATTGAGTTTTTTATCGTCGTTTTTATTCATATACTTCACCGCAATGAGGGGATATGATATTGAGTTTTCTTATCGTTGTTTTCCACGTTCCGAGTTTCTTTTCTCTTCAAGAAGATGTAATACATGAGAAAGAAGAAAAAATCGTCATGGTGGTCATTCTGTCTCATCAGTATCGAAGACCATCTAGTATCTTCTTTTTAATGGTGTGAACATTTTCTGTCAATTTTGTGTCTGTCACTCACCTCCTCACGCTCCTTTTTCCCAGGTTTCTACCCCGACTTCAATTCTTACGGCACCCTTCTTCGCGGTTACCTCGCTCTCAATACCGAGCAAAAGGAAGAACAAGGCCCTCTGCAATTGGAGAAAAGGGACATCAAACGAATTTTCTCCATTTTTCGCGATGGTGTCCAATTTGCGCATCTTTCTATGGGCTCCGACGTCGCGAGCTTGCTCCAGATGATCCAACTAGGCATGCAGCATCGTTTATTTGAGGAAGTCGCGTACACTTTGCGAGTTTGGCAGAAGGGCACGTGCACGAAACCGATTCCTAGATTGGCCGCGCAAATGGTCTATGGCGAAATCTGTTCTATTGTTGGAACACAAGAAGGAGCAGGAGCTCTCTTTCCTTCTTCTAGTGCAGCTGCCAGTCGTGTTTGTTCAGGTGCATCTTCGCCTGTGTTCGGTGCGGTAGATGGAGACCCGCAGAAGTTTTTACCGAGATCCTTTTCTCTCGAAGAAACTGGAGACGTGACGCCGCAAGTCAACGCAGCAAACGAAAAGACGAAGATGCGGGATCTTTTGCGGAAGGAACTAGGAATCCTAGCGGAGGACATGCTGAAGGAGGTGGAGCGCACTGCTTTGAGGCCTAACGCAGCAGCGTGGGACCGATTGATTCAAGAATGGAAGTACACGAAACCTTCTTTTTCCACGACTGCTGTTACAACAGGAGCAGTTCCTTCCTCTACAACACTAGTATACCCTACTTCTTCGTCTACTGCTACAACAGGAGTAGTTCCAGTTCCTGCTTCCAACATTGTTCCACTGTCCGAAGGTCCTTCGCCAGCTTGCTCGCTTGTAGTAGCCAGCAGCGCTGGAAATACTGCAGTGTCGACTCCCGTTGCGGGAATCCTAGCGAAAGGTGGAACAACTGGAGGTCTTCTTCGAACAACGTCTAAGGCCAATAGTAAGGGTTTGCTTGGTAAGCTGGGTTCTTTTGGCGGTTTTTCCGGAACCGGAGTCGGCACTATCGGTTCATTACGCTTCGGCACAGCGATCGGCCTGTCTAGCATAGATAGTGGCACTCGCGACGCTCCTCCAACGTTCGCGTTCGACAGTTATGCGAATACGCCAATGCATAAGGGCTCTGGTGGTGGTGGATTTTCTTATGGACATGGAGGTGGAGGTGGCGGCCCATCTCCTGCTGAGAGCTATCACGGCACGCCCTTTAGCGCTAAAGCCGGCAGCAGCAAGCCTAGTTTTGCTAAGGGTGGAAAGCCAGTGTTTTCGGCAAATGGTATGGGCAGTTGGGATGCTGGGAGTTGGTCCGCTTCTTCTGGTACAAGCCAGAACATGCTAGGCGGACCCGCTTATATGCACATGCTGGCAGGCAAAAAGGCGGCGGCTAAGGGTACTATGCGCGTGATGACACCGGGTGCGGCCAATAGTAGTTCCGCATTACCGGTCTTGAGCAAAGAGGAAGCTGTTTTGTTAATGACGTGTCATCCTCTCAATGACTCTTGCACGAGTGCGGCGAGTCCCAGTGACGGGGATCCGAAAAACACTAGTTCTTGTGTTTCGAGCAACGTAGTAGTCTCATCGCGCACCCAGACCTACGGCACGACGTCGGTGTCGGATGTTGAAGGAGGACGAGGGGTTATACATCAGGTTGGTTTAGGTGGGAATAAAGGTGCAACCAACAACCGTCGTGCCAATTACATGGTGAATTTGAACAAGCTCAGCGGCCCACCAGCTTCCTCGTCTGCCTCTTCGTCTTCTGCTACCGGAACTGGAATGGGAGTCGACGATGCCGAGACCCAGGATGTCTCGTCCAACACGTTGTATCTTTCCTATCAAGCCGAATTTCCACCTCTGGGGGCGACCTTGTCTGTACCCCGTTCGAGTTCGACAGGAGGACAGCAAGAACAGGGCAGTCGTAAGGACTCGTCGTCCTTGTCTATCCGTGCTGGGGAAGTGATCCTACGCGAAGCACTGATGCAGTATTCGGCTGAGAACGGCTTCTTGCCTGCTGCTGAGGAACTAGATGATTATGGTGAAGTCGAGGGTGTGTTGTTCGAAGAAAGCGCTCTCAACCTGGACAGGGTGTTGCTGAAAGAAGGACGTCATTCCCGTCTGCTTTGCGACCAGAATGTTGCTCGTGGAAAGCATCATCCTCTTCGTGATGCACGTGTTGGAAATGCTGTTGCAGACGCAGACCACGTTGTAGACGAAGAAGAAGAAGAAGATGTTGACGGTTCCTCTACTGGTGGTCGTGACGCTTCTGGTCGTGAGACAAGTAGTATGATGATCAAAGAAAAGATGCAACACAAGAAGGAAAGCATCAATTTCATCAATAGTAGTTCGGACGAGCAATTTTCATCCTCGAAGTCACTCGCCGCTCTGGATGTGCCGGAACAAGAGCAATTAGACGCCTGCAAGGATCTAGAGGGTGTCCATGACGCTGCAGAACTGCAGGCCAAACTTCGCAGTGCTGAATCTACATCATCTTTGGTGAGACAACTGTCTTGTTGTAGTCAACAACAAGTAGATCATCAGCAACACGAAGCAGAACCTAGCACGAGTAAAGGAGATTCCGCGTTGACGGGTTGTCATGCAGAAGGAGGAGACTTCTTCGATCCTAAAGAAATGGCTTCGCCCACAGAGGAAACTACCGCTATGGGCAGCGCTGTCGGCAGCACGATCCCCGAGAAAGACACCTTCTCCGTCGATCGCTGTGTTTTGCCGTCTCCTTTGGGGCAAGTGCCAAACTTGCGGAGTTGGTACGGTGGTGAGCGCGCGAAGAAGCACGTCAAACGCCCGCTGCCAACGCCACTGCAACTAGAATTCTCAGGCACAAAGAACGCAACGCACAAAATTGACACCTCGTTTATGCTGACGTCGCCACCGGACGTCGAAATAATGGACGTGGAAATAGATGAGGTGACGGAAACCTCTAAAGTGGAGGAGACTTCTAGACCAGATGAAGAGGCCAAGAAGCTGGAAGTAGACACGGGAGCAGAAGAGGTCGGAACTACAACAAGAGCAGAAGACGCTGGACTAGTACAACAAGACGACGGACTAGTGCTGGAACAAGACGAAGCCAAGATGAAGGGCGAAAGTGAAACACCTGAGACATTTTGGCAGAAGATAACGCAAATGACGCTAGTGGAGCAGGCAAATGAATTGGGAGAAGACACTGCTATTGGTCATCTTGATGTTCCCCCGCCAGCTCTTCCGATGTGTCTCTCTCCTCCACGGCCAATGCGGAACAAGAAAAACATCGCGGACAGTCTGAGAAGCTCGCCTGCGCCACTAAGTGAACGTTCTTCGGGTTTGCGTGCTGAGGCGGTGCCCTTTGTGCCTCACAATACGCCTTTGCGTCCTAGTAATGCAGTAGTTGGTGGAACTACAACTACAGTGCGAAATAACACTTCGCCTCCTCCCCCACCGCCTCCAATGGTACCGGATGTGGGCATGCTGTTGTCGGCCGCTCGCCAACAGCTGATGATGAACACGTTGACGCACAATCCTCATTCCGCGTTTACCTTTGCCGATGGGCTCCAGAGTACTCCACCATTAGCGCACTTTCTGGGTGCAGCTCCTGGTGGTCCTTCTGATCAACAACAAGCAGGAGGGTTGTATAACATGAATATGATGAGCGGTAGCTCTCAATATCTCCATCCACCCGGAGGAAAAGGAAGTGGTTCTGCTGGTAATATGATGCAGCCGTTTCATCAGCCTACTCCTTCTGGTAATATGTTGATGCAAGGACAACATCAACATGCAGGAGGACCTTCTGTTTCGAACTCAAATTATTTTCAGCACCAGAATCACATCAACCAGCAGCAGCAGCAGCATTTACAGCGTACACCAGGTGGGTCAAGCATCCCGCCGCCTCCGCCGCCGGCAAGTGGCAGTACCAATGGTTCGCGCGGACAGCGAGGCAGTGCGAAAGACTCCCCACTATTGCCCCCGCCACCTCCCCCACTCCACGTGTCTCCGAATCTTGTTGTTGGGCCAGGAGGGCCAGGCATGATGATGAACGACCATGGAGGTAATCCAATGCAACAACTCATGTTACGGGCACCGTCAACCCATCTTTCGCAGCATCTTTTAGCCAATTTGTTCTACTTGTGAAAAGGGCTAAAAGATGTGGCCCTAAAAGATGGGCTCTCGGTGCCTCTAATCATAAGAGAAGGGCCTGCTACTGGAGGACTGATGCCTGGAGGAGGACACGATGCTCCGCATTTGCCACCTCTTAGTGGAATACTAACCGATCCTCAGAATCTGACTGCTTATCCGCCACCGCCACAGTTCGGGCACCATCCAGATCCCATGATGACCGATCCAGCAGATCATGTCTTAATAGAGCCTTCTCATCAGTACTTCCAACAAGGCCCAGCACCTCCTAGTACAACATCGAGCCATTTTCAACATCATGGAGTACATCAGCCTACCCCTCACTACCATCATGCTGGTAATCAGCCTACACCTCACCACCATGGTAATGTCTATCCTCATCACGATACTTGTGGGACTGCTCACCACCACCACCTAGTACATCTGCAGCATCCACGGACTGGCATGCACGCGGCGCCACCGGCACCTCCGCTCGAAGACGACGGCACTGGGTTTGCGTTGCACGACCAGATGCCACCTAGAATTTCGCCACCTGTGAGTGATGAGATTAAGGCTACAAGAAATTCACTTTCACAGGCATCTTCTTGGTCCCGTTTTTAAAGGCAAAAGAGGGCCCAAGATGCTGCTGAAAGTGGCTTTCTTTTAGTTCTAACGAGAGCGCACTTTGGTGGGATCCAGAGCTAGGTCAGGAGTTTCAGAAAGTGGGGACACATTTCTTCCAAAGTTCAGAGGAGGCCTTGGTCCGATCGCCCTGCAGCCGGGACCGTAGCGACAGGCTCAACTTCAGCTTCGCAGTGAGCAGGAAGCCTCTTGTTATGTGAGCATTGTGGTTCTTAATTTGACTCTTGTTAGAACAAGACCTTCTAGTAAATTACTTAAAATCTTCTATTTTATGTAGGTAAGCTTCAGCCTTTCCAAGTAAGCTAGCGCAGCTTTCACTCTTGTACCAGAAGTAGAATCATCAGGATGTACAAATATAAATATCCTACTACAACAAGGTGATGTTAATGAGATTTTGTTGTTGTCACTGCTGCAATTCGCCATTCATTGATGTATGAATATCTTACTATAAGGTGATGTTAATGAGATTCTGTTGGATCGATTCAATTTCTCTAATCTTGAAATCATGGATCCGTCTTCTCTTCCGATCCACGGCGTAGACCATGTCGATCAGGAGGCTGGACATAACGAGATCGCAGAGGCAGTAATGGCTACGTGGAAGGCCAGGAACATTAAGGCTTCCGGGAGTTCATCTTCAGATTTTGAAACAGAAGCATCTCGGGTCTTCACCCTTCTATGGGAGAAACAGACCCAAGATGAACTTCAAGATGGGTCCCGGGAAGATCTAAGAACAAAACGTATCTCGAACGCTATGCTCAGCAACCGGACGTGCAAAGACTGGTGAGACAGGTCCCGGACGCGCTAGAATTGCTGTTGTCCAGACCTAGTAGTGTACGACACGCGGGGAAAGAGTTGAATGTGTCACCTCAACTTCCAAATGTGCAGATCGGGGAAATCATGAATAACTACGACTATTCACCTGTATCGCAAGAGGGGAGTCGTGAGCGAGCACCTGATGCTGGAGATGGAGACACCAACATGAATGAACAACAACTTGGTGGAACCACAACAACAACAACGAGAGCGAAAAACTCCTCTTCTTCCGCGACGTTCAAACGTGAAGACAAAGTAATTGCTTGTTCTTCTTTTTCCGCTAGTATGGAAGCCGAAATTCAAGAACGGGCTTCCGCATTTGAGGCGATCGAAAGCGGCCTATTGTGGGAGCAGAGTTACATGAAAGCGTGGTCTCCTCGCTTTCTCGCTAGACAACATTATGCATTCTCGTCTCAGGAAGTAATAAAACAGAAAATCTTCTCTCTAAAAATAACCATAAATTAAGGGTTAACCAATTACATTCCCCACAACCATTCCTCACTCTTTTTCCAGTAGGAAAGAGGTGAGGGATGTTCTGAAGAATGTAATGCTGCAACCTTTAAATAAATAAGACTGACAAGGATCGATAATGTACATAAAAAGACAAGGATGTTTTCCCTTCCGGGAATCATTGCATTCTGCATTCTTTCTGAAAATAATCATCTTCAAGTAGAATGTAGAGGATCTTTACAAGGAATAGGAAGTAAAATTTGGAAAATATATTTTCAAGTACTTAAAACTTGCTAACATCAACGCAGAGCAGAGCGAATGGATGCACAGGGATGGGTCACGGAATCGACGGACTGCGGCTCGAACTCGCCAGATGGGCGGCAACATGTTGAGAATAATTTTGAGATGATGACGAAATGCGTTGAGGATAATGTTGAGAATAGTGGTGAGGAGGAGATGTTGACTGCAACTACTTTAGTGAGTACGAGTCTAGACGAAGTGTCTTCAAGGACTCTAGAAGAAGCAACAAAAACAACATTGACCCGCCAAACAGTGGACGAAAAAGAGTTAAGGCTACTCCTGCAGATGCATCCCCCACACGACAATTCTTGTCCCCTTTTTCAAGCAGGAAAAGAGGTCATCATCAAGGATGTCGTTGTAACTAGAGATGCTAGAGCTAGGGTAGCTCTAAACCAGGTTGAGGAGATCGAGCCGCGTCCGTTGACGTGGGCGCAAAAGCTGGGTGGTTTGCGGAAAAGCGTGACTCCGACAGCAGCGAAGCGCGAACAACCTGTTGTGAGCGTACTGCCATCACCGACTAGACGGCGGCGCAATGCCACGAGACCGACTGCGTCCACCCGCCCGCTGGGAGGAGGAAGGAAGTGAGAAGGGATGGAATAATTCTGGTATTGCTTAATTATCATTGGACCAACCGGTCGTTAGCTTTCCCTCATAGCCTGGGTTTGTCCCAACAGGCAAAATCATTGCGTATTCTCTCTCAGTACTAAATAACAACTACAATTACTAACGTCAGCACGTTCCTCCTTAATTGGCAGGTGTTACAGTAGTACCTTCAGAACTTGTCTCTACAGGTGTTAGGAATAGCATCATCTTCAGAGATACACGCATGACCTGCATTACTGAAATATGGAATCTAGATTCATACTCTCTGTGTGTCATTGCATGAAATTCTATCACACCACATCCACAACTCATTGAGTCCTATAATTTCTCCTTTCAGACTGGTACTGCGTGGTCAATCTTCAGCATTCTAAATCTAAATTTCTTCTAGTCCGTGGTCAACTATTCTATTGTGTCATATTTTTGGTTGTAAGTCAGCCGAACTTTTCGTGTACCATAAGGAGTCCAGCCTCGCTGTGGGGTAAAGTGGTTGTGACAGCCTTGTGGGTTTTATCATAGTTCTCAGAGAAGTATTCATGAAATGAACTTTTTTTTTCTGTTAGTAAGTAAGTTTTGCTTGCAGCTAGTGCTAGATAGTTGTAGTCGAAGTCTGAATTGCTTTGAAAATCTAGATAGATTTACATCATGAGAGGTCAAAAATACACGCATTATTATCATGGTCAACACTGTTGAATGCCAATTATAGTTCTAGGGTCAATATAAGTTTATCGTTACATTATGCTTAGTCTAGTCCGATCGATTTTCAAAAAACTATTAACATCTGGTCAGAAGACTTATCTCACGCTTACCACGCAATTAACATCTAGTCAGAAGACTCAGAAGTTAGTAGGCTTGGTGGAAGTAGTTCTCTTCGAGTTTGCTCGCGTACTCGACGTTAGAGCTGCCCTGGGAAGGCGTCAAGATGTATGAACTTCTTGAACTTATTTTTCACAAAGAAATGTACGAAAGGAGGATAGATCTAAGAGATCAAAGATGTAAAAAGTGATACTCAACATACTATATTGGGGATTTTTATAGTACTAAGACAGTAAAACTAGCAGTACCACGAAGAAGATATGATAGGTAGTTATGAAAATATTTATGGATGTCATAGTGAACTAGCTTTTTTTTTGAATTATCTTGCATTGTTCTTGATGCATGTTCGTTGCACAGACTTTGTACAGCTCTTCAATTCATCATCATTCAATTACTTTCTCGAACTAGATATCAATCACATGAAGCTGTAGCAGTTTCCTAGATACATCCACAATGAGGAATCCGAGGGAGAGGGGAGAAAAGTTAGATTTTTGGATGCAAAATAGAATGTGAACAGCCAATGAACTACCTAGAACTACTTGTACTTCTTCTAGGACGACGGAATGGTGTAATGTCTAATAGACTAAAGAATGGACACTTTTCCGAGATGTACTAGTCCATAAATCTTCTCTTGATGAACTTTCTTTTGACTCTTTTGAAAATCTTGCAAGTCAGACCAGTAGACATGTCATTCTTGACTTTGAAATTTTTGTTGAAAAAGTTCGTTTTTCTTCATCTGCTTGGATTTAGAAATCTGGAATATAGAAACCATCACTACTTGTTGTCGAGAGCATGAGCATGACTTGACTAAACGAGTGCAACCACATCGCTAGGCGTCGGCTTTAGGCCCCATGTGTTCGATTATTGAGGAGAAACAGGACGCACACAGAGAGAACTTTATGCTATATTCAAAGACTATGTCGTGGGCCATACCCACATACACGAGAGAAAAGTTTGCGAGAGTGTTAGGCGAGAGTATGGTGGAAGGCTATAAGATGTTCAAGAAGTAGGGTGCTGTTCTTCGCCGCTGTTCTTCGAGATGAACAACTCGTCCTTCCTGCAATGTGGTAAAGTGGTATTATATCTTTCTCCCGCTACTTTGTCAGTGACAGACGTGTCCCCACATGTTTCGGGTTGGATTCCTCTTTTTTCGTAAAGACACGACGAAGCCCGAAAATCCACTTCGACTAACCATAGATTGTTGAGAAGGATAATTGGTAGAATCGGTATGATTATCGTGAGTTGGTTCATTAGTTTTTATTTCGCTCACTTAGCTATCATCGATCACGAAGGAACTAGAAACGCAATTGTGATCATTACATAACTTCTGACGTCTAAGTTCTTGTCCACCACAATTTAGTTTTTTTAGACCTGTAGTTCAAGCTATCCTCGAGAAGATCAAAGATGTTGGCTGCTCCATTTCTCATGCGTGTTGGCACGTACATGCCACCTCCTCCGGCTGATGGTGAACTACGCCGCGTTGTTGAAGCAAAAGGGGGAAGAGTTTTATGACCACAATCCTTTGTTTTCCGAAGTATCCTAGAGTCCTGTTCCATTAAGGGATGAACAAGAGTATCTTAGAGTCTTTTTTCTTGATTATGTGAAAAGTTCTACTCTAACAGTTATTGTGTGAAAAGTACTACCCTATCCTAATCCTAATCCTAATCCTAATCCTAATCCTAATGCTAATGCTAATGCTAATCCTATCCTACTTTAACACTCGTTGTGTACGTGGTTGTCCGCGAAGCCGAAAAAAGTTTTCATGATTGGGTGAGTAACGCTCCTCACGGGAGTTACGAAGTTCTTGGTGCTTTCTACCAACAGGATCGGGCTGAAGAATTGCGTAACCAGCGCAAAATCGAACGTGATGAGCTAATTCATTGTTTGCCTTATGGCTCGATACAAGAATTCACTTCGTCCAGTGGTAAACATTTTCTTCTGTTTCCTTCTTAGGATTCTGAAAATGAGATGAAGGGAAGAAGTGAAGAACTGCTTTGGGCTCATCATCTAATCGCCATTGACTGTGACGATTGCTAAGGAGGTTGTGAAAAAAGGGTCGGCCTTTCCTGAAATGGTTGTTGCTCTAGGCGAAACTGCGGACGATATGTCGCCTCGTGGCCGTCGATACGTCACGGATGTGATCCCACAGCGACCTTTGGTTATGGCTACAGTTGGCATACTCGATATAAGACAAGCACATGAGTAAAGACAACCGGTTAGTTTTTACCTCGTAGTTCATTCTCCCTTGATGACTTCAGAGAAGCGACGGTAGGGTAGAACACTCACTCCATGACTTGATGGGTGGTTATCTTTCCTGGTAAGAAAGAGGTACCTACGTAGTTTTTCATCATCACTGAACACCTGAATGTCAGTCCTTGAGAATCAATAGTGTTTTTTTTACGATAGTTGTAGTAAAGACCAACACGGTAAGCATCCTAAGCAGTGCTGGGCTCCCTTTCAAATTGGAATAAGAGTTCTTGTAGAGCAATATCCTAGTAAAAAGTGGGAACTCACTTCTTCACCGTAAAAACAGTGAGCAAACTACTAGCTCTAATTTTTGCCAAGGAGGGCAAACGTCGACTTTTGCGTCTGCGAAATCGGCTGGAGCAACAGGAAACAAACCAGTTTTGTCGACTGATACGCTTTTATGGCCAACATGGAGTGTCCATCTCTGTCAGCATCTGTCTCTACGTTCCCTTGTCTGTATAGAAGAATGGTCCCATAGAACCAAAATACAGGAAATGGAGGGTAGATTCAACACCGATCATCCTTCATAGAACCACAATACAGGGGGAAGAACAAAGCTACTGAAATGGAGGGTAGATTCAACACCGATCATCCTTCATTTTTGAAGGATTGAGGATTATGGTACTCATCAAGCACACTTTCTAACTTTGGCAGCGTCGGTGTTGGGACAAAATTTGCTGAATGTAGATTTGGTCATCCAGATGTTGAGGGCAGGGCGAAAGTTGAATGGCTCGCACTTGAATCCAGATGTGCGGCGCTTTAAGATGGACTATGCGAAGGAGAGAGTAGGGAAACGTGGTGAATAATCTTATTTATATTCTGTGTACATTTATTGTGTTGGTGTCATCTAGGTGTCAGTCTGGATGAAAAGGAGACAGAATCCAAGAATAATTGGTGATAATGAAGATGAACAAGTGAGTATTGCAGTGATAGGTGAAAATTCCATTCTAGTACAACAGGATTGTTGTAGCGATTCTACAACATGTTTGTAGGACATCGGACACAATATACTGGGTTTGACATGTAGAAAGACTTGACAGAAGATTGCTCATGTTATGAATTACCTTATAAGTTGGCAAGGGAAGGTAAAAGATGAAGGTCTGTGTGGATATTTATTGTTATGAATGAAAGATGTACTAGCTGCTAGGTAGCGCTATACTCACAAGTTAATATTAAGGTCGAATATCTCATCAAAGATGTACTACCTACTAGCACTTTTTTGAAGTATTTGTTGTTGAAAAATAGATTTTTTTACGGAAGTAAAAATGTTTTACGAGCGCGCGACGCTTGCTCTATAGCCGTATGCTAGAGATTTCCTGATTGTGCTTTTGCTTTTGGGAAATCGTTAGAATCAAGTTACTGGTATAATTTGGAATGCTGAAAAGGAAGATTGAGTTTTGAACATTTTCACTGGTAATCGTTGAAGTAAATCCTTGTTGATGACATGCAGCTTGTTAAGGTGAATTAAGTATAGCAAAAGGATTAAATTTCATATCAGGAAAGGCCTTTTGGTGTATCCTGTATCTTTTCGATAGCCTTCGGGTCGTTATTTTTGTGTTCTCGCGTTCTACGACAAAGACCGACGGCGACAACGACGTTGAGAAAACACAAAGCAGCAGTTAGCATTGTGGGCCCACTCTTAGAAAAGATCCAGCATTGACGGTCATTTCCGAGGATGTACCGAGATCCCAAGTGACTACTAGGTCCAAGACAGCACAGACAAGCTTTTTCGGTTTCTTCAAAGGACCTAATATTGTTGGACGCTTTAGTACGCCGTCATCTTCTTCGTGTATAAAAATGTACTAGAGCTAGTATTCTGGTCTCGGTCGTCGTCGAGAGGAGTCGATAGAAGTCTGTGCAGTGGAACATGTTGATCGTGTACTAGTCGTGCCAAAGACTTGTTTTCGGCTTGTACCAAACTCGGAAGGAATATGCTCTATTTCGGTGGTTGCGAGAAAAACACTTCGGAAGAAAGTGTCGTTTTGACTTTGGCGTGGTCCCCTAAAGTAGTTCTCCCCCCCTTCACCCAATACACCATTTCTATACGCATTTAGTTTGATAGCAGACTCTATCTCTTTTTTTCAGAATATGGTGAAAATGTGCTTGTGTCTAATTTATTATCTGTGAACTAGCTTTTCACAGACGTCGGACACGTGCCATCACTCTATAATACGATGGACTGACATCAAATTTAAGTATTTGATATAATCACTGACTCACTATGACCTACAACTTACAAGTAACATCATAAAAGATGGAGGATCTTCAATTCGTGTACACTCAAAGTGCACCGCCAGCACATCTGCCAGGAGCAGGATCGCCGCTAGCTGGGTGCTTCTCGTACATTTCACCGTCCGATGCAGCAGTAGATGGTTAAGGCTTACTATTCTTGAATAAGCAAGCAGGACAGAGAGAGATGAGCTTTTTTTTTGTGATACTTATTATTTTCTAGGTGCAAACTTTAGTTTCACTCGCGACGTTCCGTGCTAGATCTAGACTGTGCAGATGACTTACTGATACTTGTATTTGTTTCTCACACCTGATACTTTTTTTTCTAAAAAGATGAACTAGATAGCACAAACAAAACTGATAGTTGTATTTCTAACACCCAGCTGCATCGAATCCACCGAATGAGCATCCTCTTCGACCAACTGCAAAACCTGAGTCACCGCCTAGTTTTGGGGAGGAGGCTGGTCGCAATGTTGGAACACGTTTTATTCGGCCTCGTGGTACAGGTGACATTATGGGTTGTTGCAATTAGATGACCTAGCCATAATATTAAGTTGTACTTATCTATAACTTCTATAACACGTTCGTTTCGGAGAATTATCGCTACTCCAACATTGCCCTGTATCTACTAGAACATTTTTGCAGTAAATTGATACTGACGTTTTTCAACAGGCTGAGCCATAGATGATATGTGACGAGCACTGGCTACAAGATGTCCTAGTACCGTTGAAAAAACAGCTTTGTTGAAAAAACGAGTTAGAAGACCACTTTAGTATCGTCGAAAAGAAAAGTTCAAGAGTTTCGTTGAATCAGTTATACTGATTGAAGTGGTCGTGAAAATTGGCAACCGCTAAGGATACTTCGGAGGATCCTTTTCCCACGACAAAAGACAGCCCTCTTTTCGGTTCAGAGGACGACTTATATGCCTACTTGTCGGACGATATGCCCTACTTCAGCAGTAACTACCAAACCGACATCGATGAAGCAGGTACTACGGCTGTGACCAAAATGGTGGATGTGGGTGACGTCGCCCATCCACCGGAAGCACGTCTTCTTCAAGAAGATCAGGCCCCAAGGGTTGTTCTAGAAACTGGTGATCATGGAGTTGTTACAAACATTCTTCATCAGCAAGACGAGAGTTGTAATGCTGTGACGCGGAGGGGGCGACAGGGGGAAGAAGATCAGGCACCAAGAGTTGTTACAGTTAAGGTCAGCTTTTAGTGTCCATCTTTCTCGGCATCTTGGTGCCCTTTTGTTCCCCTGTATTCTTCTCATGAATATTACAAGGTGCAAGGGGTCAAGATGAGGGGGCCGAGATGCAAGCTAGCAGACTCTAACACAGCGCCTGCCCCAGGCGCTCCCGACTTTTCTCCTGGGGTGCAATCTGTGGCAACCGTTCCCTTGCATGGCAGTCCTGACAATGTAGAGCAGACATCTTTGCTGATGCACGTTGGAGGCGAAACACCACAATCAAGAAAAAATACTAAAATCGGCGATCATGATACTAATGACACAACTTCTCACGACTTCTCAGCTGCTAAGAACGAGCATGAGCGCGCAACTTCTCACGACCTCTCAGCTGCTAAAAAGAACGATGGTGGACACACTCCTAGATGTTCTTCGGCAAGTAGAAGCCTGTCGCGCAGTAAGAGCTGTAGCGAGCACGCGTTCTTAGGTGGGACAAGGGAGTCGAAGGAGTCCTCATCCTGTGTGGTCACGAAAGGATTGCTTCCATTACAATTGTCCTCTAGAAAAGTGAAGCCGTCCAAAGAAAAGCAGCTTCATGAAGATGAAAACGACTTTCGTGCTTCTCTCAGTGAACAACAAGGGTCCACCGAGGATTCACCCATCTCGTCTGCAACAGATAGAAGGAATAGAGACAATCTACCACAAAATTTGGGTAATGACCTTGGTCGTCGTGATCATCATATGCGTGTGCGTGACGAGGCCAAAACATCTTCAACAAAGCCGCGAACTTCTTTTGAAAGCCAACGACCTGTTGCGGAAAGTCCATTGCTGGCGACAGCCGAATATAATCGACAATTAGCCGAAAATCTTAGAAAAATGGTGTCCGTTCGTAGTGCACCGACTTTACGACCAGAGTTTCCAGCTTCTTCGCCAGTCTTCGGAGATGGGAGTGCAGAAAGCAAAGATGTATTATACTCGGCGTCAGGTTAGTGATGAGCGTTCTCGAGCAGTGTCTGTAGCGCTGATTATATGGTGCGGCATCTTCAGTAAATTGTTCTCAGTACTAGTAGTAGGAACAAGATGACGTCGAGAGTATGTTTAATTCTTATCATTCTTGGTGGATGCTCATCAGCGTCAACCTCAAACCTCCAACAAGCATTACCTCAAACAATACCCATTTCTCATGAAATTTCAGGTGCACCGCGTTCCTTCCACGACATCTCTATTACTGCCTGCTCCGGTGCCAGTGGAGGATAAGACTGTGAAAATTGGTCAGCGTGATGATCAAGCGCAGGAAATGCCAATTGAAACTTCTTTTTCGCATGTGATAGAGTATGATGAGGCCTTTGACGTGGACACCAGCAACATCCTCTTTGATTATGGCGCAATACAATATATTTCTACGAGGCTTTTTTTTTGTAGTCACTTCATCCATGTTTATCCAAAATGGAAGAGCTTGCGAGACATTTCTCACTTTTTCCTTCTTGGGATTCTGAAGGAATGAAAGCAAGAAGTCAAGTGTTTGGGCTCTAATTTGAGGATGTAACACAAGGGAAGTTGATTGTAGAAGCGAAGGGGCACCAACAGAATGGAGTAATCAAGTCAACCTACATCAAGGACGCAACAGACGAGATGAGAAGATCACATGCGACACATGCGCCGGTGAGTGCAACTTCGAAAGTTTCACAGTCTCCAGCTTCTGAGGAGCATCAATACCATCTTCAAGAAACTACGACCTCTTCAGCAGGAATTACGGCAGATCTGACCACCACAACGGAGATTCATCCTGCGTCGGGTTCGGCTCCTACGGCCACTTCAGGTCCTCCGCCCACTTCAGACGTTGCCAAGAGTGAGCGCTTGTCAAGAGCTCCTATGCCCACTTCAGACGGTGCCAAGAGTGAGCACTTGTCAAGAACTCCGATGCCCACTTCAGACGGTGCCAAGAGTGAGCACTTTTTGTCAGGAGAAGATGCTGAGATTCTGTCCTTAGCGCTAGAATTGGGCTATGACGAAGCGACCGTGTTGGAGAACCTTGGATCCCTAGACCGCCTGGCGAAGTTGGAGTGTCGGCAGAATTTACAACGCTTGAAGATCGAACTCCAGTTGCACAGTTACGGGAGTGATTGCACGCCTAGGAGTGACGGAGGCAGCAGTGAAGCAGCACGCTTTGAGCAGACCTCCATAACGCCTCGAAGTGACGCAGAGGATGCTGGTGGAGTTGGGGGTGACGCACGAGTTCACGGCACTTCTAAGGAATACAAGCAAGATCTTAACCAAGAGAATGTCACGAATATGCTGAGCTATGTTTTCGGAGACCAGTCGCATTATCAACATGTTGCTGCCACAGCTACCGCCACAACGAGAGAAGTAGACACGAAGGAGATGATTACCGCAGCTTCTGCTGGAATGATAGATGCAGATGCACAAGGACTAGAAAATGGTAGTCGCGGAGGGTCAACTACCGCAGGCACTTCGTCCACATCTTGTCCCGCCAACATGCAGCTCATTCCTTTAAGGCTTCTCCTAGTCTATCTCGTAGAGCATCCTAGATCCACTTCTCAAGGGGAAAAAGGTCTCAGGATGATCCTCAGGATGGATTAGCGTGAGCTCTAATTCCCTCTACAGCAGGTGGCGGAGGTGGTGCTGGACGGGTTATCGGCACGAGTGTGACTACCTTTCGACCTTACATTGCGGTCGTGCCGGAACCTCGTTACACGCTCTCGCCTATCGCCGAGGAGAGTGTAAATGTTAAGGCTCCTTCGCTCCAATTTCTATCTCCAGACGGAAGCATTTCGAAGCTGTAGGGAAAATTCATATGTCCAAATCCGAGATTAGTTTCTGCGTCTTGACCTCGGTCATGATCACATTCAGACTCTGTCTCTACGGGTGCTACGAACAGCACTATCAGGAGCATAAACGTGACGTCTCAACATGGATTCGGGTGAGCTCTAAAAATGACGAGTCAACTACACGTGGAAGGTCTGCAAGCGAGGACTCCACCACGCGAAATATTAGCCATGTACTTCTTCAAGGAACGGCGGGTAGTTGTACTGCTGGTACTACTACTAGTACTGCTGGTGTATCTACTTCCACTGCTGTTGGCGCATGTGGCTCTGCTGCGTCTGGCTCTGGTGCGTCTGCTAGTAGTTCTTTTGCTGTTGGTGCGTCTCGCGCGTCATCTGGTGTTAGTGCTAGAGGTGCCGCTGCTCTTGGTGTAGCCACGACGGGTGCAGCTTTAGATGGTTTGTCAGCACCTAGTATAGATGAAGTCTATATTTCGCCTCTGGTGTCTCGTCAGCGGATAACATCGAGGAAAAGCGAGCAGGAGGTAAACCGGGACGCCAAGACAGCAGAGAGTGGAAGGAAGAATAAAGATGAAGTCGGGACAGGGAAGAAAATAGATGAAGTAGTATTTGAAGAAGCACATCCGCAAGAAGCACACTTGCGTCGGAGGGAAACGGATACAACAGATACTGCGATAGATATCGACAACAAGCAACAGAACAAGAATACTTTCTCACCAAATCATCAAAGAAACGTAAAAGTCGATGCTCGAGGACAAGCCTCGGCGCAAGCTGTGACATCATCCTCAGCAGTGAAGTCATCCTCTCCTGGTGGACGTGCTTTCCTACAATGTCGACGCGATGGCGCGAGCGTGGAAGAAGGGTCTCTATCTGTCCGATTGCCTGGCCCCAGGCCAATAGTTGATAACGACGCCGAGTCCGACGCCACGACGTCAGTTTCGACTGCGTTAGAGCGTGTACCTGCTGCGGTGGGACATGATCATGGGCAGCCACCAGAAACAGCAGAAGTTCGCCAGCACTTAGATCGTCATCCACGTGCATCCGAGACATTGCTGCCACTTGCTCCGAAGTTCGAGCTGCGCACACCCTTGCCAGAGAAAGATCTGCGTCCAACATTGTGTAGTAGTCCGGAAACTATCGCAGGCGATGAGGTCTTTCCCAGGAAAGGGGAGGTAGAAGAAGAAGAGGCACCTGATCATACTGTTTTCCCATCTGCAACAGGGAGTCGAGAGGAAGAAGGTCGTGGGGGAAATGGACCACAGCACATCCTAGGTGAAGATCGTCAGGTGGATCAAGAACAAAAGAAGATTTTTCTTTTCGAAAGCGAGGGTGCAGCTAATGCTAGACCAGCATGCCTGTTATCTTCACCCAATGTCGTAGAGATGGACGAGCAGCGTCGCCTCGCTATGCTTGAGGAGAGCCGGTTGCATCGTGAGGGCCGCAAGCTAGCGGACGTCCGCTTCGTACTGGGCGAGAAGGAGAGAGAACTGCGAACCCGCGAGCAGGAGAATGCGGATTGCATGGGCCGCTTTCGGAGAGACTTACGTCGTGTCAGCGACGAGAATAAGCAGTTGTCGCAAACGGTAGCGGAGTTGATGGAGCAGCTACAGTCGGTGCAGGAAGAAAATGCCCACTTGATGGCGGATCAGCGAAGATTGCACTCGGTGAACACAACTTTGGCAGCGGGCAATCAGGCTCTAGTGGAGGCAAAGGAGGTGGTGTACGAAAGTGGAGATGACGCAATGGTGGTACGATCGTCGAAGGGGGTTCATTTAGAGAATCAAGAGGAGGACTTTCATGCGCAGCTAGACGATTTTGCGGCATTGGAAAACGAAGAAGACAGTTTTACTGAAGCTCCACCTGAGGAGAGACTGCGTGTCGTGCATCGAGATGGCCGTGGTCAGAATGATGAAAGTAGAGGACCGCTTCGAGAAGCTAACAAACAGCACAACAAAAAGCATAGCGAAGAACATACATCAAACTCGAATTCTAGCAGGACAAAGAAGCCGCCATCTTCTTCCACGAGGACGACGGCTGTGAAGCGGCGCAGACGACCGAAGCCAACCGGTGCGTCGCCTGTTGATGCTCGGTCTTCGTCAGCTGCGGATGAAGCTTTTTGGTCAGCTTCTGGGGAACAAATCGATTACAAAGCTCACGTTGAAGGTCGTGACCGTAGTCGACAAGGTCGTGACACTTCGTGTCAAGACGAAGTCCCCAAGGACGGCCGCCGTATTGGTGAAGACAACAGAGACGATGCTTTGTTGCAATCTGACTACACTGGACGGCAAGTAGGCTACATCCGCGGCCCCGCAAAAGTTGAGGCTGAGATCATCTCCCGAAGCAGTAGCAGCGCGTCCGTAGGCCCCCCTCGCGCTGTACCAGTTGTAGAACTACAGCCGTCACCGGAACCTTTGTTAGTAGATCATGTTAGCTACCGTCTGGACGCAAGGCCGGACACGAAAGACACAACATTCCGTGTGCAGGATCATGTCCTAAAAACGGATCCACCGAGTTGCAGTGTCAATGTTTATAAAAGCAGTTCTTCTTCTGGTACTACGAACGTTCAAGGTCCTCAAGGTGGAGCAAGAGATAGTACTACGAATTCGAATGTTGATCATGATGTTCAACAAGGAGTGACGACATCAGGTCAAAGTGGAGTAAGAGGACTCAAAGCATCACCACTGCGCATCTCCTTTGTGGACCTCCATCAGATCGAGCGCTCGGCTGAAGAGACGAAGCCTGCGCTTCTAGGTGGAGAAAGTAGAGACCAAAGAGATGCAACAACCTCTAAATCCTCTAAACGGCTATCGTCATCTTCATCATCTTCTGGTCCGTTTTCGTCAGCTCACGCAGTTCAGCAACAGCCACCAGAACTGTCTCTTGCTGCATTGTCGCCGGTAGAAGGAGGCGGCGCGTCGGAGGTTGTTTCTTCGAATACTCATGCACAGGAAGTAGAAGTTGACCACCAGAGAAATGACGCTCGAAATACACATCAACCTAAAAATATGACATATTCCAGAAGAACAAGCACTTCTTCTAGCAGTGCAACTGGTGTGCTCATAAATGTGCCCTGGAAAAGTCGTTTAGAAACGCCAGACCGTCTGTTTGCTTCAACAGTGTCTTCGACGATGCAAAATTTGAATTCCGTGACGCGCATGATCCCACCATCGCCGGAGGGTGTGAGTCAAGTACTACCTACGAAAGAACCCACGCACCATGAGACGAACTCTGTTGGTTCACACAACGTGGTTAGTGTTGTTCCCACGCACCATGAATTGAACACTGTTGGTGCACACAGCATGGCTGTATTAGCAAGTGGTGCGGGACATCAAGTGGCACTTGCGAAAGAAGCCTCAGTTGCCACGCTGGAGCCAAGTAGCAGTACACCACCACGACGAAAAATTGTGCGGTCCTCGGAGGATACTAGAAGTACAGACTCAAGAAACATCATACTTGGTGCAGAACAGTTTCGAAGTAGTACGAGTACTATCCGGCAACTTCCCTTTGTTCAGTCACTAGCGCAGTCACACGTCGAGAGTACTGCCTCGTGTTCCCCTGCTGCCGCGATTCACTTTGAGGATTTTGCGCCAAGACAAAGGTCAGGGAGTTTCTCTGAAGTTTTTTCCGTTCGGTCGCAAGAGCAGCAGAATACCAGGGCTGCAGCTTCAAAGCCTCCACATTGTTTCTACACTGGTGAGGCTGCTGCGTCAAGGCAATACCCACCGGCTTCCTCTGCGTTCTCGAGTGCTGCTCCGAGTCTAATGGTCGATACACCATTCACAAATGTTAAGAGTCGTAGGTTTTTGGTGCTTTTTTTACCGTTAGTTTTGCCTCTCATACTCTTAAGGGAGAAAGGCCCTCTTCAGGCTAAGGGAGAACAGCACGTCTGACAGAGGGACCGGGTAAACTAAAAACAACACCAAAACCTGCCTACCTCTAAAATTCGCTCGCCGTGCGTCTTTCCACCAAGTGGTGTAAGTGGTATGCAGATAGGTGCTGAAACAAGTCCCCAGGCTGCCGCTTACGCAGGTGCGATGCAGGCTCTACAGACGCTGATATCGAACAAGGACCTGTTGGAGGAACTGACTACCAAATCCAAAAATGGGAGTTCAAAAGCTTCAGTAGAACAGCGAGTTGTTCCCAAGGAGTCTAAAGCCTCGACACTAACTTCGTCATCCGCTGTGCATCTAGAGCTAAGTACTGCTGCAGAAGAACAAGGACAAGCGACCACTGCGATAGAAAGAGTACAACAAACGACTGCGATAGTAGATCATGCGGCACCACCAGCACCGCTTATTTCAATCGCAGCTCATGCTGCCGAATTGATGCAGGCTGAGGACAACTCTGCGCGCTCTTCTGCCTCGTCTTCTTCTAGTAGGAGTGGCCGTTTCAGGCAGCGGATACCTGCAACGAGCACAGTAAATTAAGGGTGGGCTTCTAGAGGTGCTCTTGTTGCCGTCTGTTTTGCCTCTCTCTCCTAAAGGGACGAGAGAAAGCGTAAAAACAAACGGGAAACAGAAGCACCAAGGCTCTACCTCTAAGTAAATCACGTGCGAACTTCTAGTTCTAGGTCTAGAGGAAGCAAACGAGGAGAGGCCTCAGCTGCCTCTTCTCGATCCTGTGAGGGAAAGAAGGGCACTAGTGCAACTGGTGCAAGCTTCATCTCCTCTGCTAGTGTTAAGGCTTGCCCTAATCCATCTTTGGAAGCATCCTGAGGAGGCCCTTCAAGGGAGAAAGTGACGCAGGATGCAGCTCGAGATGGATCGATTGGGGTGCGCTCTAATAGTAGCACTAGGTGGGCGTGGCCAGCACGAGAAGTACTAGATGGGCGTGCAGTGGCAGTGGAAGGTGCAGGGACTGTGGAGGATGCAAAACCGCAAAAGTCTCCTGCTCTTGGTCCTGAAGGCGTGGAGGCCACTTTTCTCGCGGACGAGACGATCCTCGGAATTAACGATGATTCGAGAACATTTGTAATTGAGCATCAGCAGAATATTGATGGAGGACCAGTTGTAGCGCAACAGCACCGGCCTTTGCAAAAAGATCAAGATGGGCAATATCCTCAAGGAGGTAGAGGTCGTACAACTACTTCTCGTATTGACAGCACAAGTAGTCCTCGTCGTGGTGGTGAAAACGAGAGTAATGCACGTGAAAAGGGTTCTTCGTCTTCTTCGTCTCCCATCCACGGCTCCTGTTCATCTGAGTTAGAAAAGGAACATCAAAGGACCCGCCATGCAACAGATTCACAATCATCTTCACCCAGAAAAGAACAACAGACAAAACGACCACAGATCCATGATGCAGATGCAGCACAACAGAAAAGTCTAAGTGACGAGTCCAACCGTCTTCGCATATTGGAGGATGAAATGCGTCGACTGAAGGACGAAGCGGAGCGCGTGCGCATGGAGGCGGAGCACGAACGGCGCCTGAGAGAGCAGCGGGAGGCTGAATTAAAACGATCTGAGAGGATTCGAACCAAGATGCGGCGTGAAAATTTTGAACTAAAGGGTGTCTCTGGCAGCAACAGTGCTAGGACGAAAATGACAAGCAATGTTGTCAATCTTGGCAGTGCAACTAGTGCAGCTAGTAGCTCATCTTCGTCAAAGATTCCGTTAGTGGGAGTGGTGCCACGAAGAAGGACGCTAGGAGATGCCACGAGCATCAAGTATCTTCAGGCTAGTAGCACGTCAGTGGCAAGTTCTACGATAGCTCTAGGAACGCCTAGTACTTGTCCGATTGGGGAGACGCCATCGTCAGAACCAGCTGCGGTGGAACAACTAGTTGTACTAAATAGATTTATATTTGCTTTACCAACCTCACGAATCACATGAAGAACTCGTAGGTCTAAGTTCTCTTCTCGTTAGGACCATAGTCCTCTTTTTAGACTTTTATTTAATTCTGTCAACCCAGCATCTACTTTTATTGTGCTGTCGTGAACCTTCTGCATATGAATTCTAGGTCGACGGAGCAACCCCTACGTCACCGACTGAGAAATTCATCGAGTACTCCTCACCGGTGAGAAAGCGGGAACGACGTCGGTATAAGGAGTCGGGGCCGCCCAAAGGCTATGAAAAGTCTATCGCGCAGCTTCAGAAAGCAGCAATGCACGCCAAGAAACTCCGTGAACAGAGGGAATACGTTCTGGGAAGAGGAGGACCCGCTTGATCATCATCATGGTGTCCCAATTAGTTCTACTAGCCTAACGGCTTGATCCTGTAGGGGTATAGATTTTCCCATCCAATGTACAACAAGCACCAAGCAAACTAGCCATACTTCTTGATAACATTGAAACCAGTCTGAAACGACTAGCATCATCAAAAATGAAACTAGTGACTATCGCGCTTTTGCATGGTGAGTGAAAAGATAAGAGAAAATGTACTATATTTCACTGAGTCGATTGAGATTTTTAACCGTCCAGTTTCGAGAACGAAATCTTTTGATAAACCAAATGAAACTAAGCTAAAGGTTGTAGCTGAGTCGATTGAAATCTTTGATCTTGAGAAGTCTAGAGTCTTGAAATCCAAATCCATCTTGCATTTAGCAGATCTGTATTGTGCTGAGCTTGCCGATGACCAGATAGCTGACCTTGGTTCTGTACACTGATCTCTGGAGGAAAAAAATGTGATAGGTATCAAATTGCTGGGAAGGGGCAGGCTGAGGCTCCTTGGGCAACCAAATGCGCTTTTTCTGATGGATTTACTAATACTAGATATAGATTGGGTTCTCTATGTTGATTTGGAAAGTTTTCTACATGTAATGTACAGGAGTTGTTGCGTCGCGTTTTTTGTTTGGATGCTAGCGCACGGCGCAACCACAACGCCTTCAAGCAAGAATGTAACGCACACTGCGACCACACTAGCAAAAGCAATGTCCAATTATTGGTAATTCCTTCGTCATTTTAGCAAAATTTCGTCAATTCCTGCGTCAATATACTCCAGTTAATTTGCCTTGTCCTTTTGAATAGCACCAACAAAACTTCGATATGTTGGTCAGTTTGTTTTTGCAAAGTTTTGTTTCGGTCAACACTCTTCCTGCCACCTGTCGAAAATGAGTCAATGTGGGACTAGTGAAAGTCTTTTTATACGAGTTTGATGGCGTCGTCCTGTGGTTGTGATTTGTTGTCTCCTGCTAGACCCCATTCCCGCGGAGCCGCGGTCGTTGTGTCCATTGCAAGCGGAGAAGGAAAAGCGTATGAATCTGAAATAGCTAGGTAGGCCATATCTTGAAGGCAGGCTTCGGTTGTGTAGCGAATGAAGACGTCGTGGCACTAGTACAGTATTTAAATACATTTAGACTCTATCTGCTGGTGCTGTGACGGTTTGTCGGTTGAGCTGGGCCTCAGGTTTGCTTCTTCTATCGGTTTCAATTAGTGTCAATAAAGGAGTGAGAGAGTTTGCGGTGTCAAGTCTGTTATAATGTATGGCAATCTTCTCAGTATGTTCAGAAAGAAAATGTGCAAAAAACAAGAAAGGAGAGTCCCTAAGCGTCTCTAAAAAAGCGCCTTTGTGAGAATGAAAAGCAAGGCAAAGTGCTGACACCTAAGAGGGATGTTCTATGGAAGATTGGGGGGAGTCAATACCTTACGTTCATTAGACAACATGGATGATGATAATTTTCCTTGAAGCTTCTCGCTTACTTTCACTTCTCCTTCTAGGTTAAACACGATGTAGGCCAACAACTACTTACAGAAAAAACACAAACAAATGCGCATGCAGCATAGGCGAAGCGGACAACTGACGTGCAGCGCTGGCTGCGGCGCCGCCTTGGTGCCAGGCGCTGACTTGACATAGAGAACAGCAATATGTTCAATTTCTTTAAGTGGTTGTTCGCTTTTACATCAAGTGGTAAAAAAGTTCTATCTTCAAATCAAAGTATCAACAAAAACAAGTGGCTAAAATAACCAAAGCTTCATCTATAATCTTCAAATCAAAGTACTGCGGTGAGAACTTAGACGAGCACGTAAAACCTCCCAAACCACCCACATAGAGAAGATGGACGAGTGGAAGGAGCATGCCACTCGGGCAGCGCAGCTGTTCGATGCGCTGGCGAAAGACGCAATGATGACCTTGTCCGAAATCCGGGAAACGCCGTGTCTCGCTCAATTCCGCGAGGAGTATGAGAATCTGCATTCGGCGCTGCGGAAAGCGCATGAGAACGAAAGGAGATTGATCAAGAAGATTATGTTGAAGAAACCAGTAGTCACTACTGTATTGTATTCAGATTCACTGGCTTGTAGGTATTTGATTTTTGTTCAGTTCTTCGAAGCAGAGGTCTAAGATTTTTCAATTGTCGTGTTAGAACTACTTATCCGGTGGATGATGTTAGAGAATCAACCTGCTCGTGTTTCCGTTGTAGGACTCTTTGTATTTTTTGTGCTAGCAGCTCCAAGCACAATATTCAGTAATACTGAGCAACACCCTACTTGTACTTCCCGCCTCTAAGAAAAGCAAAGACCTGTCGAACGAATTGCACCAGTACCAGAACAAGGTTGCAGAAACATTGCACGCTGCAACTGGAAACCAAGAGCTGGGGCAACAGCTTAGTTCCGATATCAAAGGCTTGGAGAAGAAGATCATGGACAATAAGGAGACCCTGCTTTCGAAACGCGACCTCTGTGACGGATTAGAGCGGAAAATCGACGAACTGAACACGAGCGATCAGAGAGGTATTCTTGCAGAATGGCTATTAGCATCAATGAATGAGTGGGTCTTCCATGTTCACCTTCTTCTATCACCTCCATTATTATAGGAGATTTAGTTTGAGAGCAAGGGGAAAATTCATCAGCTTTGCTTCGATCTAGAGTCTCATCATTATTTTGAGAGCAAGCAACTGTTGAGTACTTCAATATCAAGATCGTTGAGACTTCCATGAACGAATCCTTAACAGGAACTCATTGAATCTGTTACCCTTTTAGGTGTCACTGACGAGGACCATGCCCGACTGCAGTCTTTGACCTTGCAGAAGTTATGACACCAGGCACCGGCTCAGTTTTGTGCTTCTATTGCAGTGAAAGTTGTGAGACTCTGGGTGAGAGGTTTTCACTAATCTGTGACTGGAAGTTCATCATCCTCTCTAATTCCCGAACTCCAGCAAAGAGAGGTGGATCGGGCTGCTGAGGATGTACAGCATTTGGGGATAGTGTCTGATAGGACAAGGGCAGAGGTAGCGGAGCTTCAAGGAAAATGCGCCAAGAGTGAAGCAGCAATAGGAGCACTCAGGGAGAAGAGTATGACTTCTGGATGGCAATATAACTGTTTTTCATTCATCACACTGCATTTTACTTCTTACTACTAAACGACTTGAATTACCAATCTCACAGTTCCTGTTTTTCACAGTGTCGATCGATGTGAATTTTTTCTTGCTACAACGGGTAGTTTTTAAGTTGAAATATCCCATTCTCTGCACAGTCACTCTTGCTCCCACCCTATGCTGGTGTGTAGTGTGATTCGTCTTTTCCCTTGCATTCTCGCAGCGTTCTCACTCCCATCCTCTATTTGACCTCTTTTACTTCCGTTTCTGTCTCTCTCGTTCATCAGCATCATTCTTTCTCGTTCATTCCCCTCAACGAAAAAAAGCGTGAAGTCGAGGAAATCACGGACAAGAGGAACGAACTCGAGAAGGACATCGATGATTTGACCATGGTCAGTGAGGAAAATCGCGCTGAACTCCGATCAAAACAGCAGTCCTTCTCACATGAGACCCAGATATTACAAAATTATGGAATACAAGTTACCGTTAGGTGTTTAGTAGTTGTACTTTTGCTCTTTGTACTTGTAGTGAAGATTTCTTAGTCTCAGGGTCTAGAAAAAAGCGGATGGAAAAAATCTTGAGTTCGATGTAGTACTTACCTACTCGGGGGGCGTTGCCGATGGTACTGAGTGACCATTTGAGATTCAATGATGATGATCTTTCCTCGCCAACACCGACGCTTCTTCTAAGACAGAATAGAGCAAGCGAGTCGGGATATGGTCACGGAAGAGGGCGTCATGGAGGGAGAATATCGAAGGTTGCAGGAAGAGATACGACTTTCCACCTTGAAAATAGATGAAGGTACGGCGAGCAATGGGTTAACGTGTAACTGTAAGTAGCTAATAGCCTTCACAGTGTAGACCAGTTGATATGTTGTTTGATACGTTTCTTTGATAAGATGTTGAAGCGATCGATTACTCCTCCAGTGCAGTCGTAGTATCGTAGTACAAGAAGTCTCTCTTCCACCGTGTAATCTAACTAAAACTGATTTGTCAACTACATTGGAACAATCAGGATCCCAGTACTTGTTCCTTTTGCATATACTCACCCTACTATGCTTATCCCAGCACTGCTTTTACTATTAATCAATCACACTACTTCTATGGCTCCTTTTTTCGGAATTCCTATCTCACCACACTAGTATGATCGCCCCACTATACTTACCCTACTATGTCCGGGAAACCCTACTTCACTATGCCCAAAACCCTACTGACCCCACTATGTTTGTACTGAATACTTAATATGTCCGAAGCCCTATGTTTGTCCTATAGTACTTACCCTACTATGTCCAAAACCCGTCTTCATTCCCCAGCAGGTGAAGATCAAGAAAGCGGAGCACGAGAACGGGGTGAAGAAGCAGATCTTAGACGAGAAGAGCTCTGCCAGGAAAGCGCTCAGGAAAGACATCTTATGACAGCCAAAGGTGGTAAAGACGATAGAAAAAGAGGAAAGGTACTAGACGAAGGTAGGCTTTCAATAACAGACGAGGAACCTCGATCCATTACAGCCACCGTTGGTCTTTCAAAGAGTTGCTATAGATCATATACTAAAACTATAACACTCCGTATTATAGTTTTAGTCATCTTATGGTAGTATGCCAGGAGGAAGCTACAGACTTGATGTAGGATGTACAACGATATTGGATGGCCTCAGAAGTGGACGATAGGTGCTACAAATGAGGCACCATGATGACATGACAGCACATGTGATGGGGACCGTTTCTGTTTGAAACAAGAAAAAGCTTGTGACAGCCACTGTTGGTCTTGTTTCAAAGAGTTAGATCATACCTATGCATATCTAGAAGTACAAAACCAAGTAGGTAGATCATGCAGAAGAACAGCAATCAAGATACTGCTCTAAGAATCGATGTCAGGATACAGGGAGCGCTGGACACACTGAAGGAGAACATCATCCAGAGTGAGCAGATCAGGAAAGACGTATTTATACTCTTTGTTAGGCGAGCAGATAGGGAAAGACATACTAGCTACTCTGTCTTTCATCACAGATAAGGAAAGACCCACTACTTTTTCTTTCATCACAGATAAGGAAAGACGTACTACTTTTTCTTTCATCACAGATAAGGAAAGACCCACTACTTTTTCTTTCATCAACTATGAGGTTTGTGATGAGATGAAGTGTGTTTGTGTGTGATGAGAAGTGTGCATTCTGCTTCGTTTGATGATGTCACTAGGTGTGGTGGCTTCAGCTTCGTAGATTTACTGGCGAACTGAATCTAAAGGGATGAATAACTGTGAGTAGCCTACCAGGAAATGAATTGATTGATTGGGCGATAAAAAACCACTTTTTCGAGAATTGGGAGTTTGAATCTGAAAGTTTAGAATTCCATCATCATCGAAATCATGGCTAGTGTCATATTACTTGGTAAATCCTTGCAGTTGAGCCTGTTAATGTTTAGGGGTGATACGCATACGTATGCTTGTCATCATGCCATCAGTTATGGAGTGTGGATCTTGATGATTGTAGCCATCATGATTCTCATCAGAGAAGAGAAAAGTACAATGTCAGCAAATGAATTGAGTTACTGGGCGATAAAAAAACATTTTTTCGAGGATTGGACGTTTCAACTTGAAAGTTTGAAGTTTCACAATCATCAAAATAGTGAGTACGGTCATCTTCTATAGGATATCAGTTTTAGTAGTTCTAGACAGCTTTTTGCAAGCTGCTTACCCTCTGCATTCAAGCAGGAACAGTATGCTATAGTATCAATACCTCTCTGACCAGCATCTGCATTCAAGCAGGACCAGTATGCTCTAGTATCAGTTTAGTACGTGAACAAATTCTCACTGTCTTCAGGCCGAGGAAGAGCGCACAAGCTGGCGAGATAAGGTACATGACGCGGAGGCAGACCGCGATCGGTTACAGAAGGAAAACGACGCTGAGCAGAAGCGCATAGAAAGCCTGCTGCGAGAGCGTGATATCCTAAACAAAAACGTCATCAAGGCAGACGAAAAAACAAAACAGCAGATAGAACTGGTGCATCAGCTACATTTAGTTTATAAGTCATTACCGGTGCTGAGTTTTCCGTCATGCATCCTAGATTAGTCCCTTCATCCAATAAGTCATTGTCTTGTACAGGTAGTACATAGCCTCTGTGTTCGCAGTACTAAATGAAAACGATTTCGAGTTAGTACCTGCTAAATCCTTCTTTTCGTAACTAATCGTCAGGTTCGAAACAAGGAAAGCGAAGTGTCGCAATTGAAGAAGGAGATAGGGAAATGGAAGCACGACGCTCAAGAGTTTCGGAAGAAGATCTACCAACTCGAGAATTAAGAGCTCTTTATTCCACATTAGTTTTAGTTACATCCTTCGGGCAGTAACATGATCCTTGACGACCTTTTCCTTTTGTCAAGCCTTGACGTGATCCTTGACGACCTTTTCCTTTTTTCAAGTGGGAAATAGCAGTTGGTCAAAGGACATGTTCTGAAGAATGTAATGCTGCAACCTTTAATAGGAGCAAAGAGAAAAAGTGGCAATCGATCTATCTACTGCGAACACGAAATACTACAGCGGGTTGGAAGATTATGGATGCTGATGCTACTAGACAGAGTATTCGAAAACTTAAAATATGCGAGTAAGAAACACACTATCTCTGATTAAGTTAGCGTCTAGGCTATTCGTTATTTATCAGTATATCGAATAGTCTACTTTTCCTGTCAGCCTCTTCATATTCATGTAGGTGTTTGTAGAGGTGTGTTTTCTAATGGAGAAGAAGCTGTTGTAGGCTCAGTATCTTTAATAAATGTCTCATGAGGTGGGATAGTTCACTGCTAGAAGCACCCGCTTCTAACATTAGCTTAAGGCACGAGATGAAAGGCTCAATGAGGTGCAGAAGCAAATCGGCGATATGGAGACCAAGCTTGCGACGCAAAAGAATCTATATTATGACCCTTTAGAAGACGAGGAAGAAGATGATTGCTGTAGAGGCTCTCCGTAGGAGGTACCTCTTCACTGAATGGCCTCGTACGTAGATGCGTAACGCCATACACGAGGCACCTTGACATGACATTATACATAGTAGTTGTGAAGATCCGTCGTATAAATTTCTATCATCCTCCCGCTGCGCAAGTTGAAGATTGTGATGCAGTTGATGTAGTATGATCATCGAGCTCGGTATTAGCCGTCGGGTTTCTTGAGCTAGACCGTTACAAGAAGCTGTAGTGATCACACCTAGCCGTGTGCTATGCTACCCACCAAGAGATCGCTAGACTTACAGCAAGGAAGCTGTCACGGACGTACTTGCTGATGCATCTAGTTTACGCGGAATACTTGTAATATATCTTTTGACATTTTCCTTCTAATCCCTCGACGCCGTTGTCGCGGATAGGAATGTGTACTCGAAGAACCTGATAGAGTCCAATGTTAAGGCTCGATACGATTGATTTCCACCGGTCAGCCTCTTCTGTTACCCTCGGAGCGGGAAACACTCATGCTTCTTTACCCTATGATTGGGTACACCACTACTACTGCTGCGGGGAGAAGTGAAGCGTTTTGAACTCTCTAATCTTGAGGAGATTGCCAGCATGGACGTAAAGTTCAAGGTGATGTACAACAGCATAGGCCAGCTCAAGGACGAGATACGGGAAAAGGACCACACCTTGATCCGAGAAAAATTCGAGGAACAGAAATTGGGTACTTCTGCTTTTAGTGGTTTGTTCAGAAGGTTCAGATTAGGACTTTTGCAACAAACAACAGAGCGGCTTTTTTTGCGTCGTGTCTTTCTACATCTATGGATAAGAGGGAGTTGATAACGTCGATGTATACTATAGGAAGCTCTAGAGGTTCTCTCCTTGTTAGCATGTTCTCACTCACCCTATCATCTTTACCGAGGAATCTCTATCGATTCCATCAATCTCAGAGATTGAATCTCTTTTCATGGATGAATTTCTATCAATCGACGTATAATGATCCTTCCACCCCTCAGCCAAGGGCAACGACGCTATCAAGGAGAGTCTAGAACGGGGGAGGAGGAGGTTTCAAAATCTATCGAGTATTCTCGAAACTCAGCAACAGGAGGCGAAGAAGCTAGAGAAGGTAATAAATGCAGCCGAAAGCGAGAAGCACGCACAACAGAAAGAAATCAAATTATGAAGTACAAATTATGAAGTACCTGTAGAAGACCACGTACATTCATGATCATGGATGTAGCCACGTGAATACATTCATGGAACATAATGAGACATCATGAGCTACTCAAAGTTTTCCGCTCAGTATCGAGTATAAGAAAAATCGATTCCAAGAGTCACGGAAAGTGCAGTTCTAGTAGATGAGTCGTGAAGATCAGGGTTGAACTGGATTATACGCTATTTAATAATCTCTCCTGTAATATAGTCATCTCCTTGCTAGGCATATCAATCAATCAATCAATCCTTCTAAGAAAAGGCGTTTCGGATGAGCGTGGTGTCCTGATGTCGCAGCTGATCAAGCGCAATGAGGAATTGCAAAACCTCTACGAAACCCTAAAGGTGCAACAGAGCAAGCTCCTTCACGGAGAGAACGAATACAAGGCCGTTTGTGATTGTACTAAGTAGCTAGAAGAATGTTCTAATCATCTATTCAGGTACTTATTCAGGTATTCTACTTTCAGGTTCTACTTTCAGGTTCTACTTTCAGGATCACATTAGTAGGCTTATCCCGTGCAACAATACTTTCAGGTTCTTGTTAGTTTTGGTTTCGTGTGCCAGCACGTGATCGCTCCTCCTTTTTTTAGTATATTTTGAAAGAACAGTTATGCCTTCTTCTTTCATTCCTCGAGTCACAAGGTGTAAATTTTATCATTCTCGCACAGCTGTAGTGGAGATGCAGAAGCAGATAGAAAGATTGAAGGACGAAGTCCAGAAATGCAGAGGCCAGATGTCGAATAGCACGAATATCAAGCGGCAAATTCACGCACTAGAAAGAGAACTGATACACGAACAGTGCAAGGTACTTACGCAGCACTAGTTTATTTCAGATTGATATGCTTGTTTGGATAAAAATGTTATTTCAGATTATACTAAACTTATAGAGGTCGTACTTCTTCAAGATGTTCGTTGAACACCAGCGCAAGGAACAACGAGACTACACTCATTTGGACGTAACTTTCCTAAATGTTGCTATGGTTGTTCCAAACATTAACATTCATTGTCTTTCTCTTACACAAAACTAATAGGTCAGACACTTAGAGGAGGAGATGCGGTATCCAATGAACGTGCACAGATGGCGAAGGTTAGAAGGGTCAGATCCTCAGGCATACGAGCTGATGCTAGGCATCAAGAGTCTGCAGAGACGTCTTATCAACAAAACAGAAGAGGTATAGTACATAGTTTGTTAGTGGTATCCGTGTATACATCGTTCGTACAGAGTGACCATTTGAGACGCAATGATGACGATGACGCGTTTACATTGTATCTTCGTGTAAGTTCAAACCCAACGTCGTCACCTACAATTATGAGGATCCTTGTCTCTCTAGATTAGATGACTGTCTCATGAACTTGATGAAAGCACAGACGATGAGGAGTCAGCATCCCTAGAATCACAAATATACCATTCCCCTTCCCCTAACTACTTGCTAAATTGGTTAAGAATAACTGCCGCTTAGCGCGTCAAAAGCTACCTCCAGAGCAGGTAAATGATTGAATGAAGGAGGCTAACCTAGTAAGTGAAGGAGGGTAAACTACTACTCCCTACTACCTACTACCTACTACCTACTACTCAAGGTGATCGAATGCGACATGCTGACTCAGGAGAAGGAGAAGCTGTACGTGCAGCTGAAAAATATCTTAGCCCGTCAGCCGGGACCAGAAGTGTCCGAGCAACTTCAGTGGTACTATGTAAATAAGCGAGTAACGAATACGATAGCCGAGTATGTGAGATTGTTCTCGAGCTTACTCGCTTATTTCAGTTTTATGTGAGATTGTTCTCGAGCTTACTCGCTTATTTCAGTTTATCGAGGAATACTCTAGTGCAACAAGACAAGAACCATGAAGGTAGCACCTTGCACGGCGTGATGAACAGATGCAGAGGGCATGGTATCTGATCGTGAGGTTTGTTAGAGTTCATGTAAAAGGGTGAGGCTTTTCAGAGAATTAAACAAAGGCCATCAGGCGAAAGAAGCACCAGGATAGCAGAGGTCTGCACAGTGACATATTATAAGGATTAGGCATAGCATTGCTTGAGAGAGGATGCTTAGGAGAATGGCAATATTGAGGGTGGCGAGGATGCTGATGAGAATGACAAGGATGAAGATGCTGGTGATCAGGCTGAATCTGAGTTCATCACGAGAATGATGACGTTGGTGATTATGTTGAAGTAATAGAACAGCAAGAAAGTGGACCCTCAGGAAATGAATTCATTTAAAAGGTCATAAAAAACCATTTTTTCGAGGATTGGAGGTTTCAACTCTAAAATTTGAACCTTCACCATCATCAAAATCATGACTAGTATAATTTTGGCTCTTGAATCCTTGCAACTAAGTAAGACTTTGGAGGTTTAAGTAGCATATGCATGCTCCAGATATCAAAAGTGGTGGGGTATGAGCCTCCATGATCTTGATCATTATCAATTTCAGTGAAGTGAAAAGTGGCTCATCAGGAAACTAATCGAATTGCTGGGCGATAAAAACCCATTTTTTCGAGAATTGGGATTTCAATTTCAAAGTTTGAAGTTTTGGAATCATCGAAATCAGCATCATCATCTAGTTTCTTGAAGCTTTCCGCTGAGATTCTTTAGGCTTAGATGGTGCTATCCACTCAAGTGTCACCCATGCTGCTATCCACCCAACTGGTTTCCCTATTCTTCCCCAGACGTCCCCACAAGAATCATCACTAACATCCTTGTCAATTTCGCCACCCACATCCGACCAGATTCCTTATCCTATCCACCCAACTAGTCTCCCTATCCTCACCATCACCTCCAATATCACCAACAACCTCAGCACAAACACATTCACCAACATGCTCACCAATATGCTTATCAACATCCTCACCATTTCATTTTCGCCAGGCTGTCGCACTTAGCGTTCTAGCTGGAGTGGATCCCCTTGAATCTTGAACCCTACCTATCAACATTCTCCTCACCTTCATACATTTCCCTTGAGGAATCCCTACCATCAGCAATCGTTCCCTGACGTAGGTACACTCGTTCCCTGAAGGAGAAGACAGCGCAGATGAGGGCGATGGCAGAAGAACTGAGTGGATACCATAAGAGCTGTGAGGATCTGAGGATGGACATCGGGAGGTACAAGAAAGAGATCAACAATTGCAAGCAGGACTACTTCACTCGCAGGCGGCGTGGTGATACGTTTCATTATGGTGGAAAATGGAAATGATATTACTAGTACCCTTACATCTGGGGAACACCTTATAATTTCTAAGGTAGAGTAGTGTATAGCACGCATGGTGCGTGGATTAGTGTCGTGATCTCACTATATTTCTTTTTCTTAATATTCTAAGGTCTACACGCTTAGTATGGAGTTTAAAATAGAGTTTGTGTCTATATGTGCATTAAAAAACCCACATCAAAAGGAAACTAACATGGTTTTCAGAACAGGGCAATATGCTTGATGTCGCGCACTTCCGGATGTCAAGCGTCACAAGCCTCTAACATTATCTCGACGCCATACCTGAAGAGCAAGCGACACACGCCGCGCCTCCTCCCGCGGCCGCTATGACATCGTAGAAGTGGCGCTGTCCTGTTCTCGATGGCGCGATTTCTACAACTACTACTAGGTTTTGGAGATACAACAAAGCTTTGTAGATCTTCCTCATTGCTGATATGCTGAGATTTACTGATGCCTAGTCATCTAGCATTAGGGAGACTCTAAGGACAATGTTAAAGTCTTTTTGAGACAACGCAAGCACTAGTTATTGCTAAGAACTGCTTTTCTCTTTTCTCTGAATACAACCATCTTATTCTCTTCTCTTCTCTTTTTTCCAATCATAACGCTAGTCGGACTTGTACTTTCGCAACGATGAACTTGTTATAAATAATCGCAACTAGTATCGCTTTTCGCAACGTTGTAATTGATTCTGCAGTTCAAAACTAGTGACATACCATGAAATAGGGAATAAATGTTGATGCTGTAGGGTTTCTTCAGGATAGCTTTCAGTAGTGTAGCTTCAGTGTAGCTCCAGACATTCACACATAATGAGTATCTCTCTTCCAGAAAGAATCAGTTTCAAGATTTGACTTCAGAATTTGCATTTTCCAAAGCGTGACCAAGTTGGCAGAATACACTCAGAAGAATCAATGCAGAATCGCAATGAATCGAGAGGTAGTCGCTCGAAGAATGGAAATTTTGAAAGGGATGTTGCCAGTTCGAGTTCCTGTCGATGCCGAGAGACAAAGAAGCAGACCTGGGGTCCACGCTTATCTGAGACTGTTCACTTGAAAAATCATGAGCGTGCTGCATAAGCGAGAGTGTATAGAAATAGTAGCTCTAGCCGCGTAGTTCTGGATGAAGTACCAACATGTTGTGTTGTTCTTTATGTAGTTGTAGAGTTTAAATCCTACTTGGGGTTTGTGACCATGTCGTCTATAACGTGAAAAATAATCAAAGACGAATGGCAATTGTCACTATGAAGCTTTCCTTTGCTCCTTCACCTAGCAACCTATTAACTCATGTGGAGGATCATCATTATAATTAAATATTCCAGCTTTCTTAGGCCAGCAGGAGGTAAGAGGTCGTCTTTGGCGACGTTTCCGTATTCGACGTTCTTTTATTGGAATGTCGTGCGGTGGTTTTTTTTGTTTAGTTCGGTCGTTTTCGTGTTTGTTGTCGACTTTGCCTCGTTGTTTTTCATTCGTCGTGCCTTCTAAGTATTTCATCCTCAAAAACTAACGAGAAAAAAGTTTGCTTAATTATGTATGCAGCGTCTATGATCAGGATCACCATGACGTGCTGATATGTATGAAGAGAAACATCATCGTCGTGAAATTCCATGATGGTGGACCAATAGTCTTGACAAGAAGAAGATGTTGTAGAAGGTATATTTATAGTAATTTCACTCTTGAGAAGAAAACTTTTGGTCGTGTGGAATGAAGCCTCGTGGTTTTTAAGTCATTTTTTTATTGCGGTAGCGCGAGAGGTTGCTACTGATTGGCAATTTTCACGCGGATGCTATACTCGTAATGTTCCTATTACGAGGATTTTGCAGGTGTATGTCTATGTTTAGAAGGCAGTAACTGAAATTCTTGGAGTAGTAATTCTTGATTGATAAAGACAAGATGTGGCCCTTCAGCCGCAAGAAGGACAACAAGGATGGGGAGAATAAGCCCTGGCGGGCGAAGTTCAACGAGAGTGGGATGGATATGTACTACAACAAGGAGCTCAAATGCTGGGTGGAACGTGGGAAGGAGGAAGAAATGCGAAAGACACTTGCAGACATGCTACCCTCGGCACCTCCGTCAGCGAGTGAACTTCAGTTATGACAGTCAGCGATGTTAATGTATCCACATCAAGCAAATGAGGCCATTAGAATGGTTCTGTCTCGATTATAGTAGTGCTTAGGTTTTTTATCCGTTCAAGCAATTATAGTAGTGCTTCACATACTGCACACGAGGCACCCACGGACGACAAAACCAAACAAGATTCGCGTTGTCATGTTTTTGAGTTAGAGGAAGACTGCTTCTGAGGACCGACTACACTTTCTTGAATTCTCTAATATAGAAACAGACGGAGCAGCCTGGAGGTGGATCTTCAAAGAGTGGAGGTGGATCATCGGCAGACGGGCAAGGGATATCAGCAATTTATGATTTGGTTTTCGTTTTCATCGGAGGTGATCAGCTTTGAGTTACTTCTAGTACTAAGTAGGGATAGGTACTTTATGAACTATTGGCTTAGGTAATAGACTGAGATTATCTACAGTTTTGAAAATTAGGTGTTTGGTCCCCAAAATCATGCTGGTATTAACGAAGATTGAGATCATATCGTTCATTTCATGAGAAAGTAGTCAGCTTTTGTCTTATGTGATGTGTACAACGTAGAAGTCGAGAAAGTGATCTCTCTTGCGTTCATGACTTTGATGCAATGATGCAGCCGCCGTCGCGAGGAGGTGGCGGCCTGGATTCTTTACTGCGACCGCCTTCGCGACCCTTGCCGGGTAGAGGAGGTAGTGGGAAGACGCCTGGAAGTTCGAGCTTGATTTAAGGCTTCAACCTCAAATCCATCTTCAGTTGGAGGTGACTGTTTGCGGTATGGTTACACTTCTAAGGGAAAGTAAACACAAAAGGTCATAAGAGGATGCCGCTCAAGATGGATTTTGGGAGGAAGGTCTAACTCATTCCAACGCCAGGGTCTTTGATACCCACCCCAGGGTCGTTGATACCGACACCAGGCCTTACCCCCGAGTTAGGCGAGGATGACCTACCGGTACAAACACTTACACGATTATTGTCATTGCTAATAGTATCAAGATCAATATGTCGTCGTGATACGCTAGAATTGTTCAGAGAAGATAATGATTTAGAAGCGGGCTCCCGTTACATCGCAATGACAGTGGTGTTGCAGTTGCTGCTTATGCTATTGGGGTGAGAAGGAGAATACACTCGAGAAGGAGATCCACAGCTGCACATGCAGAATGAGACATCGACTCTGGTGAATCTCTTCAGCGCTTCATGATGGACGGCGTCACCATTATGTCACCCGTCTTCTTAGCCGGTGGAAAATGAGCGAAGTTGAAAGTGCGTGACAATTGAGCATCATGATTGAAATTAGTTTCGGAGGCGATAAAAAGCCATTTTTTCGAGAATTGGAAATTTGGCGTCTCTATCTGGTCATCACCATCATGATTACCATCATCTTGATCATTCTCGTCAATGTTTTCGTGCTCACTCCCATCATTTTCACCTATCATAATCACCAGGGTTAGGGTCTTGGAGAATCATTTTCATATTGCATGTTGCCACAGTGATGTAAGCCCTACTTCGTTTGTATTGTACTGAGAGTGGACCGCCAGGATTTGATTTGAATTGCTGGGCGATAAAAAACCACTTTTTCGAGAATTGGAGACTTTGACTTTTGGTCGAGATCTGAAAACGTGATCATTCTCATCACCCTCATCACCCTCATCACCCTCATCACCCTCATCACCCTCATCACCCTCATCACCCTCATCACCCTCATCACCCTCATCGCCCTCATCATCCTCATCATCCTCATCATCCTCATTTTCACAGAACTAGAACCGCTCCCATCTTTTTGAATCCTCAACAAAACCTGCTTTGAAATTGAACGATGTAGGCGTTGCAGCATAGAGTTAGTAGTCCGTATTATCGTCAAAAAGGAATATCAAGACTAAACAGCCAGGTCTTGTGATATGGGAAGAAGTTGATCACAGTTACATTACTAGGCTGTAGTCGAATACTATATAGAGCAGCGTGAACTTATCAGCCGTAAGCATGAAGTTGACCTTTTCTGTACTTGTCACTGAGTTTGGAAACTAGCAGCTTACACCGGCGACATGTTGTTGAGTTACTTTTCGGCGACATGTTGTTGAGTTACTTTAGTAGCAGCGGATGTAGTGCTGCTTAAGATGCATTACATCGCAGGAAAAATAACACAAACTATTGTCCAGATTCTCGCGAGTACCGGTGGACCTCAAATTTCTAGTACACTTGGTGGATCGCATCCTCAAGTATCTACGAGTACACCTGTCGTTTCTGGTGCTACGCAATTTGGTGGTGGCCGAGGTTTGATGGACGACGATGATGGCGACGAAGATGTCTTGGGCATGAGAAAAAGCACGCCACGTAAAGAAACGCCACCGATTTTTAAGACTAGAAGTACTGGCGTCATAACGCCCTGTTGTCCTGAGCATCATGATCTGCGCCTCTTTCCTATTTATTCCTCACCTCTTGTTTCTACAGAAGAGAGGTGGCAGATACACCGAATGACTCATGATTACCGAGATCGCTCTAACATTCTGCCTTATGATTATGGCGAGGAGGCGATGTCCGAACTTCATGACGAGCAGCAGGCTATTTCCTACCATGCGGAGGAGGCCACGCCGGATCTTCATGCTGCAGAGGCAGCTCCTGCGCTAGAGGAAATAACTGGGCCTGCCATAAGAGAAGAGCATCAAGCCGGATTCGCCTCGACTTCAGGAGAAGGCGTGTTCTATGGTAATGAGGACTATCAAGATCAACGGGATGAGCAGCAGTACACGAATTTGACACAGGCTGGCTCTCATGAAGATTTTCAGACAAGAAATGAAGATCTTCAAAATGCGATGATGCTAAACAGACCAGACAACTTTGGCGGGCACCTCAGCCAATACCAACACGCTGAGGATCATCCGGTGGAAGAAATAGCGTACGAACAAGATGTACAACATCAAGCTCATGACGATAGCTATTACAGCAGGAGTCTGCACGACGCGCAACCACATCTACTGCATAGTGAACAAGATGAGGCCCTTCACCGACCTACAAGCGCGCATGATGATGAAGGCCATCCTCCGGATGGTTTTGACATCAATGAAGAGAGCGGCACAGCGGGATCCTCTTCGTCCTCCGCAGAAAGCAGTTCTGAAGAGGTCAGTCCCGAGAAGGTTCCTTCTAAAATGACAGCAGTTAAGGCAACTAGATCTCAACTACAACATCCACTTTTTACACCCGTTTCCGTATGGACCATGGCCGCGCGCCCAAATTCCATCCTGTTCTTTCCACAACGTGAGGGTTTTTGAAAAAGAAAGTTTCTCTTTCGAATTAGTACTAGACGAATAAAGACGTCAGATAGGATACATAGAAGCGGGCCGAAAAATTGGGCGAGCGCCTACTTGGTTTGAACACTCTAAAACAGGGAGTCGTAGCCCCTCACATGTTGGATCGACGAACCGACAAAACTCACAGGAACCACGAGGCGCTATTATGACATGATTTACATTTGTTTCAGTGCTTAAAATCGTATGAATTGCTCCACTAACACATGCTTATCTATGCATGGCTTGAAGTTCGTGGAATACTAGACGTAGTTCACTTGTACTCCGAGAATCTCTCTAACTATTGTTGTAGTTGCACTACCCAAATAGCCATTCCACATGATCATCCTCCGTAACTGTTACGTGTGTTAACTGTGAAATGATTGTTAAACAGGTGCTGGCTCAGTAAGGTCTTCTACTATTGATGCGTTTTCTATCCAGGTGAGTCTTTCATGCTGTTCATCCAGCATCATGTTGTTGATCTGTGATCGTGCAGTCCATCCGTCCTGACGCTTTTCAATTTTTATGTTGTTCTAAAACGACAAAGGGTGTCGGTATGGGAGGTTCCTCTGCTTCGCAGAAAGTCTATTCCGCTGCTGATGAAGGGACGCCGCCGTTGCCGGAGAACTTTGCACCGGAACCCAGAAGTGTGGAAAGGAATCCTCAACACCTCACTCCCAGTCAAAGCTCACAACATTCATCCCTTTTTATGGCCATTGCCGATTCATCGATTGATTCTTGGTCTCGAGGCTCCTTCTCAATTCAAGATCCTTGTATATTTTGTGTGTGTGTGATGTGTGTAGTATGTCTTGACGATAGAAGCATTAAAGGTAATAGAGTACGTAGAAGAGGAATTTTACTTCCCTCTACCCAAAAATCTAATGCTTCCAGTTCGAGGAAGTATCCGACACCAAGCGACATTGACAAGTACACCATTGACGAAAACGCTGAGGTACGGCTTCGGAGTGAAATGGACCGACAAGCATCTGGAGCGGCAGGGAAGGGACAAGAGCATCAGCTGACTGGTACAAGAGAGGCATTTCTACAATCACAACACCAAGTGCACAACCCGATTTCGTTGTTACGGCTATCGACCATATTTCAAACTCAATCAACTTCTGTGTATGTAGATCGATGCACACACATCATCATGATCAGACTGAGTGATATTCTTTTTCTTGTGAAACACACCAAGTTCCTAGGATCTAAGAGAGCTATCGCTCTTGAAGACGGCGTTCTTTGGATGGATGTTCCAAAATTATGAGTTGTATCTGAAAATATGTCACAAGCACAGCGACTGCTTTTGCGTCTTCATTCTTCTAATCCCTAGCGTGACTGGCCTGAGTCACATGGTTTTTCCAGTACGTGGATCTTCGACAGAAACGACGGATCCCTTGCTTCAGGGCATCGATGTACTTCAAGTTACGCTTCAAGAGCATCCGCTTTAGCGTCGTTGTATTTTTTCCAAGATCTTGTATAAATAAGTATTGGAGGTATTTTTTGTAAATGTGCTAATTATAGTAGAGTACTGTAAGACCGTGGGGACGATGGTTTATATTTTTTGCCGTTCTCTGTTGCTTTTCAAGGGGGATAGAACAGTGGGCCAGGTCGTGGCATTTTGATCGGGAAGGAAAGAGCTAGAGTTTCGCAACTGCCTCTAATCAAGGCACAAACCTCGGCGCTGCGGAAGTGAATACAGCAAGATTGGCGACTCATATCGAAGTACCCGATGAAGAGTTGGAAGAAAAGGTGAAGAGCATACTATTAGCTGGCCAGGGAGTTGCGGGGCCGGGAGCACTGCACCAAGAGACGGCCTCAAGCAGTTTATGAACCCATTACAAGCTTCTCTTTTCCTTCAGCAGTCGTGGTCCTCCAGGTTCCAAAATTATTACTTAATGAAGTTTGACAAGTGAAGCTATTGTAGTCGGAAATGACAGCTGCAGCAATTCTGGTTTGCTGCAGTAGAAAAGGTGAAACACCATAGAAACTGACAGCATTAAAAATAGCATTTAGTATATTCGCAAGAAATGTGACTGAAGAAGATAATTTCTGTTGACGGGATCAGTAGCCTATGAATCTCTAAAAATAAGCCAGGTAGGTCTCGGAGGTGCTCCTAGAGCTCGTCTGTACCAAGAAAGTGTCTACTACCGTGGCAGTACTACTCGTGTAGTCAGGCCATCGGGTAACCAAGACAGACGCGGAGGTGCAGGAGGAGGTCAACAACTTCACATGTTGCAAGAAGAGGTGGACCAACAAGAGGGCGATGCGTCTACCTCTATGATGATAGGAGGAGCCTCTAGTTCTATGCACTCACAAAGACAGGTGCAACAGTTAAGGCTCGTCCCTTGCAAAATCCATCTCGATGCGAAGTAGGTGAGTCTGTTCTTAGAGCATTCTTAGACTAAGATGAACAGACTGTGTCAGGATGGATGTACGGACGAAGGTCTAAGGTAACACAATACAACTCATGATCAACACCAAGCTGACCAAGAGAGGCAAGCGATTCTGCAGAAGGATCAGGCGGGAAAGCAGTTATTGGCGGCCTTCGACGAAGCCATTAAGGACACGACTGTGCTGGAATAGACCATCTTTTACACCTCAACTTTTTTTTTTTTGCCCGGCATTTGCCGACGCTCCTTCTTGACGAAGAAGATGGTACCAAAAGCAAAATTGTGAAACCTCGCTGCATGATCGTGAGGCACAACTACTAAGTAACTAGAAGAAGATCAAGATATCATCTTCCACTGAAAAAGGATTAACGTAAAAGATGGGGTTTTCACTTGCCATCTTGCTTGGCACTCCAGTTGTTGTATCTCTAAGGTAGCTCGCAAATTAGAAACTCTCTCGGTCTGCAGCGACCCTATACCGGACATATCACCAGTCCTCGAGTCTCCAGACATACATGAGCAGGACAACCTAGACCCTCTGGGAGGGAGTGGACTGGAGGTAGAAAGTTATCATGAACTCAATTTAGACCCGCTGGGAGGGAGTGGACTGGAGGTAGAAAGTTATCATGAACTCACAATTAGTAGTTCAACTTCAAAGCGAGCATTGCCTTTATCAATTAGGTAATTTCTCAGATGTTTTTTTGACAGTAACTACAGAAACCCTTGATGTAGCTAGTAGGTACGCAGTACTTCGAGTCTCATTAGTTTCATAAATTTGTCTAAGGTATCTTCTCTCTTGTTGTACCACTAACAGGATGATTTGCGCAGTGACACGAGTTCGCTGGATGAGCTAGAGCTCTTCGGCGAGGACGTTGAGGACCCTCGTCGCTACCTGGATAGCGTCGATGTGGTGGAGCTGCAGCGGGCTTTAAAGCACGCCTGTTCGTTACTGTTACGGCTCAAGATGATGTATGTAGATGTTGCTGTGGTATTGTTCTTATGACTACTTATATTCAATAAAAATGGTGCTGCCATTTTTGCATACACTTGGTCGGTAAATGCCGTAATCTAGAATTTGATTTCTAAGATGAATACATGTATGATGGGCCCTCCTAATGAACCTCGACAGGTATTCAGTAAATATTTGCTAGACCACTACTTTCGTAAGTTAGGAAGGCCCGTCTCCTCGTGCCGAGAGTAAAGCATGAATGACTATGAGAGAAGTGATGACGATGTTGCGACTAGAGCTAGACTCCTCTAGTTCGAGCTCTATTTGCGCTAATCCGACACACCAAGGACGCTGAGATTTGCGAACTCAAAGCCTACTCCGAAGACCTTTCAACGAAATTTGCCGAAAAAACTGACCTCTTCGCACGGAAATTGGCAGAGGCCGAAGAAAGAGAGCGCGTTCTACTCCGCAGGGTGCAAGATTATGTCTGCGAGGATTCAAAAATAAGTGATCTTCCCTCGGACTATTTTAGGTATGTTGTTGACCCTTCTAAGACGGGCAAGAGGAAAGCATGCGCGACAGAATTGCGCGACTCCAGATTGAGACAGAAGAGTTGCGCCGTGACCTTTCTAAAGAGGTCGCGGTCTCGCCCGAGAATGACCAGCTCCTTTCTGAGGCCGTTGTGGGAGGAGGGCGTAGCGGAGAAGGTGGAGAGCATATTGTTGAAGGAGGAGATGGAGAGGGCCGCGATGCGGTATATTCCATGTTTTAGTTAGTTTTCTTTTTCTATATTTTTATTTTAGGAATAATGCGGAGTCAACCCATCGTACTGTTTGTATTTCAATCGTTTCTTGATCTGCGTGTTAGAGTCCGTCGCTATGCCTCAACATCTACACCTTCACCATAATGCTCACAAACGAAGATATAATCCCTACCCTTGCTTAAGCACGATGTACCCCTAGAATGGGTTTACGACTACTACTACTACTACAGGTTGACCCACAGTCTTGGAATAGGCTTGCTCAGTGGGTCCAGAAGGCGAATTTGCAGGAGGCAAAGAAGCTTCAGAGGACCGTGGACATGCTGTCGGCTTATTGTTATGGCCCTTCCGTCCTACTCTTCTACTAGATATCGAGCTTCAGGTAACTTGCGAAGCAAGTCTGGAAAGAAGGTGATGTAATGATAGCTTGAGTAGATTTTCCTATCGACACGTCTGGTGCCCTCACCAGGAGGCACTGCGCGAGTGTCTAAGATAGAACACGCAATATTGGGGACAGTATGATGATCGATGAATATTTTTTTTGGTTTGGTGGACGCCTGAAAAGACTGTCATTGGGACGACTTCGAAGGATAGAAGGTATTATTTGGTTGAAGGAGAGCTTGGCTGCAGCTAGTACTGTAGTAAATAGTCATTCTCGACGAAAGTCGTGTCGTATAATCATCCTCGAAAGTAGATGAGAAGAAGACGAGCTCTACTCTAACATTCGGAGAAGCAGTCGTTGGTGATCCAGATTCTACGCGCTTGGGTTGGCTACGTAGGGCCTTTTCGAGCGATGAAGGCCTTCTTCGTTGATTTCGGAGCCGTTGAGGCCGTCTGGGAAACTTTAGACAAATACTATCAACGGTATCTATTTTTCATCTTTTGAATCGATGAGAAAGTCGACCTAGAAATTAGGCGTAGGCGTTGTATCTTGTTGGAAATGTGATTTTTGCTGGGACCGATATCACAGTTATAGTAGGGGAGGCAATACATTTTTCAAGCTATCATTTTCTCCTCTCTAGTGCCTCCAATGTTCGCGATCGTGATACGCTTTTTTTTATAAGTATATAGTTTCCTACTTCTTCAATGTAACTCGTCCCTTTAACCACGAACAGGGCGAAAAGAGAATCAGATGCGCAGAGTAATTCGCCCTCTCACGAACAGGAGCTTGGGGCTCTCATCGTCATGCGTTTATGTTGCGAGCTGCTGTGGCACATGTCGTATACCACCGATGCAATCCGACGGTTTCCCCAGCAGCCGATCGAGCGCCTCGTGGAAATGTGCGGTTTTTCTCTCCTAGCCGATGACCCAGAAAGCGTACGCGGCTTGCTTGTTAAGGCTGGTCATAGATTCGAAGCGTAAGTATCTATCTAAGAGCAAGGCTTGCCTGATATATTTGACGTCCGAGTCATCTCGCATTCGTCATCGACAGCTGGTAGCAAATACTCTGCAAGCGATTCCGCTTTCCATGAATTTAGAATAAGAATGTGGTGCAGGAGGGAATTGATGAAGGAAGTAGCTGCTTATACATACTGCCAGTGTGAAAGTCTTGTGCTAGATAGTAGTCTGGTCATATCATCTCTAACCTTCGTACGATTGCAAACTTGATGAGCCAGGCCGAGGACGCACAGGCCACTTTCCTAGATGTTGGCGGCATTCAGTTCCTGAAAATGTTGGACGAAAGGTATCCAAGCTTCACCAGCCTCGTCGCCAATGCAGCAGCAGGAAACGGTCTACTTATGGAGATTTTGATGTGTGTCAGCTAAAGTTTACCCATACCGAGGAGTGCGACATATTTAAAGATTCGAGGAGGGCTGAATTCGAATTCGCTCAGCAGCGGGATACTTTTATATGTACTTATTTTGTAAGTCGTTTTTGCCTTATTTACTTTTTGTTTTGTCTACTTTTGTCCCACCCTGCATGAGTAAAATTCTTTTCTTTATTCCTTCGTTTAGCACTAGTTTATTTCGGCTCAAGATCGTTGTTAGTTCTATCTGAGATATTAATCAAGGAATTCCCCATCTCCCGTCTTCATGTTTCCTCCCGCCATCAACAACGGACGGAATAAGCTGTCAAGTACGAAGGCACGGTCCATTGTGGGCACGCATATGATGCAATGCTTGTACCTAGTCAGCCTCACTTTCCGGCACAGGGTTTTCCAAGAAAAAGGGCATCTCCTTGCCGAAGGACGCCCAGAGCAGTGGGCCGTGTGGTGTGCCGACCTTTTCAAGAGCCTGGCTATATTATGACAGTCGCTTTACACCTCAGAGCTTGAGGTTGAGCTTTCTAGTCGATCACGTCGAAGAATCCTTACACCTATTAACTGCAGAGTGTGTGAAACTATTTTTTTTTTGACATGGATGGAAGAAGGGCCTCAAGAAATATATCTTTCACCTTGAGATTGGGGAGATAAAATGGTCGTCATCTTCTTCTCTAACTTTTGTCCACGGAGGTGGAGAGGTGCGAGTCGGGGGAGAGCCGCATTCTCAGCCTTCGCTCGATGGTGACCACCCTTTCACGCGAAGACAGGAGGAACAAGCGCTGCAGGACGATCTTCAAAAGGATTTTCTAGTGGCACAGGGAAACGAGCGAAGACTAGAAGAGTCCGGCGCCCGACAAAAAGATGGAGATAGGTCCATCCCGCTAGTTGAAAACGTCGCAGACAACGGAAGACAGAGGTTGTCGCCTTTGCAAGATGATTTTGATGATTCTTTCTCCAAGGGCTTATCTCTTCAAGAGGCTCCTCATACCGCGAATCTTGATATTTGATCCGCACCAACAATTACATGGTAATTTTTACTTACACATATTGGCTAGAAGTACATTTTTAGTTGTTGGACTTCGTTCATATGTTGATTGGAGAAGATGTCTACTCCAACTTGATTACGCATAGCAACTATTTTTAGTACTTGAGCTTGATGCTGTAGTAGGAGAAGACTTAGAGAGAGATGTTTACTCACGGAAGATGGTGAAGATAAAAGATCAAGACAATGGCCTATTTACATTGACTTCGGTCAAGCCACCGTATTCCAGTCATTTTTACCAGTATAACGAGAATCAATGATGATACTAGCCAATTTTCATTAAGGCAGGTCACCCTGTCTCAGCTCCTGCTCACGTTCTACGACTCGAAATTTCTTGAGTTGGTCCGCACGTTTAGTACCTAGTCTTTTGCTGTTTGTTTTTCATTCTTGCTGAGTGGATGTGATGTGGCGAGCAATGAATCGAAAACTTAAAATAGGCGAGTAGCTACCTGAAATTAAAGAGGCGCTACACTGTTCCTCTTTCAGTATCTCGGTTATTCAAACTAGTAACTTGCTTATTTCAGTTTTTCGTATAATATGTCAATTATTGCCGAACGACGTTACGGTTACTCATCCGAGGAGGAAGTGCGCCTAGTCGTCTCAACAAAAAACGTTCAACTTAGCTCGTAAAAAGGACTTTTGAATCTTTCGTCTAGATACCTCATGTCGATCCATCTATCTTTCTTTTTCAAAAAACGCATCTCTTTCGTGAAAAGATCGTCCTGTCCTGGAGGACGACGCGGAGCTCTCTTTTCTGGCGGTTTCCCCTCACACTCGTTCTCGGGTGCTCCCGAAGGGAAATCCCGTGCTGGGGTTGGCTACTATGAGGATAAAGAGGTTGTATCTATAATTAGTCATCTTCAAGTTCGATTTCTTCTTTCGTACGCGAGCAGAGTGTATACCGAACCCGCATTTTTCTTTTTATGATTGTCCCCATCCTGGTCAATCAGCATCCCACGTGACACCACAACTGCGGTTCTGACGAACGCTAACCAGACGCACAGAGACAGGGCGATAAAATCAATGTAGAGGCGAGAAGGGGCAGCAGCAAATCAGAATCAGATTGATGACGCACGCAGATTTAGCTGGCGTCGTATGTTGTTGTAATGATAAAGAGAAGTTGTAGCGCAAGAACATCAACTGGCCTCAACCAAGCTGGATAGTTCAGAATTCCGGGTCAGAGGTTTCGTGGTGAGGTGATGTGACGAGACCAACCCGAAGCAGAAGCGACATCTCTGCGTGTTCATCATTTTAAAATGTCCGCATTTGGATCGGCAAGAGTAATTAGGTAAGGTGTTGACAAAGCTAGGTTGAGATGGAGAAGAGAGACGCTTCTTTTCAACTTCAGTCGCCTCTTTTATGATCTCTGCCAGCTTCTGTCGGTTTGTCTGTGCCTACAGTGTTTTGGTTTGCGACGAGAGAAGCCATTTCCATCTTCTTTCTTTGGTCCAGATCTGTCCTGATATCGGTCTTTTTTTCCTGTTGGTAAGTAACTTCTAGAGGAGAGAGGATGTTTTATGCCGCTTCTTTTCGAGTATTTCTACGTATACATAGATACAGATGATCAGTTCTGCCTTTCCCTCTGCATAGTATCGTAATTGATATAGCTTTACCCCGGTCGGCCGCAACTAGATCTACTTAGTTGTATGGGTACGCTTACTTGCAACTACATTTCAAATTGTTTGCATATATAAATGATGAAGAGGCCGGGATGTACTAGCGTGACCCAGTAGGCGTGATGAACCGTCTTCCGTGTGCACGAAGATGACATCACTCACTAAGCAGGATGTGAATCAGTGGTCACAATGAATCGTGGTACGTTATTTGTAACTATGAGGTACTGCTACGTGGTTCATCTCATAGACACAGATTCTGTCATCCTAATGATATCTTCAGATCATTTTTTGCCCGCAAGTTTTTTCCTTCCCCCAAGCATACCTGCGTTGAATAAATGAAAAAATGTCTTGATTTCTTTGTAGTCACCACTTATTGCTTGATTTATAGTCACTACATTCCTTAATACTCTATAAGGTCTACACGCTTATTGCTATGCCATGATTTGGACACCATTCTACAAAAGTTGTGTCTTGATCTAGACGTCTGTAAACAAGAAATCTCGAAGTCTGTAAACAAGAATTGTGTCAGAAGTGTGAGTTGTTCAGCAATTTTCGCCCTAATCTTGAAATATTAGGCGAGTAGCTAACTTAAATTTAAGCGAGTATCTATGTATCTTAGAAGATTACACTCTGGGAAGATAAGGCGGACATTATAAGATGAATCAATTACAGACAAATTTGGAGCAACTGAATTCGTATTATAACTACCGCCAAGACGGTCCCGTGAACGCGACAAGTACTCGAAAAAACACGGCGCCTGGTGCTCTGCTGACAGGCGACCCCCACGGGCCCAATAGCGCCATGAACGACCAGGTTGTCCCCAAGAGTCCGGCCAATCGTGCCCAAAGCGAGGTCACCTTCTCCTCCGTATCCAGCGATGATTCCTTACCATTGGGTACTTGCGGATTATCCTAACTACCTTTAGGTTTATAGCATGTACTTTATTTTTGCACCTAAAAAAAATCATGCTTCGATGAAGTAGGATAGTAAATAGACCATACTAAGCCGGCATAAGCTTGGGTCTATCATCTCACACCCTCGCAGTATGTCGCGCGTGATGTCGCCGAGGTAGCATATACCTAACCTGCACGTGGAAAGAGAATGGATGCCGTGCGGTCCTTGTTGCGTCGGTCTTGTGTTGTTCTTGTTCTGTCTTGGTCGTTCTTCGTTCTTGTGCTTACTTAAGTAGTTAGCTAAGTAGGACGCTGACGCTGCGGAACTGGATCAGAAGGCTTCGGCTTTCGGTGGGGGTTGGGTCACGTTTCGCAATGGATCACATGAATAAAATAATAATAATAGTAGAATAGTAAAGATTTCTGAAAATTCAAGACGATGACCCTGACGCAGGGGGGCATAGGGTCTACCGTTTCAGAGGTACAAGGCCTGCCACCAGTAGCATTCCAAGGTAGAAGTAGAGGCCATCTTCATACTTCATTGTAGCTGGATTCAGTGGTGCTGCTAACTATCATATCGTTTGGACACTACTACTTGCAGCTGTCATAGTTGTAGATCTTTGGCATCCTTATCATTCGCTTATCAATTTGATTGACGTGCGCAGCCTGTCAACGTCATACCCACCTGGTCCATGTTAGACGTTAGAAATTGAAGGAAGTTGAATGCGACTGATCCAAGGACGTCAGAGTTTAAATTGGATGGGTGGGCGATAAAAAACCACTTTTTCGAGGATTGACAACGTCACAACTGAACTCATAACCATCGCCGTCGCTTCTTACCTAGGGACTGGGGCGTCATCGTCTTGATTATCACCATCATCACCATTGCGCTGAACCATTTTCATAGTTATCTATATTCTCCTAGTTGTCAACATCCACATCCATGCTAGCCTTAGACTGTGAGAAGGAAGGTGATTCTTGAATCTGTAAGCTCTCAAAAGTTGAGCGCCTGGATTTCAATTTGATTGTTTGGTGATAAAAAACCATTTTTTCGAGGATCGGGCATCTCAGCAACTCCAGAGCTAGACTGACTTTGTCTTAAGGGCGCCGCTCTTAGAGCTAGACTTACTTTGTGTGTGTTATTCCGGCGCTATGTTACCACCCTTACTTAGTCCACTTAGATGCTGGAGAAAGAATAAGTCACCACGTGGCACCCTATACCTCATGACTAGGTACATCAATCAGTCAAGCAGTCAGTCAATTAATCAATCAGTTAATGAATCAATTACTGACTTGGAAACGTCCTAGGTAAATCTCATTAATCAATCAATCGCTTACGACCAGGTTGCGAGCACACTGAGTATTTCTGGATCAAGCGTTATCGAGCATTGAAGAGGAAAGTGAACAGCAAAAAGGATGCAAGCAACATCCAGAGTATTCAGGAAGACGTAGAGCTGGAACTCGAGGAGTCTGGTGGAAATAACATTTATGGCCATGGTTTACTAAAGACAACTAGTAGATCTACGACCTCACGAACTTACTAGTAGATCTACGTCGACCTCATTTTCCGATTCTTAACGAAGGCAACCTATTTGCAGATGAGGATGTTGGTCATAGGTTGGATACAAAAGACCTTCGTGCAAGAATTTTGTTGCGATGCGTGAACTTGATTTTCTGGCCGCAATTGGGCTGGCTCTTATTGAATAGTTCTGATGAGATCGATTCTGACTGATTCTGCTTTCAGGAATACAGTAAGCATTTCTGAGAACTTTGAACAATCGATGCTATGCTAACAGAAGGAGGCACAATAAGTAGAGGGGACTTAGACTACAATCAACTAGCAAAAAAGTGAAAGTGTCAACATGGAGACTCATGTAGCACCAGTAAGATTTCATCCCTCTGCAAGTTTTGGGGTATCTATAAGGGTCATCGGTTCTTAGTTGCTACCGTTGCTATCACTAGAAGTAGAGCTGCTACTATTAGGTATTACGAGTGCCATAGATTGTCCGCGCAGCTGCATTGTCTAAGATACGTCCCCGAGTCGGCTGAAGCGATTACCGTGCACGCGATTCTACCTCGAGTCCAGGGCAGACGACTTCAGTAACTTCATTTACGGAAATTTTTTTTTCGCTATTAAGCAAGTTAGTAGTAGCATAAGGAGACCTATTGCTCAGTCGAGGGGCTCGACGAAAGAAGTGCGCGGACAACATACTTATTACAGATTGAGCAGAAAGACACGACCTCTGCTGGACCGAGGTACAATTTCACTCTAACTAGACGCGAGTCATTTGGAGGAAGTCCAGGGCTTATCATCAACGAGCGGAAAACCAGCTATGCTGAGGACGCAGGATACCCTGGTTATATCAAACGTCAGCAGCAGATGGTTCGTTGTCGATGCCGTGCGCCCAATGCGGCTATTGGTTTTATGTTCACAGAAGCAATCAGAATGAGAAGAGGCAAGCCTGCTACTTCTCAGCTATCTAGTACCACTAACTTTCTGCTGTCTGTGGCAGTGGCTCCTAACCAAAGCGCTAATTGTGCTTTGACCTTGATAAGATGAAAAAAGTTTTTTTGATAATTAATAAAGTTCCTTCGATCGCTTGGTAATGTTCCCACCTTAGAATTTGAGCAAAGCAGTCTTGCGGATCATTCATGCTCTAGAGTAACGACCACCTGCAGCTGTATTGTCCAGGTCCACGCCTCAGAGTCAGAAGACCTGAAGAATTTCACGTCTTCACAGATGGCCTAAAAACCTAACTAAGGAATTACGCTGGCGGACAAAGGATCTTAGAGTAGAATGTTGAAGCTGAATAGTCAAACGTCTTTGCCTTTGGCGCAATGAGAAGGTCACTAGATGAAGAGCTTTGACTTTGAGCACTTATTCGCGCCGACGAAATTCATCGGAGGATGCGACAATGTCACGCAGTAGAGTCTGTATCTTTTTTTCGAAATATTGCCTTTCTTCTAATACTCGGAGCGACAACGGAAGGGCACGATCGATTGCAGCCAGCCGACTTGTCAAGATTGATTAAGGCTTTTCCCTTAAATTTAAAAAATAGCAGGTTAATTATTTTCCGTCTATTCTTAGGTTTATCCCACCATGCCATAAAAAAGCAAAAGCATCTAGGAGAAGCTAAGAAGGTGTTTTTTTTCTGTCTCAGTTAGAGGGGAAAAGCGCTTGGTTGGCAGAGACAGAGAAACGCCCTCAGCTTAAGAAACATATGAATTTCGTGTCTCAGGGTCCATTTAGCTTTGAAGATGCCTGAGAATGAGATGAGGCTCAAGATGTCGCTCAGTCTCAACGTCTAAATTGAAGGTGATACCTGTGGACCTGACAGGTCGCGGCGACCGAGTCAAGCTGTTAGTGACGCCAAGCCTGGGCTATGCTCCCGCGGGGGGCGCTGTTGCACCGGGAACTTCAGCTACACAGTTATGGCAACTGATTTCGATTGAAGTAACATAAGAGCAGGGAAGTTGCTACTACAGCAGCGCTATCTTTTTACTCAGGTGCTGCAGCTTTAATTTGAAAAAGATTTCAGTGAAGATTATGGTCTCAATAATTAAAAATGATACTACGAATTACAACAATGAAGACGTCCACTGTAGTTATGTGATTTGATTATCTATTCTAATATATTCCGCTGTACAAGAGTCCGGAGGAGCAGAGCATCTCCCTTCCTCCTCGTACCGTCTTAGTGGCGATTTGTTAAGGCGCGCGTACGCAAGGAGCTAGTTGTAGTCAGCAAGGTAGTAGTAAGTTACTAGGCACTGCAAGACTACGAATGCGTCGCTGAGATGTGACTCCTATCACTGTTCGTCCAGCTGTTGAGCGTGCGCATGGTGGTAATGATGCACTTTCCCTATTCATTCCCTTATTTCATTATAACTGCTAACAAACTAATGGTTGTTCCTTTTAGAGTCGTCGATTAGGTTTTTTTTGAGATATTTTTTGCAGAACGGAAGATCTAGAAACGAATGTGTTTCTAGACCCAGAGAGCATTTGATGTAGAAGTGCCAACTTCAACTCCATCTACAAGCTTGCGTACTAAAAAAGATATTTGTACCTCCCTGAACAGAGAGGCAGTAGTGTGACGTCACCTAATCATCACAAATGAGAAAGCGAAAGTACGTAGGTAGAGTTTCAGTTTCATCAGACGAAATGAAGAATGTCTCTTGTTTTTTTTGTACGCGTGGTGATAATAAGCAAAGACAGAGGCCTATACCTACATATCTGAAAGGATAACTGCGCAGGTGATTCACTTATTGGCTTACGTTTAGGCCTGCTCACTCAATCCACTCTAGGTAGAGGACTTACAGAGAATATAAGCAGCGTGCTTTCATCTCCTCAGCAGGACTTGCTCATCGTTTCCTGATAATTTCTGGCAAAGTCTCTAAGGTCTACGGTTTTCGTGAACGATGTCAGGGTAGCCGGGAAATTTGAGCACGAATTTGGAACTGCGGACCAAATTTTTGGGATCGCAATCTGGCTTGGTAATCTATCGGACGTGAAATTGGTGGAGTACTAGGAAGTAGGGCAAAAGGATCGAGAAGTGCCATTGCTTGTTTTTGCAGACCGTGGTTCCTTTTCGTGTGTTTCCTTCTGGGATTCGGGGGGCCTGCCGGTGGAAGATAAATTATCGTGAGCTCTCAGAATCGAGGTATTAGTTATAGCACCCGACTGTTGACGACTCTCAAACGTTTTTAGCGATGCATACGTCTAGCAAACGTTTGCGCTTATCTATTCGAGGAACCAGACAAACAGGGACTATACTAACTACTTCTTAAGCACTACCCTCCGTGCCCCTCCGGTTCCACAGATGTGTTTAAAGTCATTTTGGTGGTCAAGAAAATGAAAAGAATTATATTGAGAAAATTTAACATTCATATTTACAAGGAAGGCTAAAAAACCATGTTAGACAAGTCTGTCAGGTAGAGTTCGCATTTGTTAAATTGCTGTAAAAAAAGGACTAGAAGAAAACATCGAATTGAGCACCAACAAGACATGATAGAGCGTAGGTTGTTGTTGTTTTTGTACCTCCCTCACGCCGACGCTGATTTGCGAAAGCTGCAGCACGTCCGGCTCCAGATACAGATAGGCTTTCCTCGAGGACTTCATAAAATAGTGAGGCCTGCAGAGAGAATGGGAAAACAACAGCAGAGCTTTATAAAAAGTGAGCGAGTCAATCATCTCGATTCCAACATGTCGCGACTTTTTCTTTCAGCCGATTCTTTGAGCGTTAACATTCTTCTCACTTCTTATATTTTCATCTTTGAGCATAGATAATTTTGGATCGTGCTCTAGGCACTTTTTTATTTCATGGTTAACTCTGTCATTCGTCGTCCGTGGCCTTGGGCTATAATGAACTCGAAGAAACAAAAACATTTGTATGCGTATCGCAGGTATCTTTCTTTCGTAGTTGTTGTAGAGCCCTTCTAAGTGCGGAGTCATACGCGGATGAAAATGATCATAGGTTTGTTCGTGTGACTCTTTCATTCTCGCAGAGTCAGTTGCGATCCTAAGAACGATCACAATTGAGTACTAAGAGCATTCTTTCAACATTCACAGACTGGTAATCGTAGGAGTGGTCCGAGGGCGCCTTCAATCCGTCCCATGGCGTCCCAGAGTCTGGCTTGAGTGATGTTGAGAGCTCGTTCTGAGAGTGGAGGTGTCTTTAGAATCCTTCTAGAGCGAGTGATCGGCGTAGAATCTCTAGTGAATCGTTCTGAGAGACGTTGCCTCAGGGTGGAGAGTTTCTTTAGGTACAACTTCAACGGTCGTCCTGAGGGTGAAGAGTTTCGCTAACTACAACTCCAGACTTCGTTCTAAAAACAACATGATGATATAGATACACGTCCGTCATGATCATTATAAAACCTACAATCTAGTCCTTTCATTCTCATTGCACAGCGTCGGAGGTCGGTACTACAACTAAGAGCTATTAATTTTCTTTGATGTTCTACACTAGGTGCAGGTGACAAGTACGAGGACTCTTTAAAACCTCGTATGAGTTCTAAATGAAGACAGTTGATTTAGTATACTTACCCTAGTAAGTGATGAAGAAGTGAGTGAGAGAGAACATTGCAATACCTGCTCATCCACATACTCGTCTAGTACTGAGCTTCATCACGTCCTTTCATCTCTCTGACAATCATCACGTTCAAAACTCTCACTGTAGGTTGCATGTTTACATTCTCCGCAACTATCAATCTCTCGTTCAAAGATCATATCTGTTCTTGTTTCTTGTTTCCGGCTTCTCACTACGTATTTGGACCTAAATATTACCAAGAAGAATCAGCTAGAAGTGCAACTCGACAGAACTGGAGCTCCTGAAGATGAATCGGCTGAGGCTACAACTTCTATGCACCTCTAGAATCAGCTAGAAAAGTGATTTTTCACTACTACAACATATGATGTCTCAACGCCATCATCATCATTACACACAAGAATCCGGATAATACTTGCAGCAGAAGTGCCTTTTTTTCAACTACTTAACCAAGTATGTATCATCAAAAGCAAGAAGAAAAGACGATAAAAACTCCGCTTTCCTTCAGCACAAGCTTCCGATGTGTTCGACTGCCTGCCTGGTGCAGTTGTGGCTCTTGAGTGGTCCCTCGTTTTACTATAGGTAGACCCCAACCTAATTTTCGGTCTCCGTGCCGTGAAGTGTAGTAAGATCCATCTAGAGTGTTGAGAGAGGTTACCACTGAGAGTAGGTTACCACTCTTGAGAGTGATTTATTTCTTTTTTGAGAGAGGTTACCACTTACCACTGATAGCTGAGGGTGCTGACTCTACACCTGCTGGTACAAGATGAGAAGCCCCTAAATTTTTAGCCGGTTCTAAGTCCTGGGTTCTGGTCTTACTCGTCTCTACTGGGCTGATATGCAGCATACATCTCTGCACTAGTAGCTTGATAGTCCTCCTCCATTCGTCACTGGTCTGATGATGTTCGAATGGAGAAGAACTATCTCATCCCCACCCGCAAATGTTAGACGTACCCCTGGATTGGGTTTACTACCACTACTACTACTTAACTCTGCTCATTTTGATCTGATTAGGTTCAGGTCCTTCGATAACGCACCTTCCTATAATTTGGGGAAGATCGGTCGCTGTTATTGGTCTTGTATATCCCCTTTTTAGGGTCCCCTTATTTTATTACGGTTCGCGCTTCCTCAGCCTGTCTTTTGACCGCTCCAGGAACTGTTTCATCTCGCGGCTGGTGGTTGAGAGTGACCTATTCATGGCTCGTAGCAGCTGCTCTACAACTAAGTACCCGGTCGTGTACTTATACTTCCGCAAAAATCGAAATAAAGGAATTTTTCATCAAACAAAATGCAGAAGTTGATGGTCCAGCATCGTGCTGCTGATGGTGGATCAGTCACATCTAGCTTCTTGAGAAGTTGCCGCCCGTCTCGCTCTACTGCCAGGATCTCGACGATGATCTGTAGATACGTGGTTTTTCATCTTGGTCTGTGTTGGAGTTGCCAAGCAGCCGTGCGGATGCGACGGATATTTCCCTACGATCCTGATACGCCCAAAAAACTCGATATCGATGGGATTCAGGCTTCTTTGGGTGCGGCCGAGGGAGAAAAATTAGATTTAAGGCCAGTCAGAGTCACTGTCACTGATATCAATCTAGTGTGCTGGGCAATGCGGAGTGAGTGAGTTCCTTAACATACATCTGGTGTGCTGGACACATCTAGTGGCGAGTAAGTGCTCCTTTGAGGTTTGTCCTCAAGGGAATCATCTACTTATAAGGGAATCATCTACTACGAACTCAACTCAACCACACAGATAAAGTGATTGGGTGAAGCTTTAATAGATACTGCGATCGAAGAGCTAGCCCGCTCAATAATGGCGACGTTTTTCAACGGCACGGGTCTTCGTGCAGTGTGGGACTTTGATGCGGCAGTTGGAAAACGCGTCCCAAGATTTCGATACGACGAAGAAGAGAGCTTAAGATTGACGACAAAGAGATCGTTGACATTAAATTCATATTTTTTTTTAGCTGGTGGAGCCTTGTTCAGCAATTGCTAGGGTACTTTAGTGTTGCGCTTACGTCAATGCGAATTCCCAGGTCCTCATTGATCTTCTAAATCAAGAGAGCCTGCCGTTTAGCAGTTCCATAACCGGAGATGCGCTCACGGCTTCGACTACTAGCTCTATGGAACAAGACGCGCTTTCACCCGTAGACTCCACAAAGGCCGGAATCAATATGCAAAGTGCGGCATCAGCTTCTAGTGCGGCCGCGGGTAGTAATATTATGCATGAGAGAGTGTACTTGTTCTTGGAAGTGGAATTGGAAATGATGCCTCTCGTCCAAAGTCAACCTTTGGCTGGAAAAGCTCTGCAGAGAGAAGATACATTTTGATTTTCATTTGCTTGTTCATCTCTAATGATAAGTCCGAAGAAGGCAGCACAAAATCTATCACGGATGCCGTTCTAGGTTGGTTTTCTACATCAACATCGGCGCAGGAGGGGAACAAGGCCTCTCCCCGTCTTGATGCTGAAGTCGACGCGGCATCACCTCGCAAGAACTCAACAGCATCGAATGCACAGGTAGTATTAAGGGTAGGCTCCTTTAGCTGTTCGCATTACCGCTTGTTTTGACTCTCCCAAGGGGGAAGCGCATAACAAATAACGGGGGAAGCGAACACCAAAATCCTACCCCTAATGGTAGGCTTACCAACGAGAGACGCCGGCGCAGAAGCTGCTCTAGCTGCGCGGCAAGGAACGAGTGCTCCTGGCATTAGAGAAGACGCGGCTTCTGCTGCTCCGAAGAGAAAGCGTTACCCCAAAGACTACATCAACTTCTGCATATTTTATGAATCACAGTGCTCTCCTAGAATAAATATACATTTTTTACCTCACAACTGCCTGGTAAGTTCTGAGCAATTTCAATCTTTTCCTCTCCTATGATCATGGAAACGTCAGATGGTACAGATTTAGAAGCCTTGTCCCACCTTTGTCCAACCTTCCTTTCACAGACTCTGACGTCTTCATCTGTTTCTCTTCCATCTTCCTTTCATATGCTGGGTCTCGACACGGAGAGCGTACCACTTGTGGCGCGATATATTGAGTTTTTTCCGCAGTTTTCGTTCTGGATATTCGACGACAACATGGACTGGACCTTCTATGTATGGAAGGGGACAACACACTTGACTAGGCTTGACTGAGCGTTACCTAGAAGCTGGCCAAGCATATTAGAATAATTCGTTCGTTCACGACGAACAGCTGGAGATATCAGCAAGAAGTAGATCACACCACTGCAACGAGGCCAACAGTAGATGAACATCATCTCGTCTCACATTGATATGGGGATACCACAGACACTTGTTCTCTTCTAACAATCAGAAACTATCCAGGATCACTCTTCTCTTCTAACAGCTACAAATTTGGTGGAATTTTTTCCAGATCGGAGCATTAACGTGGAGTACGACGACAGAATCGAACATCTGAAGCCGAAATGTCACATAACCGCTTTCGGCACCGACAGCTTGGACTTCACGATGGCTCGAGTCGGTAGAGAGCTCTTCACGAAAACTGAGGTATGTATCGGGAGGTTTTCTAGTAGAGCAGGAGGTGGCTGATATGGATAGATGGACCGTGAATACGTTCTTTAGAACGAAGACGCTGTTGCTACTACTCATGAATCGCTACTATGCGACTAGTCCTACGTTGATGTTGTAGCGCGGCTGCTATTGTTTATCATGCATGAGCTCAACGACCTCTTTCATTCTCGGAAATGCTACTAGTTTGGCAAACTCACGGTTGCGAGAGGTCAGGAGCCCTAGAGTGGAATCCGGAGTGCGCGTATTTCTTTCAGCAATGGACGTCGACCATGTGCGGACGTGAGGAGGATCTCATGCTGGATGAAGGACAGGCACTAAAAACCGTGACTTCTTTAGATTGTAACAAGTGTTGATGTTGGCGTACTATTATAGGAAAAACAATATCTTTTTTTTCAGGGGAGGGACACACAATGCCACACGACGTCGACGATGCGGCTCTTCTACAGGAGCAAGTTCCCCCACATTTTTTTTACACACAATCTATGTACAAATCCACTCTTGTATTTAACAGCTCATTCTACAACTCTTAAATCTAAAAATATTAAACTCCTCCACCTTGCGCCCAGGCGAAAGTACTGCGAGAAAGTCGGTATGGTCCTTTACAATGGGAGGATGCCGAACCATGCGTCATCGGCAGTCGCACGCAGGAAAAGTTAAGGCTTTTACCCTAAAAATCCATCTTCGGAAGTATCTTCAGAAGCTTCTTCAGAAACATCTTCTTCACCATAAAAAAGCTACTTCGGAAGCATCTTCAGAGGCGTTGTATACCCTATTGAGTAAAACTACTGCCTGATCTAAGGAAGGTGAATAGTTGGGCCGTACGAAACCGAATCGCTAGTGGGGAAGACGCGTCGGACCTACTTGCCGCTCCAGAAGTTGCGCTTACTGCTAATATTATGGTGCTCTTCAAAAATCCCTTGAAATTGTCTCAAACTTATACATCAAGCCTCTATTCGTGTTCATCTGAACTGATTATGTTGCTGCTCTGTAAATGAAATATATGAAGTCTGCAGGAAATACGGTAGCATTGCGTAGCCATCTTCTACACTTCTACACTCCACGACCTACAAGGGCTGTGGTGAGTCGCTAGGTCTCATCGTGCTGTTGGTCTGAGTATACATTGTTAGACAACTACAAAATACTCCTATACCGGTACTTTAGCGCTCCTCTGGAGGTACTAGCTTACTGGTTGGCCTCGCAAGTAGACGCTAATAGCTACACAAGAGGCACCATGACATGACATATTTCACAAGTTGGTTCTAAATCGCAACCGCTGTGCACATGTCTAGTGGATAGGTCCTGGATCAGCGACCTGCACTACGAGAAACCAATCTGCCATGAATTCGAGACACGAGTCCTGCCACCTGGGATTATGGCGGCAATGATCTTGTTGTTGTATCTTCGACATCGATTAAGAACTCACGTAGTGGTCATCAAGCTCAAGGTCAACATGGTCTAACCATATTATAATGGAAAATGAATCCAAGGACTTATCAATACATTTAGTAAGAAATTGTCATTTCGGTCCTTTACCTTTTGCTAAAAAAATGTTTCTTCTAATGCGGAGCGGATCTACGCAAGACATACGGAAAATTGGTACGACCCCTTGAAGGACTTCTTCTTCGGCTATGGTCAATGGAACCAAGACTGGTTTCTCTACTTATGACAATGGGGCTTTTGCTTAAGAACGCATGAGCTGTTTGTGCTTCTGTGTTTGTGCTTCTAGGAGCGCCCCACTCGTGATTCCTCTGACTGTCTCAATCTTGCTTCCATAGGTCTACCTGCAGTCCTGTTTGGGAAAAAAAAAGTAGTCCAAGCCACAGACATACATCCATTAACGTGTGCCTGTGCCTTTAGTTCTAGATGCGGCATTTTTTTTTGTAAATCCTCGCTCGACTCTCCTCCAGCTTCAGCACGACCGCGGATTTTTTTTTGTAAATTCTCGCTCGACTCTCCTCCAGCTTCAGCACGACCGCGGCACGTCTCTAATCCTGAACAATCTTTTCCGTGGAAGGCGAAAGGGTTTTTTTGTGGACATTGGGGCCATGGCGCCATTCGAACTGAGTAATACAGCAGTTTTCGAGCAATGTTTCGACTGGGAAGGATTATGCGTGGAACCGAACCCTAGCCAACACTTGATCATGTTGGGATACAGACCGAATTGTCGCTTAGTGCCCTACTGCTTGGGAAGGAAAATTAAGGCGACAATGAACATTGTACTTTTTACCGACTTACCTTATCATGATGTATGGACTATCTAAGGTTTACCCGCTTATTGTACTTACCTACTCGTCGATTGTACTCGAGAACTGAAAATAACCGCGTTACTAACTGAAATTTAAGGCAGGAAGTAGCTTTAGAGGGCTACTCTTCTTTGTTCAGTATCTCGGTTATTCTCGTCTGTTACTCGCTTTCTTCAGTTTTTCGATTATTACAAAAGTTGTACCTGAACAACCTACAGTCTTTCTAATTTGAATGACTTAGATCTTGATTGACTTAATGGACAGTAGCGGCTGCGTCTGCGGCAATTGCCTTCATCATTTTGATTTTTTTGGCAATGACCTGCCGTTGAGCTGCATAACTCCAATATGAGCGGTGCCGTGAAGACCTTTGGGATACGAGAAGGCAGCACAGGACACTCGAGGGAAGCTTCAGACGCACCCGTTTCGGGTGCAGAAGAAGATGATGAAGCGAGTACATTCTGAGTTGTCTTAGATTTTGTGTTATGCTATTGCTAACTCATGGACAGGTGCCTGGCTATCAATTCTTTTTCATGCTGTCGTCATTGTTCTTTGACGTATTAAATTTTGATTTATTTCTTTACTTAATCTTGATGTGTGGTGAGTTGGTGGTAAAATAACGCAGTTATGATCTCCACAGAGAAAAAGCTAGACGAATGGCTGCCATCGACAGAGCTTCTGGACACTTTTCAATCGGACTGCATCACCATGGACGAAATGCTGCGGTTCTCTGGGATCAAGAAAGAGACGCCTATAGATTTCGTCTCGATAGACATTGAAGGTTATGGAATGGAAGTTTTCTGTATTGTATTGTTCGTGTCCAGCTACGTACGTAGGTACTAAAGAGAAGTACAAGAATTCTAGTGTGAAGAAACGAATAAATGTATGTTCGTAGCAGTCTAGGCTGACGAGGTGATGTCCACCTTGTCGGTGAAAGAAGATGACCAATTTTGAACGTCTAAAGTAGATCCCGCGTAGTCGATCTCTCTCTCTTCATTCTCTAACAAGTTGGCGAACTGGAGGTGCTGGTAGACTTTCCGTTTGAAAAATACACAATACACGCATTCCTCATTGAAGCCGGCCATGACACGACTAACCGTGTGGATATCCTTCTGTTGGGAGCTGGGTATGTGAAGATGGCTTTAATCGGCAAAGACCACGTCTACGTGCATGGCGAATACTTGCAGTTGTTAGCGGGCAACTATCTTTAAGGCGCTATGTTGTTGTTACTTTTGTACTTGTGCAGGATCGTTGTGCAGGATCCGCAACCTAACCTAACTGCCGCGTCTCTACTCGGGTCGCTACGGAACCAGGCAGCTTTATTTAAGTAGTTGAATGGGAGGTAGCATGTAGTCCTATGGAAAAAAAAAAAAATGAGTGAGTTGCTACGTGGTTCGAATGAATGAATGAATGAATGGACCTAACCTACGTATTTTATTTTCATCTTCTTGTTCGGCTTGTTCGGTCATATTCAGATTCAGAATAGATACTTATGTAAATCCAGCCGGCAATCTAAGTACCTATGATCATTGTTGTACCTCTGAAAGCCTCTCGTACTTGTTCTTGCAACAACGTCGCCCGACACACTACCTCATGCTAGGTAGATGCATGAATGAAGAGGGGGAACACGAACAACAATAAATGACATCACCCAACATGAGGATCTATTGAGATTTCTAATCTTCAGTCGGGGAGACGGACATGAACCCATTCGATTTGGTCTATCCGCCGTACATCAATTATGGAAAAGGTTGAACTCTGATTGATATTACAAGTACAAAGCACGCTCAGATGTTTCTGTTTCAACTCTACTGCTACTTCCTAGGCAATAGTTGTAGTTTTCCGCGTTCAAGGCACGACTCTCAATTTAAAGTCCAGTTCTGCTTCTAGTCAGTGGCAAGGCATAACTACTATAAGTTTTGAAAGCTCTAGTGGCAAGGTATACATACTAAATTATAAAAGTCATAGTATTCATTGTTTTCCTCTTTCTATGTATATTTAGGCTATCCCTTCTTGCAATATATAAGTGATAGTATAAAGGGACCAAAGACGAGTACCTAGTACATGCTTTTTGCCTTACTTCTCCCTTCATACTACCATCGAGCCATACAACGACACGTTTCCGGTCTTTCAGCGGAGATTCCTGGACCCGAAGTTTGGGGAGTAACTACCATGGGAAAAAGGATCAGCAATTTTCAGCCAGTATCTGAATCTTTCTGAGTACAATCTTCATTAGCCATTCGCTCGTAGTTTCATTTGTTAGCATCCTAGCCCCTGCTTGATGATAAAATAATTGCGCGGGTTCTCTCTTGAGAATATAGAAATTCAAATTTAATATGAGGATGGACAAGACGGAGGTCATGTTGTTCGTCGACTTGCAAAAAAGCACTCGACAAGTCCCCCGCACATTGATGCCGCGCGCATTCGACTATTGCGGGGCACCGGCAGGCGTTCAGGCAAGGGCATGAATATCGAAAGCCTTGCAATAAGTTAGAAATATACCCGTGCGAGGGTTTCTGACTTGTCCATCCTTATGAGTTTTAATTTCTATAGTCAGAAAACCAAATTAAAGTTTATAAGGATGGACGATCTATTCGATTTTGAGAGTCTACCTCAACGAAGAAGTGACGAGTGCAAGTAAGGTACGTTGTGAGGCTTGAAGGTCTGTTTACATCATGCGAGAGAAAGAGCGACATCATTTTCCTTTGAAGGCTTCTTGTTTGTCAGGATGACAGTCGCTGTTACGTCGTGCGATGAGGCGTCGTTGAGTTGGAGTTTTTTTCTGTTTCGATTGAAGACGACTGTTGTTAGACGAGTGTTGTGAGCGTAATCTCTTTCTGTTGTCAGACGAGAGTTATAAATGTTTCTCTTTGATGTTGCTCTGCCTCTGTCCAGAAAGAGGAGTTCAACAGATACAAAATATCTTTTCTTTTTTTAGAAAGATCGTCTCTTGAATTCTAAGGCTCTCGAGACTGTTTAGAGGAGGACTGTTTCAGACGCCATCGTGCTGAGGATATCGTCTGCAATCTTGATTGAGAGAGATCTGTCTTTAGTGTGCTCAATATGTGATACCATCTGGATATACCTACAAAATGTCAGTGTGATTTTTATGCTTGTTCTCGTCCCGCCAATCCCCCTACCATTTGGTCCGTGTGTCTTGATGTTTGATTTTGCTTCTCACATGATATAAGAACGTATTACCTATGTTTATCACGATTACCAGGTTTAGCTCTCCTGCCTCCTCTAGTTGACTAGTAGGAAATATCCATAGAAGATTTCCATATATTATTCTAGAAAGTCGCGCAACATATCTAAGTACTTGAAATTTGAAATAATTCGGATGATCTCGATCACCTTTACGTGTCAAAACTGGAGACATCAAGCAGCAGAGTGATACGCACATGAACTTCGATGCAGTACTAGCTTTTTATGATACTTCAGTCGTGTAACCAAAAAGAACAAAGTCATTATAACTGTTCATCCGTCAATTGACCACAGACCAAATGCTCGTGGTCAGAGTGTTTGTTATTATCTCACATCCTCTTTTTTGGTACAGCTACAAACAACCTTACAACCTAGAGTACTAGACAGTTATTATAGCTTAGTTGTTTTTTTGATCTAGAACGAAGTACATACTCCATTTTTTTGAGTACCTCATTCTATCATCAAGCGTTGGATAGAGCCTTAGTCTATCATCCACCCTATTTGAGTGGTTATGCTTTATTTGATGTTAGAGAGATTTACATTTCTTGTTTTTTTTGTTAGACATGGCCCGCCGGACCCGGATGTTGTATGAGCTGCAGCCATATTAGTTTTTGTTAGTATTTTGATGCTGCTCTTCTACTTCATTCTTGGATCATCATAGAGGCAGCAAGGCTCGGACGCATGATCGAGAGACGTTAACAAATGATAGTCTGTAGTTTTCATCAGACCGTACCTCAACTAACATAAAGATTATTATTGTTAACGAGTGGCTGGTCGTCTTATCTATCATCCGTTTCCGCGCGCCTTGCCTTGCGTTCTTTATTTCATCTGCTGGACAAGAAATTCGAAGAAAATGAAATACCAGAAGAAGTTCTTAGCGTTACAGGCCGAATTCGAAGAGGAGTTGAAGGCCTGTTTGCTTCCTGCCGATGACAACAAAGCAGATCCTGATGTAGATATTGTAGTAGAGGACAATGAGGAAGTTGCAGCTCCTGGTAGTGGTACAACTACAAAAACTTCTTCTTCTAAAGCAGAAATAAGTAAAAGTACAACGAGTAGCACTTGTGGTTGTGCCAAAAGTAGAGCAGGAACAAGTAAAAGTGGACACGAAATAAGCCAGAAAGACGACAACAAGGTCCATCCGCTTCCTGCTCCACAGCAACAGGAGAGTAAAGTACAGAACAATCATGGCCATCTTGCAGATTATCAACATGATGATGATGTTTATCAACAACATGGTGGAAGTGGAAGTACTACTTCTCGTACTACAACTCATGCGCCAACAGAGCCACCAGCAAAAGCTTCTAGTTCGCCGAATTCACCGCTAGCTGCATTTGCATCATCTTCAGCAGGAGCAACGGGAGAAGAGGATTGGTTTTCTTGGGTGGATTACAAAGGCTTGAAAAAATGCGTGAGCTCTGGTGTTACAGAAGATGCTTTTCTTGCTAAATGGGAGAAAGAACTAGTCGGTGTAGTGCGCACGATTTCCGGTCATCAACTTTTGCAACAAGCGCATGCGGCTGCGGTGCAAGCGGTTGCGGTGCAGCAGGGCTCGTCGCTCTCTCCGACTCGGTCTCCTTCGGAACCAGTCACAGGTGACAAAAAGCCCACTTCCTCGATTTATCCGTTGGTAAGAACTGAAGACCAAGAAGAGCCTCCAGTTCAAGAAGTAGCTCCTGCTCCTGGTACTGCGCAAGAAAATTGCGTGTCCTCCTCCTCTTCACCTGTTCCGTCTCACTCTGAATCTCCGCCAAACTCAACTAGACCACCTCTTGTTTTTGGCGACGGCAAAAATATCATCACTGCTGGAGTTCCCATCGTCACTGCAGCTCACACTGCTCGCAGCGAGAGTATTAAAAGTGGGCCTCATCCTAATATTGTAGAGGAAAGCGACGAGCTGCTCTTGCGCGAGCGACGTTTGTCTCTGTGTGCCAAATATTTAGAGGCAAACCGGGAGGCCTTGCGCAAGGCAGCAAAGAAGTTCGATAAGCGTCGGGGTCGCAACTATGAGGACCAACTGACAGACGTATGCATTCGTGCTCTAGCGGAGGCGGCGAAAAGCCAACAACGTTATTTTCAAGCCCATGGACCACAGCAGGATAGTAGAGCTGAAAAAAGGCCAAATAACCACGACAAAAACTTAGCCGACATCCACGACAGTCGAAAACGAAGTAGATCCATGCAGCACGCTGATCGAAGGAAGAGCTTCCTCTTTGGTTCGTTTTCTGATGAAGAAGAATTTGCAGCTCGACTAATCGCAGCCCAGGACGCTTGGAGCGGCTTTGAGGATCTACGCGAACTTGAAGCGAGAAAATTACTTTTTTCTTCAACACGTGGAGGACCTCCTGGTGCTTCAAACACGACTGCTGAGAATACAAATAATGCTGCTTCTGACCCTGATAAAGAAGCCCTAACAAGAAGTCCTGCAAATAAGAATGGAAGTGGTAGTTTCCAGAAGTTGGGATTTGCGGCTCTGCTATTAGCATTGGCTTCAACACATGCACTGGTAGTGGAATCGTCGAAAGAGGGGGGCTCCTTTCCCTATCACCCGTTTTCGATCATTTTGATCGAAGCCGCTGTCTCCGTCTTTCTGTCCTCTCTCCTGTACTGCGCACTCGCAGCCCCAGCACCAACAAATCTTCAAAGTAGAAGAAGACTCTCTCAGCACTATTTCACGACGGCTCCAGAACTAGAGGACGAAATCAGACTAAAAATTTCTTCTCAAGAACAAGCTCAGCATGTGGACAACAATGTGATGCACAACTACAACAAAGACGAAGACAAAACTACCTCCTCTTCCTCAAAAATATCCTCTTCCTCTTCAACAACGTTCTTTGACAGAGTAGTTTCCACCGTGCAAAAATACCGGGAGGAGCATCAGAGGGAGAGTTTCACTGCTTGCCTGCGCGCCTGTTTTGGGCCCTCGAATGTCCTAAAATTCCTACCCACCGGCGTCCTGCGTGCCTTCGATGACGGTCTGACGATCTACGTTCTAGCTCTCGTGTCCCCGACGAGCTACATGGTACTTTCCCAGAGCAGATTGTTGCTTACCGCTCTCGCAGCCATCATCGTTCCCGGATGCAAGGCGCCCAAACGGATGCAGTGGCACGCAATTGCGTTCACGACCACAGGCGTGGTGGCGTTCAAATCAGCGATGCTTCTCCAAATGGAACTAAAAGAAGCGGAAGAGAATAATGCTGGGAGCAGACTCTTGATGGTCTCTACAACTAGTAGTGGAGGTGCTGAGACGAGCAGGCTCTTAACTTCTTCTTCTGGTTCATCTACTGCTCCCCTTGCCGCGGTTGTGACGACGAATTCGACTTCTTCTGCGCCTGGTGTGCCAAGTATGATTTCTTCTGGAGTTGTTAGCACGAGTCCTCTTGCGTCAACAATTGCTTCCGGTGAAACGGAAGACGAACGTGGAAAAGCCATGTTAGGTACTTTTTTGCTGGCTGCAGCTGTCTTGTGCAAGGTGGCTTCGAGCATTTGGGCGGAGAGATTAAGGCAACTACTAACTACTATTTACATTTTTATCTCCAAGAGATTAACAAGAGAGCCAAGGATCTGCATCTCAGGGAAGATGAGCAGAACGCGATAGCTCTAAAGAGAATGCTGAAGAAGGAGGCCGAAGAATGCGTGTTAGTGCAGGTTTGTAACATATCCTTTGGGACCTTCGTCGCTGCGCTGGTGCTGTACTCAGTCCTCTCGGTTCCAGGGAGCCCGATTACAGAAGCAATCACCTACAATCTGCGAAGTCGACGGCAACTGTCTAGTGCTGGAACAGTGGCTACTTCTAGTACAGCAGATGATGGAAGTGGAGGAGCTACTGGTTCTCGCACGTCAACATCCACCTCATCTACATCCACTTCCTCGTCTTCATCTTAAGGCTTCTTTTTGATTGTGTCCGCAGAGTCTCCAATTTATTATATTCTTTCGTCTTGAGTAGAAGGCTTCTTTTTGATTGTGTCCTCAGAATAATTCACATTCTTTCGTCTTGAGAAGCATCGATCTTGTGAAGGTGTTAGTTTTCCCCTGCTCAGACGAGGAAAACGAGAATACCTCCAAGATGACTTAGAAATCGAAATTAGATCTTAATATCGTGGTTCATTTAGGTTCTATCGTTGCGAACGGAAGTAGTAGTGCAGTGGTCTTCTAAGCCCCTGGAGTGGGTACATTCATTCACTCCTTCTATTCATTAGCTTCTCAGTCTGAGGTTAATCCATTCCTAATCTTCTTGGGATTGTAGTGTATTGGGTACATTCATTCCTTCTATCTCTAATCCTCTTCTTGGGATCCTTTCTTTGGGTGGTCAACTATCACCGTGTGCGTCGTACTGCATATGCTCGCGAAGAATTGGGCCTCGAATTTAGTGGTGAAACATCTCTCCGCAACTACGAAGTACGTAATCTACGCTGTAGCGATAGCCTGTACCTACGCCCTTGAGGTGCTGCTAGTGGAGGGGGCAGTTTTTACCGTGATCTCCGCGGTCTGCAGTCTAGCCGTTGTACAAGGAGGCGTGCTTTTCGGGAACGCGAAGTGATTCATTCGCAAGGATTGCTTTGGATACTGATGATGTACTTAGACGAAGCAGGTAGTCGTGGTACGCGGACGCGTGCTTTTCCTGGGTAATGGGGCGAAGTGAACATGACTATTCAAGATCATCATGAAGAGATAGTGGAGGGAAGATATTAGAAGAGTATCTGGTTCTGCGATGGATTCATCTTCGACGAGACGTGATGACGACGCAGCTCGAGATCATCAGATGAATGTACAAGTTAGTACAGATGAAGTGTCAGTGTCATGAATTGAGTTTGTTCTTGACCCGTGATATTGTATAAAATCACTCACAGTGTATAAAGTCATTCACAATTTCGTTTTCGTCAACGAAATCGAAGTAGGTGCATACAGCGAGAAAATAGACATCATAAATTCTTGCATTGAATCATGAATAGCTGTCCGCAATTGGATTCATACATGAATCACTTGTGAGTACAGTTGTCTAGAACATGATGAACTTTTTTTCCAGTAGGTCCTAAGGAGGAGAAGGACGGAGATAGCACCTACTAAAGGAGCAGAAGGACGAAGATAGCACCTAGTAAAGGAGCAGAAGGACGAAGATAGCACCTAGTATTAAAGCTCAACACAAGTATGAAAATGTCCTAGAGGTACGTTCTCCATCTCGAACCTGGTGGTCAAACCATCTTCTGGTCTCAGAGCTCCAATCTGAGGAGGCCTGTACTACACAAGCTAATTATGCACTCCACCAAGGAGTTGTCCCCAAGAAGGGCCAAGTGGGAATGCTAAGAGTATACTTGCAACTGGACGCTTCGCGCCCTGGTCTTCTCGGTTGAAGATTTCTCATTCTTTTTGTGTTCTCTCCTTCCGGCCAGGGGACTGATGAAACAGTCTACGTGTAACTCCTGCCGATCCGTCGTCGGCAGGCACACCGGATATCACTGGGATCACCCTTTTGGCATACAAAAAAAAAGAAAAGCAGGGCTGAGGCGGGAACGTCTCGCAATCTAAATCTAAACCCGTTCGTAACGGCTTCCAGAAAGTGATCTTCGCGATGCTTCCGCGGTTAAAATTTCTCCGAAGAGAGCCCTCTGCGGCTATACGTATTCGCTTTATTTTCAAACAACCAAGCAGCTAGTAGTGGCACGAGCAAAATATCTGAGAAGAAGAAAGGGAAAGAAAACACATTTAGTAGTATCAAAGAAGAAGCCTCGTCTTGTTACTCTTACCTAAAGATTGTACAAGTGCATACTTTAAGGGTAGTTTATCACTATCCCATGTGGACTTCTATGCTGAGCGGGCTTCTCCTGGATTTGGAGGGGAAACTAGGGGGCAAAGAGGGCAACCCACTCGACTCGGCATCGTGAGAGACTGCCTTTGAATACTGATAGCGCCAACAAGAAAGATGTTGCTCTTTCTTTCGTTCGTTGTTTCCTCGCGGTTCTTGGCCGTACTTGCTTATCAACGAGCCGGCGGTGGTGGAGTACATCAGCCTGGCAGTCCTCCTCCGCCTGGAAAAAGAGGAGAATTAGAAGCAGTGCTGAAACGACAGCGAGAAAGGGCTGAAAGATCATTAAGGTTTGAAAGATTAAGACCTCTCGCTCTCTAACTGTGAGCGTGGTATCCATGATTCAATCATTGACCATAGCGCGTAATCCACTGTAAAAATATGCTTATCCATGATCCAATGAGATTGACCGTGGCAAGAAGAGAAAGGATGAATATATTTAAAATATGGCGCATAAAGCATGCCCTTTGCAAGAAGAGAAAGGATAGGCTTATGCCCTATCATGGCAGTCTGCACAGATCTTTGTGCGAGATAACTTGCATTGTACTGTAGTACTAGCGGCCAACTTGCAACCCCTAAAAAAAGGGGCACGAACAGAGCAAAGCATCCGGGAGGCCTTGGCAGATGCCGCGCAAATAGCTGATGATGGTCCGGTCTTAGTGAGGGACAGCCAATCGATGGGACCATCAAGATCTGCGCGAACTCTCCCGCATTCACTTGGCCAGCATCAACAAAAAGGTAGCGCGAGTGTTGATCTAGCCCATCCTCTTCAAGACTGCGCTAAAACTGGCACGGGTAGAAGTTCTTCGTCTATGTGTAATGCTGTACTACCCTCCACCAGTACTACTTCTAGTTGTGCTTCGGCCTCTACTGTTGCAGTGGGCAAATCAAGCAGTGGCTGCCTGTCGGACAGAAATGTCCTCGATCAGACGCGACCTCAGAAGATGGAAATGCAGTTGCAAGGTGACCAACGTGATCGAGACGGAGGGGATACTCCTCCAGTCGAAACCAGAAGTCTCTCAGCGGAAACTGTCGTATTTGGCAGTGCTCTTGTGGAAGATTCCAAATTAAGGCAAAGTAGTAGAGCCAGAGTGCGCCCGCCTATTAAAGGTAGGACGGTAGGACGCCTATGGTCCACATTGGGTGCTTGAGCTTCTTTGTTATAACTCGGATAAATAGAGGAAGACAAGCATTTTCCCACGATTCCAGCTGCTTGGCTCTAACAAATCATGCTGCAGCGGATCACGAGCCTCAACCTCAGGATACGGGTAAGCGAGAAAGTGGGCATATTAAGGGGAGTACAGATAGATGACGCATCTCCTAGAAGTAGAACTGAATCCCTAGCGCAGCCATTCTTCCTAAAAGTTCGAAACCCCTGGCAGCTTTTTTTTTCTTGAAAGTGCTAAACAACCCCTAGCAGCGGTTCTTCTTAGAGTTTCATCCAGTAGCATCGAGCTAGGGGACGATGTTCATGTTCTGAAGCAGGATGTATAATTGTTGCAACCTCTAACTTTATTTCCCGGACAGCGTCACGGTCAACTTCAGTGATATCGACTCGGACAGCCTCGCCACCTCCAGTTATGGAAAGATCACAAAACGTGAGCAACTGTAACTGAACAAGAATATTACCTACAAGATGACAGGGCTATGCCAATACCAGCTCGCCGACTTCCCTTCTAACCCAGGTGGAGCAGCACTACAAGCACCACAGGGGTTACTTTTAACTAGTGCGTCGACGACATCATATGCTTCTCCGCAAGCGTGCATGAGAGAGCACCGTGTCATATCGACTCAGGCGCCATCACCATTATGCAGGAAGTTTTCTTCGTATGTTAAGTCACATCGTAAATGTCTCTCTACACCTCGCGTGAAGGAGATGGAAAGGCAACCTATCCTATCCTATATAATGTAATTCCTTTCCACGACAGGACGATCATGCGAGTTTGTGCTTCTCAGGTTTTCCCTTCCTCTTGCGGCGTGGGGCATTATTCTGAGAATGAAAACAATGACGTGACTTCTGTCTCTCTCTAAGACCAGGATCTTCAACGAGCTCTTTGCAGGCCCAACAGGTGCTGTTGCGCAGTCCGATCATTGCGACAAGACAAATGATGGGAGTGGCACCAACACCACGTGATACGTCGAGACCGCATCATGTTGTACAACAACAAGTGGCCGCTGCACCTACAACCTTGGCGAAGTCCTCATCTTCACGAGGAGTGTTGGACTCATCCCGATCGTTACGGGCGGCCATGGCCGCTCGCGGTGGACGCGCTGTTGCTCAAGGTGTGCAGCACTCTGATCATTCTTCACAGCCTCTACTTGGGTATACGTATACTAGTATGTTACCAGATAATTATGCACCAGCACCTCCTCCAGGTGGAGCAACTACAACATTGTCAACACCTACAACTACGTTTGTGACTGCCGGTTCAAGTGTCACGAGCGTGCCAGCTTCAAGTGTGAGCGTGCCAGTCTCGGGTGTCAGCGTCGTACCCGGAGTACGGCTATCCTCGTTTCCACCGGTCGTTACGCCTACACCTTCTTTCCACGGTCAACAAGTCTACAACGCGAATACACGTGTGCTCGTGATTCAACAACCCACGACTTCTTCTGCCTCCATCACTGTTAAGGCATTGAAGATGAAATTTCCAAAAGAAAGAAGAAGGCAAGTTTCGTCTTTCTTGTGAGTACTGTAAGAAACAGTGGGGAAAAAGCTTCTAATTATCGTGGATCGTCGTCAACGTCCTCTACTAGTTCTGACGGAGACGAAATCGAAACGCGGCTAAGATCGCTGCAGAAAATGAATTAAGGCAAAGGCATTTTTGCACCATCGTAGTATCGGTATCTTCTAACCGGTCGTTTAATGTAGTACTACTAGTGCTCGTCTTTTATAACGTTGCTTTCATCTTCGTGATCATACTGAAAGATTCGTAGTCGTACAATATTGATACTTTTTTCGTCTTTCTCTTAGTTAGTTACTTTTCTTGCACTACATGTAGTGCATATTTCCAGTAATCTATCATATGATTATCCTAGAGTTTGCGCTAATGAAGAGAATCGGGGAGAATTACCGCAGAAGAGTACAGAAATCTGGTCGCTTCGCTCAACACTTCGCTCATGCAATCGAAGAAGCAGTCCTTGTAATGTAGCTGAAGACTGTGATCGGAGAAGGTCAGGCGCAGAAGACGTGACTTTGAAGCAGATCGAAGAGTCAGAAGATTGAGATCTTCAACATTGAAGAAGAGGAGATAGATGCGTTGTACTTGAACTTCATTCAAGAAAACGAAATAGGTGCAGACGGTGACTGTATTTAGGAGACACGTCAAAGTACTGTTACTAAACGTTCAAGAAAAAAGAAAAACTACTTAATACAACTGTAATCTTGAGAATACATCAATCTGTTGCTGTTACTGTAAGTATGATAGATAAAACTTGTAGTTGTTCTGTCATGTAACCACAATTCTTGTGAAGATTGTGGGATAGGAGTCGAAAATAGTCTTCAGCCCCTCCCATCTTGAAAATGGTCAAGATGTTATCCATTGTGTAGAAAAAAAGTATCTATATTATAAGTAACTTCCTAAAATATGATTGAGTTTTCGTAAGATGATCATGATTTCTGTTCACAAGACGTGTATATTTTCACAGTGCATCATTGTGGCACACCTCTCATCTGTTCACAAGACGTGTATATTTTCACAGTGCATTATTGTGGCAGGAGGTTAGTTCCTGTAGTTGTATCATGATGCAAAATGTAGTTGATGATGCGAAATGTGAATGTGTTTTTTAGTTGTATGCAGCTGATGCCCTAATAACCATAACTAGGGCATTTTGAGGGCTGCTCTACTACGCCTGTTTCCAAGCTCTTCCGCCTGATGGAGAGCTGCGAGCCTAGTTGTTCGAGGAGAAGTGTGTTCAGGCTTCAGATCGGCGGGAGAGTCCTCCTTTCGGCTTTCAGACTTTATTTCTCTTCAGATCAAAATTGGCTCTACCTCCATGAGCACACCATGATCACGTTCCAGACAAGTATGAACTTTTCGTTCTGATTAGTACCTTTTAAAGCTAAAAAAGGTAAAGGACAAGCACCTGCCAATTATATCCGCTACTTTCAATTGATGAACACTGTGTAGGAAAACGGAGACTACTAGAAGAAAAACTGTATTTCGATTGTGAATTTGATTTTTGACATTGATTTGATATTTTTCATACGATGGATGTCTCAGTCTCTTCATCATCTTTATTTACTTACAGTGATGCACGTAATTCATTGTAAAGGACACAAATTCGAATACAAATGAATGAAAAGCACTATATCTCCTATTTACTCGACAGCCTTGGTTTTGGTAGATTTATCTCCCTCCTTCCTCTTGTTCAAGTTACCGCCCCGTGAATGGGTACTAAACTACTACTAGTACTATTACTTCTAAGTTGATGATCTTCAGATGAAAAATGGCGGAGTCTTGGGAAGGTAGTACTCCCGAATCGGGTGTTGTTGATTCGGAGAGTGAAGATGCTGACGCAGCATTTGACGCAGAACGGGGTCCGTTGGAAAGAAAGCTGTATCGCGATTGGTGCTCAGAGAATCTCGGTGTCCAGCTGGAGCCTCCCAATGCGCCCTCGCCATTTAGATGCTTCCGGAAAGGAGGAGCTTCTATGTTAAGGCAGCTACTACATAGTGGAGCAGCATTGTTCTCAGCGTCATCCCTGAGTCTTTTTCGACTAAAAAAAGAAGGCAAAAGTGTCCTCTTTTTCAAGTAAGCCACAGATCGTAATATCGGGCAACACAGATCGTGATATCAGGGATACGAGAACTGATGTAATAGCTCTAACTATGTTGCACACTCCTACAGGCGGTGGCACAACAGCAAGAAGTCCTACTACCGGCGTTGTACTGGACGCGGGCACGGTTTTCATTGCAAGCACAAGCTTGAGGATGGTGTACAACACAAATATAGGCGTTGCATTTTCATCGAGCATCCGCGCAGAAGGGAAAACTGCGCAAGATGCTCGCGAAAATTTGGCTAAGACGGTACTCCTAAAAAGAAATAACTATCGTTTTCATCGTCCACTGCGTATACCATAGTACTATGAAGGGATAGATAAATCGCACAGTCATGCAGGGAATTCGTAGGGGCTCTGTCGATAAAGCTTCGATTTTTGCTCGTTGCTATTCAATGAAAATTTGCTACGGATGGAGGAATTCGTAGGATAAAACTTACGCTCTACCTATAAAAAAGGCAATTGTCATCATGTCGGACGATACTAAGTAGGAGTGAGTAGTAGTAGACTCCTGAGAAAGATTCAACTAAAAGTCTAGAAGTAGACAACAAAACTACGTACTACAACAGATTTTGGACATGCTGCACCACGGCTTGCCTCCTGCGATTGTCCCCGGTCCGAATACTAAAAAGGGGATGCAATGTCAAGGCCGTGGAGAAGAGAGGCTGGGACGGGTCCTGGACTCTGAGGACGATGAGATTACAGAAGCTGATGACGAAGAAGACAGCTCTCCCTTGAGAGCGGACTCACCGCAGAAGCGAACTCCGATGACGGATGAAGATGAGCACGGGAAAATTACGATGTGCTTGAAGACGTTGTGTAGATGATCAACTTGCTAGTCTAGTAGCTTTTTGCAGCATTGGTATTGCTGCAGCTACTTTACTCTAGTACTAGTTGTTGAGGCTTAATAGTCCTCGTACTTGTACAACAAACTGTAGTTGTACCAAACTGTTAGGCCTACAACAGAGTGTTGATGTGTCTGTAATCTGTATCAGAACAACAATGGAACTAGGCAAGTCTACATCTACTGGTGTTCTTTTAGAATGCAGTTGTCACCACGATAAAGTCAGTCAGACTCCTGATGTCTCATCCGATCAGGTCGCTTATACTCTAAAACCAAAGACATGAGGCAGCCTGCGAATGGACACGATTTGGATGAGAAACCGTCGGGCACGAAGATGAAAACACGTAGTTTCGACAGTGTACAGAAAATCTCGCCTGAAGTGATTCATCATGTTAAGGCAACTATCGGACCTACTTTTCAAGGTCAAGGATTAATGCAGTCAGAAAGAGAGACGCAGGTCCCCAATAATGTCTTGTAGTACTAATCTTTAAGTATTATATATAAATATGTACAACTTCTAATTTTTATGCGGCTACTAGCAGCTCCGAATCCGACGACCCTGCTGAGGGACCCAATAAATCGTCGGAAGACAGTAGTGACGACGTAGAGCTTCGAAATTTGTCTTCGCCAGAAGTGAACGAGGAGGCGAGACGAGAAGAAGGTAATCCTACTGCGTCGACCGGAGTAAGAGCCTTGATTAGGGATCTCAATAATGTGCATCTTTTACTGCATCCTTGAAAAGTATGATGGACTATTTCACATTGATACTCTTCAGGGATGCAGTTGAGGGATGAACTATGGATAGCTCTAACTCAAGAAATGGGAAAAAGTTGTCGCCAAATGGTGAAGAGCGTAGTACCGATGCTCCGAGAAGTCCAAGAATGGAGCAACAACAACAGCGTTCATCTTGTACGGAAACAACGGAAATGATTCCTACAGCTCAGCAACGACAACATCCAGCATCGCGACGTCCATCCGCGGGCAGTGGCCCTGAAAGTAACGAACATGTTGGCACTGATGCTAAAGGGAACGATACTACCGAACATCCCGAACATATTCTTCCAGATAAAGTAGACAGAGCCGAAGTTTCGGCTCGTTCTTCAGATCAAAGAAGTCCTGCTCGTTCGAGTCCGGATCGAAGCAGGAGTCGTTCGAGTCCGAGCCCTCGACCCTCAGATAGGGTTTCCTTGAGTGAAGAGAAAGACTCGCCTACTGGTCCTTGTGTTGATGCTGAGGATGATCATGTGCATTGTGAAGATGATCCTGTGCATCGTGCTGATGATGGGACAAATGCAGCAAACGTGGTCGTCAACGATGAGACGAATGCGAACGTCAACGCTCCTTACGTTTCAACTTCAAGCGATGAAGATGAGGAAGTACCTTTGTACTATGCGGAAGCAGAAGATCGAGAGGAGAATACTAACGTCACACATCTACACTGTGGAGGCAATGATCATGAAGAAACATCCACTAGGCGAGTAGACCAAAGCATCCACCAAGTAGGGAGTAGCAGTTCAGCACGCGATGTTGTTAATACACACAACAAGCCACACCAGAATTCCCATTCATCAAGTGAAGAAGCTACAAGCTCTGAAGATGAGAATAGTCCGGATAATCTTCGTGGAAAACGTACGCAATACGAGGAACCTTCAGCTTCACCCGGCTCAAGGTATAAAGCTACAAATAAAGCCTCCGAAGACCATGCTCCAGATCAGACCACCAATCAGGACGCGCAGACGTCTGGGTCTGAAGAAGGCGCATCGTCTGAGAATGATGAACTACTCGAAGAGATGGGTGAAGTTATGTGGTAGAAGTAACTCGGAATGATACAGCATGCACTAGTAGCACTCATAGGCCTTCTACGTCTTAGCATTGTCATGAATAGTCTCCTCTTGTGCAAGGAGATTCCAACTCCTCGTCAGTCATTCATCTCCGAATAAGCAGAAACGAAAAAAAGTGGTTAGTTCTTGTCTGTGCTTCAGATTGATACTTAGATGAGCGCTTGCTGTTCTCAGTGACTCGCTACCTAAGAATATCAGTTTACTTGTCTCGCAAATGTAAGTATCCAGCATCTGTCTTAACAACAACTTTTCATTCAAGGAAAGATCACGTTGATTTAATCTTCTAAAGTGCCAGAAGCATTTAACCCAGATGCATTTGTGCGTGCGAAGCTGAAGGCTGACAAGTTGCGGAAGCAGAGGGAGGAGCTTTTCAACCTGTTGGAGAGGCAAAGGGGTGTTCTCGCCCAGGCTAAGAAAGACTACCGAGAAGAAGCGATGGCTCAGCGCGAGAGAATCGTGGAGTTGATTATGAGGATTTGTTTCGAGTTTGAAGCTTTACCCTAAACGCTAGCTCTATTAATCTAATCTAATTAAATAAACTAGAGAAGAAGAAGAATGTAGACGAATGTTTCTAATTATACTACTACCATAAGATGAAAATGTAACAAAAGAAAAGTATAAAATCAACAGTTCAATTAATTTTTTTAGAAATTGCTCGATCCTTCTCCTCTCTTCCAAGTGTCAACGGACAAGTTGATAGAGTCAGCGCGAATATCTAAATATTACTTCAAACTGTTCAACTTCGAGATCGAATCTAATCCGTCTACTTCTTCCTCTGGCTTATTACTTTTGAGTAGAAGTTCTTGATTTAAACTCAGCAACGCTCTGTAGTTAGGGTCTATTTATCTAAGAAACTGGAGAAGAAGAAGAATGTAGACGAAAAATTAAGCCGCGACGAGATCAGGGATTTGCGGATTGAATTTGCGCGGAGATCCAGAGAGCTAGAAGGTGGCCGACTTTATGACTTCTGAAACAACTTTTTTTGATACAGAACCAGCAGTGCTGACAAGACCAAAGAAGAGCTTCTTCTTGTTCGTACTTACACATTTTTTTTAGACCATGCATTCCCTCCGTCCACGCCAACCCTGACAATCAACGCGGCCGCTTTTTGTAAGCACTCTCAACAGCAAGAAGTAGTCCGCCTAGACGTCTATGGTAATAAGACTTTACACCTAGTAGATCCACATATAGAAGTCCCAGTCCCAGACCTAGGTACACTGACAGACCTAGATGAATGTGACTCGCTCGTCCTGCTTCATGTTTTCGTCAATTTGGATGCTTATCTTGTGAGCAAGGGAAAACACACGCTGAGCGAATGGGCAGCTGAGCGAGCCGGATACGATCGACTGGAATTAGTTAAGGGCCGCGAAGAATAGACCGTGACTAGAAACTGAATCTTCATGGAGGATGGTAGTGTTACTGACCTCCACCGTCCTTCTTCTAAGTTTGTAAAAAATCTAGTTCAACATCTTCTCCTTCCGCGGTCCTCCTGTCCTCCTTAAGCTTGTAGTTAATCTACTTAGTCCTTTTCGTCCGTTCGACGCGGTCTCAATTTCTAAGTCAGAACTGTACAAGGTGATAGCTGCTCATCCAGAATTGCGAGAAAAAAGGGATCCGAAAGCACCTCCTGAAGAACGACGACCCATGGCTATTCCAGGTTATGGAAAACAAGTCTCCTGCCATGGCCATGGCCTCTCTATTTTGTATGATGCCACTCGTTGAGAACGAAGAATGTCGTTCCTAAGTAAGAAGGCAAACTGGGAACGACATTCCCCTATCGACGTTCTCAATGAGTGGAGGCATTCATCCTAATGCTGTAAAGATGCAATACTAATCAATTATTCTGTGTGCTATTCGGGACAATTACGACATGCCTCTAAACCATACATTTTCATTTCAAGCTACTATTCGCAATACATTAGAAGCAAGCTACTGACTATGTCCATCTGCAACTTTTTCTAAGTATGTCCTTGGTCCAAAGGCGCCGCGTCTTCACGCGCATCATGCGACAATTCGAGTACGAGATCTCGCCAGCCTCGTCAGGCGGACAATGCTCCGAAACAGCCCCCATCTTCAGGGCCACGGCTCTTTCTTATGGCCGCGTTCATTAGCATTATAATTTCCAACTCTCGTATAGTCTATTGCACTGTTCTTCTTCTTTCTGCTTCAAAGCCGATTCTATGTTGCATATCTCAATTGAGTCCTACTTCGCCACGACTACCATGTCATTCCTGCTTCTAGAAAATTTCAGTTGCGCCTCTAGTCGTAGTCCTTACACAAGTAAGTACTTACTTCCTAATCCCATCTGCTTTCTCTCGGTCTAGTACTCTTCATATCACTGCCACTGCAGCCGGCTTCTTCCCGTGTGGGAAGTTTGCGGGGAATGCGGTATCAGAGCGAAGCGAACTTGCTCAGGCGACCGGCCACTGTAGGTGGTCCATTCGCAGGATCAGGAGAAGTATCAAACTCGTCTAACGGCTCAAGTTCGAACGGTGTACAAGAAGAATTAAGGCAGCTTTGTGCAATTCTTTCATCTTGAGAAGCATCCTGTTTGTTCGCCTTTTGTTTAAAGGAAGGAAAACGCGCCAAAAAAGATGATGCTTCTATCTATTCAAAAGATGTTGTTGCATTATTGTGTTTGTGAGTTCTACTAATACAAGAACAAGGCTCTTTAGGTCGTGGAGCCCCATCGTACACGAACGGTGCCCAACATTATGATCCATTTTCTGGTACGAATGGTGCTGCAGGGTCCTCTCAGGCCAATCCCGGCACAGAGCAACAGGGAAGGTTTTCTAGCTACTCCCAGGATTATGGTCCACCACAGAGCGCGTCAAAAGGGAACGGAAAAAGTACGGCATCAAATAAGGGCAACAACTGTAGCAAAACTTTTTCCACCCGCTATGATAGAAGTACTAGTATTGGGCCACCTGCTGCGAGAAATACAAACTCGTCGAATGCTTCAGACACAACTTCCTACCAGCACGGCAACAACTACTACGGCACTTCTGGAGGCAAGTCATCGTCGACAAATAATTACTCGGGCGGAGGTGGTTACTACAATAGTAACACATCATACAAGAGTAACACGCACCATTATAGTAATACCAATACGCAAGGAGGAAACAGCAAATCTAGTGCATCGCGAGGGGGCGGCAAAAAGAGATACAAGAGGAACTTTACCGCGTCAGAAGAAAAAAGATTGTTGGAAGGAGCGACGAGCATGAAGGAATTGTCAGAAATGGTCAAATTATGACTTATTATAGATACCCTGATGATCAAAAATCTTAATCTTGTTCAGCTTCAAAAGCATCCTGTTGTTTGAGTGCTCAGGGATGTAGTGCTCCTCGAGGAGATGCTATGGGTACCAGCACGGAGGAAACAGTTCCCCTAGGAACTAATGTCTGAGCAAGAAGCAGAAGAAGCTCAGATCTCGAAGATCCGATCACGTCCTCTGTAAAGTCTCTACGTCCTCTAACTCAAGACTACGCGTATAACGATGTCCCCGAGAAAGAAAAGACGCGTATTATGCACAAGTATTCTGAGAAGATGAAGATTGGTCGCAAAACAATAACCAGACGAAGAGACCTCTCGCTCGCGCCAGCGGCATTTGGAAGCTTTTTGCTGCGGTCGGATGAGTGAGGATTTGGTGGAAGTACGTAGTTCTGGGGTTCCATATTGATGAAGATCAGTAGTTTTGCTCGGATAAAGGTCATCTTTTTGGCACTTGTTGCTCATAGGGCACCATCTTAGTACTTCCTCGGATTTCTCCCGATGCGCACATTACTCATCCGACATAGAATGCACTTTTTGAAGGGAAGGGGGAGCAATACCATGAATACGTGAGCAAGATCGCATAAGAGTGATTTATATCCTCTGGAAGGTGTATCATGCTTTCCGAAAAATAGCAGACTGATCATGGTCGTCTCTGCTCCCACGACAATCAGTCTCAAATATATCTTAATCCAGAATAGATAGTATTTAGATCTACTGATGAAGATTCGCTTTGAAATTGAATAGCGGGCCCTCTCCATTATAACGTTGAGCAATGTTCTATGAATTATACGTCTCCTACTCCCCCTTTCTTATATATGAATATCCTCGTCGCCCCTAGTTTCTGTATAGTTAGATCTGAGGCGTGTCCAGCCCCATAATTTTTGGTAACGACTCTGAAAGCAGGACCAAAGAAGAACCTTTACGTGGTTTTCAACTATGCCTTATTTAAGGCTCAACTTTCATTGGTCATTGAGGTTAGTCACTGAGATCCCTCTTGAGAGAACAGGGGAAAATGAAGGAAAAGCAAAGGGAGAGGCATGGGGCCCATTTCTTTCAGCATCAGTGACCATTGAATGCTGCGCTTTAACTTATGTTACTCGCTTAATGCTGATGGACAACAGAAGCAAGAGTCAGCAGATTGGGAATATAGTACAAAGGTATGCCTGCGCCTACGCACCCACCTCTTATATCTTTCTCCCCACGCCGCGAAGCATTCTCTTAATTATATATTGAAAGGAACCCTCCACTCCGAGTCGTACCAAACAAGAGCCGGCTCTTGTAGTTAGAGACCTGCACAAAAGTTTAGCGCATGTTCTTGCGTTTGTGGAGGTTTTGAAATCGCCTGCCAACTTGATGTTCTCCACTTTGACGCTGGTTATAGTTCAATCTCAATCTACTTGTTCTGGTAGCTGCTGTGGTTCTGGTACTCTTTCCTTTCCGAAGATCGCGTCCGGTCCTTGTTCAATTTTGTTGGAGGTGAATGAAGTGGGCGCTCCAGAAGAAATGTCGATGATGATGAATGAAGATATCCGTTCTTGTACTATGAAGATGCTAGTAAAAGAAGTTTTCATCTCGAGGACTGCAGCACTTTCATCTCCAATCTCGCAAATGCATGAAAGGACTCCCTTTGCCTACAGTACACTGACTTTCTTCTCTGCTTCTATGATCCTTTTCGTACTCATCTCTGCGTGATACTACAACGAAAACAACGAGGACATGTAAAGATCTGACTGCGCTAAAACGTGCTCCTACAGCGTGAAGAAGATGGTGGACGTGGACTGGAGGTAATCGCGGAATCGCGCATCATTAGGTTTAATAGTTTTTTTATGTTGACAGAGTAGTCCTAGACAAAAACATACATTATGACTTCGACTCTGTTGAGGCTATGGGCACAATGACACTGTACCTTTATCAATTTGTCACATCAACTTCAACAACACACAGGACCGATTATTAGGATTACTAGGGGCGTTTAGAAGACAATTTAAAGAGAAGATTGTTCTTCGCATTTGTTCCATTTGCAGTAGATCAGCAAAAATCTCATAATTTTCTCGTATAATTTCTTGAAGGTCTACTTCTTCAATATTTCCAAAATGGGTGGTGGCAAAGGAACCGGCAAGGGCAAGGGCGCTGCCAAGAACAAACCCGTGATCAAGGATATGGACAAGCAGGTGGAAGTGAAGATGATCGAGAAGCGTACCGACCCCTCAGACGGCAATGGACCTTTCACCCATGCCAGTTTCATTCGCTTCCACGGTCCAGAGAAAGGACAGGAGCTTTGGGAAGAGGGAGGTAGTTTTTAGACCATTTTAATTTTTGGATTCAAACTTTTCAGCTGAGATAACATCTTCAGAGAAGAACAGAAGCAGGATGCTCTCTCTCTCCCTCGACCTCGGTCTGTGATTTCAACGTTTGATTTGAGAGTGGACGATACGACGAATCAAAAGTCACTTACTCACACCATGTCGCCCCACGGCCTCTCCTAGTCGACTCGTCCTTCACGTCTTTCATGCCTGCTCAGATATGATGATCATTCCTACCTGTAATTTCTACCTCCTCTTAGTCTCAGTACTTATACTACATAAAAAGACTAGAACTCTTCTCCTACGTAAAAAAATCTACAACTACAGCTAACAGCGCGGTTATGGTGGAGGCGAAAAAGAAGGGAAAAGGAAAGGGCAAGAAGAGACCGTCGTCACAACGCGTCGTGAGCCCAGAGCCACAGAGACAAGTGAACAAGAGCCAAGGAAAAATGAAAAAGACCGAACCAGTTGTGGAAGTCAAGAAGCAGGACGATACCAAGAATTATGAAAAGGAGATTGAGATTTTGATGTAGGAGGTTCATACTTCATAGAGGTTCATACTTCATACGTGAAGATGATCTTTTGATTTTCTGGCAGTGGAGTAGTACTGTCTAAGACACAAATGAATGAACTTTTGATATAGCATATACTCCTTATCAGACTAGGCCGGAATACTGATGAATGGTTCCGGTATTTGGTAACCTGAATTTGATCACAAGGATTCTGTTCTTGTTTTCCCTTATGATCAAAATCAGGCTACCAAATACCGGAGCCATACAACTGAGTCCAAGTACTAAGTCAAGACTCATGATCCCCGACTTCGTAGTACTAGGAAACCGTTAATACCATTCTTGTTGTTTCTGCTTGTTCTGATTTGATATTGAGTGGCTATTTTTATTTCTACTTGTTATTACCCAAACTACTCGACCAGGGAGGGTTGGACATGAACCGCTGACCATGACCACACTCGTATGATAACCTCCTCTAAGACAAGAGCAAGGGCAAAGGCAAGAAGGGAACCGGAACCAAGGGTGGACAAGAAAAGCGTGTCGATCCCAGTGACGGAAATGGACCTTTCACCAAAGGTACTAGACGTCTTTTCAATTAACACGATCGCCTTGTCAATACAGTAGGAATGATGATGAAGAAATTCTATTTGCATCCTCGCCTATTTTTCTATTCCGCTTGTTATAATGATCTTACTAGCTAAAAATTCTAATTATAATCCACCCTTTCCTCGCTTTCATCTTCCGTAGTTGCTTTTTGATACTCCATTCAATCTTAATATTCTTTTATAACCTCAATCTACTCCACAGCGTCTTTCTTGTTTCATCCGATTCTCCCTCCTATCCCGCACTGAATGGTAGCTTCTTTACCTCACATGAATAGGTAAATCTTCATTCCTCCCTCATGAATGGGTAAATTTACCTCATGAATGGTGGCTCCTTTACCGTCATTCTGTATACTCTCCACATCAGCTTCGTTCATCCGATTTCATGGAGATGACAAGGGTCTCCAATTGTGGAACCAGGCTGGCAAGGCTGCGGGTGGAGGTAAGGGCGCTCCAGCCATGAAAAGCGGCTCTCCAGCCAAAAACCCGTTTAACTAGATGCAGCAGAAGGTTCGAGCTAAGAAGGCGTTTAGCTGGAGATGCAGATGAAGGTTCGAGCTAAGAAGGCGTTTAGCTGGAGATGCAGATGAAGGTTCGAGCCAAGAAGGCTTTTTTTAACCTCTAGCTTACGTCTGTCATGCTCCGACATCAACATGATATGCGATTTCGTGGAGAAAACAGTGGGAAAAATGACAATAACGTCGAAAAATCCATGACCACTAGATTTTTAGAGTAGGAAAATGTACTTGTACACGTCAAGAATATTGAGTTGCTCGTACTAAGGTTAGCGTTCTGTGTACTTGTTTTCACTTATGTCTGCTGCTGCTCCAAGAAGAGTTAGTAGGGCTCTTTGACTTATGATTTTGACTTACTTTCGGTTGCTTCACACCCATTTAAAATTTACTTTTGAGAATATTTTGAACTTGACTTTCACAAGAGAAGATACAGATTGAAGAGGTTGTACCTGAATTAAGAATAAGCTATCACGCTTGATGAAAATATGATCCAAGAGATCTTCCCTCTCTAGTTCAACATGCCGAATCGTTAGAACTGACTGTGACATACCCTTGTCTAGAGTAGATCCCTAGTCTCTATCTAGTATCTGATGCTGCGGAGAAGGGCAGTGACTATTATTGTGCATGAGCGAGGAACTCTTCCTTTTGCTGTGAAATACATGTGAGATGAGAGTTTCAAAAAACGCTGATCATGACGGTCGCTAGTACCATGATTGATGTTAAACTTAAAACCCCTGTTGTACCCCATAAGATTAAAGAGACAAACATGATCATAAAGTTTGAGTAAGGACTTGTACCTAAAAAGTACTTGGTCATGCAGTTGATCAAAGTCATTGTTCATGGTGCACCATGATAACAAGCTCAGAGATACAAGATTCCCCAAATCAGAACGCGATCCCGACCGCAAGTTCTCAAATGAAAGTCTGATCAACAATCCAAAACCCGCTTACCTTGTCGCAGGTGAGCCAACTCCTATCCTATCCTTTGATCAAGGATAGTACGAGATCGCTCTTTTTCTGGCTGGTAATGTCATGAAAAAGCAAGTCGTCTTTGAAAGATCCTCCAAGATGACGATCCCAGTCAAGTAAAAAATTTCTAGATGATGAGACCTACTTCCCATCTTGCGCATCATTGATTCCTTTTCCCGGACTCACCAGACGACACAGGAAGCGACATTATAAGGAAGCTAAAATGTTGAATTTCATCTTCATGATTATCCTGGAATAAACCAATGATGGGAACTAAAAATGACATAGACATTGTAGATCACAATGATACCTTCCTTCTAGAGGTACTTTCTAAGAGTTAGAATCAGATGACCATGACTTAATTAATAATTATACAACGACTAGACCACGACCAAGCTCAAAAAAGATGCCGCAAAACACACTGTCCACCTTTAAGAGGTGGCAGGCTATGCTGCGTGGCGAGGCAGCGGGTGGGAGGGGAAAAAACGGTCAACGGAACGGCAAAACCAAAGGTTCTTCTCCTGGTGGAAACAAGGGTGGAAAGCATAATTTGAATAAAAAGGGTACTGGCGGTAAGGGGGCGAAGTCCTCAAGAAATCAAAATAGTGGTGCGGGAGGAGCATCTTCTTCATCATCATTACCTGTTCGCAAACCAGAGGAGAAGAACACCACAGCAAGGCAGCTCAAGCGGCAGAAGGATTTAGAGCGGAAGAAAGCGAAAAGCAAAAGTCTCGCTTTTGATCCAGAGACCGTGGCTGAATTAACCCACGCTGCAGAGAATGCGCGTCGGCCTTTCGTTCCCGCTGCTTCGGTTAGATGCTCTGTGCTGCACTTGTTTGGTGTTCAGTTCTGCCAAAGTCCAGATCTGAAGAGGATTTTTGGACATGTCGGGAGAATAAAAAAGCTCGAATGGCTGGATGATTTCTGTTGCAACGTGGTGTACACGAACTTCGCTAATTTGCAGAAAGTGGTCCAGAAGATCCTAGGTCCGGAGACGATGTTCGAGTACTGCGGCGCAGACTTAGAGGCAGCGGCCTTTGTGGAGAGGAATGGAGGAATAGATGTGATAAATTCGGCGAACAATAGTCGAGAAGTATCTCCGACATCAGCTGGCAGATGTGGGGGAACTAATGGTCCTTGTTCTCCCGCAGAACAAGTAGGAGTTGTAGATGGCATTGGCAACAACAACAAGCAGCTTCTTCACCAGGGCGTCGAGCACAATGATCAGGTATCCTTTCGGCTACCGAACAACCTCAAAAACCCCATAGACGAACAAGCTGAACGCCATCAAGAGGTCCTTGGTTTTGGCACGGGCTCCACTCTCGAATGCACTGCACCTGCAAGACTGTTGACTGATTTGGAGAGTGTCTGGTTTTCCACACCGGAGCCAGTTCAGGGGAAAAATGGTTCCGGCTTCATCCATTTCCGGATGTGTACGAAAGCAGATATCAAAACTGTAGAACAACATGAGAAAAAGAGCAGTACTAGTATCTCATCTTGTAGTTCGTCCTCCTCGTCTGGCAAAAACATCATCAATCACAACAAAGACCAAGAACAGCAAGGACACCAGAAAAAGCAGCCCTCGCAGAAGAGTAATAAGCGACGAGCGGAACAAGATAGAGGAGTCATATTGAACATGATGGAGATGGTAGGCAATGACGAGGACGACGATATGCTGGATGCTGGCGAAGATGGTGGTGCATTGCTGGATGTATTTTCGACATCGGGAGCTCAAGCGCAAGGGCCTCCTGGTTCTGACGCTAGGACAGCAATGAGAATGAAAGAGAAGTCTACAACCACCTCTCAAGGTCTAGGCGTCGAACCAGCGACAAAGAAGCAGAAGAAGGAGGTTGTCTGCTTACCACAGCCAGTGTATAAGTTCTTGCTCTCAAGGAAAATCCTTCATGCAAAGAGCAATGTAGAGCATCCATATAGATCATGCATTGACGGGGCCACGATACTGCCAGGCGGAAAACAAGTCGTGACTGCAGATGGAAATGCTAACAAACAAGGCGTTACTTCCACTTCTCGAACAGCATCGGCTGAGGTGGTAGTGGATCAGAGTAAGCCGCAGGATGAGGACATGCAGTCCGAGCTAGCAGCTTCTACTGACGAAAAGCGAGAAGAATTAGTGACTCCAAAGGCCGATCATGACACAGGATCGATGAATGTAGTGCCGAATTCAACGAATCAACGACCTCAGTCACTAGTTGCTGGATCGGATCCTGACATGAAAATTTCTCCTTGGGATGTCTATCTAAAGCGCAATATGCTCAGTCAAGCTGGTGTCAGACTAGTCCATCCCCTACTTTGGAACGTGAACAATGCCTTTTTCATCATGACCTTGACGGAGCACCAGCAAGGCTACTTCGTGAATCGCGCTGCTCTGGCAAAGGATGTCTCCAAAGTGCTAAAAGTCGACGTGCACAGTCTCGACAAAGCGCCGGGAGTGCAGGTCGCGCATTTTTTCGAGAACGCATTGCCAAGAGGTGTCGCTACTCCGTTCTTTCAGAAAGACCGCTCAGACCGGGAGAAGGATCCCTTTGTCGGCTATTCTGTCGATGCGGTGGGGAACGTCAGTTTCAAGAAGACACGGCACTTCAGTAGGACGGGTGCGGGCAATAGCTTTTGCGCTATCTCAGGAGCAGGAAATAGCTCCCTCTCCAAGGGAGGGGGAGGACAGGGAAAGGGAAAGGGAGATGGAGAAACAGGTCAGCATAGTAATCGAAACATCTCTACAAACGCGAAAGGGGGATTCGTTTTGCAACAGGAACCGACCAAGACGCCTGCATTCGTAGGTCCACGTCTCGTTCGTGGTGGAACGATAGCGGATAGTAGTACACCGCTGCCAAGATCAGCAGCTAAGGGGGCAGCTGCTAGGGTGGGATCTCTTTCTGCTAGTAGTTCTAACGATGGAAAAACATCTTCGAGTAGCTCTACTGCTGCTTGTTCATCTGCTGCATCTGCGACTGCGAATGCGGCATCTTCAGCGACGTCATCTTCTTCCCTCCCTGCCCACATCTCCAACGATGAAAAGGAAGCTACCTTTTCTTCCTCTTCGACAACATCTACAACTCAAACTAGCCAACAGCAGAATAAGTCCTCCACGACCTCCAAGAACCACCTCCAGAAGCGCGCAGATCGCGATGTCAAAGTCTATTCCGTCATAACCGGGGAAGAGCTACCCCCACTGTGGCGTGATCAGTCTGCATGCGATGGCTTCCACATTTTCGCGGCCGATTTCCTCAGCAACCCCAGTGTGAAAGTGTACTTCGATCTAGGTTTGACTGCGGTTCATGTGTGGAGTAAAGCTTTGAGACGGGTTGATAACGTGCACTACGTAGCAGCTTCATCTGGATCCACCGCAGGTGGAAACAAAAAAACGTGCATACTCTCTCTGCCAGTTGATGAATGTGCGCCCTTCGACTCTGTAAGGGAGGTAGGGCCGGATGGAGGGTTGATGTGGAGGAGAATGCTGCCGGAACCTGTGGTCAAGAGTAAGGCAAAACAGGTAGACAAAAGGCAGGCTGTCGATACAACTACTCCGTCCTTTTCTGCGAGAACTGCTGCGAATGTGAGTGGCGGCGTTGGTAGTTCAGGTGGAGGTCGTACCGAAACATCAACAGCAAAGAGTGATCACTTAACGGAGTTGATGAAATTCACTCTGCCAGGCGAGCAGGGACACATGCCTCTACAAACACCTGCATCTTCTATGACGACGACTCCAGACTTTGGTGTGAGAAGGAAAAGCCAACAAGAAGTTGCAGATGTGGACATGGGAGAAGAGGGTGACGCTTTTAATGCTGCCTTTGACAGTGTGGGGCCACTTGGGGGTGCGTGATGACCTTTGTTGGAGATGAATTCTGTCATGTAAGCACTGCTAGTACACTATGTATTGTTGCATGATCTGAACTCTTGAAGAGTTTGTGATAGAAGACATCAACAATGTCAGTACGCATCCCGTCATTTCCTCATGTGAAAACGAGGGTTCATTTTATGAATGCTGAGCGACATGATTAAGAATTCAGCGATGAAGTTGTCGAAATGAAGACGAAGCTTGGAAAATAACGGCAAGAATGTGTTCATAATTTTCAGGAGCGACTGCCATGTCCGTGGTGTTAAAAAAAAACGTGTATTAGTCATATCCGCATTGTCTGTTAGTTTGAGCGTTGACGAAGACAAATCTGTTTGTTTGTTGCAAATCTGAGGACTGTTGTTGTGGCGTGCAAGTACCTACGAGCCTCCTGGAGAGATATGGAGCGATGCAAGGTTTTTTTGCTCTCCGTCGTGGACGAAGGAGGTTCGTGATCATCATCTCAGGAGAGGACGAGGATCAAGTTGTCTATCCATGTCACGCTTCTTTAGCTCTTATGCTAGTAGGCAGTCACTACCTGCTTAACCTTTTTGTTCCTACCCCACAGGTCAGAGACAACATCAGGGAATCCGTTGCTGAGATTCCGATCTGCCTGGAATTTTCACCACCGTTTGTGTGTTGTTTGTGATCTTTCAGGCATGTAGTTCTTGTTAATGCGTGAATTATTTTTGTAGTTGTCATAATACGAATTCATAGGTTCCTCTTGTGATGTTCTCAGAGTACTCGTAATATAGTTTTTGTGGATCTTCTTCTTCATTTTTATGCTGACTGAGGGAACAAGAAGTTATAGTTTTGTACATAGCATCAACACGTACAGCACGTACACTTACGCAACATAACTACCACGACCAAATACGCACAAACTGAAATTTTTTGGAGGAAGTATCTTGCTGGTCTGCGTGAGCTTTTTCACGTTGGCTTTGGCATCTACTTCGCAAACAAAACAAAACATGGGGATCCAACTGCAGCCGACAACCCTTGATCAACCAGACAAGATGAAGGAACGCGAACAGCGTCCAGATTTTGGTAAACTCCTTAAGGGTTTCGACATTGCATTCTTCACCACCGTCCTTCACTCGTTTTCCAGTAGGAAAAGGGTCAAGGATGTTCCGACGAGTGTAACTCCGTAACCTCTAAGCTCCTTGCCGACTTGCACGCAGTCGGGGTGCATGTCCCTGAAATTTTGCTGCCAGATCCCTCCAAAGTGGATATGACTAAGTGGGGGGTCATCGCTTGCGACCAATACTCTGCGGAACTACCCTACTGGGAACGAGTCAAAGCCAACGTCGGTAAGGACTTCTCTACGCTCCATTTGGTCTATCCGGAAGCCTACCTGCCTCAGAAGAAGGATGACGAATACCTGGCCAAGATCGCGGAGAAGATGACCGAATACACTGTCCCTTTGGTGAAGACCACGCAGGAGAAATTGGCGGATGTTGGAGAGGGAACCATGATAAAAGGTGGAAAAGTGGACAAAGACGACATGACCCCGAAGAGAGTCTGTGAGCGCAACAACGACGATGGTAATCAGATTCACAGTACCACTATAGGAGCAGACGGTACTCCAACCATGTCGACTCCTACCTCTAAGGATTACATCAATATTTTTGCATTCCCCAGAACCATCCTTGGCTTTTTTCGTGTGGAAAATCAGTCAAGAATGTTCTGAGAGATGCAATTGTGTAACCTGCTCTAATACCTGCAAAACTACTTCTGCTGTAGGTGGTGCCAATGTCAAAGCGGATCAAACTCCCTTCCTTCCTGATGCTCATGTCGGTTTCATGCTGATTGACCGCAGTACACCGACTATTTCCTCGCGCCGTGGCTTGGTCCTGTCTCTAGATTTGGAGCAATATGACTACAGTCCGGACTCTCAAACTCTGATTCGCGCAACGGAGAAGACGGTGGTAGAACGTCTACCGATTCGTGCCAAAATCCGCGAAAACGCGTCTCTTGAGCTGCCGCATATTGTGATCCTCTTATGGCTGTTGAAACAGTAGTATGCTTAATACAACAAGTATCTCTATCTATTATAGATATTGTGATTGTGATTAGTTTCTAGACAACTCAACTTTAACATACGAGGATTTTTGTCTTCATGGAGTCCTCTCAAACAGACGTAGACGCATAAACCTGCTTCCTCCACGTGTACATGCAATCAGCACTCTCTAATCCCCGTCGACGATCCGAAGGACCAGCTGCTAGGTCCTCTATTTGCGAAAAAGGAGAAGCTTGAAGTCGCCTATGATTTCGACTTGATGGAAAATGCTGGACATATTAAGGGCTGGAAGTTGCGACTTCACAACGAATTCGATGCTCTGCAGCATGTGGCGGAGGTACTTCTCGTGAATATGATTCATTACTTATGTAGTAGAAGAATAAGATTCATTATGCTTATGTGATAGACATAGACTTTGGATTTGGAATCGAACAAGTAGAAAAGAATATGAGCTATGAATATGAGAACACACCGACGCCGACCTTCAATAAATCATGATGAAGAAGCTAGTCTTGATTCCACTTCGCGTTCATTGACCTCAAGAAATTGAATTTGTTCAAACAATAAATGGAAATCTTTCTCCTCCTCCTCCTCCTCCTCCTCCACAGAATCATGGTCTTGAATGTTCATCCAACTATTCCCCAAAGCCCAACCACATAAAAACCATCAGGTCTTCCACCAACTAAAAGCCGATCACACTCATGGCGACAGTGCACCGATGTTGTTCGCAGTTGGTGACGGCAACCACAGTCTAGCCGCCGCAAAAGTCGTGTGGGAGAGTACCAAGAAACGGCTGAATATGACACCCGAGCAAGCGGAGCGACATCCTGCGCGATATGCCTTAGTCGAGATCCAGAATATCCATGATGACAGCATCGAGTTCGAACCGATTCACCGATTGATGTATGACATGAAGCCAAGTGAGTTCATGGCGAAAATGCAGAAGTACTGTGATCAAGTGCACGCCAAGTTTGAGTTCGAACAAAACAAAGTGCCATCAACTTCTGAGGAAAATGATGGAGAAGGAGAAGCTCTTGGAGAAAGTGGTGGTGAAAACAAAGATGTTGCCGTGGAAGGAGAAGAGGGTACTAAGCAAGGTGAAGAGGGAGAAACAAAGACCGAGCAAGTACTGGCTAAAAATGAGGAAACTACCTCTCCTGAAGAGAAGACGGACGTCCACGAGTTCATCTTCGTCACCCCACTTCCGCATGAATCCGGAAAAATCACTATTTCGAAACCGAATCATTCTCTTGGAGTTGGTTTTCTGCAGATGTTTTTAGACAGTCCGCTTTGCTCCGGATCGACCTTGGAATACATCCATGGCGAAGACTCCTTGCGAAGACTGGTCGATGAGGAAAGCAATGTTATGAGAAAGGAGCTAACATTGACATTCATTTAAACCTTTCGACGTGAACTTTTTCATCAAATGATATGTAACTGTCCCCGTCTTGCGGTGTACTTTTTCCTGGAAGTGAGAGAGAAAAAAATGAATTGTACAGAACAGACGTAGGATTACTGACTCGTCAACACTGTTGTTGTAAGAATGATCCTGAACCCTTGTTTCCCCCATTCACTTTCCCATGTCCCCCTTTGCTCTATGATCTTCATGTACCCCTTCTGCTCTAGTGTGTGCGTTTATGATTAGCTTAGCTAACTGCGGGGCTTGTGAAGTTAAACAGCCTACAATCTAATCCAATCATCATTATTATCTTCTTCAACCCTTGATTCTGTCTCCCTCTAACCCAAGCGGCGTGAAGAACAGCGTTTGCGGTGTCATCTTGCCTCCAATCGGAAGTAAGACGGGCCTATTTGCAGGTGTCCAAGATTACGGAGTCCTTCCTAGGAAGTCTTTTTCGATGGGGCATGCGGATGATAAGAGATTCTACATCGAGGCCAGAAGGATTCGGCCAGTAGAGGCGAAGGGAGAATTGACGATCAAATCACCGAAACTGGATGCGTATAATACGCAGCCAGTGATTCAATTGTCGCCGTGAATTGAGGAGGGAACATTTGACAGACATTTAGAGATACAACTGTTCTTGAGATGATATGATTATATGTTGTAGTTCTACTTAGCCCCATTGAGTCATCACAATGACAATGAGTACTAGTTCCTCTCGTAGTTGTGCCAACCGTTGTTTAGTTCTTTCGTGGTAGTTGAAGATACTTTTTAGGCGCGACCCTCCAGCACGACTTTTAATAGCCACTACAGCCTAGTGGAGTAGATGATATAGTCACGACGTGCATCTTACTTTTTAACATAAATAGAGACGTCCACATTATCTGTCTGAAGAATTATGATGTAGTTGAAGATGTACTAGTAGATGGTATCATCTCATCTACAACCTGCTGAGTGCAGTAGGCCCTAGTTGTCCAGGTATCCACTAGTTGTCAAACATTGCGAGACTCGTTAGAAGACCCCTGTTGTCTCTAAGCATGAATACTTGTAACATGAATTCGAAAGCTCTTCGGAGCTTCAGCACGGAGTCCTCGAATACTCAAAATAAGCGAGTAAGTTGTAACACAATAATTCACTATCTGAGATTATTCTCTAGCATACTTGGTTATTTCAGTTTTTCCTCTGCTGCATGGACTTAGTGAGTGCTCATTTCTCCGTAGGCGAGCCGATTCTTATCCTATCCTTCTAGTGAATCACCTGCACTAGTGCGAAGTCGTGCATAGACAACAATTTACGCAACTGTTGGAGTCCCTCGTCGGCATTATATGCTAGACCAAGAGCAGAACAATCCCATTGGTCGCGCCGTTAGTAACTCGAAGTCCTTTGTTGGAGTACAACTACTGCTCGTAAAATTTATAGAGGATACGGAGTCGCCCCTCAATTTCCAACTGCCAACTTCTCCTCGCAAAAACACACCATTGACGCGCAGACCACATGTCTTCAAGAAAGGGCGTGGCGAGTGTTCCTCAGCATGGCTGTCATGAAGCTGACTCTACTCAGTCGCAGCGTTTGACTATCTTCGAAATGTCTACTGATGTTGAAACTCTAGGCACATAATGACTTCCTGCTTCCTTGAATATCTGACCATATAATCTTCTCCACTTTTAGGCTATCCCTTCAACACGCAACATATATATAATCGTCTTCTTTGTAGCACTGGCTTTGACCACGTCCTCTGAGGACCCACATCATGTCTGTCTGTCCGTCTCCTCTTTGCAGCACTGGCGTCCGTCCTCGTCCTCTGTGTGCTGGTGAAATACGATCTGTTTGCTGGTGCAGCGTCATCATTGGTTCAAAATATGTTGGATCGCTTAGCCATATAATAGATGGAAATACGGAAATGCTAGTTACTTAGCCCACATCTCGCTCTCCTCGTCCCCACAAATTGGCCACTGATATCTACTTTTCTCTTTCTAAGTCTACTTCCTTGAAAAAGAAGCATCACCCAAAGGAATTTAGGACTCTACTCAAGGAAGGAGCGCGCTGGCTCTACTCATTCTTGTGGCATGATACGTCGGACGCCCTCAGGAGGTACTGAGATAGCGCTTGCAAAAATTTTTTGTCGATATTGGTGAGAGGACTACTTGAACTTGAAGAGGGACCTCCTGGCATATTTCCGCTCAAAGTTCCAGTATGAGCTCAACAGAATTGTGGATAGTCCCTGGTGAGGGAACTGGGTGCAGGAGACTGACACCCCGACGCGGAAAGCCAAAGCAGCTGTACGCGATTCGTATTTTCAAGAAAGAACGAGGACCATACGTAAGAGTAGAAGAAGGCTCGCTATCAGTATGGTCGCTTAGAGTCCAGTTGCTACATGAAAAAATATGTTTACCACTTATTCTCTTCTAATCCTCAGTGCTCTTCTAGTGCCATAAAGTCCATGAATCGGTCATACTTATACCAATGCTTACATATTGACAAGAGTATATTCTATTTCAGATTGCACAGTCCTGATTATGATCCTTCTTCTACCTTATTATCTCAACTTCTACATACATACTAGAGTTGAGAAGTATTTGTTTGTTTACAACTCTCTCTGCTCTTCATCTTCTTCGCCATCGTAGATACTCGATTACGAAGATAGAGCTGGTCGGTGTCTGCTTAGGTTTGAGCCGCAGCATGAAGAGAGCTTCCGGAATCGTAGTATTCAATCTCTTGTATTGCACAATAAACTGTCCATAAAAGTTCCTTGGCAGCACTAGTGGTCTCGTCGTCCCACATGCAGCTTTGGCAAAATCCTATGATCACCTTCAGAGGAGACTGTGTATCGGTGAAACTTGGTAAGAGCTGTTTGCAGCGTCCTAAAAATTATTAGCTCGTCAAAAGATTTTCGATCATTTTCGATTTCATTGAGAAAGGAAATACTTAAGATGGCCTTTTCCTCGTAGTTCTCCTCCCAACGAATTGCACAGTGAGATCTACTTTTCTTTAAACTTTTTTCCTTCTAATGTATCTATCAGTGTTTGTGCTCATGATCATTTATCAGTACGTTGGTTTTTGTCGCTAGTGATGTACTTAGTTGCGACTCTAGGTATCCGCACTGCTCTGTGACTAACTAGATGACCTTCGACTTTCTGATACAAATAGTTGTACGTCATCGTCTTCAAGGACACACTGCTGGAACTGTATCATCCCGCTGGTAGACTAGGAGAACTACGAGGGAGGCAAATGAATGAATGTCTTCATTCTTCAAATTCAATCATCTCCTGTGTTGTCAAAAAAAATGGGAAATCGTTGTTGTCATTCAAAAAAAACCAGGGAAGATGGACTTCACACAATCACAGGACCAGCACATCAAGAACGAGCCTGCTCTAGCAAAGGAGCAAAAGAACAAAAGCTGTGTGCCCTGATCGCGCAGCTTCCAGATGACGACTCAGGAGTCGCGCAAATCAAGGAACTACAACGAAAAGAAAGTTCACAGTTGTCTGTTCAAGATTTCAATGTGGTCGATAAAGTTTCGCTTCCCGGTGCATCGCTGAGGGCATTGGGACCCGCAGTTCATCTGAACAAACCCAAGCTGGTGACCGCTCTGCTCAAAGCAGGAGCTGACCCACGTCTACCCGTGGACATGGCACAAGGTGGAATTACGGCATTGCACGTCGCCGCACAAGAAAACTGCATCGAGGTAATGAAACTGCTGCTAGAATGGCGTACTCTTAAGGCTTGAACTTGAAGATAAGTTGTAAGTACTTAAGATAAAAAAGATTCATTCCCAGGAGCAAAGTAAGGCCATTCTTTGTGTACTCCTCTACCAAAGTAAGGCTAAGACCATTCTTTTTAGTACTCCTCTCCCTCCCTCTTTGTGCTTGGGGGAGGTCTGAAGCAATGGACTCCAACTCCTGGAGAAGTGAATTCTTGGTTTGAGCTCCTCTGACTGCAGCCGAAGTTTATCTGAGCTTTGACCATCGGATTCCAGCTGCATCTGTTGACATAAACGCCCGTATTGGCGGCAAGGCGATGACAGAAACACCGTTGTATGGATAGTGTTTTTTCCATCCTTTATATCCGACCACTTTGGCACCACCAGTGCTTATATTTTTTCATCAAGGGAGGTGGAAATTAATGCGTAACAAGTACTGCCAAGAATGCCAAATAGATGGTCTTCCGAGAACTAGATGGAAGGAACATCAAATTCCTTTCTTCATGCGTCATATCTAGCGGCGTGGCATAATAAACCTGAAGCTGTGGAAGTCCTACTTGAAGCAGGCGCCGATTGGCGGTTGATAGTTCACAAGGACCCCGGACATACCGCCGTTTCAGCGGCTATGAGAATGGGAAACATGGAAGTGTTACATGTATTTCGCAAGCATGGGACACTACATTGTGGACACGACCTTGATATGTGCCAGCCTACCTGTTCATCTACTTACGGCCGCTTGTGAGTTGTATATTTTCGCCATCTTCCCATGTACTCCATGTGGATTATGCTGAGTGGACTAGTCCCCTTTGATTTGAAAAGATGAATAAACTAAGGGGGTATAAAGGGAAAGATAGAGGGTAATTCACACATTCACTTAATAATCACAGATCACCGTACCAGGGATAATGAACTACAACCTGCTTTAAGAAATCATGCAAGCAGCCGTGCAAAAAAATGGAGAAGCTGCTGCTCTTTGTCAAGATGACGAAATTAATGGTGACAAGAATGTGTCAAAAAATTTTCTAGTGAGGACTCAATTGGAAAAATTAGTGAGTAGGGAATACCGAATCTATCACAAACTTATGTGCTCCCCTCACGATGCTGCACTCTTAGAGCACATGCGTAGGGAAGAGTCGAACCAAGAAGTCGAGATGATTGTTGAGAAGTGCATCCAAGAATTGACTGATGAGCGGAAATTGTGAAGGTTTTATTCTTTCTGACACTTACACACACTTTCTGACACGTTTCTTCAAGAACTCGAAGATAATGCCATCACAGCACTGTGTCCGAACGTCGTGTGAAGGCATACTGGTGTGACTCCTGCTGAGGCATGTGTTAGTAATCTAATCCCAATGAAATTCTCATGTATGAGAGTCTGTCTGTCCGTCATAGGAGATTCTGTTTGAGTACTTAAACTTACTCTGTTGAGATGAAAGAGAAGAAGTAGCGTGAGTACACTCTGCGCGAGGAGCTTCTAAACATTCATAAAGGAGTACTACTACTTTGGTGAGAACATCAAAGAGAATGTGAGATGAATGCGATTCTGTCCCAGGATGAGAAAGAGAGAGATCAATGATTCTGTCCCGCGAGAGTGAGCAATCATATCTTCAGAGCGCCATGGTCATTCTGTACCCTGAGAGAAGGTCCGCTCTGAGTAAGAGCCTCTCGTCTGTCCTTGTCTAATTCCTTGAGATTCTACGTATGATTTTCTTCTTTTTCAATCTTCTCCAGGTCCACAACATGTTATAATGTTATGAACCCTAGTACCCCTGTTCTTGGCATACCAGTTTGAGACCTCTTTTATCAGTATCTATTTGTATTCGTTTGCATGTTTGACTTAGACTTTGACTATTCCATTGCAAAATCTGTGGCGAATACCTAACAAGTGTTCCAGTATTCGTTGTTCATCTCTTCACAATTCCATCACAATAACATCTTCATCGTCATCCACTTTGACTTTTTCTTCTTCTATCACCTCATTCATTTCCAAATCCTCACAACAAAATGTGTAACTGTACCGGAGAGGAGGATGAAAATGGTACTGGTAGCGATTCGGAGAAGGAGACTCTGAGAGGTGAAGAAAGCAGAAGGTCTTCAAAAAGGACATCAAGAAGTAGTAGAAATAGGGAACTGAAAAACACCGTGGAGACAGGTATTGACACTATGTTATTGGTAGTAGAACTAGGGAACGGAAAAATACCGTAGAGACAGGTAATGTTGACACTATCTTAAATTGGCAGTAGAACTAGGGAACGGAAAAACACCGTAGAGACAGGTAATGTTGACACTATCTTAAATTGGCAGTAGAAATAGGGAACTGAAAAACACCGTAGAGACAGGTAGAGTCAATCAGACATAGAAGATCTGTACTGAGTTCCTGGCACTTTTGTTCTCACGCTCAAACGTGGCTATTCTTGATATAAGGCCGTATACAACTACTCAGACAGTGGCCAATCCTGGGCACTTTTCTCAAACCCGCACTGACCACTGACTGACTGACTCCCTCACTCCACACTGACTGACTGACTCACTCCCTCACCAATCATAAAAACTTTGTATGACCACAGACTCAGCTTGGTCGGCTTCAGAGAAGGAGGACGTGGACCCTTTTGACGAGGACTTTGTCGTGATCAGCAATAAGCATGTAGGTTGTTGCTACGGTTTGAACTACGGTATATGGGTCACATTCGGCGGTGCCATTATGTTCCTCATGTGGGCTTTGATGGGTCTCATCTGCTGCTGCACTGTTATTGGGTACTTGTTTTTTGTCCACCAGCTTCGCTTGAGACTCAACATGTCAGGAAATGTGAGACTCATGCCATGCCACGCTTGAGAAGATTTCACTTGGTGTTTCTACGTCTTCCCGCGAATACTATAATCATTCTGGTCCCTTTCTCTCATTCGATTTGGAAGATAGGATTTTTTTTTTCTGACATTAACTTTAGTTTTTATATATCAATCGCACGCTTTCGCTTCTAATTCTATCAGGATGGGCTGGGGCTTCAAGTGTTTTTCGATCGCGACGATTGTCCTGGTACCATGGAAACATAAGAATCGAGGTGTGGTCAAGAAGAACATCTACTACATAGAAAATCCGGAACCAAAATACTGGGGCATCGTCCTCTGGTGGATAGTGTGCGGGTTGATCTTGACAGTGCTTCATCTCGTCTTCGCTGCACTAACCTTCGTTACTTTCATAGGGATGCCTTTCACCTATCAGCACATAAAATTCATCCAAATGATTTGGAAGCCGGGACACATATGCCTCACATTGGATGAATGCGAAGCTATAGTCGGCAGAGGCGACGTGGAAACAAGCGGCAGGGTAGTCGAAAAACCAAAGAAGTTAAGACAACGCACAGTGCATCCTCACTTGTATCATTCTTGGCTTGTTGTTTTACAGAGCTAAAATATTTTTAAAAGTCATTATGCTCCCCTTCTCTATCTCTCAGTCTTCTCTGGCACTTATCTCACAATCACCACGTGATTACTTTCAAGGAAAAACAGAGGCCAAGGATGCTAGGAGCAGGCGGGATGCAACTGGTGGCTACCTCTAACAAAGGAAGAATCTATGGAGGATAAGATGATGGGCGTGATGGGCCCCAGTGCGAGTACCCAACTTGGCATGGCAGCTATGGGGATGTGAAGTCTTCGTTAAGATATTGGCTTCCTAAAAACCTAACATATCCTCTTCTTGGAATCTTTTTCTAGAAGTAGCAACTACATCTTGTTAATGACATAGAAAATGCTAGTAGTATTCTTGATTCTTGACATATTGGTTCGTAACATCCATTCGGCACATAGTTCATATCATAGGAAAAGGATAAAGTGATTCTACTTTGTTCTAAATCTATTTATCGTTGCAAACTCGCAATAATAGCTACATCAGAGGCACCATGACATGACAAGCAGAAATAAATATCGTTACTAAAGAACAAGTAAGCCTGTAGTCAGGGAAAAATAACCCGACGGAAATTCGTGTAATTAAATGTTTTGCCGCAATTGCTACTTGTACCATAGCAGTTATTGGAAAATAATATAGGGCGGACGCAAGAGCTTTCATCGATTCATCCCGCCGGTAGGTGCAGCAAACCTATTTAGGATGCACAGAATAGAATACTAGCTTTAAGGTTGGGGCTTAGGTCCTCCGACAATTTGAAAGCACTAAGCAAAGCAACCGGTTAAATAGAACAAAAGAAAGTCAAAAGAGAAGGGAAAACATGTAGGGCGGACGCGTTGTTTTCTCACGCGCTCTTTCGAATCCGGTATGGAGGAGCGAAGAAACCTTTCTGTAGAGTGAGAGGGAAGAGAACTTTCTGTACTTGAGGGGTGGTGCAAGAACGTGTCTGTAGGCGTTGAGAGAAAGGTGCAAGAACATGTCTGTAGAGGGCAATAGGTGCAAGAACATGTCTGTAGATGGCAATAGGTGCAAGAACGTGTCTGTAGAGGGCAATAGGTGCAAGAAGATGTCTGTAGAGGGCAATAGGTGCAAGAACATGTCTGTAGAGGGCAATAGGTGCAAGAACGTGTCTGTAGAGGGCAATAGGTGCAAGAACATGTCTGTAGAGGGCAATAGGTGCAAAAACATGTCTGTAGAGAGCAATAGGTGCAAGAACATGTCTGTAGAGGGCAATAGGTGCAAGAACATGTCTGTAGAGGGCAATAGGTGCAAGAACATGTCTGTAGAGAGAGTTCTCTCTGTTGAGAAGGAAGCTCTGTTGGAGGTGCTACGATTTTTAGTTAAGAGATTTTCGTAGTTTCAGAGATTATAGGTGTTATGCGGGAATCGGTATTCGTAATACATCGCGATTCATTTTTAAGTACTTCTTCATCCTCTTCTTCGATCACCGATAATACAGGTTATTCAAATTATTGAATCAATACTGACCTCCTAGTGATAGGCTCCCAGCCAACAACTGTCATGGCATTTTGTTTGTAATATTCATATTGACGTAGAACTAGAAGATCACGATATTTTTTCTTCATATAACCTACAACGATTAGATTTACTTTTGCAACTTCCAAATCATCCAATTTTTCCAAATATTAACAAGTTCCAACTTCCACACGTCCAATCGCCCTTGTTGCGTTAGTTTTGAACAAGTAGAACGACACAACGAACAAGATGTGCAAGCACGGGTGTTGTAGTAGAGAGGAGCCCATGGTGGACGTGGATGAGGAGGAGCGCCTCACTGCTCGGAAGGAGCCAACATACAGAAAATCCACAGTTAGGGAACTCCGAAATAGCATTGAGTCAGGTACTAGAATTTATATCTAGTGGCTTCTAATGAAGAGAAGAAAACTTGATCAATGTTGAAAATCGATAATTCAATAAGTTTTCATAAGAAACAAGAACCCATCCAATTCTAGACCGGCAACAAAGTTCAATCCATTCATACAATCACCTGAATCACCGTCTTGACTTATACTTACCTATACCTGTTGTATCCAAATCCAATCTGTCCCTACCTGAATACCTTCACATTCATTTTTACACAGATTCCACGTATTCGAGCTACAGCGAACCGATCCTGCCGTATGACGAAGATTTAGTGGTGATTAACAACAAGCACGTCGGGTGCTGCTATTGCTTCAACTACTTTATTTGGGTCGTGTTTGGTGGCTTCTGGATGTCGCTTTTCTGGTGCCTCGCAGGAATCCTCTGCTGCATTACTGTTTTCGGGTACTCCTGTCTGATGTTCATGTTCTTTCTATTTTTGGTAGTGCTTTTACACTTCTTGTGCTATTTTCGTTCATCTTCAACGGTAGAATCCTCTCCTTCTCTTTTATTTACCAAACTAACAACTAGCATCTAATTCTAATTAAATTGAGGATGTTCTTGTTCACTTTACCTCTTGTTAGGCACATTCATTCACTCATTCATTCATTTACTCTCCTTCTCTTTTTACCAAACTAACAAACACTCTTTTTTGTATGGATAAAGTCAACAGGAGACAATCATTTACATCTTCTGGGTTACAACTTTACAGCCTATACGCTCACCCCGTCATAAGTGAGCCTACTCCTATCCTATCCTAATATGTTCAACTTCACCTACAACAGAATCCCGTTTGGTTGCAAGTGCTTCAAGATAGCGTGCATAGTTTTGGTACCCTGGAAAAACAAGAATGCTGGAGTCGTGAAGAAGCACATCTATTGGATCAAGAACCCAACGCCTGCGTACTTCCAGATCTTCTGCTGGTACTTCTGCGCACTCTGGCTCAGCGTCATGCATTTGATCTTTTTAAGGCTGCTCAATTCTACTGTATTTTTTTCTCAAAATATCCCTTCCTCGCTCTTTGTAAAAACCACTAAAAGCTCGCTCTAATTATGCCCCGTTTAAAGAAAAATAACCGATCGAATTTCCCTCATTTTCATCTTAGGTTCGTTAGTCCGCCCTTGAAACAACATAATAAGTCCGCTTCACTTACCTCTACTAGTTCTTCTAAGAGGTCCTCGTGAAGAGAGACAACCAGTCATCTCTCTCAAAAAGAACTAGTTCTTGTTCCCGAGTAGCTGCGACCAATCACCCAATTGTAAGGGACCGAAATAGAAGAAAGGGAGAGCCGACCAAAGCTAACCTAACCTAACCTGGAGGATCCATAACCTAACCTATCGACTATCGACTATCGACTTCTACTTACCGACCCTAAATAAAACAACGGCAACAGCCTCTTCTAATCTTCGCCTTACTGAACGCTGTTATCCTGGTCGGATTGCCTTTCGCCTACCAGCACTGCAAGTGGTTTTGTATGTGTTGGACCTGCGGACATATCGCATTAACCATAGACGAATGCGAGGAGATCACTGGCATCGACGCCCGTATGGGATCCGATGATGAGGAAAAACGGGGTTAAGTAGAAGTACTCCTTGTATTAAATGTAGAAGTTGTACATAGAAGAAGTGTTTTAGTTGTACAGAGTGTGAGTTTAGCTTGGGGAAACTTCTATACCACACAGCTGAGGAGACATACACGACCAGTGATCTGAAAATATCTTTCTCAGGAGGAGATGAGCAGGATGAAACATAATTCATGACTACTATTGATGAGATATTACGAACTTCATGCAATGAAAACACACAGGAGAAGTTTGGTTAAGATTCATAATTTGATTAACAATTAGAATATTTTCAATATTTCTAATCGGATTTATCAAAAGAATACTAAGGAACAGTATCGAATTGAAGTATTGACTAAGAAAATTAGAATATTATCATCATTAAGCATTACCAATTTGTCATTCAGTTATAGCATATTACTTTCAAAAATACGAGAATGTAACTAATTGTAATTAAAGCAAACAACAATATAATTGATAATATCATCATTAAGATTGGAAAAAAAAGTCCGGTCGACGACAGTTGTTAGGCGAGAAGGGATAAGGGTAGCGACGTGAAATTCTACAACAAAACGAAAATGCAACAGAGGCGATGCATAGTAGAGCTGAAGGCTGTCTACTTAAGGACTCAAATACGAGAGGTTGCTAACAATTATGGACCGTAGAGTCGCTCTTTATTCTCATCCTCGCACAGTACAATGAGCTTCACGGGGTTATTCAGAGTAACCTAGGTGCGTGGAAAGATTAAAGAATTAAGGAAAGTATGGAAGATAAAAGATGATAAATTTGAAATTACGTTTTGAAAGACCTAGTCGTGGCCTTGGTAAGAAAAACGGAAATATTCTCTTCGTCATGCTACCAGAAGAACTTGCTTATGACCATATAGATACTAGGCGAATCAATCTTTCCCAGAAAAAACGCACTTGTTTTTAAACTACTAAATAGTAATCCTGATAGAGGTCTCTCTTCATCGTCATCGTGAAGTTCTGGCGAGAAATAGGAATAGAGTACTAGAGCTGAAAAGAGTAGATGAGCTGATCTAGGTGGGAGACAGAGACAGGATGAACGTGGGAAATGATAAAGACAAAAATGTCATGCAATTATACTTTTGATGACATGAAATATTCAGAGGCTGCGTTAATCCGCTTGGGAATGCAGCTAAACCCTGCGGACGGCGGATCACATCCTAATCCTAATCCTAAAGATGTCTTGGTCGTACGTTGGAACTTGGAGGAGTCTGACGTTCACCTGAGAGGCATAGACAATGAGACGCGAGTGACCACGGTTGAATCATAATCATGGCCACTCCACTTGAAGTTTAACTTGTTGGGCTTACTCGGTCTGTGACGTCGGTGCACATAGGAGGAATGGGAGGCAGCATGTAGTCCTATGGAAAAAAAAAAAATCCTATGGAAAAAAAACAGCACATAGCACCCTGACGCGATCGAGGCCCATGAACTTGAACTTGGTCTGTTAGGGAGCGACTGAGAGATTGAGTGACTCCTATGTGATCCTTCTGCTTTTCTATACTTCGACTAAATGAACCGATACTTGCGCGTACTAGAACTTTCCCATCCTTTGAAAAACCAATGACCAGCTCTTTATCTTTGGTGGATGTTAGCTCTCGTCCTGTAGTGGATGTGGCCCCACCTGGTTCTGGTCGGGCGGGTCTACTACGGAGCCGCCAAACTTTTAGACACTCTATTTCTGCCAACCTATGCGAAGTTTTGGCCGAGCCGCGAGTTATGGCCGAATTCAAACAATGGCCGGCTCATCAAGATACGAATGGGAGCATGCTGTGTTACCAGGTACGTTTGGGAAGGGTGCGCGTGTGAGCCTTACAGTACGCGAATTGGCAAGAAACGGTTCTAGGCCAAACGTGTCTCACCCTAGCAAACGAATGCAGTCAAGAGGAACAGAGGAGATTTAAGTTGGAGTGAGAGAAAAGGAGCGCGATGAACACGAAGAACGTCGTGATGCTCCTAAAAATCGGGTACAACGGAAAGGAAGGAAAATGCCGCCGCCTCGTCAAGGGCAACATTTCCTGACATCGTTTAACGACGACATGATGATGAAAGTGACCTCCAATGGTGGAGCTTGAACAGAATATCATCGATTTCTAGTTACGAATTTCCTCCATTTTTACCCATGTCCACTCGCACTTTTCAATGCCTATGATAAATTTGGGGCTTAACGACCTCGGCTAAGATCTTCAAGAGATCTCATTTCAAACGATACGAACATCACCCGCGTGATACTGAAAGAGCCATCGCGCATGATGGAAAAAGTTAAAGTGTTTGAGGATACTGATATTGTCTTTGGAAGTATCGTGTAAGTAGTTGTAGGCTTGCACAAGGCTATTTGTTCGGTATCTTTCATTCAACGAGCAGATGAAAAAGTGTGACCATGATCTGCTTTGAAGGAAAATTGGCAAAGCGGAAAGTCACTGATCATGCGACGAAAGCACGCAACTACATGTCATGCGATCCACCAATGCGCCATAGGTAAAAGCGACAATGCAAACGCCTCTGTACTGACTCGAGAATCAAGGTAGGCTAGCAGATGAACAGTGAAAGCTAGCAGATAGCCAACTACTGTAAGCAGATGAATAATAAAGGCTAGACTCGCAATAAAGGCTTTCAAATCGCATCATGTGCAACTTCGTAAACCTTGACTTGATAGATGAGATATTGTTCTTGACGCAAATGTAGAAACTAAGTACTTAAGTACTAAAGGGGTACCTACTAGTAGTTTCAGCCATAGCTAGAATCAACTTGTTCAACAAAAGAACTACACTATAACTACTCATTTTTTCTTCAAATACACCACTGTACTGGCAGTATAACAAAAAATGGCACTCGATCAGACTGCGAGCAGTGTGGGCGGCGACGGGAAGAAATCCGCTTGGCCCCCGCTGGAGTCAAACCCTGAAGCTTTCACTGCTCTTGCGCGACAATTGGGTTTGCAACCTGGTTATGAATTCGTCGACGTCTTCGGCTTGGACCCTGACTTGCTCATGATGGTGCCACAACCCTGTTTGGCTGTAGTCGTGCTGTTTCCGACACAGTGTCAAGTTCTAGAGGATTTTCGGAAGAAGCAGAAAGAGACGATAGGAGTAGCAGGACGAGAAACTGAGCAGAAAAAATCTTCTGAGGATTACGTCTATGTCCATCAATACGTCGGCAACGCATGCGGGACATTCGCTTTGTGCCATGCTTTGTGGAATAACCAAGAAGCGTTGGATGCTGCTAGTCCATTGCTGAGGTTTTTGGCAGATGCTATGAGCGAGATCACTAAAGAACAGGACAACAATAGTACAGGTCCAGCTGAAAAGCCACTCGCTGCTCTTCTCGGAGAAGCTTTCATGAACTTTAATGACGTTCGGGAAAAACATGCTGCTATAGCTAGTGACGCGCGGCTGAATCAGACGGCTGAGTTGGCAGCTACGGCCAAAGTAGAGGAACATTTCACTGCTTTTGTTAAGGCCTCACTTAATCCATCTTTTAGCCCATCTGGGAGCTGTCTTCAAGTTGTCGAAGGATGGACACAGATGGCGCAAAAGACGGATCGTCGTGAGTTCTAATTTTGTTCGCAAAAGTCAAGGAGGCTCGTCTAGCAGGATAGTGGAGTTAGATGGAAGACTTCGTGTGGCACTGGAACATGAAGATGGGAAGCCAGAGGCCGATCTGCTACACTCAGTGGCTCCTTTGATTCAAAAAAACTTCTTTGATGTAAGGCTACCCCTAATCCATCTCTATAGGAATCCCTCAACAATATGCAGCCCCATACAAGGGGAATACTGTGCCATATTGTTGAGGGATTGCCACAGGGATGAATTAGCGAGAGCTCTAATTGATGTTGCGGCGGGGAGTGAAAACAACTTCGCGGTGCTGGCATTGGTTAAGACATGAAGAGCAATGCATAGACGGAGCTCTGATGATTTTTCAAGCGTTTTTAATGTTGCGCGATCGCGTTCGTCTTCGCGATGTTCTTGCGACATGTGTAAGATTTATAGATACATGTTACAACGGCAACACAAGGAATGAAAACTACGATTCCTCTGAGACGCTACCTTTCCCCTGAAGATTCCCCTCCCCGTAAAAATTTGACGACAAGACGTAATGAACGCACGCAGATCCGACACTCGTTTTTTTTGTGTTCTGGTGAGTCCACTCCACTGGGTTTTACTTGTCGTGGCGTATGTGTAATGGAGGTTTTGCCTGTGGTGCAGTAGAAGTCGACGACACGGTAAGCGTAAGAGTCCTTGGCATGATGAGAGAACACATTGTCCTCCCTACTAGTACAAGGAGATGACGAGAGATGAGTAATGAATTCGTAATCGGTTGCTTGAACTGATGCTGGCTACAGGGATGTGTGATCGTGGCATGTTACCTAGAGGAATTCCATTTGTAATGGTCATTCGACTGAGGAATACAAATCTTGGGAACCACAAAGCTCATGAGAATGCGGGTGGATCACGAGGACGAGTAGCGCTATATCCAAATTATTTTTGTCTTTGATTCTGATTATCCTAGGACTGCGGATACACTTTTACCATTACCCTCATGATGAGGTCATAATGATGATGTTAGATTCATTGCAGTCGTTACATGATGATGTCATAATAATGATTGCTGTCGTTACATGAGCTTCTCTCCTCTTCCATAAGAATAGGACAGCATAAACTATTTTGCTCTGCATCAAAGAAATCAAAAATGATATCTCGACCTTCACATAGGACAAAAATAGGAATTATACCCCCAAAAAACGTTATATATTTATAAGATAAAAACGTATATTAAGTAGTAGACTTTTTTAAGGCCGCAGCTAGCTCCTGTCGTTTCTCGGTCCACCTAGAAACGAAAATGACGGACATCAAGCCCCCGCAGCCAGGATGCTTCCTCTTCACCTCAGAGTCGGTGAACGAGGGTCATCCGGATAAGTTGGCTGATCAGGTATGCAATTATGTCCAATTTTTAATAAGGACAACAGACACCCTTGTTGTTATGACATATTATAAGAATAAGGACAAGAGACACATTATTATAAGGACATATTATAAGGACAAAATAAGGTCGGTGAACGAGGGTCATCCGGATAAGTTGGCTAGTTAGGACAACACCCTTGTTAATATGACTATCCTTCTCTACATTCATTCATTCATACACTAGGTTTCCGACGCTGTCCTTGATGCTTGCTTGAAGCAAGATCCGGATTCAATGGTTGCCTGTGAAACTTGTACTAAGACTGGCATGGTTATGGTTTTTGGCGAAATTACGACGAAGGCCCAGGTGGACTATGAAGCTATTGTGCGTCAGGCATGCAAAGATATCGGATACGACTCGGAGGATAAGGGTAGTTAGTGTTGATGTCAACATTATGTAGTTGTGGATCAATGCATCTGATTACATTCATCTTGCTCCAAGGTCATTCAGCAGAAATCCAGGTCTGAACTACGCTACCATGGAGGTTTTGAACAAATTGGAGGAGCAATCACCGGATATTGGTCAGGGCGTTCACGGTATGGGCACTCGTAAGTCCGCGGAAGAACTCGGTGCTGGCGATCAGGGGCATATGTTCGTTACGAGTGGGGGTGCTTGATCTTGTTTCACACACACTTTCTCCGACACGAAGATCACGAATATTTTTTTTCAATTTCGAGGGATGGCGCGTTGCACAGAAGAATACTATTAAGCACTTTAACTTCTTTCTCGACAACCATCTATAGCAAGTAGGTATGCCGCCCTGAAAAGATTTTCTTTCTAACCCTTGCTATGCGTCCGACGAGACTCCGGAGTTGATGCCGTTGACCCACTCTCTGGCGACTCAGTTGGGCAAAAGGTTGACCGATGTCCGTAAGGATGGCACTGTCCCGTGGGTCCGCCCTGATGGAAAGACGCAGGTCTCATTATAATTTTTCAGCAATTCTTGCAAGTCTACTGTTGTATCGCAGTAATTCTGTCGTAGTACCTCTGTCGTCAACCTCAATATCTCACTACATCCATTTCCATAAAAATCATCTATTGCAAAATATTAATTCAAGACTGAAATTTATTTTAGGTTACTTGCGAGTACAAGAAGGGAGATGATGGATCGATGCAGCCACAGCGTGTCCACACGATCTTGATTTTTATGGCAAAAACATCGACATTTTTCGGATTTTTATTTCATTATCTGCACTACCTTGTAAAAGGATAGCTCATAATAGTACTGGTGGGACGAACTTTCCCTGTCCTACAACCTGAAGCATGTAGTTCCCATCACAATGTCAATCCTTTCCTGCCACTCCCCGCTCCCCTCTAATCTATCCACCCAACATTCCCCTGACGTAAGTTTGGACCAGCAGAAGAAGGACCTGATGGAACACGTCATTAAGCCGATTGTCCCAGAAAAGTACCTCGATGACGAAACCATCTTTCACATCAATCCGAGTGGACGGTATTAATGTGGGACCCACCAGGTGTCCACTTCTACTTGTTGATCATGACACTCTTCACTACTTTGTCCTAGAGCAGCATACTGTTGATCTGCATCTCATGATGTTATTTCCACACCCCTCAAACTCAATCTAGACTTTTTCCCTCCCATGCCGTAACTACCCCACGAATGGGTAAACTACTACTACTACAGTTTCGTGATCGGTGGCCCTCATGGTGATGCCGGTTTGACTGGGCGTAAGATCATTATCGATACGTACGGCGGCTGGGGTGCGCATGGTGGTGGTGCCTTTTCTTATGGCTCATGATGCTGATAGATATGAATCATTTCAAATGAACCCCCCCGCTGGTGTTACAAGTTGGTTCCAGTTGCAGTCTTTCTGCATGGGATTATTTATCTTCTGAGACAGACCTCCGGTGAGGACACATCTGACACAGTCTAATGTTCCGGTAAGGACACATCCAAGGTCGATAGATCTGCTGCTTATGCTGCGCGTTGGGCCGCGAAGTCCCTGGTTGCCAGCGGCCTCGCCAAACGTTGCTTGGTGCAGGTCTCTTACGCGATCGGTGTCGTGCAACCGCTTTCCATGTTCGTTGACAGCTATGGATCTGGTACTGTTAGTACTTTTTTTTGACCCTTCTTTCGAGCTCTAAAGAGAAATAGTGTGCAGGATCGATTTTACTTGTAAGCAGGTTAGAAAGATCCGTTCCTTGAATTCTAAGGCTCTCGAGATTGTAAGCAATGTCGACCTTTGGAAGTATAGTAACAAACTGCAGCTTGGCTACTTAATCGAAGTTGGTTCCAAAAAAACTCTTTACCAATGTCTTACAGCATCTTTGTCAGGGATGTTCTGAGGAATGTAATTCCGTAACCTCTGTAATTAGCCTCACAAATTCACAATTTCCTATTTTTCCTCAGGTGTCAAAGATGACGAAACGTTGTGCGAAATTGTGAAGCGCAACTTTGATTTTCGTCCGGGATGCATCCAACGTGATTTGAACCTTAAAGCTCCGCAATTTCAACCGTTGGCCGCCTACGGACATTTCGGTCGCGAGGATCTCAAGCCAGCGTGGGAGATCGTCAAGGACTTGAAGCATGAGTTGTAAATACTGATGTACTAGCTACGTAATCGTAGTCGTAGAGGAGGATGTTCAGGCAGGCGAAACACGAAACACGTACTAGTTGTTCTCAATCTCGTACTTGATCATGTGGTAGAAGAACATCACTCGTGAATTTCGTTGATGAGTTATAGACAACTATTACGTCTAGGCACATTCGTTGGGAGGTAGAAGGCATCGAGTAGTGCTACCAACAGAAGAAGGAGATAGAAGATTGATGCCGTCACTTCGTCGTTTGCCAGAACCTGGAAAATTTTCACTGTTTCATTATCATCATGCTCCTGTACAATAAAAATTGAAATTCATCACATGCAGATGGAATATTTTCAATTCCGTTCGTCAACGTCGAGCAAGATGAAAACATGACTTTGCCGGAGTCATAATAGTACCGTACTGGGTGTATAAAGATCGTAGCAGAAGTTCAAGTTCTTATTTTAATCTAGTATCCTCTTCAGCAGTAGAGGATTCGTGAAGGTGGAGCGCGCTATTCACTGCACTCATAATTGATGTAAGTAGCTACTAACTCGAACAGTCTATTTGTCGCGTCTTTATCAGGATGAGAACTCACTCTTGATATGAAAACAAACGCATCATTGCGAGCTGACTCCAAGATTTGCCTTAACGAATATCAAAATCAATAACCACAGATAGAAGGAATAAAACTTTTGCTGACCACAATGTCGCCGCCCTCCTGCTCATCTCGTTAAGACACATGGGTGGAGCATGAAAGAGGATTTTTTGAACGTGGGCCTTGTTGGTTAGATTCTTAGAGATCCACGTGGTGCAGCGAACGGGCATCGATGGATTATTCTTTCTCGACGTTCAGTGCGCTGTTGGTGTCAACATGAAAATTACATGTTTCACCAATCATCATTGCTATCGCTACCGCCATGTTTTCAGGCGGGACTGTCACCAGACCGATTTTTGTTCTTGATTTCGGAGACAGAAAAATTCTCTCGATCTTGAAGATGCTTTTCGTGTAGCTGAAGGTTGACCAACGGAGAAATAAGAAAGGCTAGTATGCTATAGGATCCCGAAAGAAAAGAAAAATCAGTGCCATTCGGTCTACTCTCTGACGATCCTTTTCGTGTGGTGCGATCTATAGATGGTTCCTGATCTTCTACGACGCGCCTGCGACCCTCTACTAGGATCCCGAGAAGTCAGAAGTAGACAGATCCAATGCTGGACGTTCTGAGACATCGGTTTTATATTTTGACGCAATGATAGATAACGTTTAGCGGTCGTGTTCTTGGGCTTTTTGAGTGGAGGAGTGAGCGATAGACGTGAATCTGTCATCTTCTAACTCTATGTCTAAGTACTAGCAACTTTGGTGATGTTGACCAAAAGTGAGACGAGGAGGAGAGATGTAGAGAGAATTATGTGCTGGTAACGGTGGAGTAACTTTAGATTTTGCAGTACAGTCGATCTAGATGAGGTGGTGCAGGTGCACTTCCATGACAACTCTCTCTGTCTTCATTCAGCTGAGCTTTCAGGCTATGATCATGACCAGCACATCTTCTCCTACGTCGCAGCTTCATTCATCTATTTTTCCCCTTCCTTCCCTGTGTACATTTATTCTCTCGATTTACTTGTACCCCTTCAGGGATGTTTTCTTCTTCACGAACAAATGCAACATGGTTGATTCTTCCAGTCCTCGGAGCCGAGGATAGAACCAGCTTGCGTGAATAATTGCACATGATTTTTCGAAGGGGTCTGTCTTCCTACGACTCTTTTTCAGCAGTATGTCGTTTGCGTGCGACCGACAGTTCTCCACTGATTTCCAGTGAATATCTCATTTCGAATAACATATCCTCTCATGATGTTGCTTGATCTACTCCTGAAACATTTACAGCATCCTGAAAATGTTGTTCTATAAGGTTTTGGCTTGGATCTTATGTGCGTCGCAGCACGCTGATCTTGAGGGCTGGGGAAGCGTGCGTCCTGTTATGGCCATAATCCTGTGTACCCTTCACGCTTCTCGTCCACTTTTCACTCAAGTAAATATAAAATCTATAAATTCATCCTAAATTTATTCTTCCTCTAAGCTACTTAATGGGTGGCACATCGAGACAATTACATGATTTCCCATCCTGCCATCCTCTTCCATCGACAACATCTCTCTCTCTCCATCTTTTTCTCTCTCTCTCCATCTTTTTCTCTCTCTCTCCATCTTTTTCTCTCTCTCTCCATCTTTTTCTCTCTCTCTTCCTCTCTGTCTAATCTACTACTGGGCGTCACTTATAGACCACAGTTTCTGCTTCGGGATGTGGAAGAAGGCGGGAGTGCGCTTAATGTTAAGGCTCAAAGCAATTCATCTTAAAATAAGAAGCACCTCTGGCCCATTTGTTAAGGGGAGAACGCGTCAAAGATGCACTTCTAGATGAATATACTTGAGGTCTAATAATGAGTGGAGTTCTGTCCAGCGAGACGTTGCTTGGTGGAAAAGGTCGCACTTGTGCGTAACAACATTCGATGAGCAGCACCTCGATTGCACACGCCGCATCACCTCGCAAGAGACGTTTCGAGTAGTGTTAAGACTCTTGAACTAGATCTCGAGCTCGACTTCATGAACTGAGGGGTTAGTACTATCTCATCTTTGTATTGGGAGAGTTCTTAGTGCAAGTTGATCTAGTAAAAGCTTACAGCCGATCTTTTAGACCTACTGGGATGAATATATCAGGATATTATAGTAAATACTATGTTAACCTTCTCGTTCACCTCAAGTATGAAAGTCATAGGTCCTCGCAGGAAGGTCATAGATATGCGACCTGCTACACTAGAACTAGAGGGGGGTCAACAACTTGGTATCCCTAAGAGTAAGCGACGACTGCCTTGCGGATGTTAACTGTCAGGAGTGCTTTCAGACTTCGAATGGATATATGAATCCATCAACATTGGGATGGGCGCACAAAGCAGCAAGATTTAAGGCTACCGCTGAAGCATCCTCAGCATTATATATCAATCCCGTGTCTCTTTTTCAAGGGGAAAAAGGTCCCAGGGATGCTTTCAGGGATGCGAACGCGGTACTAGCTCTAAAAGCTGCACCAGTGACGGTGTCCGGTGCGCTTTGGGGCTCGACGTGGCACCTGGTAAGGTCGGTGATGTCGCGCTTTCGTGCTATAGAAGCGCACAGACTGCACAAAGCAACCTCGATGATATGGTGAGAAAAGCGAAGACCTACTACAGAAAGACTCCGCATTGGCGGCCGCAGCTATATTTAAGGCTAGTTTTTCACTATCCCGTATGGACAGTAACTATGCGGAGTGGGTTCCCTCTGTTTTCAAGGGGATAAATTGAGGGGAACAAGAAAGGGAGCAAACCACTCTACCACGGTGGGCAGTGAAAAATTCCGATGGCGTTAAGATATCCGATATCAAGATACCATGTAGACACTCTTGGAGAAGTCGGCGTTTGTGCGACTGAAACCTCGACGTTGTACATTTTCTACGACGGGTACGATTGCTCCAACTGGGGTAGCAGAGTACATCCGCGGATCGATCAACAAGAACACTTCATAACTCATCGTAATGCTAAGGCTCAAGAATGTTGTATTTCATTTCCACAACCAGAGGTCATTTTTCTCTGTTTCTTCTTAGAATACTGAGAAAGTGACCCTCTCTATCAGAACTAGGCTCTACGGGTGCTACGGACAGCACTATCGTGGACGTCCACATGAAAACCTGCTAAGAAATGAATTGCTTCGAGCTCTAATAATGGAAGCCTTCGCTTGCAAAGGTCCCCGGGAGATGCAATCTTAATGCTAGATAAAGCGAAGAGGTATTGTGATAATCACAGGAGCTGCGCGGGCATACGAAACGAATACAACCCGGATACCTTGGGAACGGATCCACGACAACTATTACGGCTATATTTAGATCTCTTGCTCTTCTACTTGCATACGAGTGAAAAGTATTAAATTTCGACTGAGGTGGTTCAACTTAGTATCTATTAAACGTCGACTTCCTCCTGCTTAGAAGAACCTATAATAGCAGGAAACTGGAAACAAGGATGGGTTGTTCTTCCTGTCGGTACCTACAACGTCTAAGAATCGTCACTTTCTCTTTCTATTCGGAACTACCACCGACTGAGGCGATCAAGGGGCGCCATGATGTTGGTATTAACCCGTTATGTGTGAAAGAAACCCCTGGGGCGATGCGGTATAGGACGTGGAAGAAAGCGCATCCCACTTGTCCATGGAGACTCAGCTACGCAGCTGGTTTTGACAAGGACAATATCAACACATATGCAGCGCACAAGCTCCCAGAGATTAACGGTGGCTCTGACGTTACCTGGGACGACATTGTTTTGCAGTGTGGTCCCAAGTTTGGTTTCAGGGTTTGCCAAGATCCAGCACTACCAGAATGCGACGAAATCCGCGGGATCTGCAGAGCAGCCGGCAAGTGTGCGGCAGAACATGGTCGTAAAATTATGGACGATCATTGCTTCTCTATTTCTATTTTTTTCTATCCATGACTTTTTCAATTAAGTAGATGAAAAGTCATTTACATATTATGCGAGATATTACAACTAGAGAAGTCCACCATGCATTGGAAGCGCCCTCTGCTAATAAGACAGCCAGTCAGATTCGTGCTCTGTGCAGCCCTTCGGGGGGAAAATACGACGAAGCCATGATGAGAACAAACGACTGTGAGTTGGTTGAGGGTTATAATGAACATTTGCGGAAACATTTGAAGCCTGGAGGAGTGGTCGCGGATACTGTGCCAGCATTGACATTAAGGCTACTTATGTTTGAGCATCCTCAGCATTCATCTCTGACCCTGTTTTGCATTCTTATATATTTTTCAAATCGACAACAAGAACAACAGATACAAGGGAGCCAGTACAAGAATCGCAACAGACAACTGCTAAGTACAACAAGGATGATGGCTCTTCTAATACCTGGATTCCCAACCCTCGAGTCTGGCGGTAAGATCGTTACTTATGGCATGTGCGACAGAGACCAGCATATAAGGCAACCAGAGAAGAGCTATAGAGCCTTCGGTATGGAGGCGGATCATTTTATGGCAAATCGAAATTCCTATCCGGTGTCGGTGTGCGTGTGAGGCATCCACCTGCTGAGTGAAGAAGTTTCCCTTAATGTTAATACAGATTTCAAGGGTCGTTGGACATTTCTACGAAGGTGGAAATACATATCACCAGGGCAACTCACGACTCAACCACGAAGTACTTATAGTGAGGACAAGTAAGCGAGGTTAGTGAAATTAAATATAACCTACAATCTATCTCATACTCCACTATAGTGAGGACAAATAAGAACTATTGTTCATCTCGTGAATGATAAGATTTTTGACTATCTAAGGTTCACAAGGCTACTGCCTCTTCGTCTTCTAATTATTGTACTGGAGCAGAGCTACCTGCATGCTCTGACGCTTGTCCTAGCGCGATGAATGGTGTGTGCGAAGACGGCGAGCCCGCTGGTCCGGATGGGAAAGCCGTTGCGACCATGGCACCTTTGAGCAGCAGTTCCAGGGGCTCTGCCTTTACCCTGGATGCCGGAGAAGAGGGGCAAAGTACAGTGGAGGCTCTAGGTGAAGGGCTGTTGAGCTGGACTTCTTAAGGCAGCTATTTTTCTGCCTAATTTTTCTTATTGTTATTCTTCGGGAGCATCCTGGAGCGAGGAGAGGGGGTTCATCTCTCTCAACCAGGATCGACAACAAGGATCGATGAGTTGGGTTTTGTGATGGGTTAATGTGATCTGCTCTTCTAAGCTTGGGGTGTCGAACAACATCAGACAAGACCGAATGGAACTTTTTCGAGTGCAAATTTTCGAGCCCCGCAGCATCAACGCACTCTCGCTTCTCGTCCCGACGTACACGCTTGCCCACGCGGCACTGACTGCTTCGACTGTGGTGTACGTCAGAATGTGTGGCGACGCTTAACACATTCTCATTTCTGGTCACCAGAGGATGACGACCAGAGGCGCCACAATTAAGAATTACATTTCCCAGTAGAGAATTGCTTTTCCCAGTACTAAGTAGATCATCGATCCTTGGCTCTTTTCCTAGTAGAAGAGAAGCCAGGGGTGTAGATGTAGTTCTGAGGAATCAATGTACTTAATCATCCCGTAAGAACCTCTAACACAACAACTACCGCAGAGAAGTTGACAACACTAAGCCACCGGGAGACCCTGTTTCATCTCCGTATGTAAGTTCTGGCTTGATAACCAGCATGGAAGATCTCCGTAGAAAGATGGAGCGTGAGTTTGGGTATGCGGTTGGCTCAACGAATGGGACAACGGCTGGTAGAGCAATAGCCGTGAATGGGGCTTTACTTGGTATGAACACAAGGATGCGTATCTGTGAATTGATGCCTGAGCGTAGTGGCACGTACGCAGTCGCGCCCGATGCAGATATTCAGGTATCTTTTGGCAACGTGCAGCAATGTGTGGAGACGTTGTCAGTGCATTCACTCTTGGATACGATATTGCGTAACAACCAGGTTGCAGGCCAGCCTCTAGAAGCCGTTAAGGAACGCCCTCTAGGAGCATGGAATCTTCGGGCTGACAACGGAGGCGGCGCATGCGGGGTGAATCAGTATGTCACGGCTGCTCCCTGTCTTGCTGGTTCGCCGGACTTAACCAGGGTCGAAATTCCGGTACCACCGGAGAAAATTGCGGCAGGAAGGAGCTCCACGTACAGAGAAAGCTGGCCGGTGCGCATTTCGGAACCGACTATGCAGTGGAGGTATTCTCCGAGGCCCACGGCGGAAGTGATACCTACAATTACGGCTTCTGGGCGTTAAAGTTCATGTTCATCTTCATCTCAAGTCCAAGACGGGCTATCTTTCTTTGACACGTTTCTTTTCAAATCGAAAACAAACCAAAGACGACTTTCAACATTAAAAATTCACAAGATTTTTGGTTTGAAGTATTAGGTGGTGAGGCGCTGCCGCTCTAATGCAAAATACCATGACAATAACTATGACTTCTCGCGCAAGGCGGGCTTCGAGTACATTTTAGGATATGCGAATTTCGATCTGGAAAAACACTGGAACCCCAATCACGTGGACTATATGCCTTTGGATGGTCTGTATCTGGCGACAAAAAGCAGCGACCCGGTTCGGACGAGTGCGGCGCTGGGGAGGCCTTACGCTACAATCGGTGGCGTAGCGTTAAGGCTTGATACAATTCGTTTCCAAGAATGTTCTTCATTGTCTTCGGCTTCTTTCCCAAGAACGTTCTCCATTTCTTCAGAAATGGAGGGAACAAGAAATGGAAGGTCGTTGCCGTTACCTTACAATGAATACATGATGTGAGCTGCTCTAATACAGTGTCGCTTCGAAGTTTTGAGTCAATCGACTAATGCGGGTGCGACTGCGGCAACGGTCCAAAGTTTGATGGAGGCTGAGAGTTCGGACATCGGGCTAAGATGCACCAACGTAGATCCCAGGCGGAGAGACGGATTTGCAATTGACATCATGTGCGCAGCTTCAACGACCACTACCACAACCACACAGAATTTTACGCTTCGTACTTGTACTAGTAGCTAGTTGTAGGAACGATCTGTTTTCGATCTTGAAGATTTTTTTGAAATTGAACAATAAAATAAAGTTGTTCACTTCGTGACGTACTAGTTGCAGATATATTGTCATCGAATACAACATAGAATCAAACTGTAGTTTTTGCAAAAATAAGAAAATTATACATAGGCCTCTACGAAGATTGCTCTCTAATTCTCGTGTCGGAATTTGGAGCTCTTGGGGTTCCTGCGTGTCTGGAAAGCAGTCTCGGACTTTTTCCGTGACGACGGTCGCAGATGGTCATGGTGGCATTGCTTGCCCGCATTCGGACGGCGCCACAGAGGAACAGTCTTGCGGCGTTGCTTGCGTGGGTCAATGGTCTAGTTATTCCGCGTGTGTGGAAGGTTCGCAGGGCCGGACGTATCAAGTACTCACTGCGGCATCCGGAGGTGGAGAGGACTGTCCTTTTACGAATGGCGCCGCGGATACGGATCGAAGCTGCGGCACGAATTGCGTGGAAGCTTGGGGCAGTTGGTCATCGTGTAGTGAGGGTGAAAGAGAGCGGACGCATATTGTTACCACCGCTGCAGCAGTTAAGGCCTTGTAGTTCATCTTCACGTTCACAAAAAATCTCATCCATGATCATTTAGAAGAAGGTCTACTTCCCTAACATAATTTTAGAATTTTATTGGGTCCCGTTTTAATAAAGGTTTTAATACATAGTAAGATGATGAAGCAGATGTGTTAGATTTCACTGATTGTAGTTTCTGAAGAAGGAAAACGCCGGACACCAAATCGTCCTCTAATGCAAACGGAGGAGTTTCGTGTCTCCGACCACACGGTCTCAAACAAACGGAGAGCTGTGGGGTCAATTGCGCAGGAAGATGGAGTGACTGGACAACTTGTTCCTCCGGGTCGCACACTCGGAAGTACACCGTAACGACATCTGCGTCAGGTGGGGGAAAAGCTTGTGATTACACCCACAATGAAGAACAGGCGGCCACCTGTGGGACTGCATGCGCTGGAAGCTGGGGGGATTGGGGTGCCTGCGCCGAGAGTGAGTCTGTGGCAACCTATACAGTGACAACTGCTGCGGCGAACGGCGGCACAGAATGCGCCAACGCTCATGGGGACACAAAAAAGAATCCTATCCCCTGTGGCGTGGCCTGCTTCGGAGCCTGGGGCGAGTATTCGACCTGTGTCGAAGGGCAGCAGGCGCGAACCTATAGTGTTGTGATCGCGGCCGCCGGTGGTGGGAAGTCCTGTGACTACGCAAATGGCCTAACAGATGTCGCAACTTGTGGAACTGATTGTGCCGGGAGTTGGTCTGTGTGGGGAACCTGTGTCGAGGGGTCCCAAAAGCGTACCTACACAGTCGACAGCCCAGCTTGGGGCGGAGGAAAGATTAAGGCTTCCCCTAATCCATTCTCGAAAGCATCTTACTTGATGAAGCCGCTCCAGACGAAGGAGGGGGCATCAACATGATGCGCCTCGAGACGGATAATGGTGAGCGCTAAAGAGAGTTGCCCTTCCGCGAATGGTGACGAGGAGACGCAGGATTGCGGTGTCGCATGCGTTGGCGCGTGGAGCGCTTGGGGAACGTGCTCCGAAGGGACGCGGCTTCGGCACTATAGCGTTTTGCAAGCGGCCAAAAACGGCGGCCGGTCGTGCCCTCATGCAGATGCTGACAGCCAATCGGAGTCGTGCGGATTTGATTGCGTTGGTCAGTGGGGTCGCTGGTCAGACTGCTATGAAGGTTCCACGAGTGCCACGTTTGCGGTTCTATTTGGGGCGTCCCTCGGAGGCAAATCGTGTGACTTTGAGCACGGTGCGGTGAGGTCCGAGGATTGCGGCGTCAGCTGCGTCGGTGCTTGGACTGAATTTAGTAAATGTTCGAACGGGAAGAAAAGCCAGAGATTTATGGTGTCTCAGCCTGCTCTGTTCGGGGGCAAGTCGTGTTCTGAGGCCCATAGGACGGTAAACACACAAGACTGCGGCACTAATTGCGTTGGAAAATTTGTCGGGTGGGGCGCATGCGTCGAAGGTTCAAAGTCGAATCCCTACAGCATTATCAGCGGGGCGGCGGATGGGGGCAAGGAGTGCAGCGCGAAAGACGGTTTTGTGAGGACAGAGGGTTGTGGCACAGACTGCGTCGCTGCGTGGAGCGAGTACGGCGCTTGCGTGGAGGGATCGCAGAGTCGCACCTTTACGGTTTCTGCCGAGGCACGCGGCGGGGGCAAAAGCTGCGAAGCGGTGCACGGCACTACAGAGACCCAAAGTTGCGGCACTAGCTGCGTCGGCTCGTGGTCTGGTTACGGAACCTGTGTAGAAGGCGAGCAAAGCAGGCGTTTCACTGTAACAACGGCAGCATCCGGAGGAGGCAAATCGTGTTCCGCTGCACACGATGCAGTGGAGACACAGAGGTGCGGAACGGACTGCGTCGGCTCGTGGGGTGCTTGGGCTGCTTGCAACGAAGGCTCACAGAGTCAAACTTATACCATTTTGACACCTGCCAGTGGCGGTGGCAAGTCCTGTGCCTCATCAGCCGGCGCGACCAGCGCGCGAGCGTGTGGCACTAATTGCGCCGGGGATTGGGCTGCTTGGGCTTCCTGCAGTGGTGGAACACGAGCGCGGCTCTATGAAGTTACTACTGCCGCGTCTGATGGCGGAAAGCCCTGCCCTACGGCACACGGCGCGAACCAAACGGAGGCGTGCGGGACAAATTGTGTGGGCTCCTTCAACTACTCTAGTTGGACTAGCTGTGTCCAGGGTGTGCAGTCACGGAACTATACCGTAACCACCGCAGCTGCGGATGGGGGAAAGAGCTGTTCTTACGCAGACAATTCTGTCCAAACTCAAGCATGCGGTACGAATTGTGTCGGGGCTTGGGCTTCTTGGTCGAGCTGTGTTGAAGGTTCCCAGTCTCGCACGTACACAGTCTCGGCCCCTGCTTCAGGTGGCGGGAAGAGCTGTGATACGCCGCACAACACTTTGGAGACCAGAAGTTGCGGAACTAACTGTGTTGGATCGTGGGGTTCTTGGGCAACTTGCGTTGAGGGCAACCGAAACCGCACGTACAGTGTGTCAGCGGCAAGCACCGGTGGCGGGAAGTCGTGTGATAGCACAGACGGCGCTCGAGAGTCTCAGTGCTGCGGAACGAATTGTGTCGGTGCGTGGTCGGCTTGGGGCATATGCGTCAAGGGTTCGCAGACACGTCGCTACGGTGTTTCCGTGGCTGCAGCAGGTGGCGGAAAGGCTTGCCCAACAGCGGATGGAACGACTGAGACGCAAAGTTGTGGCACAGCTTGTGTCGGGAGTTGGGCGTCGTGGGGTACCTGTGTCGAAGGGTCTCAGACGCGGGACTATGTGGTAACAACGGCTGTGTCCGGTGGGGGCGTGCCTTGCACCGTTGCTCATGGGGCGACCGAGAGTCAAGCGTGTGGCACCGGCTGCGTCGGCGCGTGGGCCGACTACAGTGCGTGCAGAGGGGGAACTCAGTCACGGAGCTACACCGTCTCCACTGCGGCAGCTGGTGGCGGGAGCTCGTGCCCATCCGCAGACGGCGCGACAGAGTCCAGAAGTTGTGGCAACCCTTGTGTGGGCGCTTGGGCTGCTTGGGGTACCTGCGCAGAAGGGTGGCAAAGTCGTGTTTACCGCGTCTCCTCTGCTGCTTCCGGTGGCGGAGCCGTCTGTCCGACTGCGGACGGCACGCAGGAAACGCAGGCTTGTGGCACTAACTGCGTAGGCTCGTGGGGCAGCTGGGGAACTTGCACTGACGGCTCACGATCCAGGCATTATAGTGTGACAACAGCCGCTTCGGGTGGCGGAAAGTCGTGTACGGTGGAAGACAAAACTCCTGAGACAGAATCCTGTGGCATAAACTGCGTTGGCGCGTGGCAGGCGTGGTCTTCTTGCAATGCTGCAACGAAAAAAGAAACCCGCTTGTACAAGGTCACAGCCGCCGCTGCGGGTGGTGGGCGCGCATGCCCTTACGTCAATAACGCAGAAGAAGTGCGAGCTTGCGACCCAGGCTGCATCGGTAGTGCGTGGTCAGCATGGGGCACCTGCACAGAGGGTTCGGAATCGCGAACCTACAGTCTTCCTGATGGCAGTACTGACGGCACGTGCTCCTTTACGAGCGGCAGCGTTGAATCGCGAAGCTGTGGGACGAGCTGCGTTGGGTCCTGGAGCAGCTACGGAATCTGCTCTGGAGGAACCCAGTCTCGTACCTACACTGTCGACACACCAGCTTCCGGAGGCGGAAAGTCCTGTCCTACTGCGCACAATGTGGTGGAATCGCAGAGTTGCGGCACCAATTGTGTGGGCGGTTGGAGTGGGTATGTTAATTGTGCAGGCGGTTTTCAGACGCGAATGTACAGCATCACGATTGCTGCAGCAGGTGGTGGAGCCGCGTGTCCATATGCCTCCGGCGCAGAGCAGACGCAAGCATGTGGGACAACCTGTGTTGGCAGCTGGAGTGCGTATGGAGCCTGTAACAGCGGATCGCAGTTGCGGAGTTATAGTGTCACCACGGCGGCGGCAGGAGGTGGTCGAACGTGTCCCGCAACGCATGGCGCAACAGAAACGCAGGCTTGTGGCTCCGATTGTATAGGATACTGGGGTGACTGGGCCACATGTGCGGACAGCTCGCAGTCGAGGTCCTACAGTGTGCAGTATAACGCGACAGATGGCGGTCGAGCCTGCGCTGCTGCTCATGGCGCAAGTGAAGTCCGCAGTTGCGGCACTAGCTGTATTGGCTCTTGGCGCGACTGGTCCTCCTGTGCAGAGGGCTCGCAGACTCGAAGCTATGTTGTAACGTCTGCGGCGGTGGGCGGCGGCGCGTCCTGTCCATACACTGATGGCTATGCGGAGACACAAAGCTGTGGCGCGGATTGCGTGGGCGCGTGGGGTAACTGGGCCGATTGCACAGAAGGTTCCCAGTCTCGGCAGTTCAGTGTTACCACGGCAGCGAGCGGTGGCGGGAAATCCTGCGTTGCTTCGCATGGTGCGAGAGAGACTCAAACCTGCGGCACGGCCTGTGTTGGGTCCTGGGGTTCCTGGGGCACTTGTAGCAGCAGTATTGAGACACGGCACTACACTGTCACGACGCCTGCTGCTAATGGCGGGAAGACATGCCCTTCTGCAAACGGAGCAGCAGAGACTCACACGTGCATCGACTCTGGAATCTGCAGTGGCACTTGGGCTTCGTGGGGAACGTGCAGCGGAGGCACGCAATCGCGCACCTACAGTGTTTCAGGGGCGGATGCGGCTAGTTGTACGTTCAGCAATGGCGATACGGAATCGCGCAGCTGCGGCACCAACTGCAACGGAGCCTGGAGTGACTGGACTACCTGCGCTTCTGGTTCTCAAACGCGCACATTCACAATCTATGCAGCTGCTAGTGGGGGTGGGCTGAGTTGCGCCGCGGCTCACAGCGCAGTGGAGACCCAGAGTTGCGGGACCAACTGTGTAGGGGCTTGGAGCAGCTTGAGTGCGTGTGCCAGCGGGTCCCAGACGCGCGAGTACACAGTCACGACCGCTGCTGCCGGTGGCGGCTTAGCCTGTTCGACCGCTGCTGGTAGTAAGGGGTATCAAAGCTGCGGGACAAACTGCGTAGGCGCATGGGGCAGTTACGGTGCGTGCGCAGAAGGCAACCAGACACGGACTTACAGCATTTCAACTGCCGCTTCTGGCGGAGGCATGGAGTGCGCCTTTGCTGCTAACGCAGAGCAAACGCAAGATTGCGGAGAAGCCTGCGAGGGATCGTGGAGCGCGTGGGGTGCGTGTCTCAGTGGACAGGAATCCCGCACATTCAGTGTCATGTATCCCGCCAAGTCTGGTGGTGTCTCGTGTGAGGCAGCCAACGGCGCTAGCGAGTCGCGAGCGTGCGGCACGAATTGCGTTGGTGCTTGGGCCGACTGGGGCACCTGCACGGAGGGCTCGCAGAGTCGCACTTACGCGATCTCCATAGCTGCTGCTGGTGGCGGCATTGCATGTAACTATGTCCATGGCGCCTCCCAGGTTCAAGGCTGTGGCACCGACTGCGCCGGAAGTTGGGGTGCTTGGGGCACCTGTTCTGAGGGCTCTCGCTTGCGGTCTTACACAGTTTCAATACCTTCCGCAAACGGAGGCAAGAGTTGCACCACTGCAGACGGCACTACAGATACCGAAGATTGCGGCACAAACTGCGTTGGCACGTGGGGCTCCTATAGCACGTGCGTTGAGGGCGCGCAAAAGCGACAGTTCCTAGTCACACTTGCAGCCAGTGGTGGAGGCAAGAGTTGTGACTACGCGGATAAAGCTGAACAGTCACAAGACTGCGGAACCCCCTGTGCAGGCAGCTGGACTGAGTTCGGAACATGCACCATGGGTGTCCAAACTCGTACCTATAGAATCGATACTCCCGCTGCGAGTGGCGGGAAGTCATGTGAGACCGTCGTTGGAGTGACCGAGAGCAGGGATTGCGGGACACCTTGTGCCGGTAATTGGGATCCGTGGTCCGAGTGTGTTGACGCGTCTAGGACAAGAAGTTTCCGTGTTACCACGGCTGCGTTGTTTGGAGGCAAACCTTGTGATGTAGCGGATGGAGCCACTGAGACAGAAGTTTGTGGGATTGATTGTGTTGCTGCTTGGTCCGAGTGGGGTGCCTGTTCTGAGGGTTCGCAGACTCGCACTTACACAGTTTCGACTCCTGCAGCCGATGGCGGCAAGGCTTGCGCGATAGCTGCCGGCACAACGGAAACGCAAACATGCGGTGTTAATTGCATCGGTGCCTGGAGTGGTTTTGCTGCCTGCTCTGAGGGAACCGAAACTCGAACCTTTGTCGTGTCAACACCGGCTTCTGGTGGAGGTGTGTCCTGCGACTTCGTCAATGGAGCGACGGAAAGCGAAGATTGTGGGAGTGGTTGCGTCGGCTCATGGGGTGAGTGGATGGAGTGCAGTGATCCATCAGGCGCTTCACATGAACGTAGAGTCTACACCATAATGACACCCCCATCTGGCGGCGGCGCCAGCTGTCCTTTTGCGCATCTGCAAGAGGAACTAGGGAGTGAATGTGTAGTATCATCTGGATCTACTCCTGTAACAGGAAGTAATGTAACATCTTCTTCGAGTGGAGGTGGGTCCTCATCAGGTGGATCATCCCCTTCATCAGATGAAGGAGGCACCACACCTCCTCCCGAGATCGTCGAAACTTTGACCCATGAGACCTCTGTGGACATGAGTCTGGGACTGCCGACTGATATGACTGAATCCGACATCGCTGCAGTGCAGACCGTGGTCAGCGACTCTCTCCATAGGTCCTGTTGCGAGCCTCTTGTGTCGGCGTCACCACCTGTTTTTTCGTCGATGGAAGCGTGTTTGAGCGGAGAGGGGGAGGGAGGGGTGACGACATCACTAGCAATGGCATGGACTGGAGCACTAGCCGGAGCATCGTCTAGTAGTGCTACTTTGTTGGTGAGAAGGAGTCTGCAGAATGCCGTGGAGGACGAGACGAAGATGTCCTCGAGGAGTGATGTCCATCATGATGATCAGATGAAGAAACCGGAGGCTTTTCTTCAACATGATCTGCACCATAACTACATCAAGGTTGCCGAAGGTGGACACCAACAGCATTCCTTTCGGCGTCGACTCCAATCTACAGGTGGAGGCACTGGAACTTTCACGATAAGTGCTCCAGCTAAGTCCCCAGCAAGCAGTACACATGTGACAAGTGCGCAGAGTGCACTCACCTCAGCACCAAGTCTGGCGCCTGCGAAGATCGCTTCAACTATCTCAACAAGCCTGACGACATCTCTTGCTAGTGGTACAACTGGTAGCGCATCTTCAGGTTCAGGCTCAGGTTCTGGAATAGGCTCAAGCTCAGGCTCTTCTTCTTCCTCGAGTGGTTCTTCCTCTAGTGGTTCATCAACTTCTTCTACCTCTGCTGCCTTAAGTGGTTTCACATTTACAGCTTCGGTCGCCGCAGTTGCGGTTGCGCCATCGGTGCAGACTGTGCAGGTGCTTGTTCCTGCGACAACTTCGGCACCTGGCGCTTCGTCTGCTACACCGGCACCAGGTTTGACAGGCGCCTCAGCTAATTCTGACGTGAAGAAGGCCGATATCGAGGACGTCAATGTTGAAGATGTTGGCAGTAACATGACTGTGGTCATCATTTTGGGCGCTGCTGCGTTAATCTTAGGCGTGATTGCTGCAGCGCTGATTTGTTACCCATCGAAAAACAAGGGAATAAGAGATGGAGATTTTGTGAAGCGACGCGGCCAGAAACTGTCGATAAGATCCTCGATGTCGAGTCGTGGAGAAGGGGGTGGCCGGTCGCTTAGATCCTCTACCGCAAGTGCTGAAGCGTCTATGCTGAAAACAGTCAGATCTTCAATGATTGAAAGCAAAGGTGGCTCGTTCTTGCGGAGGCAAGGAACGATTGACTCCCTGGATGAAGATGACGTGAAAGTAGACCTGGAAGCTGAAGCGGTGGATATCAAGAAGAGCCACCTCAAGAAGGAAATTACTGTAGTTAGAAAGAGCAGCAGCGCAGGTTCGCCAGAAGGCCGCAGAAGAAGCTCGGGCTTCGCTTCGGGGCGTGGAGATATGCAGAAGCGCCGATCTTCCGAAGGTCCAGGAACAAGTAGTGCTTTACTACCTGATGCAGCTGCTGCTGTAGGAGCTGCAGAAGGCGCGGCCCCTGCCAAGGGGCGCGTATCTTCACGACCTAGCGGACGACAAGGCCGAACAAAACGGCGCTCCAGTGCGTCACGCCCTTCAGCCACCGAAAAGAGGTCCGCAGCTACGATAGAGATAAATATCGCCTCATCTGCCCTATCGCATTCTGCAGGTGGCGAAGAACACGAAAAACAGAAACCAGCGAGGCATGGTAGAGGTCGGGGAAGACAGCCGCAGCCGCGCGGTTGGGGAAGACATGCAAAGGAGGGCGAAGGCGAAGAGGCACATGCAGCAGAAGAAAAGCTTGATGGGGTAGATCATGAAGAGCAAAGTAAAAAGAGTGATGCGTCAAATGGAGCAGTTGTACAAGGAAGACCCAAACATCAACCACCACGTCGAAAGCATGGCGCTGCCCATAAGACTGCAGAAGGAGAGCAAGTTGCAGAGGAGGCCCGCAAAACGGAAGAAAATATCACGCAGAACGAGAACACAACTGCTGAAGTTGAAGTCCCTGCTGATAAAAACAAAGCAGATGAACAAGCATCCGAGAACACTGCTAAAGATGGTCCAGCCAAGCCTAAGCGTACACCGGGACGAAGGCAGCCTCAAAGACGGGGACATGCTCCACAAAAATCGAAGTCGAGCGACGAGCTTGATGCAGGAGCAACAGAGGATCATGGAGATCAGTCGCCGTCGGTCAAAGAAGACGCCCCAGGAGCAACAGAGGATCATGAAGATCAGTCGCCGTTGGTCAAAAAAGACAAGAGGGCGATCATGAAGACAGTGCCAGGAGATGCTACAGTAGACGTTGAAGAGCAAAAAGAAGGAACCCCCGAGGTGGAGGAACCACGTAAAAACTCTTCTAAAGGAGCAGAAGAGGATGATGGTACTGGAGCTTCAATCAAGCACAAAGGACAGCCCCACCGTCGTGGGGGTAGACCAGCGCAGCAGAGAAAGAAGAAGGGAGAAGGAGAAGGGCATGCTGAGGAACTGCGCCAGGATGTTGATCATGAAGGTGAACAAGAAGATCCCGCGAAAAATGAAGTAAAGCCTAGTAACACTAAGGAGCCAGCCAAACAAGATGAATCAGGTCCAGCTCCAGCTGAAGAAGCTGAACATGAAACAACAAAGGAAGACGATGGAGCAGTAAAGCACAATGAACCTGCGGTACAGCGGCGAGCAGGTCACGGTGGGAGATGGAAGTGAAAGTGAAATGAATATTAGTTGTATCTTGGACATTCACTATCACTCACGATGAAATCTAGCCTGTGCATGAATAATCTGTGTATCTACTTCCGAAATGAACATGAGAAGAGACTGCGAGTCGACACATCACCATCAGTCCCCTCTTCAATAGAAAACTGCCATAGTACAAGAACAAGAACAGTAGCCATATTCCATATTCGATATACCATATTATTCCGATATACCATATTCCGATATACCATATTCCGATATACCATATTCCGATATACCATGTTCCGATATACCATATTCCATATATATTCCATAAATGATTCACCATCACCTTTACTTACCAAATGCTAATCACACACAATGAAACAAATCGGTAGGACAATGCACAGAGCAAAAAACACATGTCTCACAGCGAGGAGGTACTCGAGTCCAAGTTACCACAACGGCTAGTAGGAGGAGACGTGAACAGGACAAGCTTATAGGCATGAAAGGTTAGGGTGTAACGTCAAAGAGCGACCATGCTTCCTATGCGGTCCTCCAAGAAGTAGAAGACAGAGCGAAGAACGTGAATTTCAATTTCTTTGTGTCTGTAATGAAATGAGTTCAGCGTCTTATGCTGAAGAGCTGCGACGACTGTAAATGTAAGATTCTGTTTGAGTTGTTTGAGCCTGAAAGTTCTGTTGAAAGTGAGGAGAGAGAGAGCGAGAGAGAGCGAGATGAATGAATGCGAGAGGGCATCCACATTACGAGTCTGTGTCTAGCGAGTTTGCTTGAGCGTATGCGGAGAATCTAGTGATTCAAGTTGAGCATGTTCTTGCCTGTGTTAGTCGGCGCACGAATTAACAAGCTGGAGAGCAGGGAGTGTCTGTGGGCAGTTGGACGTGGTGACTCAAGGCTCGATTAATATAGATGCTGGTGTATCTCTCTCTGTCTGGTGAGGGACCATTTTCTGTGAATTCACCTCTTGCATTGTTACAAATGTCCAGCGATCTTACCCGTGTTGTTCCTGTCCTCTTTTACTTTTTCAGCTGCATCATGTTTATTTCTAGGCTACCTTCACTCTTTTTTTTAAACAATCTCAAATAGAAATATGATTTTCGAGGACAAGATGTCGTTCCCAACGAGGACAAGAGTTTTTCGATCTACTTTTGTAGGGCCTCTAAGCGGTCTCCGGCCTGTAATTTTCAGCATTCTTTTAGAAGTTTTTGTCCATCATGTCCTCGCCACATGGACTAGACAACGGCACGTTTGCTGGACAGCTTTTGGTGCGGAGCATCTGGATTGCGCACGGAATGTGGCCTCTAGAAACACAATGGTCATCGCGTCAGACACTTGCGTCACTGCTGGAACTACAGGGAACGGGAGCAGCTGCACCGAATGTACTCGACCCGGAGTAGGCCTAAGCGACTATGGCGTCGCCCGTTGTAGCACAGACGGGGTCCGTTGCGCGTTTGTTTTGCCCAGTGACAAAGTTTTTCTCACGGTCGCGGCAGGTGGCTCTGGTTTGACGTGGTCTTGTGGAAAGGCGGCTCAGGTGGCCCAGGAAAGGTTGGCGCAAGCAGAAAACTTGGCTAAAAGATTCTACGCAAGCGTCACAGCTGAAGGTCTTCTCGATGCCAGTGCTGCAACTGGAACTCCAGGAGTGACTGAGTTATATCGTCCTCAGAAATATCCCATTTCGCAAGTCCATGTGCACGATTTGGGCGAAGTGGGGGTCTGCTCGACGCGTACAAGCTCACTGTACTTGTTGTACGATGAATATGAGTGTACGACATCCGGATCTGGTGAAGATAGCTCTACAAGAACTACAGAGGTGCCGCAGTTGATGAAAGACCCCACCAATCAGGCCATTGCTTTAAAACACACGACGAAAACACTTGCGGAAGCAAAAGCATTCTGCGATGGGAGCTCGGACTGTGCTGGCGTCCTTAATATCCATAATCAGAACCAGGATGATGCCAGCCACTTCGAGTATTTCTTGGCGCTCCCGAGTGACATCAAGACCAGCACTTATTGTCGGAAGCAAGCTTCGCCAGCACTTGATACAGAGCAAAAGCGATCTAGGATCTGGAAAAAAGCACACACGCAATGTCCTTGGCGTTTGGCCTATCCTAGTGGATACGACTCCAACAACATCAACGCCTACACAGTTGCGAAAACTGGTGAAACCAGACCAGTGACTTTTGACGACTTTGCTTTGAGGTGTGGCCCGAAGCATGGTTTCAGGGTTTGTCCACCTTCCTCAAAGCGGAGTTTCTGTGATGAGCGGATCGGCATCTGCAGAAGTGTGGACGAATGCAGGAACGAGTGGACGGAAATCCCTACTGGTCTACGCAAGAATGATTACCAGTGCAGTGACGTCGGGCATCCCTACAGCGGAACGGCGTTGCAGGACAACGACTGTCATTTGGTCGAGGGGTATCCAACATCGTGGTCTACAACCGTAGACGAGAAAGTTCATCTACCAGGAACGACGAAGATGACAGACTGGCGAAGTCTAGAAGTGGAAGGGCATATGCTGACATACGGTCGTTGTGAAGATACGCATATTCGCACTGCGGAACCGGCTTACCGCGATTTGGGAGAAGAACCGAGTGTCTGCACTGCAGCAGAGTTGCCAGCTTGCTCAGATGCGTGCGCTAGTGCGATGAACGGCATCTGCGAAGACGGAGAGATGGCAGGACCGGACGGCAAAGCTCTGGCTACCATGCCACCGCTTGCCGCATGGACCGGAGGCGCGGCTTTTCAATTGCCATTAGATAACAAAGCGGCCCAGATCATTAATGGCATGGTCAATACGACGTCGACGTCGATCTCTAGCAAGAGGACGGGGTTGTTTTCTTGGACAGCAGGAGTCGAGCATGGCTCTACTTTATCGTCTCTGAGTTCCACAACTACATATCTCGGTCGTTCTCTTGCTTCCCGTCCTGACGTTCGCACCTGCCCCAGAGGCACAGACTGCACCGACTGCGGAGTTAGACAAAATGCGTGGCGACGACTGGTCCATAGTCATTTTTTCACCGGCCGTTCCTACACCGACGACGGAACTAACACCTATGGCTACTTATACCGATCGGGTACGCCTAACCCTTCGTTACCTCCAGTGCTCGAGGGAGACTATCCCAGTTCGGGACTCGTCTATTCGATGCGAGATCTGCAAACCAAGGTAGAGAAAGAGTTTCCTAGTATGAACGGCAGAGCAGTAGCCACTGGTCACAGAATGGTGGGTCAAGCGATGGCGAATGCTTTGAAGAGCCGGCAATTCGGTTTGAACACGCGTATGAGGATCTGCGAAATTGCAGAAGTCCAGAACAGCACGATGTCAATCTGGAGCAACGCCAGTCGGCTGGCGCATTTCACTTCTGCCTCCCGATGTGTAGAAACTATGGCTTCGCATTCCCTGTTGAAGAGGCTGTTCCGCCAAAACGACTTTCAGGGTCAGCGTACTAGCGGTATCTCTTCGAGGCCATTGGGGATCTGGAATGCGAACAATCACTACCAAGGAGGCGTGTGTGGTGCGGCTTGTCTCTTCGGCAGTCCAGACCCAAAAAAGAGGGAGAGCCCCTTTCAGGACACTTTTCAACACAGTGTACGACAAGCTGCGTGGCCAGTGCGAGACGAAGAACCATCTTTTCAGTGGAGGGTGTCGACTAGAGCATCGGCTGCAGTTACGCCAGCTGCTTGGCTTGATGACACAGATGTTAGCATTGATGCGTTAAAAACATTTGCACTTGATGCACTAGGGTATGAAAACTCGAAGTTGGAGAAGCACTACAATCCGAACGTGGCCGCCGCCAATGGGCCCTACACTCCGAGAGACGGCTTTTACGTTTCTACAAACGGAAAAGGTGTGGAATGCTTCTTTTCGCGGTTGAGTGACGAATCAGCTACGACTGCAGCGAGAGATATGGCTAGTGAGAGCACGATTCCTAGTTTGATCGGTCTTACCTGTCGTTGGGGCACCACGGCGGCTGATGCCAAGAGCAAGTATTTTGGCATCGCGATTGATATCATGTGCGCAGCCAGTACGACCACGACGACGACGACCACAGCGACTACCACAACAGTAGGCTTCGCGGAACCTTCAGGCAGAGCAGCTGCTGTTGCTGCTACCTCACTTCCTCCAGGTGTCGTGGAAAAACAAGTCGTGAAGCACGAGAGTGTGACAGATATTGCGACAACGTTTTTGAGCACTTTGACCACTGCGCAGAAAGAGAGTGCGAGAACAGCGATTTTGATAGGCATTAGCACCGCGTTTTGCGCGCCGTTGGTAGGAACCCCGCAGGAAGTGCAGAACAAGCTGAAGATTTTCTCGAGTGTGTACAACTGCCAAAGCAGCGAGGGTGAAAATGGCGCGACGACAAGTGTGAGCATCGCTTGGGAAGGCATGCTAACGCTTGGCTCGAATAGAAGAACATTGATGCAAGGAGTGAATGAGCATGCTAATGGTAGTGACGAAGAAGATGCTAGCAAAGATGAGGATGATCAAGCATCTTCAGCGCCGCGAAGATCCTTAGTACAAAGCGGCAACGCAAAAGCGACTTTTACTGTGCAAGCAGTGAAAAGCGACAGTGGGTCGACAGACGTCGTTACTGGTGCTAAGACTCTGCTCTCAAACTCTGCGGCCACGACCTTATCTGCAACAACTGTGAAGACAACAGTCGTCCAGAAAATGCAGCAGGCTTTTCTTGTCTCCGCTCCATCCTTGAGTTTCTTTGTTTCTGTGCCTTCGGTTTCTATTTCTGCTTCCATCGTAAGCAGTGCGACGATTCAGGTGACCGTTGCACCCACGCCTGCGGGGGGTACTGGCAGTGGAAGCTCCGGTTCTCCTCCCTCCAACAACTTAGGAGCTAGAGGAACAAGTACAACGTCGTCGTCGAATTCAGACGATGGAGATCCAAGTTTGACCCTCATCGTCGCGTTGTGTGTGCTAGGTGCTGTTTCTCTCATGATCGGGATAGCGATACTGTACTTTCGGAGAACAAGAAGTGGGCAAGGGAATCTTCGACAAGCAGGTGGCCTGGATTCAAGAGATCCACGACGAGCACTGTCACCTCCGCGATTTAGAGGTACGGACGCTTCGAGTATGATGAGCAAAGATTCGGCACCAGACTTTGATTCAGTCTATTGGGATGGCCATGGTGCAGGTGCTCCTGCTGTTGCTGACACGAGAAAGATAACGATCGATAAGGTTGAAGATGATGGAAAAGGAGGCAAAGAGGAGCATGGTCAACATGATCAACAAAGAGCAAGCAGCTTTGCGCTAGGGTCAGAATCTAAAATGTTGGATCATACAGCTGCAGCCGCGGCAAGGGAGGTGTCAGCTCTGGTAGATACTTCGAGCGAAGGGGAAGATGAAGATCTGGGTGTCGGAGACGAAGGGGTGGAGTTGAAGATGGGGTCTTATCCTTCGCGCACAGTGGACAAAGAAGTGAGTTCCATGACAAAGAAAACTGTCGCATTTGACAGAAACGTCGTACTAGAAGGTCGCCGTTCATCTTCTGGCACTGGAGGCACTCTACCTAGTTCACCTAAAAAGAGCAAATACCTTCAGGTCGAAACCAAAAAAAGTGGGGATGTTAGTATGATAAGAAGACTTACAGCAGCGAAAGACGCAGCGATGAAACAACTAGAGCAAGTCAATAAGAAAAAGTCGAGATTAGCAGTCAAGCCATCAGGGTTGTTGCCAGGTGACGGAATATGGCGAAAGAAGTCATCAGCAGTTGAACGAGATGGAAAAAAGAGCAAAACACGGGCCACGAAGAAGTTTCAGGATGACTTGATTGCACTACGTAAGGAAAGAGATAAGCTGTTGAAAAAAAGTCAGGTTCAGGTAAGCGGAATTGAAATAAATCAGTGATGTTCGAAGTGGAGAAAAACGCAGCACTTTGATTTTCAATTTTACTGAGAAACTACATCTAATTTTCCGATGCCGATGCTCCATGTATTTAACATTAGCTGGTTTATCGAAGGCAGTTAGGGTAGTCTAAGCCCAGTTCTCGGCGTGGGAAAAATGATTGCCGCGGCCGCCGTGGAGAAGTGTTCGTCCCTTTTTGTTCGTCATGCTCGAACGAGCTTTGAAGTTGAGAACGAAACTGGTAATGAAAGATGAAAATCTTGAGATTGTCAACGACCCTTCGAGGTATGTATGTTCCAGGGGCGGCCCCCCCCTGATCAAGTAGGTGCTGAAGTGGCTTCTTCGTGTGCTGTGAGTTTAATTCAGTTCAGATTGATATGAAGATAAGAAAATGGGTATGGCGACTCGGACTTCGGCGACGACCGGGTCTTGCGATGACCAGCAAGGGGAAGTAGGTCTGAAATCCGGTCAACCGCAAGCTCAACTTCCTCAACTTTCCTCCACCACTTCCTCAAAATCCGTCTTCCCTTTCACTCGTGGTGTCAACGCGTGTGAACAGCGGTTTAGCTACCGACAGCACGAGCTGTACGACGAAGACGTGCCGAGTGACGACGAGGAGGGGAGGACTGAGACGGAAAGTCTCTCGTTCCTAGTGGTCGGGGATCAAAATGCAGGAAAGAGTACGTTTTTACACAGTTTCTCCAACTTTGAGGACAGCAACTTCATGCGCCTACAGTCCTTTCTTCCTGCGATAACGAGCACATTTAGAAATCAGTGCTTTACTTCGGTGACGGCAACGGCAAATGCGTCTTCGGAAGATGCTCGACAAGCGAAGCACGACGTTGCTGCGGGGACAGCAGATGAACATGAAAGTGTTGGAGTAAAGCCTGATCATGATATGGAGGGAGAAGCACAACTAGTACAAGGTGTCGCCAGGGTTTGTGACGAGCCTCCTTATCTTGACACCGATCTTGGAACTGCGACTGTGCTGTTGACTGCGGAAAACTTTAGCTTCTTTCTGCGCGAATTTGAGCTCGAAGAAACTGTCAGATTAGCTGACTCAACGAGATTTGTCCAGATTCGTTTTCACGAAATTGGAGGAGATCACTTAGATCGACTGATGGTGAAGCAAGCTGAAGAAGAACGAAAGAAAAACACTATAACGGGAACGGTGTCAAGCTCAATATCCACTTCGACGTCTGCTCCTCACTCCTACCTACTAAGCTCTCAACTTCGTGAAAGCTTGAGAGTTTTGAAAAAAGTCACGCGGTTGGTCTACTTCGTGAACGCGCGGTCGTTTCTGGAAAATCCGAAGGAGTCTTTAGCGACTTTAAAGCGGCGACTGACTTTCCTGTCCGCTGTGTGTGAAAAAGCTAGCGATGTTCAGTTCTATTGTAGTCGGACTGAGGAACACCAAGAAGGTCGGAGACTGGAGGAACTGGGACTACAAGTAAAAATAGATACAAACGAAGAGCAATCCGATGATGAAGACCAACGACCTCCGCATAAAGAAAGACGCCTTTCTGCCGACAGGAGTGGGGATGAAGCTTTCCACAATGTCCCATCAACGGAAGCTTTTTCGGATGAATATGGACGTGACAAATGGCAAGCTGAGAAGCTTTGCATCCAAGGCTTCCACTCAGGTGTGGGTTTTCAGAAGGTTAATACTGCGATTTGGGGGTTGTTTTCAAGAACGTCATCTAGAAGTTGTGATACTAGAAGTGGAGAAGCGGCCCAAGAAGCCTTGAAGAACCTTCGTTGCACTGGCGTATTCCCGACACGCAACTTAGATTCTGAAGGCCACATCGCAGTTTGCTCTGTCCTGATCGCACTCATCCGGTTACTCGTCTCGGTGGGCAAAACAAATTTGGACGGTGCAAATTTCTCAAATCTTCCAAATTCTTCAAATATCATGTCTACAACGTCTACTTTGGAAGAAAATCTTCCCGAGTTCGTGGAGCTTTTCGTCTCTTGCCATCGCTATTTCCGAGAAACCTCTGGCGAGATGTATTTGAGCGAAGCCCACTGGCGGAAATTCTTAGAGGAAGAGGTGGATGCTTATTTCATCTCAGGGAGTGGTCCTGACGTTCCCTTTCTTTGGGAAGCTGGTGTTAGTTTATATCAAAAAAGGGGGCTTGTTGTTTGCAAGAAAGTGGTGGCTCCTGTCGTTGAGGAGGACACTGAGAAGAAGACCAAGGATGATATAAGAACTGGTGTTGTAGTTCGAGTTGGTGGACGGAACGATGATATTAAAGAAAATGATGTTGAAGGAGATACTTTCAACATGGCAGACAGGCACGAGCTGATGCCCGAGTCCAACCAGGCGGAGAAAACTACACATGAAATAGAGGAACCTCTGACATCATCAATTCCCTTTGTGCGTCTGCCTGCCCACGAAGGCCTGTTCGAGCTGCTGACATGTGAAGCCACTCGTCAAGCGCAATTAAGGGTTCTTCGAGAGGGAGGCAAGCTCTTTTCATTATCTTCTGGAAACGATTACGATAGTACTACGGCTGAAGCCGCGTTTCACATGAGGCTGCGGAATCTAGGGACTGCGTTACGAAAGCGCGCTGATGAAAGTGCACGTGCAGCCACCAAGAATGACGATGTACTTCTAGACGAACAAGAGCAAAAGTTTGAGCAGGAAGCAGATTTGAAAATTTTTGAGAATGCTATACTGTGATCTTTGCCACGCACTTGCGCCTAGTACTGGTCCCAGGGAACTCCCCAAGAATGAGCTGCACGAGGGCTGCTGTGCCTGATTCTTGTTCATCTACTTTTTTTCGGTTAGTACTGAATGTTGTTCTTGGCAAGGATAGAAAACATGCAATGAGAATAGCACTTGCGTATGACAGGGAGAGAACTAGAAGACATACAATGCAATTGACTATTGCAAGCTGGACTAGATGAAGATGAAGCTAAGTAGTTGTACAGAAGTGATCGCTGAGTGAATTAACGCGCAGCTGAGAGAACAAGGGTTTTGCCCGAGAGATCACGAGTGACTACTAAGAGCTTGTGGCGTCGAATGAATGTACAACTATGCATGGTCGGTGAAATACCATCAAGGGCAGGGAAGTCTCAAAGCCGCAACGGCAAGCAGCTGATACTACACCTACTTCGTCTGAAGTGTTTAGATCAATAACAACTTGACTTGAAGTACGTAGAAAAAGGACTGCATCGAGGAGCAGGTTTATTCACGACTTCAAAAGAAAGAATGACGTCAACGGCGTGGTCCGTGCGCCTGGCGGGCCGACTCGGTCCTGCTCTGCGGTGGCAAGGGGAACGTACTGCGAGTTCCTCGTCTATGTCGGTTAGAAAGTTCTCCTTCGTATCATCACGATCATCATTAGTCGGAGCAGGATCAATACCTAGTGGATCGGGGTTTGCAAGCAGGATACCAGCAGCCGCGGGTCTTGTCGCAGTGAATCCAGCAGGAATGAGTTCGTCAACGAAGACAAGATCTGATTCAACTAAGCTCCAGCGACGAACGATGTTCGACTGGGCGTTGCGACCATATGCATGTGCAGGTAATTCTTGCTATCATACAATGCATCGTCATCTGCGTGCGAGGGAATTCTACTACGAGACCTGTAGCTGTCATGCAAGAAAGACACTTCAGTAGACCCAAAAGATGCAGGTTTTGAACATCAGTATAGATACATTATAAGCATCGACATAGAAGACCCCATTGAGTAGTTGTAGACCCTCAGCCAGTAACTTCGATATCCTCGATGAAGAATCTTCTTTTTCGTTCAACTCCTCTGAAAAACAGCTGCCGCCAACTCTGCAACTGGTCTTAGCATGCTAAATGCAGGGTTTTCGAAGTGCAGCTTGAGTCTCCTAGTATGTCCTTGGAAAGCGCTTCCAACAGCACTGGTCATTTTGCCTATGGCATGGGCGGTTCCGGCAGTGTATTTAATACTCTAGTTTCGAAGAACAAGAATAAGTGATTTTCCGCTTGAGCCACAGTCTAAGAATGCTGCTATCTTGCTTGAGCGAGGCTCGACGTCTGTCTTGCGAAAATGTTTTCAACACTTTCAGAACTTATTTTTCCACCTCTTTATTTTCCACCTAAATCATCCAAACAAGAACCAACTGCAACTCCAAACAACCAACATTACTACAGATACCGAATGTGCTTTTCAAATTGCTCTCGAGGTGCGGTTGCAGGGGTCTTCACCTTCTTCATGCAGTTCACGTTGACATTCCTGCCAGTCCCCTGCTTCGAGAACCTGTTTGCGGAGTTGACGTTCTACATTACCGCGCTGTGCATGACGTTTCTCATGTACTGAAGATGATACGATGATACTTCTTGTTCTCATGTTTATTTGGTGTCCTAGTCCTTTTTAGAACTGAATCATGACATTGATGTTGAAAGAACTGGTGTGTTCAGTACCGCGATTACTCTTCTAGATTGCAATTCTCACTTGTTGCCTATGCTGCTGTGCCAACATGCTTTCACTCCTTGTTTCCTTCTTCCAGTTGCAATCTCTTCCCCCCTCTTGCCCTCAATGCCACTGCCTGCTGATTTCCCGAAAATACGTCGAGGGCCGGTGAGTTTCCCCTTCGATTCTCTCGTGTCAGGTTTTCTGGTACGATATTTTGGCTCCTCCCCTTTGTCCCAGGTACAACCTCTTCCCGGAACTGATGCTAGAGGATGGTATCTGGATCTTCTACTCGGCGCTCTTTGTGATGCCGATGCTGCCGCTAGCCTTTTCCTACCTGCCGCTCTTCGCTACGCGAACCTACCTGATTTTGTAGGCGTTCGATGATTGGCGAGCACTAGAAGTTCCGCAGGTTTTTCCTCACCATGATATAGAGGTCTTCAGTAACAGGCGAACATGCTTTAACAACCTGGGTCGCTGTTATATTTTCACCAAGTCTTCGTCTTGCCATGCTTGTAGCACTACCTCTACCCTTTTTTAGCAACTGTTGAACTTGATGTTGGACCGACATGATTCCTTATCTATGATGAAACTATCTTTTCCAAAATAAGAGAGGAAAACAATGAAGATGAAACGATTTGTTACGACAGTACCCTTTGTCTTATCCGCAGTTCCAGTTGAAGGTAGAGCAGTGTCAGCCCTCTCAAAGTAATTCAGTGCTCCCCGTAGTGATGTTCTTTTATGCGACATCGCGAAACATTGACCTTCTCCGAGTAGATCCCACAAACCAGGTTCACAGTCACTGACTACAGGGTGGTCCGCAGATTCTTTGGCTCAACCTTGATCATTTGGCTTCTGTGCTGTGTGGATCAGATAGGACCCCAACCCCACTCAACCCCGCACCCGACCCCTTCCAAACCGCTGAGTGTGTATAAGTATTCTTGAGCCTCACCTCAGAACGTCACGCACACCCCCTGCCCAAGAACATATAATGAAGATGCCTTCACCAATTTTCCGTACGATGATGCGCAACAAAGCTATCGCTCTCCTTTTCGTGTGCGTTTCCCCCCTTGTGGGTAGCACTGCGGCGACAAGCAGTCCAGTTTCTATACAGCCTAGCCTTGTTGCAGCAACGTCAGCGATTATCTCCGATGGGGGAAACGTAGCACCTGCACCAGGTGTAGATGATGCACAGTATCTGGACAAAAATGGGACGTCAACTGCACCAACGAATCTTGCAGATGTAACAAAAAGTGGACACCAAGGGCATGGGCCTAGAGGTACAAATGAAGACGATGGCGCTCCTTTACAACAGCACGGTTCCCTAGGGAGCAATAACACCCTGCAAACAAGAACGCCCTCGCTTCGACAAGCGACAACTTCGTCTCTGAATAGAAGATCAAGATCACAAGAACCCGTAATCTCCGTACAAGATCTTGGGTTTGATCCGGGTCGTGCAGTGACGATAGAGGACTATGGCGTGGCAACGAGTGGTGAGCCGAATCCGAAGTTCCAACTAGAGGGCGACACCAAGATCACTGACGCTGATGATGCCATTCATGCGGATATGGTCCTTCAAGCCTGGTGGGAAGACAACGTGGGCTGGGAAACGTTGCTACCAGTGGCGCTTCTGAGCCGACTCCACAGACTCCTCGTCAAAGCAGTCCCTTCTGCAGTGTTTGCGGGAAGTTCGCTGTTACCGCACTTTCCACGTTTGTCGGTGGGAATAGCGAAACATGTGAAGGAAAGCCGAAGGCGAGGTAGAAGGAGCAGTGGTGACATGAGAGATGATCTTGAGGAAGGGTTCATGACAAGAACGACGGATGCTGGCTTTTCTGTGCTGGGCCAAAAACTGGGACTGGTCATATCGGAGGATACACCCAAAATGGATGCTGAGCTAGGCCGGATCATAGACGCGCGTATAAAAGCGGCTGAGAAGAACTGGGCAGCAGAGGCAGCTGCTATTGCTGGTGACGCGGAAGCATCTTCAGCGGAGAACGATTCTGAGAAGAACATCGACGAGACAAAGATGTCCCTAAATCTTCTTGAGAAGATGCTTTTTTGTGCCTTCGGTCAACGTCATGTATATGATTTCACGAGTTCCACGCTTGGAAAGTGGGCTGCTTCATTTGCTCATTGGTACTACTCTTCCCCGATCGACTGTACTAGTACCACTAGAAGCATGAGTATTGGAACAAAGACAAGCACAAAGAGTACTTCGCATTCTCAGTCTTCGTCCTTCCAAATGCGACAACAAGTGGAGCCACGTTATAGCAGTACTCCTCCCATTCCGAGTCCCAGTATAGTGTCCTATGTTGTAGATGCAGAACCTGGTGTGGAGTCCCAGGTGGAGTCATTTCTTTGTGACGATAATACGAGAATTTTGAAGACGAGGGCGGTGAATGACGATTTTTGCGATTGCGATGATGGAACTGACGAGTGGGAGACAGGGGCCTGTGCGGGCGTCAACGTGCAAGACCGACTAGAGCCGATTGTTAAGGGTTCATCTGAGTAGCATTAGTATTTTGTGTTTGACATGTTTCTGACATGTTTCTTTCTGTTGGAGAATACGGCTTATAGCTATGCTTTGTTATACTAACTTCTGAATATTGATCAGTCCCTGCTGTGTTTGTCAATCGCAATCGCTTCGAATTTTACTTTTTCAAACTCTACTCTGGTCTGCGTACCAGCGCTAATTTCGAAGCTCATGCCTCCGATCCTGACCTCCTACACCGAATGCGTAAGCGGCAGTGGCTCATGAGACGCCTCTTCGGAGATCGGTTGGCATTTGGAGGCCCTAGGCAAGTCCAAGTTCCTGATCAAGAAGTAGCGCCAATAGCGAAAGAGAATTATAGAAGTTAAGGTAGCGATCAGAAAGAGAAAGGCCAATAAAGAGGACGCAGAGCAGGGCTTGTTAGTCTGTGCTGTTGTACTTGCCTGGCATTTTTTCAATTCGGTGCAGCTCCACACTTCTACATTTACTAGATGATGTGATCATGATGTCAAAACTACTCAATAAAAAGAAAGACTACGTCTAAAACAGTTGGAACATCAACCTCCCTGATGCGCGAGTGCGTTCCTCCGGATGGCAACGTGAAGGACAGGAGATGCTCCACGTGCTGAAGAAGGAAAAAATGCCTAAGGGACAAACGCAGATTTCCAAGACAATCTCGTGGCCAATCATGCGCACAGGAGAGAGGGATTACTACGAGATCTGGGAGAACAATTTTGTTGTCGGACTCCAATTCCTGGGAAACAAAACGCAAGAGGAGTACCTTCACAATGGAACTAAACTGTTTAAAGAACCTGTTGTTGCAGAAGTAGAACAAGAGGTGGCTACAACTAGTACAACCAGTACTGCAGATGGTAGCAAGAACAGTAAGACTTCTGATGAAAAGACTGGAATGGATAAGGAAGATAAGGCAAAAACTCTTGAAACAGCCAAGAAAGAAGCGGAGGAAGATGAAACTACTTTCTTTCCTGCACCACAAGCGCCGCAACACAAGATAACAAAGGCTCTCCACGACCCAGACCGTCTGCTCGCGCGCGATCTGGAGCTCTTTTATCAGCCTGTGGAAGGGTCTTTTTTGGAAAAGCTGTACAAGGAATGGGCAGCGCGTCTTGCTTGGCGAAGTGACCGCCAAAAGATCATAGTGCCTGGAGTCAATAAATACGTGTACTCAGGGAATGGCTTGAGCACTTTGGATTTAAGGGAAGTGTGTATCACATGATCCTCAGCATTTGTGCACTTGTTTTGCACATATTCACTCTCAACAACTCTTTTTCCTGAAGAGGGAAAGTAGGGTAAGAATGTGACCTGGAAGAGTGCAAAGCTACAATGCGACTCACACCCGCTAATTAATCTCTACATCGATGACGAAGCTCGACGAGCTAAGGAAAATACGATGTCACGGGAAGAGTTAATTGCACAACTCCAACGGAAAATGTTGGAACCAGCATCAGTCTCAATGAGAGTGCAGAAGAAACTGGCGTTGATTAAGGCGACGTACCACACTATGTATTAGTTACCACTACAAGAACATCACCCTGCTCTCTTTAACTTCTACCACTACCACACTCTGATCACTACACTATTACTTCAACTTCTAGTACCGAAAACCAATTTAGTACTTAAATTCTTGATCTTCTAAATCACTCGACGCTTTCGTATGTCCCCAGTATGGCAGTTTGCCACGGGAATTGTGGGCATCGCGCGTCGGTGATGGCATCTGCGACTGTTGCGATTGCAGTGATGAGCGGAGGAACGGAAGGCTGTTTTCAAGAACCCTTTCAGATTCGGAAGATGGTAAAAGAAGAACCGATACCGAAACCGATGCACGTCCAATCAAGAACACCTGTGCATCACAAGGAAAAGAGGTGGAGCGGATTCTTAGCGAGACGCACCAACGCTTTTTTTCGAGTAGGACAACCTCAAGTCTTGTGGAGACGGAAGAAGACGAGAAGGCCCTGATGTACCCGCAACTTGATGTATGAAAGGAAAATGATGTTCCTGTTTCTCTCAGGCGGCTAAGCAGCAGGTTCTATCTTAACAAGACTGATATATAAATATGATTGAGTGTCGGTTTCCTCCGACCGCATGACATGAGCAATCCTCTGCCACTGTGAATGGTGTGAAGTAGACTGATAAGTAAATATGATTCCGTGTCGGTTTCCTATTATTTCATAGAATTTTGAAACCAACAATAGAATTAGAATTAGAATTAGAAGTGATAGAACGTCTATGTGAGCAATCCTCTGCCACTGTGAATGGTGTGCTTCACCGTGTTTTTGCTCTCTCATTTCCCGCAGCCACCATTTCGCGAAATGCTAGGGCTCTGGCCGTTGTTACCGGTGACGAGGAGGTAGATCCACGACGTGTGTGCCAACGGGAGTTGCGACGAGTCACTAATGGAGTGGCGCGAGAACTGCAACTAGAACCGCCAGTTGCCACGGCTGAGGCAGCGGCTTTGACAGAGGAGGAAGCAGTAGAGATACTTATGAAGGAATCGCGTAAAACGTGGTTGCTGGTTTTTGCAACATGGTTCTTACAATCAGCAAGTCATCTTTCAATATTCTCAGCGGTCGTGAAAAGGGAAATATGGGTAGTACATACTTGTACTTACTCAGTTCAATCATTCACTCTTTTTCAGCTGTTCGTTGTAAAGAGCCACAGCATCTGCAACTTTCATAATCAGGAAAGACACGGACGGCTTGAACTCCTTAGCAATTGAACGGTTAGAACACTTACAAGCGGCGATCGAGAATCAAGAAAGGCGGGTATCAAGCTTGATGAAGGAGGAGAAAAAGCATAAGGATAAGATTCAAGGTTCTCAAGATGTAGGTAAGGCTAAGAATCCTGTTGGTGTGGAGGATGGATCGTTTACGCAAGAGGAAGGAAAGGGAAAAGAACAAGACAGCCCAGCGATAGCAAAGCGAAGAAAGAAGATCATCGAGTACTTGGAAAAGGCTGAGAAGAAGGTAAAAGCACGTTTTTCTTGGCTTCGGGATGCTCCAGCGATAACTCTAAAGGAAATCGAGCCGCTCTTTTGTGTATCTAGTTCGTCACCATCTTCTGCTTCTTCTTCTCCTTCTTCTAGACAAGACAAAAGTGGTATAGTCGCAGGAGCAGATCAAAGCGCCACCATTGTAGGCTATGGCGAGGATGGAAAGCCGATCTTGATCTACGGTAGTGACCAAGGCACAATGCCAGCAGCTTCAGCAGGAAAGCAACGAGATTCGTCCTCCTCGCATACATCGTCTCAAGTACTAGCAGGTTTTGTCCAGTCGGACTGTGCTGATGTTGCGATAACCTGCACTTCTCTGTGCAACGCCAATAATGGGAGAAGCGCCGGAACAGGTGAGACGATCTGTGCGACAGGGAAAAAGTTGACGCGTGCGGAACCGAGGCCATCGTTTCATATGTTGCCACCGCAGGAAGCAAAACTGATGGAATTCGTAATGATCATTTTAGAATCTTCCTCGCACACTTACTGTTCTTCTCTGTCTACTCTTCAACTACAACATCGACACCCACGAATGTACTCAAGCCACAATGTGCGTCGTTGCCCTCAAGCCACAACCATCCTTCACACAAAAACAACCCCTCAGCACCATCGTCTTCGTGGTGACCGTTGTCTAGTAGTTGGCGACCAAGATGAACGTGAAAGGCAGTTACTGGATTTGCGAGAACGTTTTGTCAGTTTATGGGATGATCGAATGCGCTTTGTGAGGCTAGCTGATTTGAAAAAGACGATCGCCAATCTCTGGACTGATGAAGTCAAGGGAATTGATGGTACTGGGGGTTTCGAGTGTCTTCTAGTGTTAGATGAAGCTAGTGATTGTCGAATAAATTGAGAAAGTTACCGAATCAGCCCTCTTCAGGGAGGCAATCCGTGTTTTCGCCTTTCTACAACCTCCAATAACACTACCAGGTCGTCTTCTTTCCCTTCTAGTCGGCTCAAGCCTGTGTCTTGCGAAAATTATCGATCAGTATATGGCGACAACCAGTGGCTCGCAACAGTGGGTTCTGTACAGATACCGTATCTGTTTCGATGGCCACGTGACGCAAGAGGAACTCTTGGCGAAAACGGAGAGTAGAGTTACAGTTAGAGGAGATCAGCAAACAAGAAAAGGTGTGCTTGATAGACATAGATCTTCTAGTACACGAGACAGTCAGACGAGTCACATAGTGAAGAAAAGCATCCTCCTCGGACGCGTCCCTGCTGTAGAAGAAGCAGCACAATTGATGATGACATATGACGGTTTGGAACAGCGTGTGCCATTCACTGGTCAAGGCGGCCGCCATCTTCCGGGTTTGCTTTATACGCAGGGTCAGGACTGTCCAGGCATTGGCCCACGATCAGCTAAAGTCGTATTCACCTGTGGACCAGGACTGGAACTTGTTTATGGCTTCATCTACTAGACTTTTCGAATTAAGTTGTTTGAAGAAGGGAAAATCATAATTTTCCTCTTCCTCCGACGGAGGAGGACTAGCAAGGTAGACGGACACACAGACAGACAGGCACACAGACACAAGTACTTAACTCTGTTGAATTGTAACCACCTCAACTACCTGTCATCACTGGGATAGTACTTAACTCAGTTAAATTTTCGTCACCACCTCAACTACCTTTCATCCTCCTGACGTGCGTGAAGTTCGGACGTGCGTGTACCAGTTTGAAGTGCAGACTCCAGGAGGCTGTGGGACACAGCTGCGTTTCCTAGGCTTTCCTATGAACCAACCTAGTGTGGAAATGAATGCGCGAGGGCCCTATGACATCTTTCGGCACGTGGCCAATCTGGATAGACTCAGCAGGGAAGCTATAGTGCCGGATCATCTTGTACCTCTACCTGAAGCTGAAGACCGTCTGGTACCAAGCAGATTTGAGGAACAGCCGACAGAAGATGTAGAAGTCGTGGGACTAGATCGTGCAACAGTGACCACGAGAGCGACATCATCGAGTCATCTTCATCTAGTACATCCAACAAGAACTACTACAACTACATCTTCCCCATCCACGACGTCTTGGCCAGACATGGAGTTTTTGGCTACGCATCGTATCTTAGCCTACGATCCTCGCGGGGACGGTTATAATTATGTCACATGGATCGATACGGTAGAAAGATGGCAAACAAAATGGAAAGAGTTTGTTAGCTTCATTCCGTTTCTGAGATAGGTGAAAAGCTGTGAATTTTTTGGGATATATTTATACCGTTTTTGGATTGATATTATTTCATCAGATGGTGATGCATCAGAAAAGGCAATAACTGAGGTAACATCAATTTAACATCAACGTAAGCACAATACGCTTCCCTACAAAGACCACTATCGATTTCTATCAAACAGGCAGATGATGCAGGGCGAAAGTTGCTTCAAAGAGAAGAATGCTTTCACTGGTGGTCAAAGTGATCACATGAAGTGTTTACGAGACACGTACTATGCGAAAAGAACATACTGTCGATGCAAATCAAAATTATGGAGTTTTAGGCTTCAAAGCCAACTCAAATCCGCTCGAAGTGAAAAAAAAATTGTATTACACGACATCGACATCTGAGGGAAGTGCTTGGAGTGATCCCTGAGGGTATAGAGCGTGAAGATGCGGCGCAACAAAAATCGCTTACCATTTAAACTGCTGACTGAAATTGAAAATGAAATTTAGATTACGACGAAGTTAATCAAGAACAGAAAGATGAACATGACTATCATTCTGTGATCAGAGTAGAGCCCTCCACCTCCACACAACTCAGGACTGAATTTTCTTTGACCCCCATCTTTTTTGCTTATAAAATTGTCTTTCTTAAAGCTTATGCTTGTGATCTTGACCACGGAGCTAGTGAATCTGATGACTGACTAGCACAACTAGTCCTCTACTTTATTGGTTCAAGTAGATTTATCAAATGAAGTGATCTGTTGAAGATGAAGTAGAGATGAGTAGTTGTCTTAATGAACATCGGTGAGTTCTTTCCAGATAGTACTAGCCGTAGTGAAGTCTGAGACAAGATGGAGGCTATGGAAAGAGGGGAGGCGCAGGAGCTGCCAAAGACGATAAGAGCAAAGAGAGAAGCAGGACAGTCAGCATTATGACAGCAAAAGTCGTGATCAGCAGGTTCTTGGCGCTCTTCACTTTCATTACTGAACAACCGGGAACAAGATTGTCATGCTCCTCACCAACAACATTCGAAAACTCAAAATATCCGAGTTACTGACTGAAATAAGGGAGGTAGCTTAACGCCAAGTGGTTACTCTTCCTTCTCATGAGTATCTCGGTTATTCTGATCAGTTACTTACTTGCTTATTTCAGTTTTTCGAATACATTGATACTGATAATGGTCAGTCAAGAAAAGAAGGTACAGAATAGTTGAAACGCCTCAATGCGTTAGGACGACGTAAAAAGAGGTTACATGACATGACATCCCTTTCCCTACCCTATCCCAACATCCAATCACCTTCATTCCCCTGGCAGAGGTTTTTGGCGATGATACCGAATGTGTCGGTATCGAGGGATAGCATGGCGGACGTGAACGAAAAGATAGAGTTTGTTAAGGCTTCAGTTAGAAATGTATCTATGTGCATGTTGTGAATCTGAAATATTAGAGACGTATAATTTCCTTTGATAAAAAACAGGCACCTTCCTAAGAACTGCCTTGTTTCTATATCTAAATGCAGAGGTGCTGGCGGGATAGACAGAGTCAGTTTCATTTAATGGGAGGACTATGTAGAGACATGAGGTAAGCACGGGGAGGGAATAGAAGAGCTCCAGAAAAATGACTAAGATGTACCTGCTGCTTCTGGATTTCGATGAAATAAGCACTTCCATTGATTCTAAGATAGGTGAATCTCCAGCAGAAGGAGTTGCATGTCCGCATTGCCACGCTCAAGATTTCGTCACCTTCACGGAACACGAAGCTACATGTGCAACATATGGCATCGCTTGTTTAATCGTGCTCTTCTTCGGATGGTTGTCTTTCTGCATAGTAGGATTATGCTGGCCGGTGCTGAAAACAGTGGTTCACAGGTGTCCTCACTGCCACAACGAGCTCGCAAGAAAAAGCAGAATACGGTACAACCTCCAATCCACATCTATGGTGAAGATTGTTGTAGTGAATGTTACGTTGGGTTGATATCTTGACTACGCCAGTGGCAGTTTCGCTTGCAGATGTTTTTGTGTTGAACATCAACATTTATTGTCTTTCTCCATGTCGATATCGATTCATGCAATTTCAATTTCATAATCATTCAATTATTTCAGGTGTCCACGAGTCTCGAGGGAAATATTCACGGTGCAGGTTGGCAATTGTGCAGTCGTCATATCACGCAAATACGCCTTGTTGTTATGCCCAAACGAAAATCAATCTCTGACTCTTTTTATTTCATGTAGAGAAAAATTCACGAAGGGGCAAGCTTTACAGAATACAGAACGATGATGGCGTTCATCATTAACTCATTCCGCTATCTGCCTGACTGTTTCCCTGGTGCTTCTTAGTTTCACTCTAAAGGAACCTACAGCTACGTCTTTATCTCTCTAATTTTGTTTTTAGTGGTAGTTGGCTTAGTGGGTTTTTTTACATGGAGACGGAATCATCATGGGGTTCACTTGCTGCTTGACGCGCCTTTGAAGGACAGCAAAAGTTTAGCGGGCACGAAAGAAGTTATGGTGAAAGAGAATTTTGTTTTGGTCATGGTGGGAAACAAGTGCAACTTGGACGCTTGAATAATCATCATCTTGATGTTCGTTGTAGATGATGATCTTCTTGGTACATCAATATATTATAACTAGGCATAAAAAAACGTAGGAGGAATATATTCTAACCCGTGAACGTGGGAGGAATATTTGAAGAATTGTGGAAACAAGAAGACTCTAGGAAATCCGTTGAGGACACGGAGGAAATACGACGAAACGTATGCAGGCAACATGATAGAGTGGGAAGGCAGGGTGAACAAAGTCACAGAAGGATTTCAATTATTGGTGCGCTTACAACTTTGATTTTTGTTGTATCGGTTTTCGACTTCGATACTAGACTATCTAGATCATAACGAAGAAAGTTCTACTAGCTTCCTATGAAGAACCAGATATATAATTTTGTTCGTTTTTGATAAAGTTCCTGCAATGATGAATACTAGAAATCAAGTTACTTACAACTAGGAAAAACAAAAAACAAAAATTAGATCTGGGACGCACCCGGTCTTATCCGGTTAACCATGAATCCGGCAGAGAGGAACAGGGATGGAATCGATTTGACTCTTCTGTTTAACGAAAATCTGAATGACGCAGTTTCTGAACTCGAGGTCGGCGATGAGATCTCCTTCAAGGCAACGTTGCTGGGCCTGGGAACGAGGGGAAGTATTTTGATTTTTAACTTATTTGATCCATTGTTTTTTCTGGAACTGGAGAGTGCTACTGTGATGGGACGCGTTCCGGTTCAGGTTCTTTACCTTCATTTCAAGCACTGCCCTCTCCGCTTCAAAGCTTATCTGCTCCATTATTTTTTTTCGCTGATGAGACTAACACTAATCGGTGTAGTCTCCCTCTGGTATAGTAGAAAGTATCTCTGAGGTAGATGTTATTATATTAATTTATAAGGCTCTTACTTAGCGCATACAACGACCCACCACGCACAGCACAACGAAATCGAGAAAAACTCTACATCTACCGAGCTAAATGTACTAGTGCTTACTACAAGTACAACAACTTGAAAACTCACACGCACCCAACGAACCGCTCAGGTTCCCACGTTGCTCAAATATGGGAGGTTTTGGAACATCGTCGTGGCAACGAGATAATCCCCATCAAGCCGCCGCCAGCGTCGGTGAAGGCTGGAGAAGAGGCTCTACCTCGAACAGAGGACATTCTTGTTAAGGCAGAAGTTCTTTTTGATAAATTATAAGTATCCCTACTGCAGGTTCCCCCCCTACACCCTAGAGGCATTATGGATGCTGATCATTATCTTCATAGAACAAAAGTAGGGACATGGATCATAGAATAAAATATCTTCAACTTCGTCTTAGTCTATGACCCATCATAGATAGTAATCGTTTCTTCAACTTCGTCTTAGTCTATCATTCTTAGCATCAGCATCATTTTGATCATCGTCGTCCTTAATATTCTTATCGTGTGAGTCGTCTCATCATCGTCAGCCTCATCTCATCTGCTGAGCTGTCTCTTCATCCTCATCATCAGCATCATCTCATCATCTACCTCCTATCCTCCCCTAAACCCATCTAATATAGCGGGCGACGCTGCTGCTCGAGAAGGGCCTCAAGGAGGTAAGGGTAACCAGGAGAACTAGGTTCTTCAACTTGAGGAGGTAACCAGGAGAACTAGGTTCTTCAGAACCAAGAGGGTTGATAAGGAGCTGGAGGATGAGGACGGATCAGCAGTACTAGAGTTTTAGTAAAAAAGAGTCAATTTATTACGTCAGCATGCAGATTAAGATCAACAACACTAGATGATCATTATAGGTCAATTTCAATTATACAGGAGCACATCAAGAACATCAAGGACGCTTGGGTTCAAAGATTTTCGTTTTGTACATCAATGCTAACGCTTACCCAAAATTTGACAGAATCTATCACAAGAAAATCGTACTGCCTTATACGACATTAATTTGCGCAAAAGATTTTATCTATTACGAGTCAGGTTCACGAAGAGGAATGCTAGTTGTACTGGTCATTCATCGCTTTCATCGCTTTCGCTGCACCGCAAGTGCGAATGCGAAACAAAACAGTTGATAGCGAATGGTCATAATTATGTATGAGTTTTCCTATTTTTTTTTACTGACTGGTCTGTCAGTCTGGTGCCCCTGTGGAGTAGTGGAGGCAGTTTGAAGATCTTCTGTCAGTGTGAAGTTTATCATTATGATAGCTCATCCAAGACTTAGGCTATCATCTCTGCCTAGCAGCTGACTGATAGGTAGTACTCATAGCAATACCTCTACCTCACTCCCTGTTACTAAGACGACGAGGTAGAGGTGCGAAACTAAGATAATGGGCTTGTTCTTTGGCGGTCAGTATGTGTATCTATGATAAATGACTGGTGCCTACACCTGCTTCATTCATCTAATCATGGACTATTCGTGTTCATTCTTGCTCTATCCTCCTGAGTAAATAGTTGTGTCATGTTCGAACATCAATACTGAAGATCATGATCGCAACGCAAACTACTTACCTCATGTTAACGGTCCCCACATTTTTACATCCTTCACTAGCGCTCCTTACTCTTTTTCCAGTCGGAAATAAGTCAGGGATGTTCTGATGAACATGATCATACTTTCACTTACTTCATGCTTGCACTCCCTCAACATGAAGTACTTCAAGCATTCACCCCACACACTGTCTGTCATAATTACAACATCACACCCATGTCAGACAGCACGACTTGCAGCTTCTTGACATCAAATTCAAATATTCTTGTTGTAACATCTTCAATGATAACCTCAAATCTACTTGGCCATGTAGTCTTCACAGAGGTAACAACATGACATCGTGTCTGAAGCTGAAGGAAAAAAAACAGTGAGAGAGAAAAGAAAACGCCACGACCACTTACAATATCTGGTGTGCTATCTCGATTCCTAATCCAGCAGTGTTTTCGATAAACTGAAAATAACCGAGTTACTGACTGAAATATGGGAGGTAGCTTTGACAGGGCTACTCTTCCTTGTTCAGTATCTCGGTTATTGTAAGTAGTTACTCGCATACTTCAGTTTATCGAATACACTGATGGCACTTGAAGTTGTGTTGGATTATGCTCAGCTTTTCCAAAATTTTTCTCAGCATCCTGATTCCATGAAATAGAAGAAAAAAGGGGCAGAGAAGATGCGGGGACCTCCGAGATAAATAGGATAAATGGGGGCCGAGATAAATAATTACAACTTAATTATATGAATGCAGAGATGCTCCTTATCAATATCTAATTCGTGTTCACGCGGTCAAGACTACTGCCGTTTCAGTTGTTAGCAGTAATACTCATCCTGTGGCTTGTCCTCGCGGGCGAGCTCTTTGCGGCGTTACATTCTGCATCGTCATGCTGTCCAGCGTGGATGGGTTTCCGTTCCAGTTCCGCTTCCGGGAACACGGTGCACCACAGGGAGAATCCTGCTGACAGGAGTATGCGCAGATGGGTACGACGTTTCTGGGTCAACACCTGCGACGATCTATCACATTGCCTTACGTCCTACCGCTACCGAGTACGGCATTGGGGATGGGTTCGAAACTGGGCGCAGCCACTAAGAGGATCAGTGGCCGCTAATCGGGTTAAGGCTTACCTCCATAATTTATCTTAAGAGGCATCGCCAGGCTTGTTTCATTTTGATTTTTCTAGGACTAGAGGCAGAATGGTAGACTCAAGCTCGTTTTTCTCAGCTCTTATCTCACGCTTACCAGTCAGCTTAAGAGCCATCTTGCTTCGGCAGACTCCACCTTTTTTGAGAGGAGAGCAGGCATGCCAAAGATCGATGTTTTGTAGGAAGAATACCGGTCGTATGAAGGTCTAATCGAGGAGCAGAAGTTTTCTCAATGAGGCCATCATCTTCTTGCCGAGCACGTGGCCAGCATAAAATGCAAAAAAAAGATAGAAGAAGAGGCAAGCAACCACATCGACGAGAGGCTCCGGCTCTTTATCATCTCTTATCAGAGTCCTGCGTCTTGATGCACCATTGCTTCGTTGCATCTTTCTGTTGTTTTTTCGGTAGCATGATCGTCGACCACGCACTTCCGTCTTCCGCTGTGGTTCTGCTCTACTATGGAGGTTTGATCATGCCTGCCCTACCAGTACTGGGAACATCAACTAGCAAGAAGCCGCATGATCAACAACAACAAGATGACTTTGATGCGAACGTCGACGACATAGAGGCTGACGCCACAGCACAAATGTGGCAAGCACACGGTTATTACTCCTCTGACATGGCGCTGGCGGAACAAAGTGCAACATTAAGACTAAGTAGATGATAGATGAGCATGAAGGTCAAGGTGAAGGACTAACTAAATATAGTCATTTCATCAGTTAACCAAATATAGTCATCTGAGTATGTTGTATTTTTAGTCCACCTCTTTGTTTCCTCTCAATTTAGGACTCTAATGATAGCCGGCTCTGGCGCGGATTTTTTGGGTACCTCAGAAACCTTAAAAAAGAGTTAAATTTAGCCTACAACCAGTAGTTGCAGCCCTACCTCTTCGCGGTATCTCTCTAGTAGTCCATGCACACTCACGTGAATGCAGCCATGTTGATATGGAATAGGTACCCATGTCAAGGCAATGAAACGATGTCAATCTTCAATCGTCTTTCTTAGAAACGAGTTGAATCTTCTCTCTGACGTACTCAGGGTGAGCCTGATTTTATATTTTATTTTTAAGCATGTGCACCAACTCCAAGACCAAGTCCATGCTGAACATCATCGACTTCACGAACTTCTTCATCTTGTTCAAGCTTGATATCGATAAAGAGTTATAGGTTTGATATGCTAGGTGTATAGTGACTTGAAACGGCGCAGGACATCATCAATATCTACTTATTCACTATTTAAATGGTTACATATACTTGAACCGTAGGGCCTTCCCTTAGCCGTGTCTCCTAATCCATTAGTACCGAGCGGCCGACTATCTGGCCTCCCAGTTCTGGGCACCTGCTCGATACTCAAAGACAATATAACTCATAAATTAGAGTAAGGTAAATAACGGGCTTCGGGTTGCTCGAGTTGCAACGGGTTGCTCGGGTTGCCGAAGCGCAGGGGTTCCAAATCTGGAACGGGTTGCCACGAGTTGCCAGGAGAATCCTGACCGAGCGAAATGGGGCGAAGCCGGGCGGTATAGAGGGGCATTTGTGCGCTCGAAGTGAATCCATGGAGAAGGGCGCAGCTTCTTTTTTTTGTTGTTGCTCATGAAAGGGGCAGCCACGTCTGAAGGGCTCTGCAGGCTTTCGGGCTCTTCTTTTGTAGCGTGCGGGCGCGTGTTTGAAGCGAAAACAAGGAGCGCAGGCCCCTGCTCTCTGTTGTTTTTTTTTGAGGTGGGTGGCGCTGTGGTGTGTCGTCTTCGAGTCTAGGGCGATCTCTCCCATTTTTCTTCGGGTGCGAGGGTGGCCAATCTACTTGGGGGCTGAGAGTGAGTCTCCGTCTGCTGGCTTCAGCGGGCGACGTGTCTAGTCTTGGGTATAGCAGTAAGTTTACTGGAAGAGGTTGCTAAATTGAAATGGATTGTTGACGCGCTAGATTTTTATATACGAGCGCGCCGCCATCAGTATGCAACTACGGCGCGGCGTGTGGTCATGTCGTGCGCTCCTGTTGGGGTCTCTCGTATGGTCACAAATCTGCGCCCGAAGGGCGCCGCGCAAAAAAATTGGGTTGGCAACTCGAGCAACTCGAGCAACCCGACCCGATATGGGTCGAAAAAAGATATTTTTGCCTGGACTCGACCCGCGGGCTCCTTACTGCATGATAAATGATGCATGAGCCACCCGATTCCATGGGTGACCTTGATACAAACCCTCCCTCGCCCAGCCACCGCGTTGCCACATGCCCACTCTTACTGCAGTGCGTGTTCGCCGGCGATGCGCTGTCCCAGTAAATCTACAAGACAGGAGCAATCTGTGACTTGATTGGCCGTAGAACTCGAGAGCCCGATCCCGCGGCTGCATCTCAGCTAGCTCCTCGGGTAGTACCTGTCCGGAGTTGCCTAGCACGAGGGCCCTCCACATATGATAATAATAATCAATATCTACTGAATATTATCTAACTATGGCCGTGAGTTCTTAGATGAACCGTCGATCTGTGACTGTGCTTAGATGAAGTGTCGACCTGTGCTTAAGACCTAGTACTGTACGAATCTACACTTAATGTGAATTATGTGAAGGTGATGACCGCAGCAGCGCGTGCTTTTTAGAATCCGGCGACGAGGAGGGGTGTTGTAGGTGCAAGACAAGTGCAACCGAGTTTATGCTCCTTAACATTTACTAGTATCCATCTTGTGTTTCAGGAGCATCTTCATAGAAGATACCCTTCCCTTTTCCGTTTATTTCCCAGGTAAAAACAAATACAAGTAAAAGATCGCCGAGATGTTGCGGTGACGAAAGTGTGTCTCCAGTAAGTCCACTTGTCCTTTCTAATAGGTCCTCTTCATCATCGTCATCTTGTTGTGCTTGTTGTGGTGACGAAGACGAAAGTGCTGTCTTACTGATATGCAAGAATAGCGAAGGCGTTCGACATAGCTAATCGGGGTGCGTACTATTTAGCTGGCGTCGGTCGATCCCAATCCAAACCCTATCAATTCGCATTCTCTGGGAGCTGCGCACCCTACACGCAGCACACGCGGCCGGCCGGCGCGTGTGGTCTTCAGTATTCGCGTGCATTCGTCGCACTCAGTCCCACCCACGTACTCCCTTCTTTTCCCCTCCCTCCACTCCCTTTCTTTCGTCGTGACACATTAGCCCACCGGCGGCACCTGATTCGCGCGCCCTTCGGCGTCAGGCTTTTTCTCATCTCCCCACTCGTTACTCACGTTTGTGAGCTCATTGGTTCGAGCGGATTTCGATGCCGCTTGTGGGCTAGTCTGTCACGTCGACAGCACTAGCAAAATAATACTCGCCCACTCATGTCAGCGCCTTCAGTATGCTCCTCAAGTAGAAGCCGACTCACAAAACAGGGCTCGACGAAGTCGAAAAAAAAGAACAGCGAGGGGCTCGACTGTGCCTGCGGCCTCAATCGAATCGCGACAACAGACCACGGGTGGAGACGAAGGCCCGCAGAAGCCAAAGGAGGAGCAGCCAAAGGCGCAAACTCCGCGAGAGCCGAATCAGGCTACAAGCCCAGAAGCCTCAGGTGAACCGCAACAACAGAATTCGCAGCATCCAAATGACGAGCAGCCAAATGAGGAGCAGCAGCCAGCGCAAACTCCGCGGAGGCCGAATCAGCCTACAAGCCTAGAAGAAGCCTCAGGCGAACCGCAACAACAGACCACGGATGGGGACGAAGGCTTGCAGCAGCCAGCGCAAACTCCGCGGAGGCCGAATCAGCCTACAAGCCTAGAAGAAGCCTCAGGCGAACCGCAACAACAGACCACGGATGGAGACGGAGGCTTGCAGCAGCCAAAGAAGGAGCAGCTAGAGGCGCAAACTCCGCGGAAGGGGAATCAGCCTACAAGCCTAGAAGAGGAGGTTTGTAGAGGGTCGAGCGCAGCAGCCGCTTTCTTCGCAGAGTTTATGATCCTACTCCGTTGTTTCTGTTCCATAACTTGAACTTACTTAACAGCTTTATTTATTAAAACTGAACAAAGTTCTTGTAAAGTAAAGCAGGACGAAACTGTCTTCGAAAATCTACATGATAAGGATAGAAAATTTATATGATGAAATATGGTTGGCTTTGGAATGTCGTAGATCACAGCGGAGCATAAGAGGTAGTTTTCACATTCTAAGGAAGACCATGGCTTGACCGATGTGCCGCAAGATTGGTCTCGCACGTTGTCCGATGATCTGTGGCATAAAAGTCCGAAGTTCAGGCCACTCGAGAAGCTTGACTTCACTGAGGAGACGCGTGAAGGAAGCGACAACGGGAATACGAGCCGCCAGTTGGTTTGTAAACCGAAGTTATGTCCTCGGAGTCATTTCCATTCAATTCATTGATTTTGTAGATTTAGAAAGATGTACTTACATTTACCAATACTGTAATTATTCAGGAGGACGAGCATTCATCAGAGGCAGGATGTAACGACCATGCGGAAGACGCGTCAAGACTGAGAAAAAAAGGAAAAGGTCAAGACTCGTGTAGTACACATTGGATTTGGAGGAAGACTTTCTAGGTGTACTTTTCATCATCTCTAATTACAGGAGCAAGACGAGTACTGCGGAACAGCTTCGAGCGTGATGACATGGAAGAAGAAGAGCTCGAAGGGAAAAAGTCCGGTATTATTACCGCCAAGTGCAGCATCGATCCACCCAATACCGACACCTCCGAGACGGCGGAGACATCCAGTAGCAATACTGACACGTCGGATAAACCAGTAATTATGGCACAGGGTCAGGTTATTTCAACATATCTTCTATGTCAGCACAAGGCACCCTTCCTCACCCTCATCATAAGGTCGTGGGTAAGGCAAGGTCTAACTTCACGTGTGTGTCCTTGTCCTTCTAGGGGCTGTTCTGAGAAAAGGAAAACGAGGGACCCGCCAAGTAGAGAAGAGGAAATGAAAAGGAAGAGCTTCCGACTATTTATTGTTGACCTCTTCAGCTCTTCCATCTAAACTAAGAGCGCGGTGGAAATTCTCGTACGTTCACGTGGAATCGCCAGAGCGGGAAAGCCTTCAGATAGCGCACTGCGTTCTCGAGCGAGATTGGACGAAATGGCACTTCGAAGAGCAGTCTCTTGAAGGTTATGGTTAACATTGATTTAGTGCCGAGCAACACCTCTCTACTCAGCATCTTGGTACCCTCTTCCAATGGAATCCAAGACCTAGTGTCCTCCATCTTTCTCAGCATCTCTCCGGTATCTTTTTTTTTATCCATAGAGGAATATACGGGGAAAGGTAAGATGAACAAGATGGAGGAACCGCGATGGATTTATGGATGAAGAACATGGAGGAACCAATACCAAGCACACTCTAAGTTGATTTATGTCCCCGGATGCAGTTTGTCTTTCGTGTTTCGGGTTTGATAAGGGACCTCCACTCCACAACTTGTTTGGCGCGCAGTTTGGTTCGAAGGACCAGAATAATATTATTGTGAAGGCTATTAAAGTTGTTAATAAATTGTAAAACTGTCATTGTTTTGGTTTTCTGGTGCTTAGATGAAGATGCAAAGTAGAACAAGAACGGCAGCTACGTGATTTGTTATAATATGGTTATGGTACTGGACGTTGACGTATATCATCTGCCATAGATGAAAAACGAAATAAGTAGAGCTACTACAACACTCAAATAGATGATGTAGATTTTTCATAATATTCTGGTGATGGCAGCAACGTCGTCTACGTCGCGGCGGACAAGTCGCTCATCTTTGGTTTCGCGGATTTCCCTCCTAGGAGCGATAATGTTAATGCTGAGGCTCCGCCACAAGCACAACCGCCTGTGGTTGTGAGTGCCCAGCCTTCAATTAAGGCTACTGGATCTTCCTACATGATCTTCTATCAACAATATTCTGTGTATTTTTGAGGTATCCGATTGAAAAAAAATCTCCTGATTTAGAGGCCAGGGCATTTAAAAGTAAAAGAGTGGGAAGGAGCGAGATTCCTTGTAGGAGCGACCCAGGGTAATGATTGAACCTCTACGACGCCCTTGTGGCAGTCTGCACCGAACTAAGTACCTTGTGCGATATTTGTTGCGTAGTCGTATTGTTTTAGATTTATATTTGTAAATATATTAGCCTCGATCGAGCCTCTATTCCCCACGGATTATTGCATTGCATGAGCATGCCTTTCCGCATCTGCGTACACCATCTAAAGCGAAACCGCCGCCGCGCTTGCTGTACGTAGTCGAAGACAGCAACGGTCCTAGTGACGGAGCCGGCACGTTATGTATCAAGCATCAGGAAGCATGGCTCTTCTGACTCTTTCTTAAAGTATGTAAGTGTACCTACATACTCCACACTCATAAGATAAATAATCACGAAGGTAATCTACCTCTAGGCGTTGTGTAGTTGTACGCTCTTTTGCACTTCTGTTCTCTCCGCTTCAAAGCTAATTTACACGATGACGATCACGACACAGACACTTATATCTACATACTGCACGCCAGGCAACTTTTGGTGCCTCTAGGTGTAGTCTTTCGTCACATTTCAAGCGCTGTCCTCTCCGCTTCAAAGTATGCTCATATTTTTTTCTCTATGTACCTACTGACTCTGTGAGCTGCGCGCGGCCGCGGTTGTTCCTCTCGTACTAAGCCATATCAAGAAGGTCAAGACCTACTCGGGAGTATACTAACTCTACCTAACTACTACAAACATGCTCATAGGGACGTCGACGCTCGAGCAAGAGCATAGATTTTCTCCTACTATCAATCAGTCAATCAATCAAGTCGGGATTGACTACATTGTTGTTGTCCAGTACATCTAAGAAAGAAGTGGGGCGAGAGCAAAGGTGTCCTGAAAAAATTTCCGAAGTCGGGAGAGACGGGGACACGCGCAGCAGAACTTCTAGCAGCAGCAGAGGAGGAGGACGTTGTTTATTGGCACTTACTTCGTGGCAGGGGTTTTCCGATTCCGCACTTAAAAACTCCAGGCGCTACAGAATCTGCTGAACGCAAGCTGTTATGAAGATGAGCCGTGTCTTCCCTCGAACTCGGACTCGCTAAAAAAAAATTGTTATATACATGAAAAGCACTATAATTGCATTATGGCTAGAATTTTTGTTATTCAACTACAGTGCTAGTACAGAGTAGTTTTCATGTACTTACATGATGTTGCGGCCCTGGCCTCGTCGTGTCCTCTACGGTAATTATCGAGAAATAATTACTTATAACTACAGGGCCATGTCATGTTTGTGTCGCTGTCATGAATCAAGTACATCTAAGATGAAAGAACGTCACTACATAGAAGTAGTTGTGGACGGCCGTGGCAATTTCTCATCAGTTGTAACATAATTGTAGTGAACCTAGGTCTAGGAACAGAGTAAAACTGTAATAAATATAATGAAAAACTTCAAGTACAACTAGTTGTAGTTCTAACTGTTCCCGCCGTCACCTTTGGAGAAGCCTTGTCGCAGGACGACTCGTTTCGTTACTTGCTCTCGGATCAAACTCTGGCAAACGCTGTGCAGGAAAGCGACGATGATGATATGGATGACGTGTTGCGCATCTAGTATCAGATCATGGAGGCTTCTCCTCTTCCCCTTGAAAGTGCATAGGTTAAAGGAGAGTCTCGATGGTCTGCCTACTTAGATGGAAAAAGCAGCGTCCATATTAAATGAGAACGGAATGGAGGTGGCGAGTGTGCGTATCGCATACCTAATCGATACTGCAGAAATTAAGGAGCAAGAACATGATGACTCTCTTCAGGAAGTACTCTATGTATATACCATAGAAAACCCTCGAACACTCCTCCACCTTAATGCGAACACTCAAGGACCCCTCAGACGGTTTTAATGTGAACACTAGCGGACCTCTGAGGCGAACACTAGAGGACCTCTGAGGCGCTCTGAATGTGAACACTACGGGCGACTAGGGGACCCCCAGGCCGACTCTAATGTGAACACTAGAGGACGTTTAAGGCCCCTCTAATGTGAACACTAGAGAACCTGCAAAACGCCGCTAGTTGGGAAAAAGGCACAACAAGAACACCGAACAACACACCACGAACAAGACACGACGAACAACACACCACGAACAAGGCACTCCGAGCAAGACACCACGAACAAGACATCACGGACAAGAAACCACGAACAAGACACCACGAACAAAACACCACCGCCAGGGGCTGGGGCAGTACTGCCACGCTCTCGCTTTCTTTTAGCCAACGGCTTTCGGCCCTCCCCTGCGTGCCGGGGAGTGCGCGTCCTTTGGGCGCTTGTTTCAGCTTGTGAAACCATTGGGGAGAGCCGCCGCCGCCATAGCTTTTTTTTTTCCCTTCTTAAACGGCTCCCGGGGTACCCCGTCTCGGGGAGTTGTCGGAAATGCAATAGGAGTGCGGTCGGACAAAATCCATATTGCATGGCGATCATGCTTATTCTACACATATGAGAGCGATGAAGTCATGAGGGAGAAGGGACCTGAAGATGAAGGGAGGGGACATCTAAAACGACTCTGTCTTAAATAAGAAAAATGGAGAAATTGTTATTGCCAACAACAAGATGAATTAATAATAATATGATTAATACGTCGTAGGCCCAATCCGAGCTGACTAACATCATCGTCGTCAATACTTCCTAGTATGTGCTACATATTACATAGTTACAAATCCTACCTGTTCCACTTCTACGGGTCTTCTAAAGAAATTGATGAAGTAGAATGGCAGCGGGCTTGGAAGGGAGAAGAGGGAGAAGGGACAGCGGCAAGCAGTCAGTCGTCCACTTTGCCTCAACGGGTGGCGATGTGGCTTTCGAACAAAGGCGGCAAGAACCTCGGTGCGACGACGGAACATGAACACAGAGAATTAAGGCTCAGCATTTGACTCATTTGCATCTGCACATCGAGCAGGAGAGCAGGCGCCGTTTAGCTCGATGTGAAGGATCCATAGAGAGCCTAACCTTCACAACTTATAATTCTTTGAGTTTCATCCAGCGTCTTGGATTCTGAGGCTATTGCCTTACAACTACTTGAGTATAGATATGACGGATCAGAATCGTCACTGTGAGCGCTAACAGAATCACAGGACGGCGCTCCAAGTCGTGCAGAAGCAGAATCACTCAAAAATCTCGATGTAACAACACCAGAAGGTGTAGAAAAGAGGCTCAAAAGGATGAAGAAGATGCTCTGCACCCCCTCGACAGACACGAGCATCGTAATCGCGCAGCCGCTTATCCAGCCAAAGTGGATTTCGCCTAGTCCTAGTTAAGATCGCTATGCATTCGATCATTTTTATGTAGTCGATCGTTATATCGATATCCGGTGTTGTAGGGTGTAGACAATGTATGAGTATGCCGTAAGGTCGAATGTTGTATCGTGATTATCACTATGCATTGAGGTGTAGTAAACAATGTTGGTGAATAGAAGTGGGCGATTTATTCTCTGTTTTGGAAGTTCTCAGCCTAAGGAGCTAATAAAGGGAAACTTAGATGAAAAGGTAAATGATCACTCTCACACCCCTTCTCTAATCAGGAGGAGAGATCACTAAGTAACAGTGCGTGTTGTGATTGTAGTAGGAGGTCTGTGAAAGAGCGAGAAGTTAATTATTATAATGACCGAGGACTTCCACTACTAATACAATTTTAGATTATTTAGCTTTAATCTAGCGGTAGCGGGTTTTCGGTTGTGACACCCAAATGGGAGATGTGGTCCGATATTTTGCCACTGCGCACGAACTTGCTCTGCGGGACCGCGACTCCTTCTCTGCATGACTCGAACGCGCTTGATGATGTTAAGGCTTTGTTCCCTAATCTGCCATCCACTTCGTTCCAGAGCATGAATATGATTGGTTCTGGAGCTCTACTCTCCCATAACTACAAGTGGAACAACCAGCCTCCTCCAAAAGCACCAGAGTACTTTCAGGAGGATGGATTCGGTTCGCGAGGAGCTCATCTACTACTTCTAAGACCTTCGCCACTTCTTTGCACAGCATGGCGCCTCTTTTACACGGTTTCGCTGCGCGCGTGTCTGCAACGTTTTTCAACAGGGAGTATGCTTATGAGTAGTTTTTAGTATCATGGTGCAAAAACATGAGTAGAACTGGGCTAATACACGTTGTGGTCTTGGTTGTCTTTATATTTATACTTGTATGTCAATGTCTTAGTCTTTGTTTATAATAAATATCTATGTCTTAGTTTTTTCATAACGTACTGCAGAAATATAAGGACTCGGAGTCCTCGAGTAGGCGCCGGCGAAGCTAGATGTGCAGGATCCATAGCCTAACAACCTAACCTGCATAAATACGGACTGCAATTTTTTCAGTTTCATACAACATCTTTGCTCGCTAATAAAATTAGAATTGTTATTTGGACAACTTGAACTAAGTCAATCTAATCTTCATGATATCAATGAATGTCTCTGCATAGATAACGGAGTTGTTCATGATCTAACTTTTCTTTGCCGCGCCGTGGAAGAAGCAGGCGGCGACTGTCGTTCGCCACCTAATAAAGAAGTCGTTCTCGCAAGAAGAGCAGGCACGTTTCGAGGCTCCTCAGAAAGAGCTTGAGGAAAGACTCAGAGAAATTGACGAGTTCACTTCGGATTCTTATGGTCAGCTTTTATCCCTCTTTCATCTCGAGCTCGACACCTCACCGGTAATATAACTTGTCTGGTTTATTTATTGTGTTTTTTTCCTAAACTTTATTCTTTATCTTTCCATAGAAGAGCACAAGGGAAAAGTAAAAGGTGCCAAGAAGATGGGAAGAATGACATGAACATGAATCCAATTACATCAAACACCACATCAAGATCAAGTGTAGCGCTAACGCTTGACTTTGTCGGAAGCAGGGGAAGCCGGGCAGAAACCCGAGGAGAAGCTGAAAAGCGAGGCTGAAAAGCGAGATGAAGATGATGCAATCAGACAGCTGAACGCAGGCTTTGCAGACAAAAAGGTTCGTGTCCAGCTGGGGCTGATCAAATTAAGGCTTCCGATGATGTAGCGGCCCCCACTCAACCACATATATACCAGGAAGGGAGGCCCTCCGTAAGGGTCAGCGAACGCCCCCCGCGGTCCTACATAAGACGTCACGCCTTCCCCCCTCTGGTATACTACTGAGAGCTTGCCCCATCTTGGTTCGAGCGTCACGCGAAAAGCGTGACGCGTCACGCGAAAAGCGTGGCGCTTTTGTTGCGTGTACCCTACAGACTTACTAGAGACAAGGCGTCACGCTCTTCGCGTGACGCTCAAGAAAGGGCCTGCAGATGAAGGCCCCGCCTTCAGATCATGAGCACCTTCGGACCCTCAGCTGAAGTCTTTCCGATCATGAGAGAGGACCCTCAAGGGAGAACCCTCACTCTGAGAGCAGAGGGCCCGCCGATGAAGTCCTTCCGATCATGAGGACCTTCAAGGGAGAGCCCTCAATCTGAATAGAGGGCACTCAGCTGAAGTCCTTCCGATCGTGAGGACCTTCAAGGGAGAGCCCTCAATCTGAATAGAGGGCACTCAGCTGAAGTCCTTCCGATCATGAGGACCTTCATTCAAGGGAGAGCCCTCAATCTGAATAGAGAGCACCCATCCCAGCTGCAGTCTTTCCGATCATGAGGACCCTCAAGGGAGAACCCTCACTCTGAAAGGGTCCTCAAATGAAGCACTTCCGATCATGAGAGAGGACCTCAAGGGAGAACCAACCCTCACTCTGAATAGAAGACACTCAGATGACCCCCAAGGGAGAGCCCACCCTCAATCGAATCTGAGAGGGCCCCCCGATGAAGCTCTTCCGATCATGAGCGAGGACCTTCAACGGAGAACCCTCACTCTGAGAGGGCCCTCAGATGAAGCTCTTCCGAGCATGAGAGAGGACCTTCAAGAGAGCGCCCTCGCTCCCTCTGAGAGGGCTCGCCGATGAAGCTCTTCCGATCGTGAGGACCTTCAAGGGAGAGCCCTCAGCTGAAGTCTTTCCGATCATGAGGACCCTCAAGGGAGAGCCCTCACCCTGAGAGGGCTCGCAGATGAAGTCCTTCCGATCATGAGGACCTTCAAGGGAGAGCCCTCAGTCTGAAACTGAATAGAGGACACGCAGCTGAAGCCTTTCCGATCATGAAGACCCTCAAGGGAGAGCCCTCGCTCTGCTCTGAGAGGGCTCGCAGATGAGGCCCTTCCGATCGTGAGGACCTTCAAAGGAGAGCCCTAAATCTGAATAGAGGACACTCAGCCGAAGTCTTTCCGATCATGAGGACCCTCAAGGGAGAACCTCGGCCAGCGTCACGCTTACACACTGGCAAAGGGGCGCCTGGTCTGCATTGGATTCCCATGCGTCACACTAAAGCACGCACGTGGGAAAGACATCCGACCCCGATGAGATCCCCACGCGTCACGCTAGAGCGCACATCGTCAAAAAGCACCCAATCCCCCCGAGATTCCTATGCGTCACGCTAGAGCACGCATGGCGAAGAAACACCCAATCCCCCCGCGGTTCATATGCGTCACGCTAGAGGCGTGACGCGTGACGATCCGCGGGGGGCGTTCGCTGACTCTTACCCGCCTCCCCCCTGTGGATGGAGCGGCGGCGGCGTCCGCGCGCCCTGTTTTCCGCGGTGGTGACATGGAAGGACTCCCGGGGGCGATGGCCTCAAAAGGAGGGGCCGGATTCCCCTGGCGGCTCTCCGCGTGTACCTCACAGGCGTCCCGGCTCTTGGACCCTATCAGGGGGACGGCCTCCGGGGGGAGAAGGCGGCCACGGTCGCGAGGCCTGGCCCCTTTGGCCCTCATAGCGCGCGGGAGGCCTTTGGGGTGCATGTAACACGGCAAGGGGGTCAAGCCTTGCCCCCTGCTGCCCTCGGAGGCCTTCCACCTCCCAAGAAGCTCCCCCAGTAAGGAGCTTGCACACGGGAGGGCTGTAGGGTACAAGCAACACGGCAAGAGGGTCAAGCCTTGCCGCCTTCGGAAGCTTTCTACCCCCGGCCGTCAGTGCTTGCACGGCCTCAGGGGTTAGGGTCCTGTAGGGTACATGCAAGAAGCCGCGAGGGCGCGAAGTTGCGCGCTTGGAGGCCTTGCCACCCGGCACTCCCTCGCGAAAAAGGAACCGGGGCTGGCGGCCCCCTCCCCAAAAATTTAGATCGCTCGGGGGGCCTTCAGCGTTGAGCCTTGGAACATGTATGAATATTATCAAAGTGAATTCTTGCGGCTGTGTGGTGTCACTGACAACTACTCTAGGAGAAGACAAATAATAGGTGACATAATAAAAGGACCGCGCTTGGCTGTCCAGGTCTGCCCTAGCCCTACTCGAGGTCTCCGCGTCTTGTAGCATTTGCACAAATTTCAATTTGGTTTTTTTTTGCAAAAAGTAAGTAAAACTAGAAGGCTCTTTGAGTCCAGGGATTCAGCTGTTAAGGATCATGCCAGAGCTTTGCTAGTAGCGCTAATTATGGTACCAGAAGGCCCGTACGATGTCAATGCCATTGGTCCTGCGTGCAATTTTTTTGACGGTTTTTTGCAGCAGAACTCTTCGCCGAGAGTCATTGCCGGCGAGAAGGAGTCGTTCCTCTGTGATACTAACATCTTATGAGCAGTAGTTACCACCTGGTGACGGTCACTGTCTGATGGTTTTACTTGTTGATTCATTATTTATTAATAAATATAGTCAGTCACTTTGATCAAAGGGACGATCATCAACTTTAATTTACTCAAATCAATCTTGTTCTCGTTGACGTTGACGTGGTTGAGCCATTAAATACAAGAAACACAAATTATAACACGTCGACTACTCAAATTTGTTCTAATCAGAAGTGACGCCGAGATTAGTGACGGGATGCCGATTTATTGGAGATACAAGTCAGTGACGCAGTTTCACCAAGCATTTTGCGCCCTGGCAGAATCGACCTCGCGCCACCTCTATGCTATCTTTGAGCTCTCTTTCCTGGGAAAGATAGCTCCTGATCTGGCGAAAATCACAGCAAGGGGCTCTCCATCGTGAGCAGAAGGTGACTTGATGTCCATCGTAGATAACACCGTGGGCACATGCCGTCATGACTACATCACAAGAAGGTCGCGAAGAAGTAGAAGAACAGGTAATATTAACGGACAAATAGGAAATCTCTTAATTACCTTCTATATTTTTTATTGATGATCGGGAGCGCACGTGAAAGTTGCTCTTCCCGGGAAGCACAGTCGTTGTCCTATCGAATACATTCTTGGGTCCTTGGCTCATTTCTCTCATTCAACATGATCAATGTTTTCCCCACAACTGCAGTGGACTTGTTGTCCCTACGCGATAAAAAGCACGTAGCTAGCTGATCTTTCCGAAAATCCTACTACCACACATGAACAAGGGCAACGAGATGAGAAACCTTTTAGAATGTTCCTCCCCAAAGCCAAACCTTTTTCGGTTAGGTTGCAGGAGTAGAAGAAGCGCCCGGAAGTGCTCGTTTGAGACGAAAACAAGCCCGACCAAATAGTTTGCGTTCATCATCAATTTTCAGTTTAAGGTATTTGGAAGTAATTAATTCGTAACCATGGCAGTGGAAGCAGAACTTCATTCAGCCAAAAATAACTGCTGCTTACAAACTAGATCATTATAACTTATTTCCACTCCGGTAATAATTTTTTCTGTCTGAGCTATGATGTCTGTAGGATTCAGCAAAGCATTTATATTCCCGCCATGATGAGATAAAGTTAGAGAGCAAAATTCATGCTATGAGTGATGCCAAAGCACACCCAAAGACCTCTGCTGAGACAAGGAAAATCTGAAACGTGCTTTTTTCGAGAAGATGAGATAAGTAGAAGTCGTTGTCGTGTTCAACTGTCTGAGGAATGTTGAGAGAGCATCTATTTTCAAAAGTCTGGAGAGAAGACTGGATCTGAAGTCAAAGTTGAGGACGAGGGTGACTGCCCCGAGAAAGATATGAGAAAAAGGACGAGATGGAGATGGCTATCGGTAGATGATGGCTAGAAGATAGAAGCTGCGGACGGCATATTTTCCCATCACGACGGCATATTTTCCCATCACAAGAAAATACATTCTTTGATGAAGAGGAACTTCAACTACAGAGCGTGGTCAGCATTCATTTGGTTGTATAACTTCCCGTTCCCGCCCTATGGCTGAAAAGCGAGAATAACCACTGACCCTGTTAACATGTCTTCTTTTCTTCTACCGCGTTGTATTATTACTGCTTCATGATCATAACTACATTCGATCATGTTCTACAACTACAAGAACATCCACTTAAGTACCTGCTGTTGATGTTAATCCACGTTCAGCCAAAGCTTAGCATTATAGCTTATCTGTAATTGGCCATCATCAAGCTCATGATCAACATGATGACGGCCGCCGTGGACAATTCTTGGCGTTTACAATCGGATTCCGTTCCGTGTGTGCAGTGCAATATTAAGGCAAGGGATTTATTCACGTAGGTGCCTTATAGTATACTATAACACGAATGACCTTATTATAGTTTGTTATTAAGCTACACTTATAGGCGGGCAGGGACGATGGCATTGGCAATCGAGGATTAATACAGCTTTGGAATTTTTACAGGCATAATAATGTGTCGTAAGTCGTTCTAATACTCACGTGGCCCCAGCAATTGTGGTGGAGAAGGGTGGAGGAGAAGAAGAAGGAGCTCCAGAAGTGGACCGAGGAGGAGAAGAAGCAGGAGCTCCAGAAGAAGAAGGGCTTCCTCCGGAAGTATTATTTTTGCAATTTCTCAACAGAGGGTACAAATACGACGATGGGTCTCGGTTTGTGCAACTCAATGTTAAGGCGGGGGGGCATGATGATAGATTACTCGGGGTTAGTTACAACTCAAATAACTCATACTCAAATTGTTCCATGATCACCATCTCAAAGGCTTACAACAATCACAACTACTTTAGATAGAAGGAGAATCTTACTTAGGTTGTACCTTGCAGCATACTAGTACTACTACGTACTGGAAGTAAGTAGATTCAATTCATGATCTTTACGATGTTCAAAACTGTACTATCCTGTATAGCCGATGATTTGGTTCTATTTCTAAGACTAGCTGTCAGAAGCACTGTGACCGGCGTCAAGTGCGGGTGCCTCATTTGGGAGAATGGGGGAGAAGGCATTTGATCGGGAAGCATTTGACCCGACGCTTCGGTGCAAAACGATGGCGTAGTATTCGAAGTTCTTGGAGGAGTCCGACGATCTTTTTCAAAGACGGTGATGGACGTGGTGCGGGAGGGGAGGTTGACGAAGAACAACAAGATGGAGTGGACGGTAATGTTGTAGCATTTGAAAAAGAACAAAAAATTAATAGACAGGAGGGGAAGAAACGTACTAAAGATCATCATGAGGAGAAACGGCATCCGAAGACCGAGCATGTTGATGACTCCGATCTAAGCAGGTGGCGTAGTCTCGCTCTCGTCAATGATCAAGGCAACAAGAATAACTATCCTTTCAACAGTACTAGTCGTGTAATTCTTCATCCACCTGGAGGTTCAACTTTGATCATGAACACCAAGAGAAAAATTGGCTACAACAAGAATGGTTCCTTCTCGACAATGACACCGGCAAGTAGTCGCGAACACAGCAGTCGCGAAAGCATTTGCTCAACCAGTGAAACGACTCCCGTGAAAGTGAAGTCACGACACCCATCTGCAGACAAGCATGCTGAAGATGCCCAGTCTTCGCTGCTGGCGGAAAAATTCTACGGTTTGTATGCGAAGTATTGGTATGCTCGAAACGGGGAGCTGCATTCTAGGGAAGACTTCGTGCAGAAATTTTGCGAGAACGGAATTCTTGGGACGTTGAGTGCTCCGGACACAAACATGATGAACAAAAAGAATTATAGCCAACAAGCGCGTGATGGATGTGGAAGCAAGGTAGACGGCGAGCAGGGATCTTTCTGTTCTTTCGTCGGTAGAGTCTTTCTGGAGATACGACAAGACGCGGACGTGGCACTAGAAGAGGGAAGGGGACATCAAGGAGGATCAGTAGATGAAGAAAGGAAACATCACAGTCATCAATCTGGACACCAACAAGGAGGAGATGACAGCAATCAAAGGGATCTTCCTCACGACCACAGGCAAGAACAAAGTGGAGGACAGCTTCTGAGTGTAGTTGTCTGTGATTTCTTAGGTGCACGCGACGTGCATGTAGCCTATTTCTGGTACGACCCTGCCCTGTTTGCACCCTCAGGCAAATACAAGACTGGAGGGGCTCTGGATACGACGATGTCGTCACAAAAAAAAATAGGAGTCGAAGCAAATACTAACTTTCCTATTCCCATCGTTGCTGAAAGTCTTGGCAGTGGTGTCAACGGTATGGGAATGCCTTCGTTTCCACGGCAAATCAGTAGCGCTTCCAGTTGTGAGGATAGAGGGCCGCCTGATGTCGAAGATCCTGCTGCAGCTCCTGAAGGCCAAGACGCTACTACTGAAAGGACATCTCCAACAAGTAGAAGCCGTGTGCAAGATAAAATAGGAGTGAGCGCGTCTGCAGGTGGAACTGATGGAATAGCTGCACACTCAGAAATTAGTGCAGCACCTTCCAGCACGTCAACAAATTCAGCCACCACCTCCATCAACTCTTCCTCCTTAGACGTTCGGTCTATAACTGATATTGTCTACTACAAGACGTTTGAAGCTTGTCTTGGGCTCGGAATTGATACCGTCTACATGGGACCCGTTGACACAATGAATGCCCGATTCAGTCACTCCTATAAGTTTACACGTCTACAGCACACTGGGGAAATTTTGTGTCCTATCAAAGGTAGTACCGGAGGAGATGCTTCTACTCCTGGTGATGTTTCTGCATCACAACCTAGAAAGAGTCCAGAGTATATTGATACCAAACAGAGTAACGACATAGCAGATACTAAGGACGTGGAAGGTCGAGGCCTACATAGTAAGAAAGGTGGGTCTACAACTACCGCGGCTTCGAGTAGAAATGAACCTATCTCGTTTCTTGAACATGCACAGCAAAAATGGAAGTGGCTTCCTATAACAACATGTACAGAAAAAGACCCCGAAACAGGTCGAGTTATTTGGAAATGCTAACGTTATCTCTCTCTTTTGTGCATAGATAGTACACTTCACAACACATTCACACGAAAAAAGTGACCTCCTAACGAGCCTAATGTAAGAATCTGGCCATCTCTGGTAGGTAAGAACACTAAGTAAGCCAAGGCCTCAAGATTGCCCGACAATGGTGTCGCGCGCTCTTATTGTCTCACGCCTCTATAGCGTCTTACTCTTTACCTGGTTGGTTCTGGTTCTCCTTAAGGCGAACAGAGATGCCTGACTTTGTCATACGCCTAATCGTGACCCTCCTAAAAAGAAAAACTGTTGAGCTTCAGCATCATGATACCTTACTCCAAAACAAGTCGTAGCGCATCACTACTGTTGGGGAGGAGGAGGATATCTCAGGCATACCGAGACGTCTTTCCGAATGTGAAATGGGCTCGTCGAGTGTTCTTCGCTCACGACAGAGACAGAACTCTTAGCACAGAAAGAGCAGAAGGTCTACAACTAAGTTTATGTCGCGCAGGCAAGTACCACTACATTCTCCACCTTGAGTTTACAAGGACGGAGGGTCTGGAAACTACAGATTCGATTTGACGCTTTGTGAATCACACACTTGCGAGTCGAGCTCGAACATGCTTATTCTTTGTGCTTCCCTCGGGTCGCTCAAGCCTAGAGTTCGCTCAAGCTCAAGCCCTGCGACACTCTTCAGTTTCAAGCGCCACAGACTTGCTGCTCACAATCAGCCTGAGTGTCTGCCGTTCCTCCCAATGCGATTGCAGCTCTTGCCTATTCTTGTCCCGACGTACCAATGTCAACTCATGGCTGGCTCAACGCAATTAGTACCTGCTAAATTTTCCATGGTCATACTCTTTCTCCTTGCAGTTTTCGTCCTTCAAACATATGATGTTGATCTTCTAGTAGAGATTCATAATTGCAGTTTTCGTCCTTCATTTATGTACTAAATCTATCATCGCATGTTGATTTTCTAGACATTCATAAAATGAAACACACAACTACACAACCATTACGCCAACGATTAGAAGATACATACCAAAATGACAGAACGGTATCCTGATCTGCTTGAGGAAAATCAGTAGATGACAAGAGTCACAGTGGTCTAAAACTAACACTCGCCATCTACGTATCAATTTTCGAGGATGATTATTTGTGGGTCTAGCTACTCGAACTCGAACTCCAATGACGTTGATACATCACATAAGCCAAAATACTGATCAGTTTTTTCGAGAATGCAAGTACAGAACAACGTTATGTCTATGGAAATAAGATTCATTTGGTGTCGTGAAGATCGCGATGGTCTCGTGGTGCACCTCCACCTGAGATGAGGTACTACAGACACCACCACACAGCACCACCACCATTATTGAAAAAGACACAACGCACACACGAGACTCCTGTGTGTACTGAAAGAATTCAGAGTTGAATTCTATGCGGATGTCAATCAAACGGGAGAGTGGTTCTTCTCAAGAATGTCAATAGATTAAAATTCTGATCGCATCAATACGCTACGTAGACTTGGACTAACTTACTTTGTTTTTATTGATTTCGTTAGATTTTTTGTTTGAACCGATTGCTTTTTGAATAAAAGACGAAATTTGAACTTTAGCGATTTCTACTGCTGCAACGACCACTTCTATTGACCACACCAAGATCTTGCGGACCACGACCACACCAAGATCTTGCGTACGCATCATGACCTCCACGACTATTGTAAATTGTCGACGAAGTGCATCGCGCGATGTAGAGCCGCTTTCGAAAGAGCGTGATGTAAGCCCAACATAAACGGAGTGTGTGCATGCGTCGCGTCGTACACCTCCAACCGATACTGTGACGCACCAGAGGGATTGGCTCTGAAGGAGGTTGGTTCGAAACAAACTGAAAAATGAAAGGCTGAACTGTAGGCGTCATGCAAGTGGACGTGAAGAAGAACTGCTTCTTCTGTGTGAAAAAGAAGCTAGACGCGACTCTCGTCGTAATATCTGATCCTGTACTCGAAACCAAGTAAAATTATAAAAAATGAAATATTCGAACGATACAATCTCATTTTCCGCCAGAAGTCGACACCGTCATCGAGGAGGAGTTCCTTGCCACCCAGTTGAAAGAGCCAAGGCAAGCGCGAAAGTCTCTGGGCTATCAACTCGGCCTTCGTGATTGGATCTTCTTCGACATCAACATCCTCCGGATCCAATGTGCCCGCTTCCTCAGGCGCCACTGCTGCCGCTCGTAGCAAAGCCGCACGGCGGGTACGGAGCACGCGACGAGTAATGGGAGAATCAGGACGAGATGATCGGGGACACGTTAGAAGAGGACAGATGGGGAGTACTAGTACTTACAACTTCTATGTAGTTGAGTGATGTCTCTTACTCTTTATTCGTTTGGTAAGCGTAAGACAATCATGGAATTTATGATGCTTCATAACGTCGGTCCCGATGTCGGCGATAGAGATAGCGTAGTTGATGGCTGAGACGGAGAGATCAAAGACGAGGGCGTCGATAAAGACGAGGGTTGCGATGTAATCTGACCCTCTGCATAACCAGTTGGAGTAGAGTCAACTATCGTTCCCCCTTGCGCCGCTCTCGCAGCTTCCACCAACATGCTTGGCGCAAAAACGTCAAGGCTTCTGTTAGAGCTTGATGTGTATGTGAGTCTGCCCTTGGATTCCGTCATTTGAGAAACGATTCAACATCAAAAATACAAGCTTCTTGTTCGCTCACATCATTATCCTTCTTGTTTCTTCACATTCTTCGTCCTGAACCTGATCTTTCTAACTCTACTACATCTAATGCTGACACGACAACATCAACAGGGATAAAAATGCTCCTTAACTTTTGCCGCATTCGTTCGGAAATTCGGATGCTGTTCATCCGAAAAAAGGACTGAGTCTTCCCCAACCTGCTCGATATTGAGCCACGGGGATATCAGAACCACGCCAGCAGGAAGTCCACGTCGCTCTGGTGAAAGGGGCGTGTGTTGTTTAGAGCTAGAGGATGAGGAAGTCTCTGAGATCAAGATCATGTCTGTGCTGCATTCCTGAATCTAACTCGGCTAACTTAAGTAGGCCGATTGGGGCTCCCCTGGCGATTTTTTGTTCATGCCCATCTCTCATGTTTACTTTCTCGCCTTACCTTGTGCAGTATTGGAATTGGTGGATGGGGTCGTCGCGTTGAAGATGCTCGCTTCCTGCTGCGCTCCGCCTTTCTTTAGAGGTAACGCTGTTCACCTCCCAGAAGAGCATTGATTTTATTGACCGCGAAAGGCCACCCTAATGATTTACGAGACTCTCACTCTAATATCTTCTTGCTGTTTCTAATATTAAACTAAAACACTATCTGCATGCCATTGCCACCCGTTCAACAACTTGTAAGTATCTTCTTCATAGCTCCAAGTTGTTCAACGCTGCGCCGTGGTCAGGAGCGACAAGATCATTTGGTCCTTCAAAAATCGGAGGTGGCAATATATTTGAGGTGTCAATGAATTCTCGAAAAGAGCCACTTGTTCTTCGTGCTGAAGCTGCTTGAGGATGAGGCGTGTCTGGTCTTGGAACAACTTCTGTTGTCGATGAAGACGAAGAACCAGCTGTAGTCTCATTACCGTCTCCTCCTTCTCCCTGATGTGCACCTCCAACTCCGTTTCCACCTGGCAAGAGCATGGGTCCTTCATCTCCACTTCCAATCCCATCCACCATCATGTCTTCGCTGTTCACTCTGAGATGAAATCTTGGTTCTGAGTTGTCTTCTTCTCCGTCAATAGACCTCTGATCAGCCATTTTCCCGAGCATCCACACCAACAATGCACCGCCCGCACTGTCAGCCCACAAGAATATGAAAGTGGTCTTCTAAGGAAGATGAAGATAGTAGAAGTCTTCTAAGTAGTATAAGGAAGATGATAGTACTTCTAGAAGTTTTTACTTGATGACCACATCTTTAATATCCCCCAAAAATACCATGATATCACAATCCATTTACTTCTTTCATAAGCACAATCCGATGCGGCGGAATCTGGAGTGAGGTGAGCAGGTACGATTGCCACGCACCCTCGTACACATCGGCTGCGGAGTCGTGTAAACCTACGTTGCCAAAAGGGGGTTTGCGGTAGTCTACTGCAAATATCACAGAGCCTGTCTCACGTGCCCAATTATAGGTCCAAAAGCGCACACTGGCGGCTGAGGCACCTACGAAAGCGCCGCCGTGGACGGAGAGTTAGAGTGAAGATAGAAGTGCAGAGTTAGAGGGAAGATCTAGATCATGTTCATCATGAAAGAAAATCATGGTCTTTGCGTGACTTTCTGCTTTTACACCTTCTTTTTAAGTACGTTGCATTAGAAGACCACTGTACATACGGATACGCCAAGGCCAAGTGAGTCAAATCTTCGGCCATACTAAAGAATCACTTTCTTGGTCGGATTTCGTTGCAAGTACTGTTGTAGGGCCACGCGATAAGCCTTGTGCCTCTCTTGCTCAGCACGAATTTCTCGGAGGGTTCCTTGACTGGGACTCCTGGTAGACGATGACATCTCCTCTCGCCCACTACGACCTCGTGGACCCTGGTCATCATCTGGCGTTTTGTTAGAAGGTGTACTTGTAATATCAAGATCATACACACTGACACTAACTAGTAGCCCCGACCCCCAAACCCTTTTTATTACATTGATTCTGCATTTATTACAGCAGTTTTGGATTTTCAACATAAACAAAAGGATCATCCACATTATGCCTTAAGTGAATTTCTCATCGTGTCATCGCTAGCGTCACTGAATCCTCTGGTCCTTGTTCTGCTACTTGATGCTTCCCGACCACTAGAAGAAGTTCCTCGGGGGCCTTGTCGTTGTCCACCTCCCTGTTCGAACAAGGTTACATTAGAGCTGCGCATTCGACTAATTCATCCTGCTACTTACCTCCATGCACATCACTGGAGCAACCCTTATCCCCTGGAAAAGCCTCGTCTCCGTCTCGAGGAAGAAGCCTGTGCGTGTGAAGATGGATAATATCCCTTAGACGGAAGGCCTTAATTACAGTGCCTTTAGGCCAAATCCATTCGCCGCGACCCTCTGTTGGCGGGTCAAGCCTCGCTGGTGGCGAGGTGCTTCGGTGGGACTCAGCACTCGCTGTAGAAACCGCGTTGGCTCGGTGTGAGTTAGAGGGGGAGGGGATTCGTGGACTTTGCTGAGAAGGCTCAAGAGTATTCTACAATAATGTGGGCATGCTGTAATGTTTCATCTTCGGCTTCATGCTCCTGAAAAACTTTCAAATATTGGAAACTTGAAAGCCGCTTGTTGCCACTGAAAAAACTATAATTCCTCAAGCACTAGTACTGCTCTTAACAGATGAACCCGTCCCGCGTACACCGCGCAATAAGCTAGATGAAGAGGACGCTGGTGGCGCCTGGTCTACATCTAAGCGAAGCTTAGGGTAGCGAAAAAGATAGGTTACTTCGTATTTCTCGACACGGTCGGTCGGCAAAATCTGAGAGGGTGGCGCCATTTCTGAGGCGCGCTGGAAAGCCCAAGTCAGGGTGGGAGAGCGAAGACCTGGAGCCAGAGAGCAAAACGCTTTAAAACCAACACACCACGCGAATTCACGCCAATAGCTAGGCAGACCTTCTTGTTGCAGGGCACAAGAAGAGGCAATAGCGTTAGCTTGAGCTTGCTGCTCATCAACGACTGGACTAGAACCAGTTCCACCTCCCGCGCCGAGGTATCCAGGACCAGGAGGTGCATCCTGCGTTTGTCTTACTTGAAGACCTTGATGTTGGCCCCTGTGATCACCTTGTCGTTGTTGATATTCTTGATGCTGTCCTTGCCTTGATCTTGATGTACCTCCTTCTTGAGTAATTCTTGTACTAGTTGTGCTACTCCTCGCTGCCCTACTTGATACAGCTCCTAGTCCTAGACGAGGTGAAGGAAGACGGCCAATTGTCATTCGTGCAAAACGTTGCAACAGACCACCACCAAGCTGCTGAGTTTCTGCTCCTGATTCTGTCTGCTCCTGATCTCCACCACCTGCCTCCCCAGTTCCAGCGACACGGGCATTGCGAGCATGAATGAATAGTGGCTGATCTTCGTCTTCTCGTTCCCCCAGGTCCGCGTCGATTGTAGTTGTAGTTTCTCTTGGTGGTTCGTGATTAGGTTCATCGTCTATGTTAGCTGGGGGTCCGGTAAATGCCGGAGGCGTAGATACAGTTACTGTTACACTATTGGCTGGAGGTAAAAATACCTCATTTCCTCCTACAGTCGCTGTCGCTGCATCAGCATCGATTGAAGGCTCATCACCTTGACTTTGACGATGACCAGCACGACGTGTCCCCTCTGCTTCCCTACCACGACTCGTTCCCCTAGCATCTTCGATACTTCTACTTGATGAAGATCGTCCAGGAGCGCCAGCAGCAGGTGCATCAAGTACTAGAGCAGCTCCTTGTGTTGAAGGAACCGCATGAGTAGAAGTTGTTCGTGTTCCATCGTTGTTATTGATAGCCAAAAGATTCTGACAGAGTTGTACTTGAGCACGTGTGAAAGCTTCATGGAGGAAGAAATGCTCCCATAGATGGTTCGCGCTGCCTACCACAGCATTGCCGTAGAGCCTGGGCAAGACCCTCTGTAGTGTGTGATGTCCGCATTGCAGTCCTAAAGCAGCCGTGCGAGCTACAAAGGCCAGACTCCTGCCGGAGAGCGAGTTGGGGGATGGGAGAGCAAGTTGAAGGGCAGATGTGGCAAGAAAGGGTGTTAGAAAAGCTAGAAAGTTATGCATTAAATCTAGAGAACGAAAAGTCCCCATAATTGTAGATCATGGACTTTTGTTGTTGGAGTCCTGCTCCTGTTGTAGATGAAGAAGTCTTTGGTGCTGTTACTCAAACACTGCTCCACCGATGCCGATCATCCTTAACTGTGATATCATCGCATCATCTGGCGGACTGCGTTGTCTGGCAAAGGTCGAAATATCCCCTGGAATCTGATTTTGCACCGTAGATGATCCGACGGAATGTCTGGAAGAAGGCAAAACTGCTAGAGGCAGTAGAGTATTCAACATGGTCGAATTTGGAGGAGGGCGGAGCCAAGCATCTTGGTGAAGAGCTTCGTAGTCAGTAGTACTGGCGCCAAGTTGCGTTTCGGGTATGCTGCTTTGAAGATGCTGTTGCTCAGGGACTAAGCCATCGCGGCCACCTTGCCTAGCCGCGTTTCCTTCGTCTTGGTCCACTTCCATCCCACCATGCCCTACAGGATTCATGTCCTCAATCTCATCCCCTTCCACCGAGTTGATAGTTGTTGCGCTTCGCGTCTGACCACCCGCGTCAAGAAGGCCAGGCGGGCTCAAGTCATCAGGTTCTTGTGAATCTGTCATTTCCGCACTAGCTGTTGTAGCCCCTTGTCCTAAAGGTCCTCCTAGTCTTTCTGCTTCAGATATACTTCCTTGATGACGTAGACCTTGTCCTTGTGCGGTATCTCCAGAAGAAAATGAAGTAGAAAGTCCAGCCCCTATGCATGATGCTTTGCGACTGCATGCTTTGGCAACCTCAGATTGAATCAGCATTTTCACGTCGGCTTTTGCATCTGGAGAGTACAAAATGGCTGTGTCGATGGTCTGAAGGGTAGTTGTTGTCACAGCCGAGGAGGTTGGCGCTGAGCCTGCGTCGCCATTCATTGTGAAGGATTAGAGAAGTAAAAAAACCTAGAAGTAGATTATTGCTACTGAAGGTCAACCAAAATTGAAATTCATTGAAAATGAAGCAATGAGGTCTTTGAAATAGAACTTGTAGCTAAGCGAGTCGTCGTTGTAGTTTTCAAGTGAACATACAAGCCTTAACTTGGTGCCTTGATCACAGGTCCCAAACTGACGAAAATCGGCAAGGGTGCCCAGAAGTCTTCGGGATGTCTCTGGCGCATTGCAAGCGTGTGTCGATCACGGATTCTTTGATGACCTCCAAAATCTTGCTGCTCTGTAAGACCTGGAGTTTTTCCACTGGGTACGGAGTCTGTAGAAGTTTGTCTTTAGATAGAGGGAGCGTGCTGGAAAAAAGTTTTTAGTATAATTTGTAATTTGTACAGCTAGAAGAAGTGGTCCTAGTGTCAGTTGTCTGTCTTCTTGTCAAAAAAATTTCTAGAACCAACCATGCGCGTGTGAGGACGAAAGTCAGGCCTTAATCATGTTTACCGTAAAAATCTTCCCCAAGTGCTGCATAGTAGTTTGGATCCAGCTGTTCATCTGTCACCGGCAAAGACTTCGGCACAAAGTGTTGTGTATTCAATCCATCACGCAGCTTCTTAAAGAGCGCGAAGCGGCCAGCGGGTGTGCGGCGGTCCATCACGTCTGCTGCGTAAGCGAGCCAATCTCGTTCTCGAGGCAAAAGATCACAACGAGCCATACTAGTAGGATCATTCTCGCTGTTCAATTCATTTTGATGCTCTGCTTCACCTTGATGCCCTTGTTCATGCTCTTCGTGCTCTTCGTCTAGTAGAGCGCGTTGTTGTCCACCTCGCTGAAGAAACTGAGACGAGTCTGCTTCACCGCCATGCTCGCCGGGAACTAGAGAAGTCCCAGCATGGCCAGACGAGGAAGCTTGCGATGATTGATGGGCGACGCGCGGCGACCTGAGCGGACAGTCACCAGGATACATATGTAGGAAGGTAATATTACGAAAGAGGAATTTTTCATGTTTGTATTTGTTCTATGATCGGTCGATGGATCGATTCTCGTGGTCCGAAAGAAATTCAAATTTTTGGAATCGGAAGTGTCTATTTCTAAAATTTGTGACCAATTCATGCACAATCTACTTAATCGAAAACTGAAAATAACCGAGTTAGTACTGACTGAAATAAGGCGGACGGTAGCTTTTAACGGCTGTACTCTTTGTTCTTCAGTTCAGTATCTCGTCAGTTATTCTGCTCGGCTGTCACTTGCATATTTCAGTTTTGTGCATACTTATTCTACTACCTCGTCGCCGCCGAGGAGGGCACGTGCGATTTCGTTCGCAGACTGTCGCAGCTGTTGAACAAGCTGTCAGAACTGGACTCGAGACCAGCTTCCTGTTTATGTCCTTCGAGTGCTGCTCCCAATAACTGTAGACCCAGACTACCAGCAGCAGAAGCCGTAGTGCTTGCGGAGACTTTCGTGCCTTCAGAAACCGAACGTGAGATCGGTGGTCGAGGGGAAAATGTGGTTTGAAGGAGCGGCGAGGACTTTGGCTTAGAGAGGATGAAGAGCAGAAGGGATGAAGAGCAGAAGGCGCACTAGATCATCTACAGAAACTTTTTCCTTATTCAGGAAAAGAGCTCTGAGTTCTCTCAAGATGCAAAATATTTTTTGTTTTTTGTTAGAAAGAACGTTTCTGGAATTCTAAGGCTCTCGAGATTATTTAGTACCTCTATTTGGTTACAATTACAAAACGGAGGAGCTGCGTCCCTTCTACTTCGTCTTGTCCAATATGTATCGATTGTCAGAAGATTTTCAAGGAGGTATTCTCTGCAAGCAACAAAAAACGTAAGAAGACTTGGTGTGATCTGCACTTGCTCTCGACTCTGCCAGAGACTTGTGCCACTTGTCACCTCAGCATTGGAGGACGCCAGGTTGTAGTACATGATAGGTCTGGGAGGTTCTTGTGGATCCACCACACTTTGTGTTGAGGAAAGCAGAGATGCTGGACCGCTTCTGATTCGAGGAATGTGCGAGGTCGTTGATGATTCTTGTTCTTGTTGGGGGAGAACCCAAAAAAGTTGTAGTTGTTGACCTTGTTCGTACGTCAAAAAAAAAAAAATTATTTATATATAATTATTGAGAACTACGTTTTCAAAAAAGTTAAACGTGGGTCGTTTGTAGTTGTTGATTATCAAAGTGCGATAAAAATACTGTATGTGGGCAGAAGAATGATCTAGAATAAGAATGATTGAGAAAGTAGTAGATCCAAGCGCCTTAACGTCTGTATCTCTGCTTGACGCGGATCTTGAGGTGGTTGGGCCAACACCGAGTCAGATGCTGACCGTGGACTGCCTCCATAGTACCCATCAGGAGAAGCAGAAGGCAACATTTCGATTTCAGGCGCAGTTGTGTAAGCAGTAAGATAGGACGACATAAGAGAGGCTGCTTCACCTGCTTCATTTAGTACCTCGTCTAGGGAAGCCTGTTGTGTCGCATCCGGTTCTGTAACTTGCGAATTGAACATATGTTGAGAAGTACCATTATGTTGTTGATGTTCTGACGAAGACGAACCAGCACCACGATGATCTTCTTGAGCTGTGCGTCCATTTTGCTTTTGACACTGTGTATCGAATTCAGGAGATTCTCCAGGTCCTCCACCAGTGTCTTGCCCACCTTGCCTCCTCGTCTGCCCACCTCCATCCACTTCCTGCATTCGTTCATCTTCCACGCCCTGTGTTGACTCATTGGAACTTCCACCATGAACTACACGTCCTCCTGGAACCTTGTCTCTAGGGTCACCTTCTTCCGGATCCGTTTCCCAGAATAGGATATTTCTCAGGGGGGGAAAGGGAAAGCTGCTTCGAGCTTCGCATGATAATGGTAGAAGACTCGTTAAGGAAGAGTAGAAGAACGAGACGCTGCCAAGAATGGTGTAAGAGACAACTATAGAGCTAGCTGCACCAGGCAAGGTGGTGTTAGAGCTCACCCTAATCCATCTCGAAGTCCATCCTGCGACCGTTTTCCCCTTGAAAACGGGTCTAAGATGCTTCCGAAGATGCATTAGGGGGAGCCTTAATGGTAGGAGTTGTACGGCGTTGCCGTTTCGTCCTCAGAACGTTCTTGTTCCGTTGTTGTCGGGAAGACAACATGTTGCTTGTTTTTAATGTAGTAATGTCTTCACTACCTGGTAGTTTTCGTCGTTTTTTGACTATCATTCTGTCTAAGTTTTTTGACTATCACTCTATGTAAGTATGTCTAAGTAGTCGCTGCTTTTCGTAAAAATAAACGGCGGTAGTTCTGACTGATACAACTGGCAAGTGCTGAATACGATTATCTTATCTTTCTCTTCTTCGATAATGTTAATGTAAAAAAATGTACAACTTGTACATCAACTCTCAACAATACATATCGCATGGGGACTCCCCATTGGTTGTCGATAGGCAGATAGTAATAAAAAGCAGAAATTGTACGTATCGATAGTGTGGCTAAGCCCCAATGATGCTAATACAACTTCACTTTTGAGCTTTATCAGATCAAGGTACTTAGTTCTTCATGCTTGAATATAATTTAGAAGAAGCCGGATAGGTGGAGGACCTTAATGTAATTGCAATTATTGGTAAGTCCTTGATGTATACCGTGTTAGAGATCAATATAAATACTTACCTTAATAATAGAGACACGTGGTAAAAAGACAATAGTTCGAGATCACTCTAGTAGAACAACTACAAGTAGGTGCAGCACACACACTCTCAAAACGGCACCCTAACAGGATTGATAGTGCTTGTCGCAGTTGAAGATGAAATGGTTGACGTTGAAGATGATATCTTTCTTGGCATCCAAATGATGAGATCTTCGTTTTGATCGCAACAGAGTCATGGCATCATGGCTTTTTCCTGATGACTGAACCAACGTGCTTACTAAGCTGAACTCTCACTACTTACTTATTTACTCTTGTCTTCAAGGTCAGAATCAAAGCGCCCTCTTTTTAAGCTTAGCCACCGGCACCGATCCCATAAAGAACACGCTGGTATCGTGCATATCGTGTGCATCTCCGAAACCGCATGGGAATACTAGAGAGGTAATTCTATTCCCCTCATGCAATGAATGGGTACTAGAACGGATTCCTTGATTTAGAATAAAGAAATGGGGAAAAAAGCAGGAGTACTTATATGAACATTGTTCAAAGTGTGGTCTAGTAGAGATTTTGAGGGTTGAAGATAAAAACGAAGCAGAGCTATTTTTTTCACCGGTTTTTTCCTTCATCAAGCAATCTTTTTGTTTCTGCATCTTCTACTCTATTACCTGCATTTTCTTCTTCATCTCTGAAGATATTTTTAGCTGTCCTTTCATCACTATCATTTTCACCTTCTTCTTGAGGACTAAAAAAGATTGTTTGTCCTTTCTGCCAGACCATTTTATCTATAATGTAAAGCGACACACCAGCCACGGTCAACGGCAATCCGACGAGCTGTATAGCCGCGATCGGGTTTTTGAAGAGAAGCAGCGTGGATATTATCACCACCACGCGGTTCAGATTATACTGCACGGACATGAAGAATGCGCCTGCGTGGTGGACAAGTACGAACTCGCTCACGTACCAAAAGCTTGTCGCAACTCCTTTTAGCAGAAGAAGACCGGCACTTTGTTTTCAGATGATTTTGGATCGTATGGACGAGCAAGATGATGAATTTTGATTTTAAAGATCTACTTTCTTGGTTGTGTAATCACTTTCTTTGAAGTGAAGTAGTTTCTTGAATTCTAAGGCCAATGTGATTGTTGGTTGTGTAATCAACCTATACTATGGTTTGGGTCCTGTTCCAGTAGTACAACTGAAACTGCAGTCTTTTAAAGTACCCTTCATCCGTCCGCAAAACTTTCTTTTCTAGCTCTTTCCAGGGCCCTGAGCCTTCGATGACCAGGGACAGAAACAGCAGTCCTAGAATGTTTATCGGGGTCAAACGATAGTTAGAAGTGGTTGCCAGATTGCATTCTTCAGAATATCCCTGGCTCCTTTTCAACCCCTTGGAGGAAAGGGGCCAAGGATGGTAGTGAGGGATGTAATTCGGAAACCCTTAAGATAGGCCATGCCCCAACTCGTAGCTAACCCCTCTTGCATCGTCTGTGTTGGTGGAGATGATGACACCATCTTCATGGCTACACTTGCACTTCTAGACGTTGCACTAGATGATGAAGCTGCAAGCGCCGCTGCGTTATAATTATCTTCTCTTGTCATCAGCGTCTCTGCAAAGGCTCGTCGGGTAACGCCGAAAAAGACTGCGCCTAAAGCGAGTAGTATTCCAAGGACGTGGAAATTGACTTCGCCGTAAGCGCAAAGTACGCCACCAACCGTGATAGGAAGCGCACTCCAAATTGCGTTTTGGCTCAGAATGTTAGAGAGATGCCGATGGGGCGTGTAGACGAAAGGGATTTCCGCCACCATATTTTTCTGAGTACGAACACCTCACATGATTCATTAGGGAAGCGCCGCAAGCTCCGGGGTTGCAACGAAAAGAAAAATACTTACAACTATGAGAATTATATCCGTAACATCCCTTCCCTGCACGAAAACCGATACGAAAACTTGTGGTACAGTCTGCGTCATCTGTATCATCTCGACGAAACTTGGGAATAGAAACAAATGACTCGCGTAATGCGTTGCACCGGAAAAAACGTTTAGTAAGCCGAGTGGAAGAATTTCTGACCAGAAAGCGTACGTTTTCGTATTGCTTTTCGAGGGTATGCTGACATGAGAAGCAGTATCTGGATCTTCTTTGTCCTCATCTTTTGGAGCCTGCTTTCCATATTCTAGGAATGTCGATTCTTCCTCATCAACTGGGTCAGGACTATGATCTGCATCTGCACTTGCTTCTCCATCGGCTCTTCTACTCTTGTTTCCACTCCCTCCTGCACCAGCCACGACTAAATCCTGCCAGACTTCGGGATCAGGCATGAGCCGAAAGACATGCGTCAACAGCAGTATCAACACGAAGGCTACCGTTTGATCAAGAAAAGTCAGCCACAACGGGTGCTCAAACTTGTACTTGAGAAGGAACAGTTTGAGAAGGGTGATCTGAGCCGTGTATCCCAACAGATTTACCGCAGACTCGACTGCAATCTGGAGGCCGGAGGGTGGGGCGGAGGAGGACATGTTGATTGGCCGTCGGTGAAGCAACTGAGGAGCAATTTAAAGAGTACCTTCAGTATACTTCCATCAGCCAAGCAGGCTCCAAATCAGGCTCCAAAAGTAGGTGTGTAAGCTCCTGCACCAGTAGAACTACTAGGTTCCATTTTTCCTACTAAAATCATTGGGTGCAGCTCTCAAACAACAACTTCTTGCTCTACCAAGACGCACTTGAGGTCGTTCACGCCTCTGACACTAACTCTTGTTCGACCTTGTCTAATACTACCAGACTTTTGTCACCTATAATCTTTTCAGCTTTTTGTTTTTTCTTGTGCAATCCTCTGCCCTTCATCTACTTACAAGAAGAAGAAAGCGCCTTTTTACTCTTTTTGGGGTGCCAGAGCCAGATTTCTGCGTCCCACAATTTTTTTCTGATTCGACGAAGAGGGAAAGATTTTCTTATTCCATTTTTTCTCGAGAGCAGAAAGTTGAAATTGGTGCTTGAGGATAATATCGAGGAAAGCAACATAGAGATACAACAACTTTCACTACCAGAAATCAAAATCTTCTGCTGTCTCAGAAACCTCTCTCATTGACTCCCTTCTCTTTTCTTCCGCTCTAAAAATGATCGAAGATGACATGATGGAGGAAGATTAGAACAAAAATAGAGGACCGAAGCTGTACCATCATATGGGTGTGCGACACACTACTTTTTTCCACATCCGGGACACTTCTCACTCAGTTGTATTTTCGCATTTGCACTTTCTCGAACGAAGTTTACAGATACAGACGTTCGTCACGAAAGATCACTTTACAAGGACGACCGATCTGCGTGGTATCTATCCGACGTAGAACAATGATCATAGTGATAGCTGTAAAAGTCACCAGGAAAAGGAAACACTTGTTTTTCAGGGTAAAAAATGACTATGGTTATGAGTTTTTATGTGAAGAATTACTGAATGGAAAATACATGTAACAAGAACTGGACCAAAAGTGAAAGTTCTGCTTCTGTTCATAATCTTTCCGAATGGAAATAAGGAAAGCTATGATAGTTTAAAAAATCATTGTTACAAGTGCGAAAAGGGTTTGCTCTCACTCCAACGCGTCAAAGACTTTGACAAGCGAGAACCCTGCGTGCATTCAGATTGCATTTACGTTAGTTCAGGTTACATTGTGTTGCAGTCTAGGAGAAGGAATGACTTTCTCCCTGTGGTTGATCGACGCTGGTGCTGCGCATTCCAGTACACACTTTAACAAGTAAAGGTAGTGTCTACTGTCCCTGAGGGAGGGGACTGACAATTCTTCATGATGCGATTGATAATGCTATGGAAGAGGAGCAACAGATAGGAAAACGAAGACGAAGAGTCAACGTCTAGATCAAGGGCATCTCCAACATCCAACGAACGCGATAATGGGCCAACGCCTAAACCGCTGAACCAACTGCGCTGTTGGTTTAGTGGTTTAGGGCGTTGGCCTGTTCACTGTATGAATCGAACTACAATGTTTCATTCTTCCACCTCCACGACGAACGAAATCGAAACTACATCTACTTTGTTGCCTCCTGCAATTCGGCAGCACGATATGGCTTTTCAGATTAAATGAAGTTGATCACGGATTTTATATCAAGGTTATCATGATTACAAATCAAGCTGATCAATCATGGATTATCATTATGCTTATCATGGAGCAGTAGTAGAAAGGCCAACAACACGATGCTCGTCCTCCTCTATTCTACGCCACAGCTCTTTGGCTTCCTTCTGGAGATCCATCCAGACTTTTCGAGGACCTTTCGTTTTGACTTCGTGCAAGAACTCCAAATCGTTCCAGGGATGATGCGGATGGTAGTCGTCGCAGGAAGCGTCATCAGAAAAAGTTCCACCAAGAGTTAGAAGAGGTCCTATTTTGATGAGTCAGTGCCTTGTTCATCTGTACTCAAGAACTGCCAACAATTCTTGGGATGAATTCAATTCGGCTGGAGCAACTGGTGGTCGTCGTTAGTTAATATTTACAAAAACAGAAACACTTCTTAGTACACTAACAAAACACTTAGTCTGAATGGATCCGGTATTTGGTAACCTGATCTGGATCACAAGGATTCTCTTCTTGTTTCCCTTTCCCTTATGATCAAAATCAGGTTACCAAATACCGGAACCATTCATAGTACAACACTAACATAATGATAATGCACTTACACGAACACATAATGTCCTCATAAAACAAAGGAGGGCAGTTGACTCGGTTCGATGTAGCGAAAGAGATCACTCGGACTCTTTAAAACCTCCATTTTTGAGCCGAAACTTGAATCGCACAAATTGCGCGCTAAAGCCCACACTGTTTTTGTTTTGAATGGAAGATCGAAATCTTGTGTTTCAGATTCAAAGACTCGAGGGCAACTGTTGAATCAATTGGAAGACAGATCAGAGAGATAGAGGGCAGAATATTATTGGAACTGTATTTGCATAGTAGTTGTTGTACTTCGCCTGTATCTATTTGGATGCATGGTACTGGTAGTAGCTAACATGTATTTGAACGATTGCAGTACTGTATTTGAATCCCGGTGGCGCCCCGATGGCGAGGATTTGGGACGTCGCTTCTGGGTAGTTCGCGATGTTGACCTTGGAGAAAAGGGTGAACATATCAGACACCACTTTCGAGTAGCACACACGTATGTCTCCGCCTCTCAGGTCCATCACGATAATGCTATCATGCACCAAATGCGGTTCCCTCGTGGAACGTTGTGGCGCAGCTGTCGGTTCTAAGACAGCTGAAAGGCCTTGATTACGAGCTTCCTCTTCTTGTTCCATACGGGGACCTTTATCATTTAGATTTTCTTCTGGTTCTTGGAGTTGTTGATTATCATCATCTACCTCTTCTTCGTTGCTTTGTTGAAGCAGAGAGCGACTGTCCTGCATCGGCGATTTGAAGCTGTTCCCAGCAGGAGAAAGCGGAAGATGTTCTGCCGATGATATGATGTTGTTGTTGTTGGAGCTCGCCTGCATCTTAGGAATCATGTTGGAAGACGAAGATGGTCCACCTAGTGCTCCTCCCGCAGCTCCAACCGCATAGTAGTTCTCGCCGAAAATTCGTTGTCTCGTCTCCCTCACGTTCTTCCAACTCGCGGCTAGATACTTCAAAGTGCGGGTGTGTTCTTGCTGCCGGATGAGGATTAATTCGTACGTAATAGGATCAAACACTTTCGTCAATTCCGCGACGTTGACTGAACCAATCCGTTCGATGTAAACGGGTCTCCCGCTTCTATCCCTCCCGGCCCAGCCCTGCGGATACCATTTTCGAATTTCGTGTTCGACTTGTTCGAGGTAAGTGATCTGCACTTTTTGAATTGAGCTCTTACCCAGCTTCGAATTCGCAAGCAGGAGGGTGCCAAGAAGCTGCTCGTGGTTTTTTAGTCCTGCTCCTGCAACGAGTAGATCCCCTTGATCAAGATGCTGTTGATCTTGTACTTGCAGCTTCTTCATAACGTTTGAAACCAACTGTGGTTGTGGTTGATCCTGTTGGCCTTCCTGCAACATCGTGCTGTTGATCTCTTTTGATGACGAAGAAGAGGAGGTTGCTGGAGTACTAGTTATCATCTGACTTTCCCCAGCGCTCGTAGTTGCAGCACTGCTCACTGTAGTGCCAGGTCCGTTGTTCCTAGAAGTACTTACCTTTTGGTCTTGATGCTTCACAGTCTTAGCTACTGGTCCTCCATTGGTTGTACTTGTATCCTTGTCATCCTCATCGGCCACTTCCAGTTCCATCACCTGCTCCCGGTCCTCCCAACTACTAGAAGATTGCGCGTTGTCCCGTCCTCCATTTTCATTATCATCATCCTTACCAATATCAGCTGGTCGGGAATACGCAGTGTAAAGAGTTTCCTTACTGAAAGAGCGGTCCTTGCTGCTCATGTCGAGAAGTTGTCCATTCGCTGTGGAGGTTGGACTTTTTGCTTTATTAGCGCTCAAAACATTTCATTTCTTCCCTTCATTTCTTCAGAATCCCAAGAAGGAAACTCCTGCGAGAAAAGAGTCGTGGAAATGAAATACTTATGTTAAGCCTTCAATATATTTATATTATAAATATAATTCATTTCCTTAGATGTAGTGAAACAAATACTTATGTTAAGCCCTCAATATATAATCTATTTCCTTAGATGTAGAAAAAAGAGCTCCGGATGAAAGCATCACTCCCGCAAATGGGGGCGCTGTGGCTCTTTGTTCAACACCACTCTGGGACGGTTGCTCATTCTCGTTGTCTGTGCCGCTGGCCGAAGAGGAGGAGCCTGTTTGTGCTTTGTTCGTTCTTCCCCTTCGACGTAACCGGTGTAACGGCACCCTGCGCGCTAAGGCTCCTGTTGTTGCTCGCGCTAGGGCTTTCACGCGTGACGCTCTATCTCGTAGTTTGCTGCTTCTTGAATCGCCGATAGTTCTATTGTTCCCTTCGCCACCTTGTTCAGCGCTTGTGGTTGTACTCACAGTGGTCGTTGTGGTTACAACTTCGCCACTAGCCGTGCCTGCGCGTCCTCTTCTAGGCAGCCTAAGTCTCCGCATGCTTATTTCTCCCATACGTTTTCTCGCCGCTTTCAATGTTGAGCTTGAGGGCCTCGAACTCGATGTATGTAACGATAAGGAATCTTCTAGTACCGCCCCAGCCCCACTTGGTAAATGACTCGGCACTAGAGTTTGAAAGCTCCTGGGTTGTGACGACCGCGAGCCTCTGCCTGTTGCTTCAGCTGGTCCTGGAGATGAAGTGCTCCTGCGGCCTCCTCCTGCACGACGACGTGCTGCTAAGCCCTCTCGGAATTTTTCTCTAGTCGCCTTCAGAGACTTCGTGAAACTGAAATTCTGGCTTCCGAACCCACGTAAATTTTTTCTAGTACTTGCAGTTGTTGTTGTACTACTAGTAGTTACATCAATAGTAGACGTACCAGTAGCCATCGCCATATCTTTATTTTGGTTGATTCTATTGGTTGTACTATATGCCGCTATTTCGTCGTCGCTCATGTAACTCCTCTGGGATCGTGGTCCTCGGAAATTTGCTCCCTGGGAAAGAAAAGTTCGAGCTCTACCACCACTAGTACTTTTTGATGTTCGGGTTCCTTCAAGATCAGCTTCATCGTCTCCTGCACGATCTGAGGATTCACCTCCTCCTAGAGTAGCACCCGCACTTTTGTTACGTTTATTCAGTCCACCTTTGCTGCTTGTTTTAGACGGTACATGTTTGGCGGCCTCTTTCCTCAGCTTCACCAGCGCCTTATTGATGAAGGTGCTGGGTTGCGCAACTCGGGACGGCGTAGTAGATGAAGTGGCTGGCTTGTTGTTGTTGTTGTTTTCCTGCTTGCTAATGTCTTTCTGAAGATCGTTGGAAAGAGGCTTGGTAAAAATGTTATCGGTGGTGATGCTCGTACTACTTCTACTGTTGCCGCTATTTTCTATGGAAGATTGACGCTGATTCGGATGCTTTTCTTCTATATTAGAGCTCTCGCTAATTCATCCCTGTGGCAATCCCTCAACAATATGCCACAGTATTCCCCTTGTATGGGGGTGCATATTGTTGAGGGATTCCTATAGAGATGGATTAGGGGTAGCCTTAACTATAATTGCTGTTGTAGAAGTTCCGTTTTCTGTACCTGCAATAGTATTAGTAGTTCCACTTGAAGATGCATCTGCACCTGCTCGTCCACCTGAAGATGCGACTACTTGTTGTAGCCTTTCATGCCTCAACGCTAACACGCGTGCTATTGCGGCATCAACTGGCGAATCAACCACATCGGGTAGTACGGCACCCAGCACACTAGTTCTAGTAGCAGCAGCACCAGTAGAAGCAGTTCTACTGCTGGTAGTATTGGTGTCTTCATCAACACCAAGTTCTTGTTCGCAGAGATCGACTTCACGTAACTTAGCAGCCGTGTCCTCCTTCCATGCCAAATGTTTTTCAATCAACGTTATTGCAGCATTGACGTTTTGCTTCTTCGCGGTCCGAAGAAACCGGACGAGGTCGTGGTCCATCCATGATGACGGGATGTTCTTGTCTAGTGTGTGTCTGATCTCTTGAACCTTCTCCTTCTCGCTGTCCGTCAGATTCAACAGACTAGAAACGGCCACAACAATCTTGGCGTCGGCCGCATCGGCTCTTGAGCTTCCTTTGAACCGCATTTTTCCAAACTACTCTCAAAAAGGTGTTTGTTAGCATATTTGTGTAGAAGAAACCAATTAATATACCAAACCCATCAACAAATTCACATTCATATTACGGAAAACTAAATCGTATTGATTGGGATTTATTGTACAAAAAAAACTTCAAAGCAAGAACTGAATGGTGCTAAAGAACAAACAGAAGTAGTGTGTTGGGGCAAGATATAATTCTTGGGGCTACCAGTTGAAGTCGAAGATGACGGACGAACGACTTGGTAGAAATTCTCATCGCTCTGCAGCAAATGGAGTGGTGCTGTGTACAATTCATTAGAGACGAGGCCACAAGATCAAGAAACGGAAACCGAGTCGAGAAACCGAGGCGACCGATATTTCCTGGAATAGGAGCAACAGAACTAGCTTCCTAACATGAGCCTGTGTGCGGATATTGCTCTCCTTGACAGAGTCCTTGATGATGCAGTTGCCTTGGGTAGTTGATATGTTTACACGATAATTTCAAACAGTCGAGGGCCTTAGGGCCACGATGTCAAAAACCTCTGGTTTGTCAAGAACGAATCGATTTGTCAGGAGCACCCTGCAGTGCGAGTGACTAGGACTTGAACCTGTTACTTGCGACAGCTACAATGAATCACAACTACAAGAACTTGTTGCCTACATCCCTGTTTCCAGAAAGAGGTTATGCAAATATGGACCAATGGTAAGGGGATTGAAGTCCTGTAAGGAAGATTCTGAGGGTGTCAACATCCATGCTCCTTTTGCTCGCTCTCTCTCAGCCTCGCCAAAGGGACGATCTACTCCGACTTTACTTCTATCCATCAGGTCACCAACCACATTTGATGTTCTTGTGCCATCTGTTTTGATCTCAACAGTGGAGGTAAACGAGGGGTTGGCATCTTCTTCTTCTCGGATTGCTCTGTCCCCGTTTGCTCCTCTGTCACCTTGTTCATTCTCCATGAGATTCAGATTGAGGAGTCTCTGCCTCGCCTCCCTCAGTTGAGGTGTCAGAGTGCCCAAATTTTTCACCAGGTTTCCTTGAGCATGCATGTTCTGCACGATTCGGTTAGCGTTGGGCGAGCAGAAGGGAGTCAGGTAGCGTTTGTTGATGGGGAAAGAATCCGGTCTCCCAAAAGGACTTTCGGGCAAAAGTTGGTCGAGGATTTTTTGTTTCCACCCACTTGTTGTTTCTCCAGGAGATGATAATGGAGATGAAGAAGCTGATGCAGCAGAAGATGTTGATGATTCGTCAGTAGATGATACCGGCTTATGGATATTGGTCGATGTAGTTGTTCCCCCACCTTCTTCTCCTTCTCCTTGTTCTCCTTCGTCGACTTCTCTTCCATGTCCATGTTCATCCTCCTTTTCCCCTCCCTCCTCTAGAAACCCATGTTTTCTCATTGCTTCCGCCTCGTCCGCAGTGATGTCGTAGACAGGACAGGTGCCAAGTCTAGGATAGTACAATCCCGGAAACGCCAACGTCTGATATTTAAACGCTCTCAACAGGTGGCCAAGAGGTGACTGGTCCACGAAGGGAAAGCCGAAAAGTAGTCGTTTGTCGTGTAGTAAGCGCAGCCACAACTGCAGAAACTCCATATTCTCAGCGTTTTTGCGAAACAAGAGCCATGTGTTTTGGTGCATCGGCAAGTAGGAAGACCAATAAGCGCTGCAACGGCGTGCAGCTTGAATCCAGGAGGAGAGAAGAGTGAATGGATCTCCTTCGTCTTCGTTGACGAGCTGTACATTTTCATCTATTGGGACCTTTCCACGATCTGCCTCAATTTTCATCTGACGGATACCCCGTTCCCCTACCGTTTTCTCCACCAACAGCTCCACCTCTATGCACCCTGTGTAAAACGCATCAAACGGAGAGACGATCGGATCTACCTCTAAGGGCCGGAGACGGTCCGCACCAGCTCCACTTGGTCTCAAGGAAGAGTACAGCTGCAAAAAATCTTCCCCAGGCCCAAGGATGGAGCCAGGTGTCATCGTAGAACCGCCTCCAGACGTTCCTGAGCTCTTCCTCTTACTCTCTTTAGAGGGTTTCGGTGTGACAACGGCAACGCCTTCTAATCCTGCTTCTTGCGCTGCTAGTAGAACTTCATCCAGTGGAGCCTCAAACTCTGCTTGAAGCTTCGACTTCATCAAACTGTCTTCTTTTTGCTTTTGGTTTTGCGCCTTTTTTGATACTGATGCTGATGTCGTAATGCTAGAAGATTTCCTATTCCTTCTCCTTTCCAGAGTTTCTAAAAAAAGTCGCCACGCTTTGTGCACAACGATAAGACGAGTATATGCAAAACATTGCTTGTCACCAGGAAGGAGGGGCTCTGATTCTGTTGCCGCTGTTCCTCTTGCTCCTGTTCCTGTACTTGATGTGCGATTACTCCACATCTGTGTAAACGATTCAAAGCCGCCATTTCGTCTACGACTGCTCGCAGTAGCATCTTCAAGTGGCGTTTCGGTTGCAGATTGAGCGAAGTCACGAACTTTGTAAGCATCGTCGTCGACATGACCTTGTTGATCTTCTTTTTTAGGCTCCTTACTCTTACTCGTGCTGTTCGTATCCGCCGCGTCGATGACCTTGTCATCTTCGCCCATCACAATCTTTCGCTGCTTCAAGATCTCAGTGAAGAACGTACTAGTCGCAGAAGATGTCGTGGTCGATAAGGATAAAGTTGAAGAAGGCCTCGAAGTAATAGCTCCGCTCCCCACCCCACTTTTGAACAACAATGTATGTAGAAATCTGCGAAAGTCCGCTCTAAAGCCTGGTCTCACCGCTAGCCAATGTTTGCACGCAGTCGAGAAGCTCTCACTGGAATATTCCCACCTAATGCTCGGTGGCAACCGCACACCTGGAATCAACCCACGCTTACCTGCTAGTAGCTCTAAAGCCTCAATGTCAGACTTGTTGAAATCTCGGAAAAAAGATGGCTTCATGCTATTTTGCTGTTTCGCTGATGTCTTTGTGCTTGTCTGGATACGCCAGTCGAGGACTTTGCGTGCTGTGGTTGAGAACTCGTCAGCATGTGGAGCATTCGGATGAATTGGATTTTTGTCCTCTTCTGATGAGGTGATGGTCGTAGAGTCCACTACATTTTCAACGACCTCTCCTCCATCTTCTTCTCCAACTCCATGTGGTTTTATCTTTGTGGTTTCATCTTTCCGGGAATCACAGAAAAACGGCACACCCAACTCTTCCATCTGAGCATTTGGAAGATGTTTCGTTGGGTCTGTGGTTAGCAAGTGGTCACCTTCTTTCATCGCTTTTAACGTTTCGTACACTGCGACTGCTTTTACGAAGTACCCAGGCTGCAAGTAGATGTACTTCTTGAAGTCGCGGACGAGGTCTACAAAGAACTGAAAATTTCTGCGCCACCAAGACGTGCATTTCAAATCTTTCTGGATCGTCTTTGGTTTTGGAGTAGATGTTGGAGATGAAGATGTAAATATGTGATTATCATCCTTGATATCAAGAACTGCCTGCTGATGTTTATCTTCCTTCTTCACTTCCATTTCCTCCTGCACCCGACACATCTCCTCCACCTCACTCCCAAAATGCTCCTTACAAGCGGAATCTTGAATCAGCAAATGGCTTGCGTCGACTATCTGAAGGCCATTTGCCGACCACATACTATGCGAACCGAAGCCTGCGGATGCGTACTCTCTGTCAATGATCCTCTGCACTTGCAGAAAAACACCGTGAGTGGCGACTGTTACTAGATGCATTACCATTTTTTTTGTGCTGTAGTTGGGATTAAGAACACAACGTGTTTCTAATTTTCTAGCATGTGAATGCAATCGCCGTAGTCAATCAAAAACTCAAAAATGCGAAAGATCATCTGAAGCTGCGTGCAAGAGGCTGCCAACTTTCAACGTCATTCAACATCAAATTCAAATCCTATTTTATTCCGTTTTTGTTTTTGACGATACTTGTTTAGTTAAGCAACGCGCATGACGTGCTAAAAAAAGCTTGCTCTGTCGCCGTGGTGCTCTCAGATTTCTCTCCTCTCTCTCTAGAAAACCGTTTCCTTTCTGCACCTAAATCCTCGTTATGGAAATTTCATCTGAGCTTCGCGTCCAATGGGTCGGCCTCGGTGGCACATTCCTATGTGTCTCTCTTGCCAATTAATGCTCAATGTGAGGCCATGAAGAACTTTCGAAGTCAGTGTCAGTGATGTAAGTCATTGGATGTGTGTATGAAAGGCAAGAAGGTGAAAGCCTTGCAAGTATGTGTATTTTTTTTGGGCCGGGTGCTTATTTTTTTATTCAACAAAGGTTTACAACCTTGAGGGGTGGAGCATATGCCTGTGCGGTTGCGTCACTTTTTGCTTTCAGGAACACATCAGGAGGCACACAAGTCGACACTAAAAGCATCTTCATTTCATCGCTAATTTTGCTTCTTTCATCTCCTGTGTCCTCCTGATCTTTAGAAGATGTGGTATTGTTACTTGTCGCCGACCCTTGTCCGCCAATGCTGTTTTTCATGCGCCTCATTATTTGTTCAGGTGTCAAACATACTAGAATGTCTGCGAGGCCTTGAGGTCGTCGTCCACTTGTAAGCAGCGACGCTCCCCCACTCGGATTTCCTTGCACAACAACCGGCTTCATGCTTTTCTTAGTACAGCAACACTCCGGTAAGGGGATGTTGGATAGGTTTATTGCTAGGTCATCTGTGATGTTTGTTTGGTTTAAGTCGTTGAAAGAGGATGTTGCATTTGCGCCCTCGGTCGTGTTTGTTGTGAACGAGGAGTCTGCTTTTGTATCGTTAGTTGTAGTACTATTTACGATTACGACGCTGTCAAACTCAAAGCCAACCTCAATGTTGCTGGATGTTCCATTAGTTGAAAATGAAGATGTTTCATTGCTTGTAGAAGATGTATTGGCCGCAATTGCAACGCTTTCCTCTACTTCTGAGCGTCCATCTTCGTCTTCTTCTCGCTCTTCCTCTACCTCTCCATTCTCTTCTTCGGCGCTACATCGTTCCAACTTGAAGATAAACTCTTCTTTCATCCGGCGAGACTGTGAAGAACTTGCACCAGTCGTAATCGCATCTTGTTCTTCAGGGCTAGTTGTGGTATTTCGCGTCTGATTCCCACCAACCTCATCTGTTACGTCCTTCTTGCCAACCTTCCCACCATTTTGGTCCTCTACGTTCGCCGCGACCGACAATCCCGACTGTTCCGCAGGATGATGCTGCCACCAGCCTTGCTTTGCGAGAACAATCCAGCCATCGCGATGAAATAGATGGGGACCACCTGCTCTATTCTTGAGAAGTTGTCCCATCCATACGAAGCTCCCACTTGTGTGCATCTTCTGTACCTTGATCACTTCGACACAGGTGCTTGGTGGCAGAAAAGCGATAGGAGCAACGTCCGCAGTGATGTCTGGACTGCGCCACGCCGCGTACAGGGAAAGAGAGCCACTAAGTGCATGTGTACGGAAGAAGCCAGGAGCGAGGAGTTCATCGTGCCAATTGTGACCTTGGATATCGACTTGTTCGTTCCTTGCTGTGACGATGGCGGATAATTCATCGGCAGGAGGAGGTTCATGATCTTGTTCAGTTGCAACTACTTCTGTCGTGCTGCCGTTCGTCGTGTTTCGCGTTGTAGCTTCCGAGGATGTTGACTCTTGTTCTACTGACGTGGTGTTCGTGTTGGTAGTTGACAAGATTCTCCTTCTTGGGGTCACGTCATCAACCGAGGGAGAACTTTGGGCGAGTTGCGTTGAAATGAATCCACCGAGTGCAAAGAGACCGGTCGCAGCTAAAGCTGCAGAAATGACCGTCATTTTTTTTTCGGATCGCTGCAAGTACAACTGCTGCTCTGTACTAATTCCAGTATGAGAAGTTCCAATACAACTAGATGAATCCAACTCCGAGCACTCAAAATTCAATCCATCGCATCTCTCAGTCTCGTTGGGTACTCGTTGTCTCATCTCTTGCGTGGAGGCGGACTTCGCTGTAGCTCTCACTCTCCAAAAAACTGTCGTGGTCCTGTCAGCCCCAGAGGTCTCAGCTTCAAAACCAGGCCGGAGCCCTGTGAGAGTTACAGCGAAGTCCACCTCCACACAAGAGATAAGCAACAAGAGTGCTCTCTAAAAAACTCTCAATAGACACAAAGGTGTCCATGGTAAACCCGCTCATTGAAGCTACACCTTCTTCACCCGAACCTCCTAGTACCGCAGCTCATTGCGTGGAGCCAGAGTGCCGTGAAGATGGGCTCCTCGTGGTGCTCGTCGTATGTAATAGTTCGAGTACTTCGACTTCGTCATAACTGCGCGTAACAATCATGAACTCGTCTTTTTCCTCATTTGAGAAGGTTCAAAATACTCTATCTGACTTCGACGAATTTCTGTCGCCCGTGCGGGTGCAGCTAATACGTCTTTAGCATTCATTTGTGAAGATGATTGTGCTGTTTTTGGTGGCGAAGCCCTGAGGATTTCGTTCAAGAAGCTGGTGTCTACTTTCGAGGCACCTGGAGGAGCTTTGCCATTTTTATTGCCACCTCTGAGGACAACGTTCACCCTTCCTGGAACCACATCCCATGTTGCGTCTACATCGTCTTCTCTTGGCGCAGAGACTGCTCTCCTGTGTTCCTCCATCTCTCTGGCGTAGCGTTCTTCCCTCCGTTTCCGCATGGCTTCTATACGGCCTCCAACTGTGGCGGCTATGCGTACGACATCTTGGTCGTCTTTAGGAGAAGTGTCGTTTTGAGGTTGAGAACCTTCATGCCGCAAGAGGGCCTCGTGCCATTGAGTGACGTTTCTTGAACGTTCATGCTCCTCGAAGGCGTCGCGCCTGGGAGATGTGGGAGATGGTCAGTTGTATCTTCACCAGAAACGAAAGGATGCTTACTTTTTCTTATAGATACATATATAACTAGCTGCTTTCATACGTGGGACGTTGAAAAGCATCTATTATCATGTTTTAAGATTTTCAGTGTTCAATTTTCAGTTCTTCCACTGTTGGCCGTATTGATGTCTGTAATTTGTTGATCATGAATGATCGCTGTTTGTGTGTGTCTTGAGATTTTAGAATCTAAGTACTTATAATTTTTTATTGGATCAGGGAGAGCTCCAAAGGAAGATGAAAAAACTAAGAAAGAGTAGTACATCTCCCTCTCCAACTGCTCCAACCGCTGAATTTTTACTGCTACGAAGTCCTCTTTTTGTTTCAACGCGTGCTCTCTGTGTCGTAGGGAAGAAGTAGCATTGGCGACACTGGCGAGTTGCTCCCGCCCAGTGGGAGACCGCGATCGTTCTTGGTTGTCGGTTGGATTGAGTATGAACAAAGGGGAATTTGGATTTGCAGCAGGAGAGGTCATGACTACAAGTTAGTAGTACAAGAACAACATCAAGGACAAATGTGAATCCTCACGAGTACTATGTATAACAACAACCGGTTCTATTAATGTCAATGTTTGCCGGTTCAGTAGTCAGATCTAGATCGACTTAGGTGTTGTTCACCATAATCTCTATTTCCGCTGCCATTCCCATCAAGTCGAGTTGCAATGCCATCTCTGATTCCCGATGTGCTAAACTATTTGCTTTCTCAGTCAGCGTTTGCTGAAAGGCCTCTAACTGTGCTTGTTGCTTAGCTAAAGCTCGTTGCCGAACTTGCACATGCGCTCTCTCCTGCGCAGCCCGTCGGCACTCAGACTGTACACTGCGTGCAAGATCGAACAACTTCGATTGATGCGCTTTCAGGGTCGCTCGGAAATTTTCTAACCGTTTTCTTTCTTTGTCCAACTCGATAGCGGCAAAATGAGCGCCGCCTTGAGCCAGCACTTCCGGAAACGGATCAGGAAAGGTACGCTCTGCATCTTCGATCAATCGATCAACTGATACTAGTAAAGCATCTGGCGGTGCAGTAGCAGTGGAGGTTGGGTTGTTGTGGTCATCTGCAGCACCGCGTTCTCGAGGAGACTTTGATCTAGATGTAGTTGTACCTGTTACTTCTCGAAGATCTTCATCAAACGCGTCTTTCGATGACAACCCAGGTGGTTGCAGTTTCAACGGAACAACAGTTACCGGCTCTCCATGCAGAAGAACTTCGATAGCTGCGGACGACAGAAGCGCTAGATTAAAGCAACCGGAAGAAGGCTTTGATTCGTTGTTGGTTTCTTCACTACGTCCTTGTGGACTGACTCTAGAGGGGCTTACTTTGAACAAGTAGATACAACAACACCAAATTCACAATAAACGAAACAAGATGAACAAATAGGTGGAAGCCTCTCATAGTCATACGTTTTAGTTTTGTAAGTAGGACCTTGTATTTAATACAAGTTATATAATAGCCTCATACTCTTATATAGTCTTGTAGTTGTATTTAATACTATAATTACTTTTTATAGTCTCTTAACTCCTTGACCAGCCTTATTCGCCAACCCTCTCTGCCCCTCAAAGAGTCTTGGCGGTTGAAATCGATCCGCATCCGGAACGTATTCGACAACATATTTTCCATTCTCTAAGTCCACAACAGTGCCGATGTCGATTCCCGCACTAGCCCGTGCTGCGAAAGGGTCTCCACCTGTTGTACAGAGATTCCCAAATGAATCGACTCCTTGCACTATGATACGGTTTACTTGGGATAGTTTGAAGTAGTGCAAAAGGTCTTGTTGAGATGATTTCTGCTTATTTTCGTACTGGACTGAGGTAGAAGATGAAGATGACAAAGAACAAGATGTCTGTTGTTTCTCTACTCTACTATTTTGTGCAGTGGCTTCTCCGGAGTGAACTTGTAGCTGTAAGTCCTCATGATCTTGAGTTTTTCCCGTTGAGGATGACGACTTTCGCAAAAAAAATTTCTGCTCGCCAGTTAGCGTGCACTCTAGACGGTACAGTCCCGGTAGAGGCGCGCTGTATTCGAGATTAGAGCTTGTGAGGTAACTTTGGTCACAAGGAAAATCTACCTGAAACTGAAGCTAATTCTTTGAGGTTGAGGACTCGAGAGTAAATACACCTATACTTCCTGTTTAGCTTGTTTTGCAACCAGAAGCCTTAACAACCAAAAAGCATGCTCTCGACTCGTCTAGTGGCCGCACTGTCACTGGCACACTCCCAGAATTAGCCGCTGAAGCTCCTATCCGAACGAAACGAAGTCTTAAACTCGTGTCAGGACTGCACTGTGCACAAGGACGCCCGTCGCCTGTGCGATGGAGCTGTATACGAAATCGTTGACGGCGACCGACACGCAAATGCCTCCCATTCGAAGCCCCGTCTCCAACGCATTGGGTGCGGAGAGGGTCTGGGGCGTCGAACTTAGGCGTTTGAGTTGGAAGGAGGAACGCACCGCGGCTCATGGTTGATGGTAGTTCTAGTTGTTTGTAAAAAGACCTGGCGCTAGATGAAGTTGCGTTGACGTCAATTGTTGACTTGTAGAAAGATGGCGTTATTAGAGCTGTCCGTAATTCATCTTCCTTGAAAAGTGTGGGAGAGTATTCCCTTAGGATACTCCTCCATACGTAGTTCCAAGGATACGTCCAAAGATGTATTAGGTACAGCCTTAGTGTTAGTGCAGCTGTTGGAGTTGTAACTAAATGCGTTTCTTTATCATGTTCATATTTATCTTCTATTTCTATAAAATACAATAAGTAGGCCCTCATCTCGAGTACTTCACGCTTCATCATCTCTGCTCTCAACACTCACAATTGCTACTCGGTGGACTAATGCTCTTTCTCTCCGAGCCACTTAAGGCTGCTTTCGCTATACTCACCAGATCATCGTTGTAGGTACAACTTATTATAGAAGACTCAGTGAGTAGATAGAAGTAGGATGCACGTTGAGAGTCACGACAAACATATCATCTCAGGATTTAGAGTTTTTCATTGCAGAAGCAGAAGGCCAAGCATGAATCCATGGACGTGTGCACTACGTCAAGAGGATACCAAAACGCAACGTCGCTAACCTTGTTAGCTTGTGTATAATATATAATATGTGAGGGGGAGAAGGTCTTGTGAACGTGGTTGAGCGTGAGGACGAGAAATTCGAGAAGTTGATACATCATGATACGGTTACCACGAAACAGCACCATAGTAAACATACCCAATTACACCAACATCAAAGTCGAATTCATGAACAACGTAAATATGAGGCATAATTGTCTGTGTTGAGATATATCATGACCGGAGCGCAAACAAGAAACACTCACGGCCACCTGTATCATGTTGAGCAACAACTATTAGAATTAGGGAGAAATGAATTCTCAGACACGTGCGGACAAGATGTAGATGCAGTTCGACAGAAATACAAAAATGAAATAACAATAAGGAGGACTTATAGTATATAATTGATATTAACGTCATCAACGTCATCGGGTGATTCCTCTATTCTCAAAACGTCTGCTCAACTTCTAGAAGTATAACACTGCAAAAATGCGTTTCGCTCAAGATCAACGAGCTTAAACTGACACCGACTGAGCATAGCTCATATATCAATATTTGATTATCTCTATGGTATTAAGCAAAGACGATAGACAATCTGATCACGACGTTAATCTTATGTTGAAGAAGTTGTTCATCTTAAGACTACAAAGTGAAAGATTACAATGCCTCACTCGCTTCGCTAAACCATGGATGCTGAAGCACTTCCAATGCTGTGCCTCGCTGTTGCCAGTCTAGAGATAGAAGCCTTCCACACAGGTCAACTGCTGACGGATCTAAGTAAGGCCGACTTCGCAAATCCGCAATTGCTTGGCTAACTTGCGATCTTAACTCAGCTGCTAGTCGCGAAACGCCATGTGCATGGCCATCCTGAGTGTTGTTCTTGTTGGAATGGGGGTCGTTAAGTACTAGTGCTACTTGGATTTACGTGATCAGATTCAGAACTGACGGTTTGCCAACTTCTTGATACACTTACACTTTATTAGGATGATCCGAACAATCTGGAGGTAGTAAGAACTCAAATTCATAACAGATTCAATCTTCACGTTCACCTTCACGCATATTAGCAGTCAACTTTTTCGTACTTGAGAGAGCCAGCTCTTCCTATCATTAAAACTAAATGTACTTACCTCATCATTAACGTCCTCGTCTTCTGTCAGCCAGCGCGACCGGTTGCCACCAAGGACGTGATACACCGGTCGCCCCGTCATCAAGTTGCGAATCTCAGCGAGAAGATCTCCCCTTAGCATGATATCTCCGGTGAGCAGCACATACATCGTAGCTCCGACAGACCACAAGTCGCTCTGGGGAAAGTACTTCCGGTAGAGATTTTCGGGAGACGTGTAAGCTGGAGTACCGAGAATTAGAATAAATAAGAGAGAACGACGTAGTACCATGCCGCGACAGGTTACGGTAGTGCGGGACAAGGCGCCTGGCTATGGCTTTCGCTGATAGATAGAGCTAAAGACATTACAAGCCGGTGTCCTAGATCAAGCACATGGGAGCCGAGGCATACAACTACACAAGGCGACGGCCGTCTTCACGCAAAGAAGGGGACCCACCTCCTTCGCTGGTTTTAGATAAGCGGAAGGCCCGCGGGCGTGGGCGTCAGCGCCAGCGATCTGCGCACCTCTCACTTTGATGGCCTTTGGGAGCCTCCCCAACCACCTCCACCCAAGCGATCGAGCAAGAAGCCACAGCGAACGCAGCAGGTACGAGCCCCGGTGGGCAAGGCCTGCGCCTGCTGGGGCCTTCAGCTCGGCTGGGGCGCCTTGTGCATGTGTATCCCGTTCGCCGCAGAAACGCGAGTCCGCTTGCTTCTGAGGATGTCACCTCCCCAGAAATTACCCTGACCAAATTAGCTGCAAGGCCCTCCTGGCTTCACCAAGCCGAGGGAGCGACGGCCCGGCGCTCCCCAGTTCGGAGCCTTCCCCACCCGAGCGCAGCCGTAGGCATTATCCTCACACAATGCGCGTCCTTTATGCATACTTAAAGAAAGGGGCTGGGGCTCCGTCACTGGTTCTACGTCGTCCCCCTCTGCTGTGTTGCGAAATTTCAGCGGCGACACCAGCCCGTGCCTGCTCTACGGTGTTGCCTTTCGGTGCTGAGGGCCCCACGCCAGTACTATGCATGGCAACAGTGGCGCCCTTCTCTTCCACGAACTCTCGACACAAAACAAGCCGCCTCACACTCCGAGCGACCTGGAAAGCCCTGAGGCGGGTATTCTATTGGCGTCGCGCTGTCGCTGACAGCAGCCCACTCCCCGCCGTCCGTCCCTGTTGCAATTCAGTCTGCGCCAAGCAGCGCCCGCACGCGACAGCTACAGCTTCCAGGCGCCACGCAAATGGCCTCTGCAGATGTCACCGAGGTCCGTCTCCCTGCTGGGCTTGCCAGCCCTTGCCTTTGCTGCGTTTGCAGACGCGCTGAAAGCGGAGAACAGCTTCTGAGCATTCTCGAACCCTGCTGCCTCCCTTAAGTGCGCGGACGCCTGACACCACTCCGCCATAGTACGCTCGACCCGTCCTAAAACATCACGAAACTGCTCCTGGGTCGCGACTTCGTTAAATTCTTTGATGACTCCTCCACGGCTAGAATGGCCGCGCTTGTTCGAAGTGCGGAAATAGATGCGCGTCTTGCGGCTCGGGGCCTGCCTCGATCAAGCCGCCCCACTCCAACCAGTTGAAGGCCCTCCTATGTTCAATCAGGCATAAAATTAACGGCATGCGTGGCCTCGAGTAGATCCCCGCACGCATCAGCACGGACAGGGCGGCAAGGTGGGCGGTAGCCCTCGCCGGCGCGTCCCGCCCTCTAGCTCCCGCCTGGCTGGTGATGAAGATCCTGAAAAGTGTCCGGCGCCGCTTGTGCTTTCTCCTGCTCAGGGCTGAACTGTAGGCCCTCGGTAGGCGTTCCACGCAAATACTGGAGAACCTTCCGGCAAGCAGCGACTTTGGCCTTTGCTGTGGGTTGGCTTCCACGTCTCGCCCACACTGGTGCGGGCCATCCCTGTTGGCAGCGCGGTAGTCTAGTCGCTGACGCAGTGCGTCCCCTACAAGTAGCCCGCCGCTGCTCATTTTTTAAGACGAGGCCAAGGGAGGCCGGCTACGTGTATGCGCATCGCTCGAAAAGAGGAGAGACGAAACCAGGCCCAAACAAGAGTCCCCGTAGCTTTGATTGCGCCAAGGCTGAAGGGCGGCGCCCTGCCTCCCCCTAACGTAGAATAAGGCGCAAAGCGGCTAAACTAGGCAATCGATTTGGAAGTCATCAAATACAAACAACAGCCTTCATAACATTGGATAATATTTTCGGTGTCCGTCAGTCCCAGCGAAAACTCTAGAATGGTCGAAGTCGATTAACTTGACATCAGGTTGCAAATGTGAGCAAACAGCTTCGACCAAAAGACGCGATGGAACTACTTGTTGTAGAGCAGGGATGGCATCAGACTTCGTGGTAGGTAGTTGCTGAAGACCACTAGAAGATGTAGCTGTAAAAGCGGCTGAAGCTCCTTCTTCATCAGGCGAAGATGAAGATGGACCTTGATGTTGTAGATTGGCAGTGACTTGGGAATTCAAGTCGTTGACGACGTAGTCGTAACTCTGCAATAATTGGGGTGATTGCGGTTGTTGTAGTTGGGCTAGACTTTGATACTGATAACACAGAGCTGGTGATGTTGATGGGCTAGCAGCTCCTCCGCCACCTACTGCCACTGCGCTTGTACCAGGAGAGGCAACAAGATCATCGTCAGTGTTCAGCTGAAAGGCGCTTGACGCGAAAGACGTTGAGCATCCTGCGTTGTAGTTCATGTTAGATGCACTTTCCATACTGGTTCGTGTACTGGCGGCTCCAGCGGTTGTGGCGCCTGCACTGTCAGCCCCAGGGCTTTGATCATCTCCGTGGTAGTCTCGTTTTCCACCTTTCCCTGACCCTGCTGTGGTGGTTCTTGGAAGTATTAGTGGATCCACCATCATTTCAGGCACGCGATGTATTCTAGTACTACTAGAAGTTGTCTGTGGTTGTATTTCTGTGACCACGGTGGCTGCTTCATTCGGCGCGCGGCCCGCTTTTGCTGCGTTATCGACGGCTGTAGACAAGACGTTGCTAAGCCCGGCCGCTTGTGAAGCGCAGCAGCTCTGAGCTTCGTTCGGATCCAAAGGTGCTCTAACAGATGGCCCAGAAGACTTAGCTCTTTGCGTTTGTTGTTCTGTGTGGTCCTGTTGACCAGCCTGCGCAGCCTGATAAAGTCGCCTAGAAGATCTGCTAGGTCTCCTCATAGGCGGATTTGAAGAAGCCCCACTGCTGCTATTAGCTGCTGCTCGAAGGGTCTCGTGTGTTGGCGGTAGCATCAAAGGACCGTCTAAACCATTATCATGGATCATATCTCCGTCTGCCTCAAATAGCATTCCACCTGCCGTCCTTTGTGCTCCTCTCCGTTCAACCACTTCTACATGTTCTTGATCAGACTTCTGCTGAATAACACTTGAATATGTTGCAGTTGCTGTGTTACCACTGCCGGTCTGCCCCGAAGAGGATAGAATCGATCTAGCTTGGCGTGAAGGAACCATCTTCGACCCTGAATAGACGAGACTGGCGGCTGGAGGGAAACAACTACACCATGTCGTTGTCATATTCGAAAATAGACCGCCTCCACCATGCTTGGAAGTGGTTGTTGTACTACCTCCAGCAGCCGCATTTCCAGCATTATCATCCTTCAGTCCATTGTTTTTAGGCGAAGGCATCATTGACCCTGGGGGTACACTGAGTCCTTTTTTCTTCAGCAACACATTCTCAGGCTTCACGTCGCCATGCACTAATCTGTTGGCATGCATGTGCGCCAAGCCCTTCAGCATGCCTTGTATGATGCGCTTCGTTTCCATTGGCGGCCTGTAGTAGTCTTTCCATCGAGGTTTCGGCAAGGATGTACTTGTACTACCTCCTCCCTGTGGTCCCTTTGTCTTTCTCTCATCGTAGCGATCTTCACGGTCTAATACACGATCGACGATTTCTGTCTTTTTCTCATCGTAGCAATCTTCACGGTCTAATACACGATCGACGATTTCGGACGCCAATCCAGCTGAATCGGTGGACAACTGCAAGATCTGGAGTGTCTCACTGCTGAAGCCAAGGGTTCTTTTTAGAAGGGGTATCGCGAATACAAATCTAAAGCTATAAAGGAGGAAACTGTCCGTCGTAGTCCCTGTTTTTTTGTTTGGTGGAATTGCAAAGGCCTCGGTCTGGCACTGCGCTACTTCATCTCAATCGGAAGAACAGAGAAAAATATCGAAAATTATGTGGTCCATAACGATGTCGACTCGCCAGGTAGGCCTTGACATCTTTGTGAGTTCGCTTGTAAAATCCCCGAGGAAGAGGACGCCGGGGCGGCAAGTACAGAGCGAGAAACGTATTCGTTGTCCTCAGGAGTTGCACCCAGTTGCAATGGTCTGCGCCTTTCTTGAGGATTAGACAGATGCCGTGAGTGTACGGGACCTAGAAGTCGATGAGAAATTCAAAACGATTTTGATTTACGACCTTGATCTCTTCGCCGTAACTTCCGCAGCCCGTCGTTCCTTCAGTCTTTGCGATAACATTTCCCATTCTGCATAAGCCCGCTGCGCCACTGCTTTGCGGTATTTCGCTGCACTCAAGTATAGATCTTCGCTTCCCATTTCATAGGGCATTTCTACGTGTACCAAGCCTCGTCTGTCATCCACCCAGACTGCATTTACTGGCGTGATGTGAGGATGTGGAGGAAGGTCTAGGATCGCTTGCAAAGTCGAGACATCCATACCAGTACGACTCTTCGCGATAGATTTGACAAGCAGGGGGTCGGGTTCTTGTTCTTGAGCGTCTTCTCTAGCAAAAGACGCGGAATCCACGGTAGTTTGCGAACGGGAATTGGCGATTAGAGCACTCTTTGTGGACTTGGTGGAAATTGAAATCTGAATTCTTTGAAATCTGGAAGAACCTCTACCTCACATGTCCATAACATCACTGTCATTGTCACACCACCACTTCCTCCGCCCGACGCAGAGCTTCCACCTGCACGAGCTGAGTCATTGGAAGTACCGCCGGAACCACTAAAGTTGCGTGATTGCCACCATCTAGGACATGTGCGACTCCAGAACCAGTCACCACAGCGAACTGTGTGTTCACCACCGGAGATCATGCCGCATAGGTTGAGGGGGAGTTAGAGAGAAAAATCTACTGGGCTTTTTTTTGTGTTGTCGAGGTCCCTCATGCTAAGATCTCCGTGCTGGTGACAATGATGCACGAAGATGAGATCTCCTTACCAAAACCCGTCGATGCCATATTAACTTCTATTCAATCCATTTCCACCACCGTCACTCCTTACAGCCCCGAAGCCCGCAGACTCCTCAAAGTAGTTTCTCGCGTCGCCGAGAGCGCGGATGTCTCCAGGTCTTCGCGTAGCCCTTCGCAACTCCACATTTGGCGCACAGGAATTGTACAAGTCTCCTACGAGAATGGAAGGGCCAAGGTCGTAGTATGAGCTTAGATAATTTTTTCGGAGTTTCTGAACGGCTTGTATACGATGTGGTAGCTGTGGTCGCGCTGCTGCTTCTGCTGGCTGTAGTGGAGCAGAGCTACTAATACTGTGTTGATATTCTTGTCCCTGTTGTAGCTGTTGCGCTTCGCGTGATGAAGCAGCGTGCTGCGCGTAGCAAGCCTGTTGGAAAACTCCCGTGGCCGGCGTTGTTGTAGCCAAAAAAGTGCTTCTTCGTTGACGAGGAGCTAATTCAACAATGCTCTTGGGTGAAATCACTAGTGGTGCTGTTGTTGTCGCTGCCAAGAATGTTGTGCTAGCAGCTAAGATTGTTGTGGGCATGGACTTCGAAACTGGCGGAGCGACTGGTGGAGAGGTTTTCGTGGGAATTCTTGGTCTAGTACTAGGGTTTTGATCTACAACACCTCCAGGTCTTGTCTTGTTCGTAGTACCCCTCACGTCCATCCCAGTTGTAGTTGTTGTGCTCGTAGTCCACATCATCAAAAGTGGAGGCGAAGTAGACCCTGTCGTTGGACATTCTACTAGTGGGTCTTCTCCTTCTAATATTTCTTCATTCAGCATATCCTGATCTAGTAGATCTAGTTGTTCCCCTTCTGCTTCTTTCGCCTCTTCTTCCGTGTAAAGAAGGCCTTTTTTTGCTCCGAGTTTTGCTTCAGCCGGCGCAAGGAGAGTTGTTCCTCGAAGCGGCATGCTTCGTCCTACATAGCGTCCTCTTGTTGGAACTTGAAGAGATACTTCATCAATTCCCTCATGGTCTCTTTCAGCCTTCGAGGCATCCCCAGACAACTCCGCCAAAAACAGGTGATTCCCGTCCTCGGATTCTACGAGGCAGTGGGTGGGTGTGCCTAGCTTATGCTTTTCTCGGTCGGAGCAATCGTCCTTCCAGTTGTTAGCCGCTCTTCTTCTGACGAAGCTGACCACTGCTTGGGATGGTGGCAAATGTAGGAGGAGAGTGAAAATAGAGAGAAAGAGCGTGAAACCAGATCTGGAGATCCTGAAGGAAGACGAGGACGATCCTGTTCCAACCATTTTTGATGATTGTGTCGGAGTGGTTAATCTTGATGTCGCCAACTTACTGCTTGTATGGTGAAATTCTGCTGATGGATCATGCATTTTGTGGTGCTCTCCCTTGGCTGCTGGTCATGATTGAAAAAGTGCAGCCCATACAAATTACGCGCGGTCAAAAAATAAAGATGGTAGAAGTGAGATCGAGATACTCGATAAAAAGACGTCTACATCTGAAGATCTGCAAGAGGGAGCTAGTGGATCACCTATTCTGGCGGCCTCTCATTCTCCCCCCTATCACTCACCTGCACACAAACACTCAAACACACACGCTGTCACAAAATCTCCAGACATAGATCATGATCGCACTAGACCTGAACAGATCAGACCGCGATCTTACAAATGGGATCCTGCAAGATTTGTGCAGTTGAACACGTCGCAGGTTTTCGTCGTGTAGCTGTGCGAAAGATGCTGGAAGTGAGGTGGCATATCTATGTTTGAACTTGAAACGACTTTTCTGCTACGCTTTAACGAGCATTGATTTCCTGGCGTAAAAATGTTAAGTAATGTCTGAAGTTCTATTTTGATGCGATGACGCTACTGGAAAACTTTTTTATGGAAACAAGTCGTGACGGTGACACTGACACAAAAAATAAACAATAACAAGTACTACACAAAGAAAGAACCTTCACAAAAATTGCAAGAACATTGTCCATTCTTTCATCCATTTTTCTCAAACTACCAAGTACTCGTAATATCCCTTAGCCACCTTACTCGGCGGACACAGCTGTTGGAAATTCCGGATCACCTTTTCTATCGGAAGCCCTCCGCAGTGTGTAAATGCCGTATAATCAGCGGCGCCTCTTGTTGTGTTTGCAGCCCCATGCCCATATAGTGGGAAGAAGCTTTCAAAGCCCCTGTCGTGTAAGTATTTGGCGTAGTGGACGAGTAAGTCGACATCGGCTGTTGTCAGTTGCGCCAGGGGTATGAAAGTGGGGACGGCTGCATTTGGGGAGGCAAAAAACGATCCCACAAAGATTGCAAGCAAAAAAGAAATTGAGGGACAGCGGTAGTTGCTAGTTCTCCAGCATCATTCCAGAATCTTCAAACTCTAAACTGAATTAGCATTCAAATACTTATTTTGTCATTAACGACCTCACACCAGCATAAATTTCCGATTCCTTGGATCCGCGTCTTGATGATCAACCTTTCTCCCTGCCAAATGTGGTAGAGCGAAACACTGTTCTCCGTTCTTGTACTCCTCAGCATTCCATGACTCCAGAAGGTAGATTGGGTCTCTCGGACATGGCACTGTCACATTGTACAGTAAACACTTGGAAAGTGGCTGAATCAAACCTTGCAAGGGCATTTGACCGTTCCAAATTTGGAAGTCAGGTGATTCGCGCAGAAAACAAAGAGGATTAAGAGCTTGATGTGCTGCTTTTGTAGTGCGGGGTCGTGGTCTTGCCGATTTCGATTTCCCATGTTCTTGAGAATGAGATGAAGAAAGCTGCCCGCGCAGAGCCTGTGGCCGTACCACAGAACTCGTTTGTGCGGCTCTGGTGTTTTTATCGCGGTATCGCAAGTTGAAGGTTTTTCCACTTGTAGTACGAACATCTTTTCCACCAAAAGGAGAAGTCGGCCATCCCGGTGCTCTAATCCCTTGCGCACTAACAGAAGACGCGGAGCCCTGTTCATCCTCTTCCTCGTCACACGCTTCATACCCAGATCCGCTCAACCTGTGTTGATACGCAAAGTTCAGAGTTCCTATCCGCACGTAGCTTCTAATGTCGAGTTGCAGGTAGTAGGGTTCGTAGTAGCCACAGGTAAGCATATCATCTCGAATATTGGCAAAAAACCTCGAATCTGCATGATCTGCACTCTTTGCGACATAGCACTCCTTGAAGCCGTACTTTTCGGTCATGAGAAGCGCGCCTAAGGCTTCGCCCACCTGCATCCATTCAGCAGGTGAGTTAACTCCAATAACGAAGTCAACGTCGTCGTCGATGACATCTTGTCTGCCTTCGCCGGTAAGAGTTCCAACGATTGCGCCGTAACGGAGAGCGCCGAGGGGGTTAGATGTGAGACTGACTACATCTACAGCAAGGATCCACATTGTTGATTCATCACAGTGTCGTGCACGAATTACAGCCTCTACGACCTGAGGTACAACTTATGAAGTTCTACTAAGGCTTTGTTCAATTTCTTCGGGATTGTAGCAAAACTTGAACATAATCAGAGTCCCTCCAGCTGGCCACCACTCATCCAAATCCAGCTCTTCGAATACGCCGATAGCTCGCAACGCTATTTCCTTCAATTCATCGTCATATGCTTGAGGAGAAAAAGTATCTTTTCGTATTGGCTGACACACTCTCGGCAAGCCCTCTGCTTCTCTTTGCTCGTTGACACCCGCACACCCTGCTTTCGCTCGGACACCTTTGATGGCATGCTCGCGACGCGCGTCGAAGCCTCCAAGAATCGTGTTCGCGATTGAGACTAAGTTTGCGTAACCAGAACTGATGACGTGAGCCCAACTGCCGACGTCGGTTTGGACCTGTGGCGTCGACCGATAGGCCCACCGATCTTGCATTGGCAGAATGAACTTCGTCTGCCAAGGTCGTAAGATGCCATCGGAGATTAGAAGTTTCGACTCGATAAAAGTTCATGATTCTTGGTCTTCGGTGATGTGCGAATACCAAAGTATGGGCTAAGTGTTTAAGCGAGAGCAGAGACCTTGCAGCTCTCGCAGTTGGTTAGGTTAGGTTATGGATCCTGCACAACGAGCCCCGCCGGCACCTGCTCGCCTCAGAGAATGATGGGCGACTTGCGCAGTTGTCACCAAAGTAAGATCGCAAACATCAACTTAAAAATCTTGTAGAATGTATTAAATGAGCAGGCTTAACCAAATTTGCTGGAACTCCGATAATTGCCTTTTCTGATACTCTCCCCAAGGCCGTCCAGTGCCCAGGTGCGTCAAAAGCTCAGTTCCACTATACAGAGCTGCATGCACAGAGTTTACGATCATTGCTGGGAAGCATTTTTGAGCTAGCCAAGTTGCGTCTGTGTACGCAAGTAGGTTGATCAAATCTTGCATCTTTCTTCGCACTGCACTGAGGTAGGTTTGCGAACTGTGACGACAGAGAGCGCGGCCGATATCAAGAAGGCGTAATTCGAGGGCTTCCATTTCCTCTGGGTCGTCTTGCTCCACGTTTATCCCAGCAGGACTAGAACCTCCTTCACCTTGCAGCTCTTTCTTGCTTCTTCCATTCATTATCGTCTCAACAAAACCATCCTCTTGCAGTTGTCGTGCCAGAAGCACTTTCCCGTATTGAGCTGTATCTTCGAGAACCTTTGCGAGGTCTACAACATGGTGAAATTGATGGGTCTCCGTTTGTTCCTGGTTCTTTTTGTCTCTGTCATCGCCTAAAACCAATCCTTTCCATAGAGACTGGAGAGCTTCTGTATTTGCCTCTATTGCGGAGACAATATTTTCGGAATTCTCGTTGTTTTCAGAAGACGCTGCTTTTGCTGTTGTACTGACCGCAGAATTCTTCACTCCCCACCTCTTTTCGTCTTCACTCCTCTGTCTCAATATCCCCAATGCATGCTGTAAGAATAGCCATGCCGAATCCATCGTCAGTGCTGCACAGTGGATGTCCTGCTCGATCGCGCCTGCTCTGTGGTGTGGTGCAAGTTCTGTGCGCATTTTCATCGTATCCGCAGCGCCTTCCATGAAGACATGGTAAAAGTTGACATCTTTCACATGCCTAAAAGCCAACGCCTTCTCCATGTCACGCATCTCAGGTGTTCTTTCTACGCACTGTGAATGCTCCGCTAGTTCTGTCAGGGTCTTCGGAAACTGGCTGGTGAAAACGCGTAGGGGTATGAAGGAAGAATCGGGCGGGAGGAGTAATATTTACACAAAAGTTGTATTGCTGCCCTGGTCTTCAAATGTTTATGAGGAAGCATTAATCCCTCTTGGTTTTCATTCACACGGCTAAGTACTTACAGCAAAAATATTACTCCATCCATAAAACTCGCAAATGCTTGTACTGGTCTCTGTCCTTTCGAGAGTTTTCGTTGACCAGCAGGCCTAGCGTTCTGTAGCAGGGCTGCTGTCCAGTGCACCAGATGTGCGTAGGCCTGCATTAAGAGCGGAAAGTAGGGTGACGAAGGATCTGCAATGATAGGTCGTGGATTGCGGTATCTGCGGACGGCGCTTGGTAAGCCGACATCTTCTGAGGCAGTTAGAAAATGAGTACAGTAGAAGTCTCGTCTTTGAGAGCAACAACATGACCATGAAGATCGACTTGGAAGTGAGTGGAAGTTACAAATGATGTAAGTCACTACGACAGCCTTAACCACACAGGCCCATTCGACTCGGACGGTTTTGGAAACAATGTCCCATTTGGAAACAGCGATGGTGCGTATGCCTCATGCAAAGCCGCAAGCTCTTTTAGCAACATGTAGCGTTTTGTCTGTGGCGGGTTGTGCATCTCATAGTAAATTGCGTGTGCCGCGTGCTCCACTCGTTCAGACAACCGCAACACCTCATGCGCAAAGGCAAGAGGCTCGCACACTTCTCTTGCATGGAGAAGTATGATCTGGAGGGCACCACTGAAAGCCGGAGGAATTAGAGAGAGGACAGGATCATAGAATCAAAGTCATACTTACACTTGCTTTTAGTTGAATTTCCATAATTTTACTACTTTGACTTTGTTTTTTTCGCCTTAACAAAGTTTGCATCCATCTTGCTAAGTCCTCTTGTTGGCTTCCAACCGTATCTAAGCTTTCGTGGAAGAAGAGACCATATTCCATCAGACTCGTTGGCGTTAATGGTAGACTCGTTGTTTCGTCACCTTCTTGTGGTTCTGCCGCATCTGGAGAGACCAGAGTTTGTAAGTTGAACTTCTCAACTGTTGATGCAGGTGGGCGGATAGTGGTGGAACGGGTGAAGGTCGTCGATGTAGGACTAGGAGTAGGAGTTGTTGGTTCTTCAGCTACTAAGCTTTCTCCGGATGCGATAATAGCTGAGTTCACGTCGTCACGATCTGCAGAATGCAGGAGTTGCGCCTGTTCTTCCCCCAACAACAGCCCTGCATCTTGTGGCGAATGCAAAAACCCTTGCTTTGGCTTCTGCAACCGCCTAATGCGATCATATTCTTGATTCCTCCATTTCAGTCTTGCTATTGGCTCTTCACCACCCAGATACTCAGGATAAACAAGCCGTTCTGTGCTTTTTTCGTTCTCCGCATAGTTGTTGCGCAATTCCCAATGCTCCAAATACCAGGAACTGTCTCGCACTCGATAGATATCAAACAACAGCTCCCGATAACGGCCAAAAATGTCGTGCAGCTGGCCTCCAGAACTCAAGCGGTAGGCCTCAATGGGGCAACTGTAGCGTTTGGCGCGGGCATCTTCAGAATCCTGTGAACTAGAGCTCGTCGCCCTTATGATCTTGTGACTTGGAATGTAAGAAACTCGTAGATTCTTTGGCAAGCTATCGCTGTCTTGCAGACCAACTGCGGCTCGTGCCTGTGGGGCATGGTGGATTGGCTGCGCTTTGATAAGCTGTGTGAGCAATATCAGCTGTAGTAGCCTCCCTAGGAGGGACATCATCATTGCCGCAATTTGTGCTTTATTGTGCCCGTCACAGCAACGACACTGGTACTGCTACGGAATCGGTTTGGGCATCATTTTGCGCACCGCCCAGACCAGAAGCATATTGTCAGGCGTTGGTTCGTCGAGAGGGCCTACCGGCTGACCAAAGCCACTGCCAAACGTGCTCTTTTTCTGTTCACTGGAAGCAGATTTGGCGAACGCGCGGTCAAAAGGGATTCATATCCATTTTTGTGGCCATGTTGATGTTGGGTGGGCCATATTTTTACTACGTTATCAAGTACCCTAAGCAGGCATTCTTAGAATTCATTGATATTATATGCGAAACGCAATGAAGGCTTCATGAGTCGGCGTAGTGTAGTTTTCAGCTGCATCCTCTTGCCCAATACTTTACTTTCTTCTTCTTGGGTTCTGTTGCCAGAGCACCCATCAAAACTATTCTCATACGCGGTTTTTCATGTGCACAATCTCTCGTAATCGCTCCTCACGGGATAAAGCAGGACGTCGACTGTTGACAACTAACACACACGCGTAACTAGCTCTTGTATCAGTTGGCACTAACTGTCGTGATTACAGTCCATTCATATGCGCAGCATGTTGTGCTCGGCGAATTTTGCAGTCAACAAAATTTAAAACATTTGGCTTGATGTTAATGTTTCTATATTCACAACAGGGAAATAATGTGCTAACCTTTGCTTGAGATGGTGAATGAACTTGGCTTCGATCATGCGGAGGCTCATCTGCATACGGATAGCATCATTTGGGATCGTTCTGGTCTGTTTGGTGGAGTGCTAGCATTGTTTGTAGTGAGTATTGCAATTGCTTTTCTTGGTACTAAGTAAAAACAATTTCACTCTCTCTATCCAGCAAAAAAAATCTTTGGCTTTGCGCTTTCGTTCTTGTGGCTGCAGGCACATTTTTTTGAAAAATTATTCGAGGACAAGACAGCGATAAAAAAGGTTGTGTAAGTAAATGCCTTCATTACATCGAATAATGAAACACAAAAATTATACACGGAAGTAGCAGTCAGGAGCCACAGTCTCGGAAGTGTCAGTCACATTCATTCTCTCGTCTTTCTTCCAGAAGGGCATCTGCCAGCTCCGCACGCCAGGCCTCGATAAAGCCACTGTTCAAGGCATGAATAAAGTCGCTCTCCTCGTTTGCGTCGACGGATGCGGAAAGCAGGACACTGTCGCTGAGGATTAGAAGAGGAGGCGACTCTCCGACGTAGTAGACGCCGCGATACAGATAAGTACATGTAGGGAAGATCATGAAGTCACATTTGTTGCGCCGGCAGTACATATTTCTTAATGGAAACAACATTAACCGGCTACACATATTCTTCTGCTCCTGGTGCACATCCACATATCTTGTCTGATCTTAACTGACTCATAGCCTGCCCACCACCAGTGTCGGTGAGCTGTTCTCCTGGTGTGACAGCATCCTGTGACAAGACCTCAAAGTTCGAGAACAACGAATATCGGATATACTGCGTGCAGGCATCCATCCGGACTCTCACTGTTTGGCGTAGAAGAGCTGCCATGTATGCGTCAAAACTTTCTGCACGGTTGCGGTGTGGGAATTAGAGTGTTGAAATAGAAGAGTTCGTTGTAGACTCTCTTTGGTAAAGTAATTACTGGAAGACAGAGTAATGATCTCAGCAGAATTTAAAAGATCAAGCTTGTAGGTGGAAGTGGACTCACATGTACGCTCACCTCATAAAGCAAGTAATGCAGCACCCAGATGCCACAGGTATTAGCGTCATGCTGCACAGGGAGAGTGTTGCTTTGTACTTCGATACAAATCTCACCTGGACCCGGATTGGCGTTTCTTCCATGTGATGGCTGTGAAGAGTTACGCGGTGGATGCTCACGTGCCTTAGGATACTCACGTGCCTGCTGTGCCTCCTGAAGAGGTTGTAGAGAAGCACCAGAAATGCTACGATCTCTACTTGTGCTTCTGGATCTCGATATCCGCCTTTTATGTATAAATTCTTGCGTCTGTACTGGATCCGCTGTTCGCGTTTGCGTTGGACTGGCACGAACACCAGCAGCAGCAGACCCACCACCACGACGTTTCAGAACTAAACCGAGTTTACCCCCTCTTCCGGTATTTTGTCCGGTTTGTTGTGCTGCGCTCGTTCTACTTTTTTGTCGACTTTTCCTTGCTTTACTCATGAAGCAATTTCTTGTAGTGGTTCTATTTGCAATAGCTTCTTCTTGACGTGGTAGAGCAGCTACACGACCTTGAAGATGGGTCGCTTCTTGATGCTGTTCTCGTTGCCCTCGTCCCTCGTATTCAGAGATCACTTCGACCAACAGCGCTTGCACTTCATCTATCACCTCTGGGACAGTGAGGGCTCGCCAAGAAGTGGATCGCCCTGTCTTCTCTATCTCTTGTCTATCTCCCGAAGAGACAGAGAGGCTTCCTGTTGCACCAGCAAAACATGGCGTGGTAGAAGATGTTGAATTACCTGTCCCTGTGGCACTGGAACGAGAGTTAGCCTTAGTAGAGGGTTGCTGCATAACACCAGTTGTACTAGTACCATCATTTTTTGTTGTTCGATCTTTTCTGGTGAAAACCCTGCGATCTGATGAAACTCGAAGCGAATCTGTTGTAGACCCGCTAAGTCCACCTTGTTCTCGTCCGTCATCATCTTGTTTCCGAAGGGATGATGCTCCTCCTCCTCCTCCTCGACGGAGTCCCTGACCGTGAAGATTTAGACAAGAGAAAGAAGATCTTCACTTCATCCCTGAAGAGGGTGACCATGATTTAGACAAGTAAAACTAGTAGACATCTTCCTTAGTACCAACGAAAATTTCCATCCACCATAAAACCATTGGCGGGATATCAACCCCAGGGAAAGTAGACCCTACGCTGCCACCCGTCCCTAGATCCGGCATGCCGGCAAATGGAATCGAATTTGTCCTGATTTCCACGGTGTGAAATGGATCTCCCCAAGGTGCGGGAGTTACGTGTCCAGCTCCTGCGGCCAATCCCATCAATAGCATAAATGGATTCTGCTGCTCAGCTGGGGCGGGACTTGTTTGCACATATGACAGCTGGTCCATACTGGTGGTTGCCGGGTTCGTATTCGCATGTCCGAAAAAGGTGGAACGAAGTTTAGAGCAATTGATGAGATCATCATAGTTGATCAATGATTTGATCAACTTAATTGCCACAGAAAAACTAACAAGGATAGACACAAATAGGTCGAATCTTGGATGAAGAAGAGGAGGCGCAGTGAATTGAATAGAGAGACTGAGATGCTCTCATCGCGACTCCTCACGCTACAGTAGGCGGAGTAGAGACAACAACCGATGGACCGAACTCAACAAAGTGCCTCAACAATAGGGAGCGGAAAGGTGGAACACAGGGAGGGTATGGAAAAAAGATGCACTTTGAAATAGAAGCATGGCTACGTGCAGAAAGACCTGTTCCTTCAAGCCGCACGTGGCAGAGACGGAAAAGGTGGGACGAGTAAGCCAGTTCGCGGCTGCATCGTCTGCTAAGATTATTGCGCACAACAAGTAGTGATAAATTTTTTCTTTAATTGATGAAATAATTTTCGTTTTAACTAAACGGTGCTACTGCAAGTCAATATCGAAACATGAAGCATCTTCTTACATACTTAAACTGTTCATAACTCCCTCTCTGATCGTTTCATCATCCACAACGAATTGGGTTGGTCGCAGACGTGCTTTCCCCATCTTCAGTACTGCGTCACTCACACTCGTCCACCAACTTTTACTATCCTCGCGAAATTTCATCAGGTTTTCGGTTCTTAGGAAGGCTTCTAGAGGGTCGACGAGCTGCGCCTGTTGGGAAGCAGTAGCCGAGCTGGGGTCGTGAAGCATCTGAAAAGACGCATGCGGCCCAATCGAAGCTGGTCTAGTAGACATCGATGTACTGCCAGCTGAGTCATTATCCGCCTGTGCAACTTTTTTATCATCTTGGTCTTGGAGTTGGAGCTCTTCTACAGTTTCAAACCCGCCCGTTGAAGATGACCCACCTACAGGACTCACCTCAATTGGTTGTCCATCGTCCTCAACCGCGTCCCGATGATGTTTAGACAGTGAGTCATGTAGAACTAAGGCACAAGACGAAGATGAAGAACGATGACTTGTTGTAGATTTGCCGGTGTAAGCGAAAGGATGTATAGCTCCTTTCGCTTTGTGCAGATAGGGCGACAAGCTACGTTCTTACTTCAGTCGTAGTCGTCTTAGCGAACTTCTTGAGTGTGAGTACACTTCTTTCTTGCATATCTTTGAGTCCTCGAGTAGCCGTGGTTGCAGGATTTCTGCTACCATGTTGATCGTCGGAGTAGTTTGGTGGAGATAACGGCGCTTCACTAGAGGACGACTCGTCTGGTAAAGTCGTTACATCAATGGTGAGCCCTCTGGACTTTTGCTTTGCCGATCGCAGCGAATCAGAATTTTTAGATGATCGGTCCCGGCAAGGAGGGCTGCAAGGATCGTCGGACAAAACCGTAAGATCTTCTAGATATCTTGTTGTGTAATCTATTACATAGTCTGCTAGATGATCTCGTGTCTCTTTGGTCGAAGATTCGCGCCAATGTTTTTCACCTCCATCCTTGTTCTTGAAGAAAAGTTGCGTTAGAGCTCAAAACAATTCATTTCTTGGATTCATTTCTTTAGAATCCCAAGAGGGAAACAGAAAAAAATGTCAGCTGGAAATGAATTGTTTTGAGCCCTAATGGTGTCTCTGTCGTCGTTGACGTCTTTCTCCTGATCTCCAAAGGCGAAGAAAAGGGAGAAGCCGACGTGGTCGTGATATTATACCCTTCTTCAGAGATGAAGTCTTGGTCATCATCTTGTTGCAGCGCAGGTCTTTCTACATCTACTTTACAAGTACGAGCACCGTCATCTTGCTCCCTGCCTTGAAACTCTGTTAGACACTCAACGCTTGTCTGAGACGTTGACAGATTTACGCACACTTCCATAACTTTTTTATTTGTTTCGTTCTTCTCTTCTTTGGCCCCAGATCCAAGTCCAGACCCAGGCCAAGCTGCTACTCCAACGCCTGCGCCTGCAGTGAAAGAGAAAGCATGTACGTTTTGATATTTTTGAGGTAGGCCTTTGCTGTTCGTTTACCCCGTTCGTTATGCCTTTCCTCCTTCAGAAAGGCAAAACGAACAGCATTAACAGGAGCACCTTTAGCCTACCCTTACATATTGCGGCAAATCTGAGGGCAAGAAACAAATCCGTGTGGTTTCGTTTTTCGGTAGGATCATGTCGTAGCCCATTGTTAGATCACTAAAACCGTCACCACTCGGCAGGCGTACTAGGGCTGGCGTTAGAAAGCGGGAAAGATGGGAAAAGGGGCTGCTTCATCATTATAAATACAGATGTAGGTGGACGAAGAGGAAGACTTACACGGTTCCGACGAAATGATTCTCTACGAAAGAAGAAGAGCACTCACTGATGGAAACGAAGAAGGCGAACATGATCCTAAGACAGAAATAAATGTAGCAAAGACGAGCCATAAAGCTGGTTGTCCTCGTCCTTCTCCAGTAGTCTTGGGTTGCTCGACGCCGCCAAGTTCTGCGTGATCTACAGCACTAGCTTCCGTACAGCTTCGCTCACTTCGCATACTACCTAACGTCTGCCTCCGGAAAGCCTCACTCTGTCGTGCATATTTCAGGATCTCCTTTACCAGTTGGGTTCGATTTACACCGGCATCGATTTCCGTAGCTGCGAAATCAGCTTTACTGTCGAAGAACTCGATACGGCGATTGATCACGTCGATGCCTAAACAAGCCCAGTGGTCTCCAGTCGCGCCTGACAACACACGTCGTACTCTGGCAGTCACGGACAGCATCAAGGGCATGAAAATGATGGTGCCAGGACAAGGACGAGTTTTACAAGCTTTCTGTTTCGTGGTTGCTGGTGGATGCTGCCCGTGGCGTTCGAGAGCCATGCGGAGTTGTTCTGATGAAATGAGAGGTTCAAGAAGTAGTTTCTTTACACGTGGATTAATAGGGTCATCAACACATAGAAGATACCTGTCTGATAGAATGGCCTAAGTCGGAACGAATAGGCACCAACAGCAGGAGACACGGGTTTCACATCTCGTCTAGAAGTTGTACCTTTCAAATCCTGTTTCCAGCTCGCCCATTGTACTTCGCGATTGTGTGGACCGTCTGCTGCGTGCAGAAGGTAGAAATCTATCAGGTTTGGTAAATGGAGCTCGTCCATCAGCTCACGCATTTGGAATCGGTCTATGCGTGTCTGAGGCTCCCTCAGTCGTAACAGGATCTCAGGTACTGGAGTCAGACTTACAGCACCACGATCCGCCTCAGGTATCACGTCGTACTCTTGCAGCTCTGCGGAGGGAAGGAGCTGGGAAGCGCTGTCGGGGTATGAAAGAAGAGGGCATAAGTACATATATAAGAAAAGGAGACAAGAAAATAGCGTGATGAGACGACGGAACGGAATCAATACGGTTATGGACGACGTTGAGGGATCATCTCAAAATCAGAAGATACTTACCCAATACCTTCTCAAGTGTCAACATAAAGTATTCCCGGGCGTTCTTATCTCATTCCAAGAACTTGACATTGAAATTGATGTTGCTACTTCTGGTACTTCTTCTACTCCATGTCCATCTTCTTGCACTTGCGGAGGTTGCGCTTGCGCTGCCTCTTCAGGTTCTTCAGTAACTCGTCCCTTCCATGTCGAAGGACCAACCCATCCATCTCTGAGATTGGAAAATTAGAGCTACAGCGTTGGCATCCCTGAGTTTAAACTTAGTCCTTTTTTCAAGTAGAAAAAGGGCCGAGAATGATGCTGAGGATGCTTGAGCGGTAGCCTTAAGAAAAAGAGACATGGCCCCAAGCACGCAGGTTCCTAGGACCCTGGTGTTGAGGGTTGCAAGTGCTGGCGTTGGATGAGGAATCATGTTGACCACCGCGATCTTGAAGTAGATTTTCATATGGAGATGAAACGAGATTAGGATCATCTTGTGGTTGAAGTTCGCCTTCCACGAGATTAGGACCTTGTTGTACTCCATGTTCATGTTCGCCTTCTTGAGAAGCTTTTGGAGAGCAAGGTGAAAGGTCTTGACAGTCATGCTCCTGCGCAGGTTCTACTCTGCAATAGACACAGACTTCATGATGTGTTGTAGAGTACTGAACTATAGCACAATCTTCAGGACTTGGACTAGGTTGGCGCTCTTCAACGTTCGCATCTTGTGTGCTTGAAGGAGCTTCAAAATCTTCCAGATCCATGTCATTCGAAGACTCATCCGGAGATGGGGACGACAGAGCTTCTTTCGGTATTACCTCTTGGAAGCCAGCATCTCTGTCTTCTGCTTGTACCTTCTGAAAATGAGACCACGTACTTGTTCTAGGGCTAGGTTCTTGTTCGGCTTGAGTCATCTGCATATCACCAGACGGAGTCTCTCTTGGTCCAAGCTGTATTTTCACATCGTGCCCAACTCCTCCAGCATCGGCTTCTTGGATTACATCAAGTTCTTGAACAGGTAGTTCCCAACTTTGACTCTTTGGGGTAATATCTTCAGCATCTTCTTCTTCTTCTTCTTCTTCATTTTGTTCACTTGTACTGTCCTTGTAGTTGTGGTTGTCGTCCTCAACGATCACATCAGAGTCCGTATGGACTACTTCTACTTGTTGTTCACTTGTTCCAGTTGTATCTCCTATTTTTTCTTTATCAGCATTATCTCTGCTCCTTCTAGTAGTACCTGTACTATCTTCACTATGGGTCCTCGTTCTTCTATAACTATGAAGATCTGCTGCTCCGACTCCATCCTCACACGTGTTGTTTTTGGTTCTTCCACCACGGTGAGTGCCAGTACTAGTACAACTAGTACCATCTTTATTACTAAGAACCCGTTCGTGTGCATGCCCTCCAATTTCTTTCAGTATGAAGTGAAACTCATCTGCTCCACCTTCTGCACGAGAAGCAGGACCATTGCCATTTTCCTCCTCTGCTGCATCTTCCCTAGGATCAACAGCATCAAAATCTTTTTCCGTTCTCGGAGACGGTCCCAAATGCATTCCTGCATTTTCATGATCTGGAACCATCTGCATATGCGCTGACGAAATCTCTTCCACCAACGCCGAGCTTGAGGTTGAATACGGAGATGCTGAAGGTTCACTTCTGTTGTGTCCATCGTGCTGTGCGAAGAAAGGATGACCCTCCCCCTGCAGCGCTGGCCCTGATTCACCATCATCTGGTCGCAGCAGTGCATCTCCTGGTCGTGAGGATGATGATGCATGACCACCATGAGCAGCTACAACACCCTTATTGTTCCCCTCATGCAGCTCTACATCCATCACATTTTCGGTCAGCACCAGCTCTTCTTCATCTTCTAGTACTCCGATTGCGCTGGCCTCCTCTGAAGGGGACGATAAGACCACAGCCGGCTCGTCAGCCGTTGCTGTATCGAGAAGGCCACGGAATTTCAAAGGGAGGGTTGCAGTAACAATGTGGCTGGCCAAGTGGTGAAAAGCGTGGAAAACCACGAAAAAGAGCAGGTTGTAAACTCGTCGTCTCTGCATCATGTTCATTTTCATTATCATGCTTGATCTTTTTATCATGGAACAGATGAACTATCTACTTGTTTTTGTGGTAGTAGTTCTAGCTCGTGTAGTCGTACTAGTCTTCCACGTATCGGATATGAATAATACAACCCATTTACCTTTTCCTCATTGGACATCTTGTGCTCGTTATGCGCTACTAGTATGCTGCTTGTTGATCCACTTGTTTATAGCAAGAGCTACAAATATATACAGAAACTCAAACATCATGTCAAAAATGAAAAGCAAACTCCCAATAAAAATGGCTAAAGCTACTGTCGTGTGGTTGTCGGAGCCCAATACCACAACGAGCTACTTTAGTACGAGAAGTGTGCATCGGAAGAACACATCACTGTTCTGTTCTGCGTCTGCAGGATGAGAGACACCACCACGTCCTATGAAGAATGAGAAACACCGCCTCTTCTACTTCTTTGCATATTAAGCGGTGATGAATCCTGGGACAGCAACAATATGCACATATTGATCTAGGTATGAGCAGTTTAGTGCAAGCCAATACAACGGCGTACCAGGGTCAAGATGCAGCCCCAATGCGTAGAAATCCCATACAAAGGACGATGAGGATGAGGATGAGCCTTCTTCTGAGTCTGGTCTTAGAAAAGGTAGTTTTTCTGCTAAAGCATCACCTATTGACATGGGACGCAGCATTTCTTGTTGTTCTAGCTCACTATTTACAACGTCTGTAGAAGCTGCAGCTGGAGAAGCCACAGCAGCACTTCTTGGGCTAGCACTTGTAGTACTCGTAGGACCGTCTCCTACTTGTCCAGCAGTTGCACTCGCGGCCCTAGTAGGTGGACTAGCAGCATTTACATCTTTAGCTGCATCCGTAGATCCACCTGCTGTTCCATGTGACCTGTTGTAAAAGGGCTCACAACAACACAAAAAAGTACTGAAGCCGTGGCTTCTTCCTTCTGCTTTCTGGATGTGGTCTTCTTTCTGATGTTGATCCCCACCTCCGTCATGATCACGTCGGGGAGAACCATGCAGAAGATGCACTTTCAAGGCTACCGACTTCCATGCTTTCCACGTCTTCGGAAAACCGAGTTGCGATGTTATGATGCGCAGGAGATTAGAAGAATAGATCAACAAGAAATTTAAAAATTCTAGAAGTACTAGAAGTTGCAAGCGAAATCGAACTATTCGATAAACTGTGAAATAAGCAAGTAACTACCAAAAAAAAGCGAGATGCTGAAAAAGGCGAACAGCGTTGTAACTCTTTTATTTCAGTTAGCTACTCGCTTATTCATTTTCACTTTTCGAATACAACAACTACTGACGTCATATGTGTGCTGCTCGCCATAAAGTACAGCTCGTGATCGCAAGTCGGCCCATGAACAGCTTCTAAAAGCTGTTTTTGCGCTCCCATTGGAACGCGCATGAACGCATTCGCATGTCCGTATTGAAGATACACCGCTTTCCGCAAGGCATTCAGATATGAATCCCGATGCGAGTCTCGATCATAGGCCAGATCCGTGAAAGAATCCTGCACAGCTTCAGAGCCACCTGCTACTTCAGACGGTGCTCGAAAATGCACGATGACATTATGGACCTTATTGTTGTTGACGGCTATGTCGGAGGGAGTGCTTGTTGATCGATGTTGTCTTGAAGTGCTGCTGGAGGCGGTGGAGGGAGTGGAATGAGTTAGAAGAGGTGAGGGGCACTAGGATGTGATGGCTCAACCGACAGAGAGACGAGCAGAAGCATTGGTGCTGGTCGTTACTCAAATTTTCTTAATAAAATATTGGTACGGCTAACGATCGAGATCGAGTTGTTCGTTTTATGGGCCTGAAACTGTGAATATGCAGCAACTGTTTTCATACCCAGTAATGTATATCCCACGATACTCCGATCGGCAGACGCGTATCTACTGGTCTCGCTGAGCCTCGACTACTGCTCGGATTCCCGATCGACTGTTGTGTAGTGCCAAAAGGAAGTAGAGTGTTGGTGTTTTGTCCACCAGTCCGTATGTGTGCTTGTGCACCCTGTCCTTGTCCTTGTCCATTCTGTGCTCCCTGACCCATCAATTGCTCCTCTTCATCAGCCGTTCCTTCCAACTCCAACCATATCTCCGACAGAGGCTGTAAACTAGCTGCAAGGCCAAACCTTGGTGCCAGACAGGACTTGAAATGGGCATAGACGTCGTCGTAGAGTGAAGGCCAGTAGCTGTAGCGTGAAACGAGGGCATAAAACGGATCGGGATCGACTGAGTCTGCAATTTCGTCGCTGGAAACACGCAAACAGACCAAAATTTGGCTCGCACGAAAGAGTCTTCTCCTGAACACTGTCTCCAAGTCGTTCAACGGATTGGAATTGGCATCTACGAGGACCAACATGTTGAGGTGGTCGTCGTGAGGCTGGTGATGAGAGTCGTCATTCGCTGACGCAGTCGCAGAAGCAGCTGAAGACTTGTGCAAGGAAACGGCCATGATTTTGTTGTTTTGCGCTCCTCGCTAGTAAAAAGGGAGGACAAACCGATCGACTTTTGTTTCCTTTTCCTCCATAATCAAATGAAACATATTGACTATAAGTAACTGGAAGAAGAAAGCAGAGTCGCACTCGTAAAATTCATCAACACCTACGGGATTGGTATTGGAGGATCGATCTTAATTGATTGGAAGGCTGTCGAGCTCGCGCGCTTCTGATTTATCCAACATCTTGGGCCACAGCTGTTCTCACAGCGAAATCAAGGAACATCACACGCAGGCGCCCACTAATCTTCTTTGTTTCTCATTCTCCTATGATATGCATGCGTGTTAAAGAAGCGACAACATGAAAGAATATGTTGTTTTCGTCCAAAAATACCATTGAATTTTGATGCCTTTCAACTTGAATCCTTCCACCCAAGAAGTTAGAAGAGTCTCAATCATGTCCCCAAATGGATTTCCAAAAAGAGGTCACAGCTCAACAAGGCCAGACCAAATCCCCTCGCTTGCCTCCAGATAGTGACTCAGGACCGAGGGTCTTGACTCAGTGGCGACGACCTGTTCCTTGTCGATGTTGTTGTCTGTCTTCGAGCTCCTCACAAAGCCCTGGAGCTCCAAAAACGCATTGAAGTTGTTGTTGATAGTTGTTTTCTTCTGTCTTGCAACATTGGCTCGTGCGCCGGATGAACTGGCATCTACTGTCGAACTCTCTGCAGTTACGGCAGCATCATTGGTGATTAATTTCGGACTGTCGTGCTCGTCTGTAGTTAAACCAGCACGATGAGCTGCTTCCTTCTGGGGAGTCTCCACCGTCTCCACAGGAGCAGATTGATGGGAGTCTTCCGGAACAATGACAAGGACGTTGCTACTAGGATCTAGTTCTATATGACTGCTGGAGGACGTGGACTGCTGTTTGTGATTGTCCTCTTGATCATTGGAGGTAGTAGTTCTACTCGCATCAGAAGACGCAGATATTGTATCAGAAGACGTAGATCTTGTCCCGTGAAGATCTTCTTTTTCGAGGGTGGTTTTGCTTGCCTCAGAAGACGCAAGCGAGTTGGTGTTGGGGGAGGTCATCTCAATGAGACTCGCCTGTTGCGAAACTACTCCTGCGTAATTCTCATCACTAAGTGCTTTCAATGACATCCCCAGCTTATCCAAGTTTCGCTTTTTGTAGTCGTGATGCAAAGCGTGCTTCTGCAGGGCCAACATGAAACAGAGAAACTTTCTCGTTTCTGGGCTCAGATTGACTTTGACAGGAGCCTGCGCTTTGGGTTTATCAGCCGGTCGCTGACGTTTAGGGTACCCATGCTGGCGTCGATTTACTGCTGGTTTGGCAGGGGTGCTTGGCTGCTGAAGCGCAAGACTCGGAGGTGGACGATTGCCCTGACACGCGGATAATAGTTCGTCGTGAGAAATGGTATTGAATGGAGGTGGAAAATCAGTTTCCTTGAGATTGAGCGCAGCATGATCATCAGCGTCTGAACCTTGTGCAGCGCGGACCGCCCGGACCGCCCACCACTTGTGAAACCCATTCTGTAAAGGGTCAACACCCCCTTCATCTTCAAGCTTCCTGGTGATCTCGAATCTCCACCGCTTCCAGTATTCTATGCTCTCCCGCAAGAACTTCGTATGGCTAGCATCATCAGTTTTCCAGAAATATGAAACCATTTCATGCTGCACTATCCCAAGCGACCAGATATCGCATGCGTGCGCCTGTGGCACTGGCACTGGCACTGGCACTGGCACTGGCTCTGGCACTGGCACTGGCACTGGCTTTGGCTTCGGCTTCGGCAAACGCTTTGCACCTGTGAGAAGTGACATCAATCGGGATCGGAATGTTGTAATCGGGATCGGAATGTTGTTCTTGACGATATGACAAAAGATAACAAGTTGTACTATGTGGAGTAGAACTTCTACGCAATAACTAAAACTTAATATAACCAATCAAATAAAAGTCAGGAGTCTCATTGACTGGGAATGCATTTCTATTTTGCTTTTTACCGGCTTTGGGTTTTGCAGGTTCTGCGCTTCTCTTGAGCGGGTCGCCAAGAAGGCGCGGGTCCATGTAGTAAAATGAGCCTCCGTCATCCTTCGTCCGCTCCAGTGAGACTGGCGACGACAAGCCGAAATCTGCGAGCTTGACGGTTATTGTTCCAAGATCTTCCGAATCCGACGTTTCTGTTTTCCCTTCAACAAGGAAATTCTCAAGCTTCACGTCACCATGTACCCATCCTAGAGAGTGCATGCCCTGAACTGCTGTGATTTCCTTCATGAACAACGACTGCAGCAATGGCGGAGAAACAGGGACTTGCTGTGTCAAGAAGTCATGCAGGTTCATTTCCAGAGATGGCATCTCGAAGAGAAAATGAGCATTAAGTATACCTTCTTGGCCAATCGACTTTACAGTCTCAGAAAAAGCGACACGCACACTGTTCGTAGGGACGCAGCATTGACGTTGCTCCTCTGGTCTGCTAGAAATGTCAAGGGCCACGTAAGCTTCTTTGAGCGCCATGGCTACTGCTTCAGTCGTGTCACCGTCAAAAAGCCACAGAAGCACGCTTCTGAAGTTGGCGTTGTTTTCATCCTCACTCTTTTGATGATCTCCCACAAAGAACGAAGTTCCCACCTCGTTATGTCTTGTTCCTACTTGAGCTGTTTCACCTAGAAGAGCAAGCAGGCGCTTTAGCTCCTTGCCCTTGATGTGGCTCAGCGAGATCGCAACGTGCTTCATTACTCTTTCTTGATAGTGATTCTGAGCGGGCCACGCCTTCCAATCAGTCGTGTATGATACTCTAACTGCGCGCCCAAACGTTCCGCTTCCTAACGGCGTTTCCCTTTCATCATGCTTTGCGCTTACCTTGATGTTTCCTTCTTCGCGCTGCACCTGCAATCTCTCTACCATGATAATTTCATCCCCTTGTTGACTCTTGCTGTTGGAGCTTTCATCGCGAGTTCCCGGAAAAAGTGGAGTACGTTGTTTCATGGCTGTGTCAGCCTGAGCATCATATCTGATTTTTCGCAAGGCTGAGTAGAAGGTTTGTTTTTGAGCTCCGTTTTCTGTAACTATCAATCGCGCCTCCAGAAGAGATTGGATAGTAGGAGATAAGCCCTTTTCATCCGCCGCGACTGTCTCTCCTTCGGTCTCGATCAATTTGGACAGAGCCAGAACGAGAACGTTTACGTGAACCAGGAACCAGAGAAGCAGAGGCAAGACCTGCGCTGTGGTCCGCCGTGATATAATCGACGACCAGAAGGCACAAGAAGGACGCATTTGCAGCGAGATGATCATCATCTTTAGAGACTAGTTCGAGTAATCAAACAGTTGAGGTGGAAAAATATGGACCCCTATCCTCCAATGAATACCTAGGAAACAACTCTCACGCTCCTGAGAAGATCCTGTGTTGAGCAAATACACGCACCACGTCACCTAGAAGTAACCAACAGAACCCACTTGATCTTTTCGTTCACGTCAAAAATCCAGCGTACACAATTTTACTTACCTTGTACACGCTCAGAGAGGCACCAAGAAGAACAAATAAGCATCGGAACATCCAGAAAGGTTCTCCTCATGAAAGTGAAGATGTCGCGGTTATCTTCAACATCTCGCTCACCTCATCCTCCAAAGGTGCCTTTGATTTTCAAGACTTTTCAAAAACCAAGATTGATAAGGACAAGAATTGGAGTTTGCCTCACATATTCCCAAAAAACACGATCTCAAATGCTATTATGCTATAGCACCTTTGTTCTGGCGGACAGTATCTTTTGTATCTGGTCGTGGTACTGCCAACCATAAAGGTTCTTACTATCTATCATCCTGCTTTCCTGATGCTGATCCCAATGCTTAGATGGTTCTTAATCATATGCCTATCCCATCATATCTAAAACTAAAAGAAGGGTAATCGCAGTAGAAAGACCAAAAATCTTGTTCACCATTTCTGTGCAAGTCTCTTCATAATTTTCACAACTGCTATCTTCTGAAATACAACACCATTTCGGAAATAGTAATTAGAAGGTTTACATTTACTAAAATATCCTCAATATGAGATTATCCTCACCCACAACTTCCATCAACCGCAGAAATACTCAAATTCCAAAAAAAAACAGATCAGAAGAGTGCATTAATACTATTTAACATTCCAACATGATAGAGTGTTTGAATATGACAACATATTGATACAATTAGAAGGACATCCCAGTGACTAAGGACTTAGCTCCTGTAGTAGCTTGCGACCACGACTAGGCTTTCCTTTTCCAAATGTTTGTGTTACATAAAAGCAGGTAGATTTTCGACATCAAAAAAAGTTCTCTCATATCTATCATTCTCTACGCTGACTATACTCAAGATTGCGATACTTGGTAAATTTCGCATATGCATAAAAAAGTATCATCTTATTTTTGAGTTGCACAACCACGATTCATCACTTCATTCGATTTGCATTTTATGCCTATCACTACCACTCAAAGTCAGCGTACTGTACGCAAGCACCTGCAAGCAAAGTCCTGTAGTGTCTACTCTTCCCTTCGCTCAAACTTCTTGGTATAAGTAGAAGAAATCGAGAATTCTAAAAACTTGTTACAACAATCTACTCCTTCTCCTTCATCATTCTTCAAAATGAAATTACCATGCAGCCGATGCCTTCTTCAAACCGCCGACTGGACGAATGACGCCATTGAGAATGAGCCTCGATCCCACGTAGGTGACGCAGAAGCACACACTCGCGAAGAGTACCAAGAAATGTGCGAAGTTTGTCCGGGAGTTAGAGCATTTAGGAGCATTTGGGAATTATTTTTTCGATAAGCAAAATCAATACTGATAGAGTGAAGTCCTGTATCTCAGGGCAAGTATCGCGAAACTCGTCCGCATGTCTAAGTATTTGCAACTTCTCTGAAAAAATGAACACTACTAAAATGTTCGTTTCGCATTACTACACACTGATACTGTATTTCACATGTAGGTACGAGCCATAAAAAAGTGCGCCAACACTGACAGCGCGTCCTCGCTACTCGCTGCGTGCGAGAAGTAGTAAAGCATCGCGCAACCCGCGAATCCGCTTCCTCCAGCATGCCACAATGTTGCGGAAACACGACCCTTCGGGAAAAGACCCGATGCGAGAGACAGCAAACTGGCATACAGAGACACCATCAACGCCCACAGGAGAAGGGTCACCACGGATTCTGGGAATTAGAGGATGTAACTAATAGATCGAGGTGTGAAGAGCAAATACTCAAACAGAACGGTTATCATAATGTGGATTTAACTAGTAAAGTACACGCGCATTAGCATTTCTTCCAATTCCAGCTCAATGCATTTCTACAACAATGCAATCGGTGGAAGGCAAGAAGATTTGAAGATTCAACTTTGAGAAGAGAATCCAAATTCATAATGTAAATTCATTCTCGCTGTGCCGCTGTCGGGGCCAAGCGTTAGTGCCAATAGCACTTCGCGACGGCCGATTGCGTTATAGAGTGCCAGCGTGTATCCGATTATCCCCCCACCATGCAAAACACCAAATATCACGTGTGCGGCAATGTTTAAAGAAGGCGTACTCGTCAAATGGGAAGAAGAAGAATAAGGCCTACTGCTCGATGTTGTGGCACCAGTACTGCTATTGTTCTTGCCCACACCTCCTCCCAGTCTGCTCAGTGAATCCGACCCTGAAGTGAGAGGCAAACACATCATCATTGCGAGAGCCCCAAGATCGGTTTTCACTGCGACCGTAAGGCCAAGAAGGAGACCAAATGTGTTCCCTGCTACCATGGCGAAGCGTCGGTTTTTAGAAGAGGTTAACGTAGAGCAAAAACTCGATAACGTAGTAGAAAAAATCAATCTATCTAGCAAGGAGCATCTGCCTGGTCCAGATCCTCTAGTTCCTTCTAAATTCACAAGTAAGTACTCCGAAAACCTTGACTCCACGATCCAAGAAGACCATCCTGAGGAACGAAAACAAATGGATTTCCAAGAAGTTGACGCCTTAACGTTTCCGTCTAAGAAACTGCCGAAGCTGATCAAGTTTAGCAGTGTCTTGAAAACGAGGAAGACCAGACACGGACGCGTGAGATGCGCAAGACCTCCAAGAGAGGAAGAAGAAGCAGTCCAACCATCATCACTGTCGAAATTCTTCCTTACCTCCTCCTCAGTTGGGAAAGAGAATCTTCCTTCACCAGTAAAATTATGAAGATGAGTGTTCTTTGACGATGCACCACCTTGAAATGGTGACTCTCCAAGGTTTGCTTTTGCAAAGCCAAGTTTCTTCACAGTTGTCGCTGAGCCAGCACCTCCAGGTAGAGCACTCGGTAAGAGAGCTCCATTCGAAGTCGTCTTCATCACGAAGAAATCGTTGCGCATATTCCCCTTCGGCGCGGAAGAGGATTTATCCGTATATTAGATGATGATGATGATGAACTATCATCTTATATATAATACTTATAGTAAGTCAAAGTCTAAGTGTAAGTGTGAGAAAGATGTGCCTGTTGGTGAACTGCAACGTGCTACATACATACATACCAGCTACAACACAGACCCTCTTGCTCTAACCTACTCGTTGTCGTCCTTAATCTAGTAGTTCCTGAGTGTCGTTTCTTGAAAGTGGGTTTGATTTTTTCATTGTGACAGCGACATGAGGTCATATACAAACTGTAACCTTAAAAAAGTCCCCCAGTCCGCTGCTTCATCAGCACTATCGCTTCTCCACACACTGAGGATGCGAAGAACAAACCGCTGATGACTCCTGAAAAGGCGACCGACAATAAAAATCCATTTTGCAATGAGTCCTTGCCTTCCCACGGTAAGCCGACCGTCGAAACGGACACGAAAGCAGTGGCCAAGACGATGGTTTCGATTCCGACCAGTAGCGCTAATGTGCGCATTTCCGAAGCAATACGGAGGAAACTGGCAGTACTAGACACACTTGGTTTCTGTGGTACTCCTTTTACTGTCACGACCTGCTGCATGCCCTTGACTACTGGATCATCCGCTAATGGATCACGGCGTGCCATTTGGAAGATCTTCCTCTGAATCAAACGCATGCACCCAACATGATGGGCGTCTGCCAAAGGAAACCCTTTCGTTAGAAATTTCTATGTACTTGGTTTAGTATGCATCTTAGGATTTACGAGAACGTAGGGATCACGTTCGTGGTCTCGTTCGTGTATATCGCGATCTATGGCATTCGCAGTACTGCCTGAGAAAGTGAGCGTCATCGTCGTAGACATGATCCTCCTAAAATACAAATTAGGCCAACTCATTTTGCAATCCTTAACTTGGGTGTCAACGAATCGCCGCCAAATAGCATGCCCTCGACTTCTACTTCGTGCAAGACGTTCTCCCCATCTTCCTCGACATCAGCGAATACGCCAGCTGCTTTCCCAGAAGCCCCCATACCGCCAGCTCGCGCGACAAGGATTAGAGAGTGTGAATGGTGATATTATATATAAATCTAAATTTAGTTGGCGTTGGGTCCATGCGGCGCATGCTGATGCTAGTAGCACTCCAATATGTTACTTCAAAATACATACTATACAGGTATAGGTCTAAGTGCAGGTCGTGCATCTTCGATTTAATATTACTACGCACCTAGCTCCACTACCACTCCCATTAGCGTAGCCTTAAGAGAAGAAAAATCGCGAGAGTGAAGATGACGGGAGCGACAAGGAAGTAAGGATGAACATCGAACTCAGCTTCCATTCCTGCAGGTGGGGCTGCGGCGTGGTGAAACTCCGAGCTCTTCCGTGGTAGCCAGTAAGTCGTATGGCGGAAAGACTAAAGAGATACCGGAAGTAGATGGAGGTCAAATTCTTTGAACAGTATCTAAGTGTCATTCAGACTCATTCATTCATTCCTTCACATCCCAAGTAGTCCTTCAAGCCTACCGGCGGGATGAAACAGTTCCAACAGTGTGTCCAGAGGATAAAGAAACCTTGAATCTTCAACTCAAAATGCTTGTGTTCTAAATGTGCCAGATCCGACATCTTTGATACGAGTCTCAATTGTATGTGGTACCAAATCCGACATCTTGGATACGAGCCTCAAGTCTGAGACCTCGATCATGGAATCCAGGATTTCACGAGTATCTGGGTCAAAGTAGAAGACGAAGACCTTGTGCGTATACACCCAGTAAGACGGTTTGCTCGGGTCACGCCCACCGTAACGGAAGTCTCGCGGGATGGCAGGAATTAGAGCAGCGTAGGAACTAAGTTACGATGTACTGCGATGTGCTGCTGGAAGTGGAGCAAGAGTGAAAACTATAACTGTAAGTACAATTCTGTACGTAGAAGTTGTCGTGATGGTACCGTATATTTATTTCAGCCTCATTATATAATTTTTTCATCATCTTCGCGATCGAGTGAAGGTCACCTGCCTGATCGTCACTATCAACAACAACCGCCGTAACATAGCATCTCCGTCAGAGTGATGTTGTTGCATGAATTGCGAGAAATGAGCCATGTTGTCCAACTTCACACCCAGAAAAAAGTCCAGGTGTTGTCGCGTGTAGTTGGCATTCTGATACCGCACATAGTACTCGTATTCGATTAACAGTTCCAAAGCTTTCACCTGTTGCGAGGAGATTAAGATTGTTTGAAAAAGCCTATGCTAATAATTAGATTTTTCCGTTTTGGTTGGTGACGGGCTTCATGATCACATGGATTTTCTATCGGCTTACACGTGCGCATTATCCGCATCCATCACCATTGGATCTAGTAGAGAACCTCAAGAGCCACAACCTAGCCGCGCTTTTCATTCATGTACCTATCTCATTCATGTACCCTAACGCTAATTACGTAGTACAAGGCATGTAGTACCTGATCATCGCTCAATCGTTGTTCGCAGACGATCTTGCTTGTGACGTTCAATGCTAACATGTAATCCATTCGGACTTTCGAGTCGCAGAGGCCGACTTGGGTGTACTGGAAGGTGTCCATGTTATGCGCCAATGGCTTCACGAAACTGGACGTCAACGTGACGAAATCGCCCTTCATCATTGGAGAAGCGGCCACAAGAAGTGTCATCATCGACATTGTCGACATTGCCCACTTAACCACAAGCCGGAGAAAAGGGCCTGCAGGAGTGGAACGGAGTTGCCGACGAGTATGTCGTGTCATGATGTTGATGTCGGTGTGGCTGCTATTCTACTACTGGATTATCTCTCTAATTTTGAAATTGGTGTCGTTCTTGATAATCTTAATCCAGTAGTGGAATTGGCGTCAATAGTATCCCTTGACTGTAGAATACTGTAGAATACTGTAGAATACTGTAGAATACTGTAGAATTGGCGTCTACAGTATATTGTTGTACTACTCTAGAGGACAATGATCCCTATATGTATAACCTATTCAACAACATTGCAACAGTATAATGGGCATTGATTTTGTGTTGATTCGTGCTTATTATTTCAAGGTGTGATAGTACTACTAATCCTTCGTTGACCTTGATTATCTTCCAAGACAATGAAAGTAGTACCTACGATATTTGCAGCATAAATTAAGAGGTAGCAGAGGGGGTAGGATAGGATATGCGTGTAACGGAATTCTTGGATGAGATCTCCTTCTGCTGAATTTGTATAATTTAAGCAACTTTTGCAACATCCTTTTTATTTTGACACGCGTAGTGCGCGTGCCATTTAGTCCGCCCTGAGCTATATTGCAAACTACAAGAGGACAAAACAAAGAAGCGACATTAGAAAGAAAAAGAACTCAAGAGACACAGGCACTGTGTCAAAGAAACAGTTGTAACAGAGAAAAAACTGAATTTTTTGCCCACAACTACAGAGTACTAGACCCCAAAAAAGATGTACGTGGACACTATTTCAATTTGCCTTTTTATTTTGTCAAAGTGCTTTTTGCCTTTTTCACTCTCACAAACCGACAAGTCGCACGCAGGAAGAATAAAAAAAAAACCGAAGTTCATTCATTCACTCATTCATGCGCGCGTCCCAGTCTTTTCTTAAACGAAAAAGTCGCGTCATCTCTGAAGGGTAAGAACACCAGGGGAACCGTAAGAAAGCACGGGGTTGGTTCGACGTTATTATTCACTTGACTCAAACGCCGGCCCTGCACAAGAAAGATGGTCAGTCAATGACTTCAGTGGAAAGGGAGGGCAATGAGTGTAGTCGTGCCATATTGGGGCACGCTCCTACTGTCTCAAGCCTCTCCAGTTTCTTATTCTTTACCTCTTCGGTCCTCGTTCTCGTTAAGGAGAGCAGAGCATTACTCAGACAGAGACGATCAACTTCGTCGTCATGCGTCCCCTCCTACTCTGTTCCGCCATGAGCATGTTGTAAAATATTTAATTACGTATGTCTTTGATTTAGATTTTAGTGGTGAAATGCAGCATATGGAAGACCATGGCTTAATTAATGCAGGACGACCTTCGTTCTTTTTCTCTATTCTTTTACCCACTCACTTATTTACTTCTTTACTTTGAACCTTAATGCTTGCAGGCAAAACCACTTCATTCCTTTTCCTTTCTTACTTATTCTTTGTCTGTAACTTGCTCGGTGGAACGTTCAAAAAATCAACTATTTGTATTTCTTCTGTTCAAAAAACTAACGTTAATCAAACACCCAAAAGCTTTCACTTTTCAATTACTCAGCAAGCGAGTACCTTGAATCTATTTTCGCGTTCACCTACTTGGAGATAGATGGCTATACAATTGCACACAAACTTTGCGCGAGTTCTAGCCTTCACTTGTACACCAACGGAAAACATCCAAAGCTGCGATCTATCCTTTGTTTCAGAAAAAACTCTCCTGGTCGTCGGCGTCAGTAGTGAAAGTAGATTCCAACAACCGACATACTCTTAAGCGATCTTTTGAAACAGTCACACTTGTGGTGGACCCGCATGAGTCGATTGGCATTGCTGAGAGCGTTTGGAATTTTCCGTACCACGAGTGTTGAGCAGATACACGCACCACGTCAGGTAAAAGCAAGCAACAGAAGCCACTTTCTAGTTTGCTTCGTTTTGTCACTTTTCGCTTTTTGGGGCACTTCATCTCGTTTCTTTGACGCAGGTGTCGGCTTCTTCATGTCGTCCAACTTTCTCGCTAACACTGGCTCTTCATCTTCTGTTACTGTTTTCTTGTGCGATTGCGCCTCCGAGGGCTTACCGAAGTAGTTCCGTACTTTTCCAGCTAGGGCAAGAGCGTTGTTGATGGCAACAGGGACGGACTTCTCTTCCTCCAAGGCACAGCAGGCATGGAACAAGCACACCAGAACCACAGTCGCGGTAATGCGCGGAAGGAAGCCTAGACGTCTCAGTTTCGTGCTTCTGGTGACGTTCTGCACAATTTCCCTCCTCACGATGTTGATGTCATCAGCTCTTCTGTCTCGTATCGGACAACGATCTCATCATACAGTAGTGATCTTTCGCCGATAAGATTCAATTTTTGCGTGGGTCTCCCTCAACTGTACCTTTTTACCATTTTCTTAGTGAGTTTATTTGCTCGCAGTGTTTCACGTTGGAAAACCTCAAGCAGGAAGGCCAACCTCGTTTCAGCCTGAGAAATTCAAGCTGTCTCTCGTAGAGAAATGGAAAGATCAAAGATCCAGGAGACATGCCGTGGAAGATCAGACATCTCGCATTTGGCGTTCCTTAGCTTTTCGCTTCAGCGTCGTTGCCAGATGGTGCTTGTTCCAGATACGAATACAACATTTGTGAATTCCCCAGTCAGGCTAGGAATTAGGTGAAAAGCAGTTTACGATCATCATATTCTGTTTCTGCGATCATGATGTACAGACAACGGTAAAACTAACAATCGACGAAAACAACTGTGCACTGGATGCATTTTCATACAGAAGCCATTTGGTTCAGGCACAGAATCAAAGTTTAAAGTTACGCATTATCAAATAGGAATACACGAAACCAAGATCGCCAACCAAAAAATATCTCCTGAGTACAGTCAGTTATGGCAGCAAGAACAATTTCTTTAGTACATCGACGAAAAAAGTACTATCAGAATCTTCAACTATGGTACAGCTCCAATCCTACAGTGTGCGATGATTATCTTATGCATGATGTATTGCTGGCTGTCGTCCTGCCGCGTTGCATGATCTGCGTATAATAATCTCAAGAAATAACAGTAAGTATGTGGTATTAGATGCGTGTGAGGGACATGAAAGTTTACTTAGTAGTTGTATGTGCATGTGTGTGATTTGAAATCTAGAAGTAGAATATGAATACGATTGATTGATTGATTGATTGATTGATTGATTGATTGGTATGCCTGACAAGAGGTAGATTTTGGAGAGTCTAAAGTTTCCATATCGAATTGCCGAAGCGGGTGGACAATCAATCTTGGATGTGCAGTCTCGAATGTTTCCGCTTCTCGAACGTTTTCCATGAAACCCACCACAACAAGTTTTCAGTGGAAACCACCCATCAGTCACGTTACCACATCGCCAGACTATCTAGTGCAGCTACGAGGCGTTCTTTGTTGTCAGATCTTGAAAGCCGTACTAACCCTAAGAGGCGTTGCTTGGTGTGAGATCTTGAAAGCCGTGAGTGTCCAGCATATATTTCGGTCTGCGATAAACCTTTGCTTTGCTTTGGCTCGACTTAGAACAAGCCAACACACACAGTGCCAGTGATTTTCTCGAAAACATCAAATTTACATTTACACTCGGCACAACCAGAAGGAGAACCTAATCGGGGAAGCTTCTTCCTCTTCAGTCATGCTCATGTTTCAACATCCCTGTACTCTACTGTTAGGAGCGAATCTAGTATCTCGATTACACGCCTTACGAGAAAACGAGGAAGAAAAAGAAGTGCATGATCCTACTTGCACAGCCAACAATGACTATGGTCTTACAGCTAGATTATGATGCAAAAACTACTAGCCATAATCGAAGCTGCGCTGAGCACTGTGGCACGTGGGCTGCCTGGAGGACTTTCTAGGAGATGCTTGCCAGCCAAATACGTCATAAAGTCTTGCCGCTTCTCAGCTGCCGTCATAGATCCCGGAGATCGCAGTCTACTTTTTGCGGTGTCTATTAGCGCTAGGCAAGCACTACGAATATCCCTGGTCGAGTGGACTCTCTTTTCTTCCCTTCCCTGTTGAAATCCCTTCGAAGATAGACTTTCCTCTAAGAAAGTGGACAAAAAAGTCACTTTGTGGGGTAATTCAGACCAGACAGTGATCGACTAGAAGCCTTAAGTCTTGCTTCTTCAGATCATGCTTGCCCCGATCACGGTAATCTGGTTCCGCTAATGCAGTAGAAGCAGGAGACCCAACAGCTCCACCATGATTACGCGTCCTTTTATTCGTCCTATTTGCACCCACTGGCGGTTTTAGCATTAGCGATGTACAATCTCAAACTCAATCTAGTCCTCGTCGATACACTATGTATCATTATTAAATAGTAAGTACTTATGTAGTACGGAATCTATAGCTATTCGGGAGTGGAAATGAAGGATTTCCTGCGGGAAATATCATGACTCATTCACTCAGTTCCACCAGAGGGTCATACTTCTGTTGTTGAAAGAAGAAGAATATTATTTTGTGATGGTAATCGAGGATAGACTGACTTTCTAGGGTACGTTTGGAGACATGTACTTTCTTATGGGCCACATACAACAACAGAGAGGCAGCAAAAAGATTTCTTCATAATATCACGCCATCCTTTGTGATTACAGTACGCAAGCGAGATGAAGTTGGAACTTTTTTGGTTCCCTCGGTCCCGCTTGTCATGATCTGCGCAGCGCGTGCACGCTTCAGTGCCCTTTTAAAACTTGCTCGCTCCATATTATCCTTTGCACCCACGACAGAACTTGCTAACCTGAGGTGATATGGAAGTATGAGTATCTATGGTATATTTGTGATGTAAGAATAAGTACTAGATGAACTAGTCTAGCAAGACAGACGATTATGATGCTCAACTAGAAGCGCAACGATATGATTAAAATTCAATTTTGATCTTTGCCATGATGTTTTCGTTCATCTTCATACATCCTATACCTATAATTTCACAAAATAGAACTCATGTTCATGCTATTGCTTACACGTACGGCGTCCATGCACGCAAGCATTCTGTAGAGAGGAGCCTGCGGAAGGCCTCACAAAATAGAACTCAACATAGAAGATGATACAATCAGAATCTTAGACAGAATTACGCCTCAATCTGACAGAATCTTAGACAGAACTACAAGTAACCTAAAAACTCTCAATACAAATCCTGCATCGCTTCTTTTTTCTTCTGCAGAGAAGCCAGATGTCCGAATTTTTCGATGCTGCCGCCAGTCGATAACCAGTAATCGTCCATCAAGAAGACCTCTGGAGCTAGATAGGCGTCCAATTTCCTTGGAAAGACTCGTCGCAACTCGTCCAACTTGAAATTTGCTTCTGTTCTTAGAGGTCCTCGTCTTAATTGAAAAGTATAGATTAATATAGTTCTTTTAGGTAAATACTTACAGATTGATCTTTAAGATACTTACTACTACTAGATAGAAGAGCGTATTAATTTTTTTGGGTTCTTGGTCTTGGATTTACATGTTCAGCATTTAACCATAACTTTGCTCGATAGCAATTCTCTATGGATCGTTCGATCTTCTTCAACTCCGGAAAGTCATTTTCTTCGCCTTGCTCTTCATCCGATGAACTATCGCTTGATTCGGAATCTTCCTTTTTCGCACTGAAAATTGTGGTAGGGAGAAGATAGTGTTGATAGAGTAAAAGAACTACGGAGGAGGTGATAAATAGAGGATATAAATATTTACAACACATTCTACTATGTATTGTTGAAATTTTCATCTTAGCTTTACCCACAAGTGCTGAGACCGAATGTAATTCGTATCTAATAACTTTACCCTGCAGCATCCTTTCCTGTTTCTTGGTTGTTTTCGGGTGCTTGAACAAGCATTGGTTTATGCATTGACGCTCTCGCCTTTTTCCGTGCCTCTATCTGTTCCCGGTGATAGGCCTCATTGATTTTCTGAATCCTTGCTGTGTCTGCCTCACGTATCTGCGTATTGGTCTTACGGATAAGGTTGGAGGAAGGGGTAGAAGACGATACTGAATTCATTCTTAGAACACGATCACGAGTACCAAGTTACTTTTGTTTCTGTTGGTATGCTAAACTTACATTTCTTGCATTCAGTGATCTGAGTGAACGACTTATATATTTGTATCTATCCTTATCCTTCTCGGTCATAACTTCTTTCGCCAAAAACTGTTTTCTGGTGTCATCGAAGACGCGTGTGAGCGTTGCGTCGGTACAAGCCGGGCCATTCGTCGTATCGTGTAGCCTCAAAATCTTGTCATGTCGCTGGAGCAAGACTTTCGCTCGCAGTTTGCCCCACCGCGTAAATCGGGCTTGTCTCGTCAGGGAGCTCTGCTTAGAAGGGGCTCAAATTGGTCACTAAAGTCGTCCAGAGGCGTGTCTAGGTCTACTGTCACGAAACAAACTGAAACTACGTAGGTAGTCGTAGATTAACAAATCGTACAAAATTTTTGACCACAAGAAATATCTATCATAACATGAAAAGCACTGGGCGAAGTGCTTGGCCATTCCATTGGCGAAGAGACGGGATGACGCTCAACGTGTTGAGGTCTCTGATCAGAAAGCGGCCTCTCCATTCCAGGTTTGTAGACGCCCAAACGCTTTCCGTCGTTGGATCTTGGTGGCGACGATGTTGACCGCGGAGGTGTTCTGGTGGTCATGTCGTATCCTTGTCCTTGTCCAAGTCCGGATGGCCCCGGAGTATCACCTCCTACATTCAGGCTATCTATTTCATCCAGGCGAGACACAACAGGCGGCTCAGGAGGCACTTTAGCGATCATCACGCCAAAGCTTCGTGGATTCATCAGGTCTCTGTTTAGAAGCTCATGTACAGACCTTGGTCGCCTAGGAGACACGCGCTCTCGAGCTTCGTCTCGATCTCGAATACAAATACTCTTATTCCTCTCGTGCTCATCCTGGTAGTAGTTTTCGTGACCGTTATAGTCTTGGTAGTTGTAACCAGGTTGATAGAAATTGGTCCTGGAAGGAGACGTCGACGACGGAGCTGTTTGTGATCTGGCGCGACCACCTTGGACATCATAGTCCATTTTGGGAGACGCTGCATTGCTAAAAAGGCCTCTAGGTGACACAGTTTGACACGAAGTTGCGGGAGAAGAGGGCGCTGGAAGCAGCAAAACTTGCTGTGAGGCAGGACTGGGGACTGGAGCTTGCCTGCTTTGATGACTAGGAGTAGAAAATGTCGCTCCTACAAGAAGTTCTTGTTCTTGTACTTTATCTGTGGTTCGTGGAGTTGCGACGCTGGTCACCAAAGCTGGTATCATTTGTTCATCGCCTATGATTTCTACGCCCTCTTGCTTTTCGTCCGTTGGAACTAGTGCTGGGTCTGGTGCAGCTTCTTGCTCAACATCATGAGGTTCTTCTTGTACCTCCTCGACTCCGTGTACAACTAGAGGTCCTCGACCTCGTACTGACGTTTGACCATGAAAATAGTTGATTCCAGGAGCCTTAATATCTTCAAGCTCATACCTCCTAGTCCTGGTCTCTAGTAATGTCGCTTGCTGGTTCTGGATCTGTGCTAGTCGAGGATTCACGCCAAGAATGGCCTCGTGGCCACTAGCTCCTAACACGTTTCCAGGTACAATACAAGCAGGATTGTCAGACCGAATTTTAGAGCAGCTAAGTGTTGAAGTTTGTACTAAATGTAGAGGCCTCCTTCGGTAACTACGTGGTTGTGGATGTGGAAAAGCAGCAAGCCGACTAAAGTGATTCAGACTCTTTTCGTTACGTCGCGAAAAACGCTCTAGTGTGCGATGCTTGTACTAAATTCCACCACCATTATATGGTCAAAAGAAATAACCGTCATAAATTTCCCTCTTCCAGTCGGATCTATTTCCACCTCGTTCGCAAAATATTCGTAGCAAAGGTCTTCTATTATCTCTTCTTCCGTCTTCGTTTTCGAATCTTCAGTTACAGCCGCTTTCTTTTCAGCTTTATTCCTCCGGTCCGCTTCCTCCTGTTCTAACTGTCTTTTAGTCGCTTGCTTCTGGAAAGTTAGAGGTCGTAGAGCCAAAGAAGGTGGTCGAGAGGAAGATATCACGGTCCTCGGAGATGTTAATCTCAAATTTGATTTATCCATGCGTCGATTACTTACAGTTACATGTCAATGTCATAACAGCACTCTGTCTTTGTCCACTGTGCTCTCGCGAAGAAGTTGAAGAATTCTGTGCCTGCCCCTCTCCACTTCTTGATCTACTGTGGCGCTATCATTCTGATCCAGCTCTCGCATCCGTCGCGCGCGATATCCTGCTTTCATTGTGTGGGAAGTTAGAAGAAGAAGACGCAGAAGAAAGAAGAAGAAGAAGAAGAAGAAGAAGAAGAACAACAACAACAACAAGAAGAACAAGAAGAACAAGAAGAACAAGAAGAACAAGAAGTAATTGTGAGTGGACTTCATATTCATATTCATTGGCTATGACTAGTAAAACCTGAAAAGCGAGTCGCACGAGGTAGGGGGCTGATATCCTCAAGTTAAAAAGCCGAGGAGAATCGCAGATCATGCTTTGCCTAGACAGACAGTTTCCTTCAATAACCCCGACTATAGTTGTAGAATCACTCCAGTCTTAACAAAACTTGTTTGAATAGCCGTTGCTGCAATGGTTGTCTGCTTTCTGCTTGCATGGTGGCACGGACGACGCCAACCGCACGAATTTTGGTTTTCGCACCACCCCACAGAGCCTTTCCTGATTTAGCTGGTTTTCTCGGGGCAGGGACAGCAAATTGTTGTTCATCATGTTGTTGGTGGCCACCTCGTCCATCTGCTTGGTATCTGCCTCTACCTTGTTGAAACTCCCCATCTACTGCTCCATCTGTGGCCAAGTAGTCCCCACATTCTTCTTCGAATGCTAATCTGTCAGCACTCTTCTCTACTCCTTTATCCACAGGCTCTGCCTGATCATGACCACCACCTACACCAGTTGCAGTGGTAAACTCTGCATCGTTTGCGGCTAAATCGAGAAGCGGAGCCAACTCCTGGTCCAAAGTTTCTACAGTGGCTCTTTCTACACGATATATCATTTCCTCTATTTTGTTTTGCATAGCAGCGCTCGATGGTCGTGGTGAGGGTTGTGCCTCGCGACTAGTTGATGTTCTTCGTCCTGAAGTCAGAGTATGCAGTATTCTGATTTGTTTGAATTTGGTCTGCACTTACTTACATAGAGAGTGGTCAATGTGAGTAGTAAGTAGAAGTACAGCTAATCTAGAAGTCATTTGATGGTCAGGTGGAGCACAGTTATAGAAGAAAAGGCCTACAATCCAATCAAGAACAGCTAGAGAAGTTACAAGAACGGTAAATGATCTAACATAACGATATACTTATACACCTCAGGTTAAGTTAGATTATGATAACCCAAACTGTAAACTTCCACACTCGAGATCATCTTCAAAAAACCTTCGTTTCCCTCGTCCTCCTCCTCTTGCCCTTCTACCATGATATCTGCGACCTCTAGCAACGCATTGTCTTGCGCTTTCTGCATTTCCCGTGAAAAGGTCTCGTGATTGAGTACTGCTCCAACCGCTCGCTGAGCTTGTGCTTGTTGGGCAGCAGCGAAGGCCTCCTGCGGCGACTGCGTGGAGGACCCTTGTTTTGAGCGCCTTTTTCTGATGCTGCTGCCCCTTGGAGAACCATCCGGGTCGTGGCCACTCCTTCGATTCCTCGCTGTTGCGTCCCTTCTTACCATGGAAGGGGCGTCTGCTTCGCCTTTGTGGTCTTAGAAGAATCGATCTCCATAAAATTCAAAGATCTTGTTCTGCCTTAAAAGGATTCAGATTGTGCCTGCGTCGACGAGCGTCAAGAACGAGAGCTACCAAGACATGGTCAAACCTAGAAGTCAGAAAAATAGTAGACCGACTAATTTATCTACATGGAAAAGTATCGGAGGACCACCAGTTATTGTAACGAGATTTTTGTTGTAACGAGATTTTTGCTCACATTCTTTCACATAAGGACTTCCCATCCCTTTAGTCACCCTATATCTTCTGCTACTCGAAAACTGCAATTGTGCTGTGCCGGAGAAGTCACGGTCACGACGACCGTGTCTCGGTGAAGGATGTTTCGATCCATGTGGGGATATTTCACCAGAGAATTAGAAGATGCAAACAGTACTCTCTGCGTTCCCTGTAGACTTGGTCTTGCATTATTTGCGATTACGTCAATAAAAATTCATCGATTTATTACAATGAGTACGAGGTACAGGTAGTTCTATGTATTTGTTGGTTGTAGATAGTTTGCTATAACCTCAACACAGCCCCCTCAGCCTTAATCAATCTTCGAGAAGAGCATGCTGCGCAGTCGGCTTCCGTCACTGATCTCAGAGCGCGGCGATTGGGGTGAGGCCATTCTGCTCCTCTCAAGACCAGTGAGCTCCATGCCAGGCTTGGGGCGCCCTGTGGCACGAGAGACATGATGCAAAGCACCAAGAGGATCCGCCATTTTGTAGTTGTACCTTGACCCTTAATTGAAAGTTTCTTCTAGATCTCTATATACCCAATGGCATTTTTGACGATGGCATCACCGTCTTCACGATTGCTTTTTACCCTGTGAACTGCAGGCGCTGTTCTACAAATACAATCGCAATCGCATGCTTTAGTAATACGTCGATAGACTATAAATGAGATGAGTCAGACGTCGATAGTATCGTCTAATCGTATGTGAGTTCTAGCAGTAGGTCGTGTAACTTTAATCCATTCACCTAAATAAGTAATGCTAATCAGTCTTCCTCCTGCACCTCATCGTCCTGCTTCGAAAGTGAAACAATTTCTACTTCGTGCTCACAACAATGAACAACTCATGTTCGAAATGGAGTACAAAATTCAGAGAAAATGTGGTAACCACAAGTGGGGAGAAGGCTACGGTGAATACTTTTTTTGTGTATTAAGAAGAAGCATTGAGCAAGTGAACTTGTAATCATACAGTGTACCGATCTTTCACTCTACCGATGCCAATTTTTTCCACTGTACAGAGTGAGAGGTTCGCGACACAATTTCCGACTCATTGCATTAGAAATCTGTTCGTCTGGCGTTCCTTCAGTGGTGAAAGTATTGAAGATAGCAAGTTGAAGTTGATGCTCCGTCTGAAATTGACATCTCGGGAACCGACTCTCCGTCTATTTGTCTCACAGAAGTCAAGGGTTTAGGGTTCGATAACTATGACTGTTGACCAATTGCAAACCATGCGAAGACGCTGTGTTCGCTAGCTGTATCCTTGCTAGCATATCGCGGAGCAGCTTCTTCGCCAAGGGCTTTAGCTTGTCGGGCACGTCCTCCTCCACGAATTTCTCGCAGAATCTCGCAAGCCCACACTTTCCGAAATGGTCGGAGTATAACGAGAGATGGCGCCCGAGGATACGCTGAAACGCCTCTTCTGCTTGTTCTTGTAATGAATGTGCGAATATGTTGAAGTACTCGTTTATCTTGCTTGGACGCCCAGTCGGAAATCAAAATAGAATTGTTCTGAGCTTCTCTTTCTGAGATACCTCGAATCCGGAAAAGTAAAAGATACAAGTTATGATCTACTAAATGCGTCGTTTTAATCGCGAACTTGGTTCTGTTCTAGTACTGAGATGAAGGTCATATTCATGTAGACAACATCAGCAGTTTATCTTTATATTCTTTTTCCTCAGAGCGAAGAAAACTACTTCATGTTGAACATGGTTCTAATTATGGTTATCCTCCTTCCATCACACCATCCCCATCGGATGCCTTTCCATTCGTTGCTCCAGCATTCTCACCACCCTTATTACTAGGTAGAACTAGAACTCCTCGGCTTATCTTTCGGCCGCGAGTTCGCTTCTGATCCTCCTCCTGCTATATTTCCTTCCCCTTCCCCACCTGTCCGCAAAATCCTACCAGTGACGAAATCTTCTAGATAAGCAAGTGACGCCCTAAACTCCCGTGGCTGCCAAAAGTGGCCTCCGTTTGGAACTAGAACTGCAGTGGCGAAGTCGTTCGATGCCACAGTGCACGTTGCGTTATTTGGTATCTTCAGGTCGATCTTCTCGGTACTGCGGAAAAATTCGGCCGGATTAGACAGAGGAGTAGATGACAAGTAGAAGTGTTCATCTTCCAGAAGCAGTATCCTCAAGATTAACATTAAGTGGTACAACTTCAACTTTGTTCCAACAGATCGATGGAGAGCAACTACTCCTGGTTTTCGAAACAGGATGAACATCCAAATATCTTTTGGACAGCACGTGTTTGGTCGGGTTACCTAATCGTTTTCAAAAACCGGTCATCAAAAACCGCATCTTCATAACAACTGTGGACGCAAAACTGCTCGAGGAACAGTACTCGTCTCTCGTTCCGCTAATGTAGAGCTGTGGTCGTCGGCAAGGACTCGGTGTTTTCACTAGTCCGCCAAGAATTTATGAACGAAACTGGATAGCTATTTGTTCTTTTGGTATCTTGATATAGATCTGATGCTGAGTATGACCGCGTCTGCACAGTAAAAGCTGTTCTTGGCGGAAGCACACAAAACGAATACGAGTCTCCGCGGTGTTGGAAATTGAGGACATGCGAAAGTGAGTTATAATTCTATCAGATCTCATTATCTGTCATAAAAACAACGACGCAAGCCATCCAAACGGTGGACTTACCGCGACCATGCCCGCTAACTTCTCACTTTTTGCGAATTCGTTACCGCAATGTATAGCAGCATTGGCTCCAGCGCTATATCCTATTAATAAAACACGCTTGCATCTGGGTACCAATTCGCATTTTCCGGATGTCTCGATTAGCGATTATACGAACCACAGACCACGGTTTTGATCGGTAGTTGCTTTACATTTTTGATTTGCATGACCATAGCGTTTTGACGATCTGGAACTACAAAATAGCCTTTGAATATCCAAAAGTAAACTAACAACCCTCAAGAACATAACAAAAATTCGACAGCTTTTTTTGCGTCGCCTGCCTCCCCATATCCTCGGAAGCTTGGATTGTTGCTCGTATACCGAATCGAGGGTATGCCTAAACTATTACACATGCAATCTTGCAGCGGTGGTTAGAAAGTACAAGGTTTCAAGTCCACCAAGCATGTCTGTGCACAAGCACTTTGCTGAAGCTGCCGAATTATCATAACCTGATGAGATTGATACAACCTAATCGAAATGGATACGCTCACGCCTCACTGGCTCAAGTTTGCCTTTGCCTTACTGACAACCACAGCCGCAAGTACAATTACATGCTCTTTCACGATTCTACACTTTCCAATTTCATATCTCGGTCATCAAGTAGAACGAAGTACTTCTAATTCTTCCTCTGCCTTAGCAATGGACCACGTAGTTGTCCTTGTCCCCACCAAGGTAGTACATCGGATGCAATATCAGAGCAACCAACTCGGCTCTCAATCTCGCGTTTGCATCTGGCGCAAGAAGATCCGCCCTCAAGTCTCCAGCGAGAAGAAAGGACTCGGAAACGACTCTGCCAGAGTTCCTTGAAGATGCAGAGTTACGGCTCATTTTGATTGGTCCGTTTCAGCTAGGTAGAAATTTGAATGAAAGAAGTTCAAGTCGGAGAGGATGACCACTCGGTTATTTTCTTATTGATCAACTCTGAGGATGACTCGGATATTTCTTTTTTCGATGATCCATGTGAGTACCTAGGCCAAGAGAGGAACAAGGATGAAAAAATCTATGAACCCTTTCACTTGATCACTTTCATAAATTGCCCTGTTGTTCAGGTGTAATGTTGCTGAAAGGTTACTCTTCGGAGGAGGAATGAATCAGAGGGCCAGAGTAGGATCGCAGCTTCTAACTGCTGCTTGCTGCTAATCATGACTTTTCCTCTCCACGTATGTGGGAAAGTAAAGTATTCAGATTTCCTCGTAGCGGCACTGACGCTCAACTTCGAACTGCCAGACGCTGCCGCGGCTGGATTCAAGACAAGAACATGCCATATACCCTTCTCGCTCTTGTCCGTCAACGCTGCCGCCATTCATATGCCTTAGTATCACATCCACATCAGAATCTGCTATCATCAGCACTAATCGAGAATTTTTAAAAGTGCCACAGCTTGTTTGTTGGTTTTTTGTGCTCCGAGATTGAGATATTAATATGACCGTAGATTGATAATAAAAGAGATAGGAAATCATGCCAAATAACCGCTACCGTCACCGGGTAAAACATAGGGTGTTTGCCAAGAAGTCTAGCAACGCTGACACAACACGCGGACAAGCATACAAAAAGCGCGAGCCCTGAGCATTTAGCACCGGATCGGCAGAAATTACAGGTTGGATCCTTTCGTGAAGGAAAAGGATGACAAATTACGATTAGGTACTCAAGATCATTACGATGATGATTAGAAAAGAACATCAAGTCATGAAGATCGCTAGGAGCGGAAACACTGCGGCATGATTCCAACGGTGTCTCCTACTCAGTTTGCTTCTATACAAACGGAAGTTATCATGGACACGAGAATGAAAAACTGATGTGGATGAAGAAAAATCTTCTTTTAGTATTGTGTAATGTGTACTTACTCACGCTAAAAATTTTTTGGATTTCCTGATGGTGAACCATAATTCATTGAAAACCAGTCATGCGTAGAAAGCTACTCATTCTAAATAAACCCGTATTTGAAATAAAGGTCCAATGAAGCATGCGAGGTTAGGCATAGAAGCTCAGTCTGATCATAGAGGAGCATCTTTTTGGCGGTCTTCAATTTCGAAACGCGCTTTCATTCTGCGAATGTAAGGACAACTCGAAACGTGTGAAACCTTAACCCAAACAGGATATTCTTAATCCTTCGTTTCTTTTCCCCTCAAAAAAATACTTCGCAACAAGAGCAGGTCCATCTTTGGAGAGCAGCAACTCTGCACGACCAGCCAGTTGACGAGAACAAGGCTTGAGACTACTTGTTAAGTAGTTGTCCTAGTACATTTGGAATGACGGTTTCTACTTAATTTAGCTTCTAGTTCTACCCTACTAGTGCTCAACCGGGAATACACAATTCCTAGTAGACTTCTACCCGGACAAGGCTTCGAGCAGCCCTCCCTTTCAGGCTTCCAAGAAAGAAGGACAAGAACTTCAACTGCAGACCTATAACGACTAGGAGAACAACTGCTGCGACTGCTTCTACTTGCTTTAAAATCCTCGTTTATGTGAAAACGAAATTCCAATAGAATTTCTATTGTTGCTCCCAGGGCGGGGTAGGAGCTCACCCCCATTATTGCTGTAGTTTTCGCCCTCAGTAAAAAATGTTTGCCAGTAGTCCACCCTTCTTACTGTGAGCGCCCGTCTCTCCTGTCCATGTGCTTTCAGAAGTCTCGCCAACTGGAGCTATCTCCACTCCCGCTACTGAGCCAGAGTCTCGCAGCGGTCTGTAAATTAGAAAAGAAGCAGAGAAAACCACCGTTAGTCAATTTCCTTCTAAACCTTGTCACTTCGTTGTTCTCTAAGATTGCGATTGTTGGATAATCAAAGTAGATACCTAAAAGATTATTCCATCATTGAATGAATGTAGCCTTAACCGCAACATCGTATGTCTGAATCGAAGTTCATGGCCACCGCGGAATTGTTCGATGAAGTCCAAGATACTCGCATACACGCACAAAACACTGCACACCAGAAAGACAGAACCGAGAAGGTACTGGTACCAGCCTCGGGAGATTAGAAAAAAAGTACTCAAGTGAATGAACTTCGACATCGACATTCCACAAGTCTGAAGATGAACCCCAACCTAACAGATCTAAAACTAGTAAATGTGTTTTTCCCTGCTCTAATTTACAGTAAAATAGGTAACAAGTAGTAAAAGAGTTTTTGAAAAGCAGAACAACACTCATGCCAATTCATTGCTCATAAAAGTCGATATCGTTCCGGCAATACTCCTCGTTTCGATGCTAGGACGAAAAGGAACGCGACTACAAAGGGCATCCGCAAGGCGTTCAAAACTTCTACTTGGATAGAGAGCGCAGCCGAATCACCGAAACCCGGGATTATGGCAACTGCACCAGAGAGTAGGAGAATCGCGAAAAACCTGACAATCTTTTTGATATCATGCCACATTCATGATTTTAGGTACAATTCATTGACCTAACTATGGTCCTATGTCATGTCATGGATCCTCTTCTATGTGTTATACTAACACCTTGTTCGAGGCCTTTCAACTATCCTGTACCTTCTGTTGAAGAGCAGATCATGATCATGATGACCTACTTACGCATGATGGTCCTACGCATGATCATGATCTACTTACGATCGATATCATTTCTGTAGAACAAAACCTTCGAAAGAACCAAATTTAAATAGTTCGATCTCAATGAATGAACATGAAAAAAATAAAAATATCAGCTCACCCTTGATAGAATCCTCTTGCTTCAGCGTAGCTTTTTTCATGAGATCTCTCGACGCCTCGCAGCTCACAAATCGACCAAGCTGGAGTGATGCTCACAACAAGCGCAGCAACCATACTGGCGCCAGTTGCTCCAACCGCAACTAGCACTTTCGCAAGGGTCCCTCAGGTCTTAGAAAGGACTAGAAGGTGTAAATTCAAATATTGTTCTTGTTATCGGCCATTGATGGCCATTGACTGATCGATTGATGGAAGTCCGTTTCTTCGTGGCATCTTCAATCATAATACAGACTGACAGTCTCAACACTGACTTTTATGTTTAAGTTGATTTTGATTTCTCGTTAGCCTTAACAACAGTCGGCGAAACGGCGTCGACGATTTCTTCACTATGAGAGCTTCATCGAGAGATGCAGACCGAGTAGGCAGCCTGCGAAGATAGTCCTGCTGCTTCATACTTCTCTTGTTCAAATTATACTACAAGTACTCGCCTAGATAGTCAGTCCTTATTCGAGAAAGTTCATTGTGGGTAGGTTCCTGCTGCGTAGTGCTATCTAGCCAGTGACACAATGAAAATGAATAGCCTTCTTTCATAATGAATATCCCGCAATTGGCGCTTTGGACCCGGTTTGAGGAAGATCGTTGCCGCCATCGCGATGACCATTGCAATCATGACCATTTGGGCAACTAAAGCTTCGATCACCTAGAAGGAAAGTCGCGAAGAAGTCGTGGAGGTACGAAGAAGATGTTCTTGATGTAGTTGGGGGTTACGTTTTTAATAATGGCAGGAATGACCGTCATGGAGATCAGACGTTTCTGATGGGAAAGATGGTGGAATCCCGGAAGGTGAAGCTAAGAATCTGCAACTTACTAGGGTAGATGGCCAGGCCTCATGATTCTCATGCATGAAGACGGATACGACTAGGTGGACTAGGATGGAGCTACTAGAGGAATTGTACCATGTCCGCTCTTGCGTATGTCATATCTATAGCAGTTGTACCGTGTCCGCCCTTGCGTATGTCATATCTATAGTAGTTGTACCGTGTCCGCTCTTGCGTACGTCATATCTATAGTAGTTGTACCGTGTCCGCTCTTGCGTACGTCATATCTTAAGTAGTTGTTGTACCATGTCCGCTCTTGCGTACGTCACATCTATAGTGGTTGTACCGTGTCCGCTCTTGCGTATGTCATATCTTTTGGGGTCAGCTTCCGTTCACAACTTGCGCTCTGCTGATAAAACAGCATCCATGGCATGATTACTGCGCCTATGTTCGCGGCAAGGAGTTGAACCCATCCAGAATCATCGAAATGGAATTCCGCCAGACCGTATATGAGGCCTCCACTTCCAAAAACTTGAGGCCGCACCATAAACATGACACTTGTTAGAGGTGGATGGAGACCGTATTTGTGACAAGAACGTTCAAGTTTGGCAACAGGAAACCTTCAATAATGAATGATGAAGTACTCGAGCAACGAACTCTATAAATAATCCCTTGCTTCCTTATGGTGAATAAGTGCAGAACCTAGTAACAAGAACTAGAGCTAGCCTTAAAATAAGAAATAGAAGCTGGCAGGATCCCATGGCGACGCCAATAACCTCAACCTCGCGAAAGCGATTGCTCCACACGATCGCCAACAGGACGATGATCACTAGAACTGCGGATGATATTAGAAGAGATACCTATTTGTGGTCGTGGGCTTGACCAAACACACGCAGGGAGATAGAAGTCTTGGTGGTCATTCTTAAAAGTATAGCTGGAATGTCTTGCTCTTGATGTACTGTAAGTGTAATCGATATCCAATAATTGATGTACTAAAATTTGTACTACTATTAATATTCAATATGAACATGTACTGTCACAACTCTTAACACTATAGGTGGAATATCGAAGAGCTTGCCGATTTGGACGATGCAACTTATCTCGCTGATCATAGCCGCGACCTGAGAAAAAGAGCGCTGATGCCTTCCCGCTGCTTCGTGGACGAGGGGCAAATGAGAGACAGAGAGAATTAATCAATGATCTATGAAATTCATTCAGATCCGCTGGCGGCAGCGTCACCTCCAATGACAAATTTTACTTTTTCAAGAACAAGCTGAGCAAATAAACATTATTAAGTACACACGTGATGACGAGGACAACGCAAGCGAAGAGCGCCCAATTGGGTCCGAAATGGATGCGAATCAGCTCTGTTAGGCCTTTGCGCGTCGTGAGGGACAGACGCACCGTTAGTTCCTGCGCAGCACTCATTAGACGAGTTTGTTTCTGCGGGCAGAGTCACCCAAACTAGGGAAACAATGAAGTTCCATATCGATTCTAGCAGCAGAAGTTGCAGTTGTAATCTCTTGGAGTGAAGTAGTAACAAGGTCTGCAAGTTGTAGGAGCGGTCAGAGTCGCATGAGTTGTAGAAGCGCCAGGACTCAGAGTAAGCAGTAGTAGTACTCGGTTTCCTTTATAACGTCATAAATACAGAATCGGAATGAGGACGATTTGACAGAGGACGAGGGAGTAGCCGTACTCAGCCCCACTCGCCGCTGCTGTGATGAGGCATGGACCATCAGTGTCTGCCAGGCAGACCATAAATCCGGGACCGAGGATGGGATTAGAATGTAAGACAAAGATGCTTTTGCTTGCTATGTCACAAAATGAGAATTCAGCATAGACTGACACATGGGCTAGTTATTAGCATTATAATTTAGATCAGTAAAAAGAATTTTCAAAGTTTTGGTCAGAACCGCCGAGAACAAGAAGAACAAAAATGTCACCTAAGAATAGCATCAATTATGATGTATTATACGACCCACGCAAAGCAACTAAAAGCATCTTAACAGAAAGAAAGCGACTGCAACTGAAGGCTTCTTCCTGCTCTTCATCGTCATTTTGAACGGCATCTTCGGGATGTCGCGCCCGGTCTTCGTAGACATTTATGTTAGTCGTGAGAAGCTCGACGGCAGCCATGATGATGATTCACTTCTATTTTGACAGGTTCGTTCTGTTCAAGAGCGGGGAATATGCTGTGCAGCTTCGAGGGTCACTGAAAGAAAGATCTTTATATGCATAGAGACACACTCATCCTATTTTCAGGTTGTAGCTTATTAGGATGTGTTCGGGTGACCGTGACGGTGATATCTTTTCTACTTTTTCTACAACAATCATCTGACAGGGGTTTCTTCAGCACAAATCGATTCTTAAATAAGTTCTTCGACGCACATTCATCCGACAGTGCCACTTACTCACTCAAGAATCAGTGCTCTCAAGGAAGCCCCGAGGCGCGGCTTTCCAGCTTCTAGAGCTACAGCAGAGGCACACTTTGCAAAAATCTACGTATGTCGATGAAGAAACCCCTGACAAACTATCAGTCTTGAGAGCACTGTCGCCGCACGCGTGAACACCCCCCTTTGTACATCTGCAATCATCTATTGAAGAAGGAACTGCGCACTATTCATTGTTCTAGAAGTCCTCATCATCACCAAGCGTCTCTGGTTATTCATTGCGCGAGTCCTCATCATCATCAGGCGTCTCTGGTGGTCATTCTCTACCATTGACGAGACAAGATAGCACCGCCCTCACAGCGCGCCGCTGTTCTGATGCTGATGGTGCGAATCTATTCGGCAAACCGCCTAAGATATCCCTGATGACTTCCTCGTCCCGAAAAAAGAGTCGACAGAACTACTCTCATACAACTAGCAGGCCTGTCCTTTCAAAGCCGTGTGCGTGTCCGAGGATCTGAAGGAGAAATGTCGGAGAGTGTTTTCACTTTTACTGTGGATAACAATGATTTCGCAACAACGTTCTTGTCCCGTGAAACTAGTTTAGTTTCTCGTCAGCATTTCTTGTCTGTTGTTCGCCAATCCATTTCTTGGTGCTAGGTAAGTAGCTGTGTCCCATATTCTTACGCAACTCCTACGCTGTTTTCTCACTCGTTGTCATCTTTCACGTTGCACCTGAAATTATTAGAGCCGCTTGCCCCTGTTCTTTCGCGTTCCGACAGACGTGCTCTGCTAAAAAGCATCTTCGCCAAAAACGTGATCTACTAAACACACGGACTATATCTGCCGGTGCAGCGAGGGCATGTAAATGACCCCCGAGGATCACAGTTCTTGGTCAGCAGATTGATTAATTTTGCAAGGAGATGTAATTCCGAGTCTCCCATTTCTGTGGCCATAGGTTTGTAAGGTAGAACTGGGGCATCACTGGTATATGAATCATCGAATTCGTTTCCAAAGCTTCCAAAATGATCAACCGGACTCTCTCCTACCCCTTGGCTCTTCCTTGTATGCGCTTGTACAACATCAACACTCTATTGATGTGCCCATATTTTTATTCTCAAAATGGTCGTGATTGTGATAGAAAGACACGGATGATATGTTTTAGACTACTATTTTTTTGGATAGACTATATTATATATAAGTTGTATAAAATTCTAGTACGTGAATGTAAAATCCGCGGCAGTATTTTGCAGCAAGAAAAGGATGAATGGTATTTGTCGACAATTCCTGGAAAAGTCACCGTTGGTACTCAGTTAAGTAATATAGAGCTTTTATTAATCAACAGCTTTCCTTCAACAAGCTGCCCTCAAAATAGTTCGAAAAAGTAAGTGAGTGTCTAACAATTTAAATTTGTGTCTAACAATTTAAATTGCACAGAAGAACATCATGCTCGAGATGAATAGCTTGGTACTTAACTAGTCCACTCAACAAGAAATGTCAAAGTATGAGGACATATAAGTATTCGAAAAACTGAAATAACCGAGTATCTATTGAAAATAACCGGGAGATACTGAAAGTAGAGAAACGTAGTCAAGACTCTCTTATTTCAGTCAGTAGCTCGCTTATTTTGAGTTTTCGAATAGTTTGGTAGTTGTCATCTACTTCCGCTCTAGAGCTAGTGGATCTTTAGAGCTAGGAGGTCATCTTCTGATTCGACTTCAGCGATTAGCAGTCACCATCTGAGGCGGACTCGGAACTCACCTTTGAGCTAGATCGGCCTCCAAAGCACCCACAGCATCCCTTCTCCACGGCAGGAGGACTCGGCGGTTGTGTGGGTGCCTGTTTAGAATTAGAAAGTGAATGAATAACCCAACACACAGAAGTATGAAAAATGTAGAGTTTATCTTTATCTTTATTGATTTGTTTGCTAACAAAACGGGAAGAAACGGGAGTACTCACACTACTACGTAGGAAATACAACTTGATGGCCTAAGTGAATTTTTTTCTTCGTGTCTCATCTCGATCGCTCAACACTCAACAAGTTCCTGCGTTGTACAACTAGGTTGAAACACATAAAAAGACCTAAAGAACAAGAATTTGATGAAACAGCAGCAATTTTTTTTATATTACCGGGACTCGAACCCTAGGTAGTTTGCAGTTGGCTTAGTGGTTTAGGCGTTGGCCTGTTCACTTATCAATCAAACTATGGTGAAACAGAGCAATAGAACCAGAATGGAATGAGTTCAAATGATTTGTTCACTCATTCATTCGAACCACGTAGCAACTCACTCAAAGCTGCCCGGTTCCGTAGCGACCCGAGTAGAGACGCGGCAGCTAAGGTATACACAAAGCAAGAATAACGCTTACCTCCTCATCCCCTGATGCCGCTGCTCCTTCCGACGGTTTGGCACCTTCCCCTTCGTCGCCTGCTGGCGTCACAGATTAGAAAATGCATTTCTCAGTAGAACAAGCACAAAAATTATAGAACAGGTCGCCTGTCGTGCGTCATGGCTTATTCTAATCAATACACGTGAAGTACAACGAACAACAAGACTAACAAAACCACATCATGAGAGAATCAATGGAGCTTGGTCAATCTCTATATGCGATTTCCATAGTTTTCAGCTGGGGTCTTCGGCGTTTCCTCAGTGCCCTCTGCATCTGAAGCCTTGCTGCCTTCCGTCTCCTCCTCTTTGGATTCCGGTTCTCCTCTGTTTAGAAAAATTGTACTTAGTATTAATACTTCAAGTATTAATTATTCTCCTCTAGTTGTATCCTGTATCCGAAATCAAATCCACTTTTAGCTGCCTCCATAACTCCTTTTCCTCTGGTGCTGGATTGATGGTATCCTCTTCCTCAGACGCCGCGTCGGTCACGAGCACGACCTCCTTGGTGCCGCTGCCGCCATCCGCAGTCTCAACCGCACCCGTATGTCCCGAAGTGCCACAGCAATCCATGGTCTGTTGTTTGGGTGGGGTTCGGGTTGTATTGGGATTACAGGAATCATGTGCTGGGAGGTTAATAGCACATAGTCTGATAAATGTCTTAGTCTTTGTGGGTAGTTATGATTTTTATTGCCAAGTATTTACTAGAGGTAGGTTTTTGGTGCTCGCTTGCCCCGCTTGTTATGCCTTTCTCCCTTAGGAGAGGCATAAAAAGCGGTAAGAAAAGCACCTTTAAGCTAGCTCCTCTTAAATTTAGTTTATAACCTCCATTTTCAAATGTTAACAAGTATAAGATAAAAGTACGAATCGCAGCCCCCATGATCCGTGAATCGCTGCTCCAAATGCAATGAGGATTGTCGAGAGAAGCTTCATTTTCGCAAGAAAGAGAAGAACAAGAACTTGATCTTCGAGATGTGCAACGTATGTGAATGGAATTCTAATTCTATCTCTCTGGTGTTTGTTCACGGACTTGATGACGAAGAGACAAGAGTACCAGTGTTTGAAGTACATCAAACGACCAAGAACAGATCCTTCGCAGAACCGAGTAAATCGTTCGTCATCTAAACTGGACGCGGACACCACCAAGAACACGACAGCTTCGGCTCCCACAGTTGTAACACCGGAATCCATACTGCAGAAAGTCAGTCGTCTACAAGTACAACTCGAACTCAATGGACTACTTTTGCGGACACTTATCTAACCAGTAACTGAACAGTCTTTAGACTTTAGTCTTGTCTTGAGTGGTATTAAATCGTACTATGTAGTGAGATAAAACGGTAGTCAAAAGTCATTTTTGCGGCGAAATGTTAACGTATTTTGAGTGTTAGTAGAAGGGTGTGTTCTTTTATTTGAAATGGACATCAACATTCTTTTTGAACTTGGAATCAGCATAGTCACTATTTGAAAATCATTTCTATTTCACGCGATATCCATCACGGAACGTGCTTTTGAATACTTCCCCTCAACTCCCACCTACGACTCCATATCTTGCAATCGTCCTTGGTCGGCGCCACTAATGCGCAAGAGAGCATGTGGATTTCGGAAGAAAGATACCAGTCTGTGGTACAAAACGTATTCTGTTTTGAAGTCCTTCATTGAGCGGGCGGGGAATTAGAAGATTCTGATCACATGATGATGACTTTTGGAATTCACAAAATGCCAAGGAAGATTCAAATGGTCAAAGTCATGCGCATCCCTACCCTAACACCCACTGAAAACTGTGGGTGCTGCATTTTCCTGTCAGTGTTGCAGTTCGCAACAGGAGGATATTGGGACTACAGCGCTCAAGCCTGACGATTTGAATCGATTCGGCGAGCTGCCTAAGATTTCCCAGACGAGTTCTACGTACCCGCTAGTCTAGCTTGTTGTTGGGTTGTTATTGGTTTCTTGCCTGTTCCTGTTGTTCCTGTTGATGAGCTACAATTCTACTTAGCCGTTAATAGTCCTTCACCATAAATGAAAACCCCGTTGATGAGGTCCTGCAAGATGCTCACATCCGGCATCTCCAGGAACATGATGGTATGTGTTAGCCGTGAGCAGCTCGCACGTATCATTTTCCCCATTCCGTAGACCAGCAAAGTATACAATCCGATGAAACTGGTGCTTCTCGTTAGAGGAAAACAAAGATTCTTCGCTTGTGACTTCATATATCCAAGACCTCGATGTTGAAAATGGCGAGAATGGCGCAAATCCGCTCTCGGAAAATGTTGACACTTCCTCGCCGTAGAAGCTCACACGATGAACACGTGAGTGTTACGCCTAAAAAAAGCAATAACAAGTAGTAGTTGTGACTTTAATATAAATCCAACTCCAAGACCTCGATGAAATAAGTATTCGACTCCTTAACTTACTGGCATGTGCCGACCCTTCGTGAAAGTTCAACGGATCTGACAGCACGAAGAAGCGAAGTGGTTCGTCTTCCACTATTCTCAACTTCTTCGGGTCTTCCCAGAGTAACACAGGGTTCGCATCGACAAAATGCCCCAAACGAGGCACTTGCTGATCAGGGGGAAAGCGCAGGAGCACTTGATTCCACTCCGGGTCTATACGAACGACGATAGCCACTCGCTTCAACCTAAACGCGCTTTCGGCTCGCGCCGCGACATCTACGACGTAGGGCAGATAACCCACTCTATCCCCGACGCGTAGAGAAGTGCTCGGACTGGAGCCGTGTTGAGACGTCTTCGTTACTGGAGCTCCCGGAGATATACGACGCGAACCATAATGCGTTGTTTTTTCTTTGGATGAACGTACTGTCACGAGCTCTACAGAGTCGCCGTGTAGTCGAACGCGCATGCTTTTCGGCGCACAAGCGGTGCTACCACCAGAAGGGCCGAACATTTCCAACACATTAGCACGAATCCTCATACACGGTGTGTAATTATGCGTCAACAATACTTCCGCTGAAGATGTGCTACTGCTGGGAGTGCTAGGAGGTGCACTTGTCGGCGGTTCTTGATTTTCTGGTGTTTTGGAATTGGATATCGAGACTTTCCCATTGTCAGATGCTGCCTCGTCCTTTGGTTGAGGTACAAGATCATGAGGTGCGGGTCTACTCGTCCTCGTTCTCTGGAGATCGTCCTGTGCTGGTTGAACATCAGATTCAGGGGATTTTTGCAACATCATCCTACGCATTGCCTCTAAAAACTCCAATATGGCTTTGGGGTTTTCCATCTGGGCGTTGTCTGATTCTGGACCTAGTACAAAGGAAGATTCTAGATGCATCACTTCTACTCTGGTGTTCTGACCATTTCTTTCGCCAGTGTGGACTCCTCCTTCTTCTAGGTGATGATGGCCTCCTTCTTTCTGTTGTTCTTTGCCACCTCCATTTCGTCCTTCCTTCTGCAATACAGACACGAGGACCCCTTGCTCATCAACTGCGTCTTGTTCTGTCTCATAAACACGTGCTTGTCCGTGTCCTCCTTCGTTCTCTGCTGATGAAACGTCGGCAGGTACAGACGCAGGAACATCAGCACTGCTGGGGCTAATGTCTTGCTCTAGAGATGATATCACAGCAGGGGAGCTAACAGCAGGTACAAACGCCAAACGCTCCTCTAGGTCTAGTTCCGTCGATACAAGTTCTCCCAGCGAAACAAGGTCTCTCCCTTAGAACAATTGGTAAGTACAACGTAGGATGCCGGTACTCACTTCTATTTGAGAGGACGCTGGTTGTACAACTCATTCTAATGTAGTAGTACAAAGGGGTGGCCAAAAAAAGAAATATAATTAACATCAACCAAATCGAAGTTCGACCTTAACTACTTCGATACGAGAAAGGCAACTTGTGTTGCAGCAAGCCAGTTTGCGAAGGTCCAAGGCTGCGCTTGATATCGTATCGCATTTCTATGTACAACTGTGGTAATCTGGAGACTGAAAGGCGTTCTCGTACGGCAGATGGAGAGGGAGTACGAGTAGAAGTAGTTGTTGTTGAAGAAGTCCTCTGCGAGCTCGAACCTTGTTTCGACTTCGCTAAGACCAGGATAATGTCTTCATGAGATTTTGTACCACCCCCTCGCTGTCTTCGTTCCGCAACCAGGTCAATAACTTCGCGATAGGCTCGACCAAAAGCTCTGCGCGTTTCCTGCAAAGTGCGTGACGGAGAAGGCGGTGAGGTAGATGTAGCTTCTTGCAGCAAGTTGTCTTTCATCAGAGGTCGTGGCTCCTCTTCTTGTGCTTCTTGATCCACATGGTCTACTTGCAAATGTTGACGTCCATGAAGATCTTCCGAAGCACTAGAAGAACCCTGCTGCATCCGCGACAATTTCACGTACTGCACATACAAATCTTGGCACTCCTTCCATTTGGACATCAAAGCAAGGTTTTCCTCGATGATGGATATCGCTTCTAGCAATTGATCCCCCGTAACGCTGCCCCAGAGTCCTACGTTCGAAAATTTTGGGAATTTCACCTCGTTCAACACAGCAGCACTTGATAGACGCTCACCGGAGACTCGGAATAAAGGGTCTGTCATCAGAAGTCGTTGTGCTGGGTCAGACTGCTCGCTTTTGTCTCCAGCGTGTTTGGTAGAGCTCAAAAAACGTCGTTTTCTTCCGGTTGTATGCAGCAGGTGTTCTTTTTCATGAAGATCAACTGCGGAGTTGAAGAAAGTGCCTGTTAACCTACGTCGTTGAGCCTGACCAGTAGGCTTGTCATTAGAAGGTTCGGTAACTTCCACTTCTGCGTCGCGTGCACCTGTTGCAGCCGCAGGGGTTCCTTCTCTGGCAGTCGCGTCCACGCTGTGCTTCTCACCGCCTGCGTCGATGACATCACTCCTGTTCTCGTCCGCCTTCGTGGCTCCCTGATAATAATGATGCAAAAACGCTTCAAAAAAGGACAGGTCACTAGTTCCACTCTGCTCTGCCGGCCACGCATTCCCACTTCTACTTCCTCTTGTCCCACTTCGACTTCCTTTGTTTGCTGTTGCCCGGTTCATTGTTAGTGGCTGCAAATCTTCGGATCGAAACAGTGGAATTCGCAAACTTTCGCCAGCACCGTCGGTCACGTGCAAAGTCAAAAGCGTCTGGGCTTCGAGGACATGACTTGCTGTACGAATTGGATTTACACTGCTGAAGAAAAGGATCGGTAAGAGGATCAATGCTATCAATCCTGCGATAATCCAGACTCCCTGACAACACTTCTCCATCTTTGGTCGCCGTGCTCCTGGCCGTAAGCCTTTTCTGGCTTGAAAATCGTAGTCTACGCAAGAGATTAGAACATAGCCAGTGGTATGATAGCCAGACCGCGCGATAACTAATGATCAATGAATCTCTAGTAACTCGATGAATGTCCCTAAAAAACCTATTGCTACTTGCTGTTAAGGAAGGGGAATGAAGAATGACTTCGCAATTGCGATGGACCACAGCATCACAGGAAAGCCTTAAGAACAGCTGCACTTGCGCATCCTCCAACTTGAAGTACCAATAGAGCTCGAGCGCAGTCGCTGTGACCGTCCAATCGATAAGGATGCGTAATTGGTCGACCAAAGGCAAAACCCGGTAGATGTAGAAGATGTATTTTCTGATCTTCATCGTGTTCCTTGACCCCGTGAGGAAGATCAAGCCACTGTAGGGTCTGCCATTGTCGTACCGTAGTTGCAGGACAGTTAACAGCAGGTAGCTGTAGACCAGGAACAGAAAAACACGATTCCACCCGGAAGTTGGGGAAGCAAGACCGAGTGGGCGACTCAACTCGTGTCTAAAAAGATAGACGTGCGCAGCCAGGAAATGCACGATTGCAATCGTGTAGTAAGCTATGCGTGAGAGAGTGTAGCTGCTGAAGAAAAACGTTGCAGAAGTTGTTCGTCTTGCAGGTTGTTCAGTGGAGAGACGGGAGGAATTAGAATTACGAAGCCGTGTCACGTAGTAGTTATCTCGTCTTTTATACTGGTTTCTTCTTGATACCGGACCAGGAACCATACCTGTTTCTTGATATCGAAGTGAGAACTCCTCATCTTCACTACTGTGACCGCTATCGGATGTTGAAATGGCTTTGCTCGAAGGTCGTGATTGTTGTCTAGTTGTGCCTACTTGGTTGAATTGTCGACCCCTAGTAGAAGAGAACATAGACATAGGAGTTCTTTCAGGAGATGGTGGAGCCAAGATCGATGTCTTCAGCCGTGGCGGACTGTAAAGAGAGGAAAATCGATGGCGCTTCTTTCTGGCAGGTGAAGCGGGCCCCTCAACTTCGCGTACTAGCAGTGGTTCTGAGAGATGCTGCTTATCCATGATTTGCTCATCGCTTTCTTCTGCGGGGAGGTTATTGCGTGTTTTTTCCTGCCTTAGCTTCGGTTTGCGCATCTGCGCTTCTGCGATCGTAGTAGTCGTACTTGCTGTCCAGCGACTAGAACCACTGCTCCGCGAGTTCCTTCTTGCTTTATCTGCACTAAAAACATGTTCATGTTTTCCTTCTGCGTCCGCTTCTCCCACGTGTTCTTGACCATCATCTTGTTCCAAAGATTGGCCCACCATGTATCGGTAGTTCTGCATGGTTGTGATGTACACTACTCTGTCGAAAACAATGACGAAAAGGTACGCCACAATGCAAGCGACTTGCGATGAAGAAAATGCTTTTTGTTCGCTGGTAACGAACGCCTTCATGTGCTTCAGCGTGTCTTTGAGCTCGTCTTCGTTCTCGAAGCCCTGCTCCCACAGAAACAGGACGAATACGAACAGCAAGAACGCAAAAACAAATCGAACTAGGTAAAGATCACGCGAAGGTCGCGAAACTGAAGGATAGAAGACTTGTCGCGCCCACAGAAGAAGAGGGCTTCTCTTGTAATGCGGCTCGTGATCGGGGTGCTCCTGGTCAACTCGAGCGTCTTCTAGATCTCCAACATCTTTCGCAGGCACATCTACGTCCATTTGGTCTCGTCCACCACCGTTGCCATTCATCTGTTCTCCACGCAATTTACTCACCGTGCGAGCTGTCGCCAGTCTTGAACTTCTATCGAAGTCGTCGAACCGTGGAACCGCATTCCCGCCCAAGGCCCGCTGGTAGAGGTGTAGGTTCAAAAACAACAAGAATAAGGCGTCCAGGAAAAGGTCGAGGAACATAACCTCATGATAAGCAATTTGAAAGTTGTAGTCACTGGGGTCTACGCCGGTGCTGTCACTCGCAGTTGGCGTTGCGGGTGGCAGGGTGTCAGCACCTGTACCGTCTGCTCGTAGGAGCGCAGGTGTTGCGGATGAGGGCTGTGATCCAGCTAATGTTGCTGTTGCTGCTTTCATAGCAGTGGATGATGGCGAACCAGATCTGGCTCTAACCAAAGGCTGTTCGCGACGTCCTACTCGTGGAGAGCTATCGCTACGGGGTCCACTGCGTGAACGGCTGAATGATATCGTCGGTCTTATGGTTGATATTGAAGGACGATCTGTATGTTGTGCATGTGTCGTCATACTCATAGCCAAGTGATGGAATCTCGTCGTATCCAACGACGGGTTCGAAGCACCGTGTCTGCGGCTGTAAAAAGTGTCATCTCGTTGTTGTGTATGCTCCTGATGTCCCTGTTCTAGTCTCTGTTGCCTATCAAGGTCATTGCTTTCTCCGTCCGCCATGATGTCCTCATTTCCGACAATTTGGTCCTGCGCTTGATGCTCATCTTCTCCGTCCGCCATGTCCTCATTTCCATCTTCTCCGTCCGCCATGTCCTCATTTCCGACACTTATTTGGTCCTGCCTACCTACTTCCTCATCTTCATGCCCACCTACTTCCTCATCCAAAATTCCACCTGTCTCGCCCGCGACGATCTGTTCTCCGGTGTCCTCTGCAAAGGATGCCATACGGTCCAACGCTGAATGGATCAGGCGCAAAAGATGTTGAGGCTTTGGCAACACATCTAGACTTTTGCCGGTGTGTCCAAAAAGCAGGATGGGCATCCATCGAGGCCACAGCGCAAAAGTAGCGGTTCCACTTGCGGATGTTGACCACGTTGTCGCACTAGTTCTTGTAGAAGATCGTGTTATTGTTGCAGCTCTACTCGTACGATGCGTCGCACCCTTCTCACAGAATTCCTGCGCATCAGGAGACGAGTTCGCAACAAGGTCACAAAACGACGTGGCTGGAGCTATGAAACGAAAAAGTGCACTCACACTCAAGAAATTGGCTAGGATTTAAGTAGGAAAATAGCCACTTTTTCTGAGTGTGAGTGCACTTTTTTCTTTCATAGGAGCAACACCATTCTTACCGGATGAAGCTCCCGCTGAAGACACCGCAGGTAACATCTGAGGTTGCTCCTGACGACCACCTGTCAACAAGTTTGCTTGTGCTGCTTTCGGACTACTTGCTTGATGCTGAGAAAACGCAATAAATCCATCTGGTGGTCTCAAAAAATCCAGATTATGATCCAACTTGTCGAATGGTAGACAATACACCAGCTTTAGCAGTAAAATGACGAATCCCGACCCGTTTACCAATCGCCAAACCCAAGCGGGTGGTTGTGGATATGCTGGAAGAACGAGGAACATGAGAAGGAATAATAGCCAGCCCAACAAGAGCGAAATCTGATACCAAGCGTGAAACGCGACGATGACCACTGCGATTGCTAGAGAATGCCGTAGAATCGTTTTTTCGCATGGCAAAAGACCTCCACGTCGCCAACCATCCCGCAGCACGTGGTCTTTGAACGATTCCTTTTGGGAGTTGACGTATGAGATATCATCTAAAGCCGGATAAAAAGCCCCAGCTTCTCCCGTGATAAGTCGACCTAGTCGGTAAGCGTCGCTTACATACGGCTCGAATGTGGAAACTATTGTAGATGTCAAGGCCTGCGCTGCCTGCTGTGGAGCTGGGAGAAGCTTCTGTGTTTTCGGTTTCGTTCTAGCGCAGGGGGCACTAGTGTTTTCATTTGAAATACGAGACCGACTAGCTTCACTGCGGATCGAGGGGGATGAAGGAACACAGTGTGCGTCATCTTCGAGTTCTTCTAATGCTGGCTCTTGCGTAGTAGTCCTTGCTTGATGTTCTGTAACACGCTTTGTCGGTTCTTTTGTGTCCTCTTCGTTCTGGGGGTCTTCTTCTTCTTCATCCAAGCGGAAAGCCACGGTGCGTCGATGATGCTTGCCTCCGCTGACAGAAACAATGCTGTTTGTCGCCTTCTTCAATTCAGTCTCCGTTGTGACGCGTCGTCCCTCGACCACGCGGGTTGGTGATATTGCCATTTCGGCGGATTTTCTGTCTGAGGCATAGGCTTGATATTGCCATTTCGGGGCTTCAGCACCAGGGACACTGCTTGTGATGATCTCACTCATCTCGATGGCACTGCTTTCTGTTTTTCGCTGATCAGCATCCTCTTCCTCCACCCGCCGTGGACAACAGGAGCATAGCCAAGCAGCACAACATATACTGCAACTGGCGAGAGCGGTGCAACACGAGGCAGGGGCTCCCTTGTTACTCGTCGACGATGCACCATTTTGCGTGAAGTCTTCGTGGTAATCGAGTTCTTCTACATCTACTTGTTCGTCGAGCAGCACCGTAGTACTTCTTCGTGGATATGCGGTGGATACTGTGGAAATTCTTCCATTTTCTTGCTCATTTGCTTCTTCGCGTCCAGCACCGCGTTCTAGTTCTCGCAAGTGCGTATCCTCCCTCACAAGCTCGATATGCGCCACCAATTGATCCAAGCTAACGAGTTGGTCAGCCCTGTAGAACAAGCCGGAGATCTTCTGCTGCGCGTTGTCTGGAGAGATATGAAGAAGGTCTCGCTCGAAATCGATCGCGAGTTTATCCATTGCCAGCCGGTCAATGACGTATTCTGGTATAGTCGTTGCTCTCTTGATCATAGTTCGCACCAACTTGCGGTCTTGTCGTTTGTATAAGGGGATATCAAAACCCTCCATTTGGAAACGCGGAAGGAAACTTGTACAACTCGTACTTTGCTCAACAGCTTCAGCTTGGTCGATAGAAGTAGTATTTCCTCTATTGTCGTCCTCAAATTCCTCATCACCTTCTTCCTCATCCTCAAATTCCTGTTGTTGCGTCTCAGTTTCGACAATGCTCGCTGCAAGCGCTTCAGAAAACTTCGAACTGAGGACAGCAGAAGTCAGCCAAATTGTTTCGAGATTCGTGGAGCTCACTGTAACGGGTCCAACCAAACATGCCCAAGCCCCGTCATCAAGTTGCGCATCGATGTAAACCTCAGAAACAGGCAGTTCTGGTCCCTGTCGCAAGTCGATACGATAAACTGGGTTTTCCTCAGTGAAGCTGTATTCGACTCCAATCCAGACACGGTCCTCTAGCTTGTCTACGAAGCCATTTTTATCTGGTGCGCTGTTGAATTTCAATTTCATAGCGGATTCGTTATTGATCTCGTCGAAATTCTCAAGATTTGCTGACACTGCATCCTCTTCCAGATCAGCAAATGAATCTTTCAAAATTGCGTGCCAAGAGGTGCTCAGATCACCTTCGAAGGCGTTCCGTAGTTCATGACCAGGCAAGCTCACGCAAGTTGCAGAAGAGATATATTTAAAGCCGCTCCCCGTCCCCTTTGAAGTTCTTTCCGTTGGCTGCTGTACAAGCGAGAAACACGAGATCCCACTTTCTCGACCACTCTTATGAAGTCGTCCTTGTCTTCGTGATGTGGTTCTAATCTTGTTTTTCATGCAAATGGTCCTGGCACTTTGGCTCTGCGATGAACCATACTTGTCATCGGGAGCGACAGTGGCAAACCGAAGATACTTCAGAGCCCACCCAAGTGCATCATCGGGAGCCCGTATTCTATATCGCATGCGCCGACCTGCATGGCCGGAAACCCTATTCGCAAGCATACTCGGCAACAATGTGTCGGACATACCTCCACCCCCATAGGCGGGATCATGAAGACACCCATTACCCAGCCGTCTTCCGCTCGCTGCGACGCTAATGGCGTTCAATAACTTCTCTACTACCGTATATTCCTGCCCAGCCTGTAGGCAGATGCCCTCTATGCGTCGGGCCCTCAAATTGTCGAAGTGATTGAAAAAATCTGCGTTTACCAGCGAACCAGAGTCTGCACACAGATCGCTGCCATGAAATACCCGTTGCATTAGAGCTACAGCGTTTGCATCTTCCTTGAAAGTCACCCTATTAAGTAATCCTTAGATGTTGCGTTTTTTCCTGATAGAAAACAAAGTGAACAGCA